CCCGCACATGCGAGGAGTTGTCCCCATCGACTCGCGGGGGAAACGGCCCCTAGCCTCAAAACTCTCTGTGAAGACAGGCTTCAGGCCTGGTGTTATATCTCCTTCAATTCGGGGAAAGAGATATGAGGATGCACCCGCACGTTCCACCGCTGCACTAAGATAGACTCTAGAGCATGACAGGTATTCTACCACCGCGCGGCAGACGTAGAAATTAGTGCTTGTATGCGTAACAGCGCAGTCGAACAGAGATGGTGGCAAAAACAGGGTTATAGTAATGAGGAACTGTAGTAGTGTCACCTGATATTAGGCAACACATAACTAAGGTATGGGCCCCCATGTTAGCGAGGTATTACGTGCCATGGACCCAAAGTCTAATCACACCTCCTGGGCCGGCTAGATTCGGGCCACTAGCAACGGTCGCCTGTCTAGTTCCGCTCTTGGGACCCATGGAGTGTGCGGGAGGATCCCGGTTCCGTCCTATCCGCTGTGCCACGCAGCCCACACGCACACACCGGCAGGAGTCAGACCCTAACGAACGTTTTTCCAAGAGCGGCCATAAGGAGACGCTGCGCGCGCGGGAACTGGAGGGGAGCTCCACGATGTCTGTGCTTCCCGACGTCTGTGCCTCAGTGTTGCAACTCGCAGTGGCGGAGACCACTTCGGCCCCAGAGCAAACGAGTTTCAGCTGGCACTTTGGCATCGCTGCCCCTTGGTAGGGGTGTTCTCGAGTTGAAAAGACAGAAGGGATGCCGCCAAGGGCATAAGTTCCATACCGAACCCCGGACTGGCCTGGGAGTGTAAGGGTAGGAAGAGCTGAATGGCGAGAAGAAGAAGAATAGAGAAATGAAAAGATGAAAAAGGTCCGCCCATGCAGAACCTCGCCTAGAATCCACCACACATAAGCTTGTTGACCTTCCTTTTGCCGTCTCTTCTCCCGTTCCGTTTACGGGGCAGAATGCCTCCCCCCGGACATACGGCCAAGAGGTGACCCTGTAAATCTTGATTTCCTTGGCTACATAATATCTACTAGGTATGTACGGAGTACGGATAATAGTATGTAGTAAGAACTTAGCGGAGTGGAGAACCGAGACCCCTTGTAAACATCTTTGGTCCCTGCCATCCTCCCACGGGGACCTATGAGTATTGTTTTCCAAGGGGTCCATCGTTAGATCATTCAACTTGGTTTTCTTGTCAACGGACTGCATCTCCGCCCCCATGTGCCATGACCTGACTTTTTGCCCTCGTCCAACACTGTTCACCAGTTTTTCAGGGTTTTCTGTTGATTTTTCTAATCATACGATGGGAGACAATTTCCACAAGATTCAGCAATATGGGTCGCCAATTAGACTATACCTTGATCCATGTGCATCGATGTGGTAGAGTTCTGCGATTCGGTGAACGGCGAATGAGGAGGTCCCTAGCTGCGTAAAGTCAAATGCTGCGTCCAAATACTCCAACAAGTAGAAGTATCCTACCACTTGGATCTTACACGCATCTCCTGATACCCACATGGCCAGGTAGTTCATCGAAAGAGTTGACAGCCGCTCTAAGATGGTTTGATTACCGCTACAATATATCGTGAGCTACTTTGCTTTCCGACCCGGCGGTTAAATCTCAAGTACCGGGCTTCATACAGCCGGATACTTTTAGAGTTTGTGAGTCAAATTGAGATAGGAACACGACTAGGTAGTGAATCGAGTACCCAGGCAAGAGTCTTAGGCTCAAGATTGAGAGGGCCTCTATCCTGTATAGTCACCCCCCCTAAATCAATATTCTAGTCATTATTTGCCTATATTGAGCGAAACTCGTCTCATTGTTAGTCTTTTTCGCGGTCAATTACTCGCTGTATAAATGGAGCTGGCCACTTTGAAGCTAAGATCTATGAGAGTCTTTCCTTTTCAGAAAGAAACAAGGACATAGGTTCCCAGAGACAGCCAGGACGGCCTCGCAGTCTAAGTTCAAATGATAAAGACCGTTTAACTCTATCGAGAGCGGGTGGTGTCAACACCACTGTGCCGGTGGGTTGCAAGGCAGGGTTAGTCGGCCACGCCTGCAAAACCATGTATCGAGATCAAGTCTCTTCGATGCACGCCATTCTCACACATTGATTCCGTCTGGACTGAAGGTCCGCCGTCAGACGGCAGTCACCAAAATCATGACGCTTAATGAATCGGTCAGTCGGGCCATAAAGATGGCACTGCTATGCTATCAAACCATGAAAGAGTAACAGAGCAATGCTTGGTAATTGTTTTCTCGGATCTTCTACTACCCTTGCTGTCTTTAGACAGCATTCGTGTGCCTGCAGGGGAGTTCTGCAGCCCTTCATAGGCTGCGCGAGTGTGTTACTGCCTATCAGAGGCTGTTCTTTAGTTGTCCTAGCTACCAGTTGAGAGAAGCTATTAGCTGGGAACAGGGAATCAATCCTATTCCCTCTCCTATATCTCTGGCTCGGACATTTTCACTGCCAATGCACCACGGAGGGGGTGGTATTGCTCGCGGTTGAGCTTTTATCAGTCTATGGATTTTCACAACGGGATGATCTACACGGCCGGCGTAGCCACAGTAAGTGTTCATGATTGACTGCCATCAGCTTCATCGTATACAATAGTACCCACCTGGTCAAGAATTGCAGACTAAAGCTGTAGATATAGGTGAATATCAACTTTGTTTTGCCCTGCAATTGACCTGACTTCTGGGATTAACTGAAACCGATGGTAAATCCTCCCAAAATAATGGGCGCAGACATCACTCCAGCTCAACAACTATATCGCTAGAATTGTGAATGACACTATTCAATGAGGCAATGTTTTCCATAGATTAATGTAATCGGTATTGATCGGTAAAATTATTTCAGTACTCTCGTATTAAAGACTAATTCTAATGGTATCTTGAGCAGTGTGCTGTCTCTGGTAATGTCGGTGTATGTACAGTAGGGTGACTCTCAAGCCTGCTGATGGCTAACCGCCGACCATACTCCTGCAAATCGGGGAGGCTCAGCTTTACGAAATTATACTCTTCAAGGGCTTCTTCGGACGAACGGGATGCTATCTGCGGTGGCATTTTGAGGTAGACGTCGGGTTGGCTCGCGTCGATGGGGTTGCTGTCGGTGTCTATCAAATTGCTACCACAACGATATATGTGAAGCAAAGGTCTCAGCGTCGGTAAGCAACAGCATATGACGCCACTATCCAAAATTAGTCCACATTCGTTCTCGCTTTTTGGTAATAGGACTGGGGATTCGCTTACCAATACGCCTCCAACCCTGTCCATATCATCAAATCGACAGTTCCCCAGGTGGGATCGGCGTAACTGAAACTTGTTACCTTGACCAACCGAATGATCGTGACGAAGCAGTTGCTATATTTGGAAAGCTACTATAAGCTCTTGTTCGTTGGAAAGAGGTACAGGCGCCTCTGCTGAATTGCTCAGGAATTGGGTAGGACTTACAAGCCGCCGAAAACAAAAGACGAGATGAGAAGAGCTTTCTTTACAGGAGACATCGTAAGTCTCATGGCGTACGGTATAGGAATGATTATCAACACGAAGTCCGTCACAATGCTTCCGACTGCAATGCTGATGTATAGTTTGGACAGATCAATGCAGTCCTTGTGGCTGGTCCAGAAATTCTGAACTGGGCTGCACGCAAGAATGGTCGGTAAGGTCTAGCATGGAGATTAGCGCCCGATTGGTACGTGGTGTTTCCTTGGCACCTCTAGTGGACAATACGCAAACACAATGACATTACTTTGCAAAGCCACGCTTAATCCAAAGAGGATGTGGAATCTTGAGGTTGACGGAAAAGGGGGAAAGCTTACAGCATAAACAGCCCACATCCCAATGAAAACCATCAGGCCGCATAGGTAAAACCTCGCTTTGAAGAGTCCAAATATACGGTTATACAGAACCACGAGCGACATTCGTGCGGTCGATAATCCTATGGGATACAGTATTTCGTTCGCGTAGATGGTCTTAAAAAAGCGCGTGAGGTTCATCGGGTCCTCCTCCTCAACGACAATCGCATGCCTGCCCAGCCCAAATTTGAGCCAGAACATCGTCCCGGTAAAGACTCCTGATATGAACAACTTTTAACTCTGGTGAGTCGGATGCTCCGACGGATATTCTTTTCTGAAGTGCAGGAAGACTGGAAAGAGTGCGATATCGCCACCAAGGGGTCTTAACTCACCAGCGAGATCACAGCTAGCCAATCGTCCCAAGTGATCTTTCGCCCCGAGCGCTTTGCAGCGGCCAGTCGCGCAACTACCGACAGGACTGACAGGACGAAAAATGCAGTGTGAATGTTGAAGATCTCGCCAGACCGACTCTCGGCCTTGAAGGCCGCGAGTTGTTCCGGCGTCATATCAGGAATGCCTTGAGACATGTCCAGGAGGCCTGGATCTGGTATCCATAGAGGCGAAGTGTCAAAACTCCGGCACTTTGTCGAAGGGAAATGAACAAAGATCCAACATTTCAGCTAGATTGCTGGGGTCTTGACATTAGAAAAGCACTAGAATAATTCTTGGTCCGAAGGAGAGGTTTGGAGGGGGGGGGGGGGGGGGGGGGGAGACAGCATGTCTTGAAACGCCGTCTTGGCAAGCGAGCCAAACAGAGTTTGGCAAAGCGTAAGGCAACTTGTTACGGAAACTTTGTGTATGCATCCTTCAAGATGATGAATCTTAACAGGAAGCTTATTTTCCCAACGGCTGAGCAGTGCAGACGCAAGTGAGTGTGTTCGTATACGTGTGAGTTGGGAAACCCCACAACGTGGCACGATCGTATGTTGCCACTACCATCCAAGTAATACTACGGGGTCGTTGCCGAAATAATACCTACTGCTTCCAGGTTTCCGCTCGAGAGTATGGTTTCAGCTGGCAGAACCATAAAAGCGGTTCGACTCGTTCCATAGCCGATTTATATCCGTATACTGACCAAGTTTGAGCGAAGGCGGGAAAGCCATGCTTATCCGTCCGCTAGGGTGCAAGTGCCCCCTCCATTGTTGGCCAAGGACTTGCTCAACTACCGGTAGGCATGTTCTAGACAATTCGGAAATTCCCAATCTCTGGAGTTGTACGAACGAGCTGGAAAAGCCTGGGACTCGAACATGCCGTGTCCCTGTTCAAGACGATGCTTGGCCAACAGGCACTTAATAGTCAAAGGAAGAACTCGGTGCCACTAGCCAGGTCAAAGAGGAGTCAATTCAGGCCGGCAATTGAAGCTGAGTGGGCAACTTTATTGTTTGCCGTCATGTCTGACTCGTTAAGTCCGGCCAAGGTAGCACATAAATTGACGATTCCTCTTGGTAATAATAGCACACCCAACCCGCCACCACCGCCACATTGCTCTACTACAATGACAAAAATACCATATTCCATCACCCGAGCCAATTCAACCAACCTGAATCCCAACCCGGACCCTAATTGTTGACCCTACGGATCTTTATAACACGTAGGGTTGGGGTTTAGGCTGGACAGATAGGTTCCGGTCATGGAATATAGTGATCCTCTCGGGCTAACCAAGGTGAGCTTAGAGGCCGTACAGATACCAAAAGGGGCCTGTCAATTTGCCCGCTACCTGAGCCATTGAACGACTCACGTTTGTTGTGAGATAAAACACAGGGACCACGCATGGCTCATGGGGTTTCGAATTCCTCGATTGCAAATGCCAAGCGCGTTGAAACAAAATGTGGATCTTGATGAACATGGCAAACACGGCGAACATGGCGAATGAAAACAGCATCTACATCCGGCACCATCCCGTTGTCCCGAGCGAGAAAATTTGAAACTTGGAGTCAACAGGAACGACCAGGTTGGTTGGAGACTTTTGTGTAACTAGTGATACGATACATGATGCAGCTAACGTCGACGGCCAAGACCTCCAAGAGCGGGGCAAGAATGCAGAACCTACACTAGGCTGGCCGGCTTACCTGGCGGCGCCCGGATCATGTGCTGACCACGAGCTCGGCCTAATTAATGGAGCTCATCCAGCTTCAAAACTAGAGGTACTTATCGTGCTTGCTACGCGCCAAGTCCTGTAACGGAACGTCTGTGCAAATGAAACCGCAAATATCCCCGGAAAAGTACATCACGGAGCCGTATGGCAACCGCGCGCCCTTCGCGGAGCCGTCCTGGTACAATCCCCTGGCCTCGCCGTACTACAAGGCAAGCCACCGTCGAGTGCGTGATCACGTTCGCAAGTACATCGAGGAGCACATCTCCCCAAATATCCTGGACTGGGAAGAGAAGGGGCAGGTGCCCGACGAAGCGAGGCTCCATTATGCGAAAGCAGGGTTGATATATCCCGACTTGCCCAAGGAATACCGTCAAGGCGTTCCGTTGCCGGGGGATGTCCCGGCTGAGGGTGACGTCTTTCCACGCCAGCATATGGACTTTTTTATTCCTGACACGAACAGAATGGGATGTTTTCCACTCTCTCGTCGTGAGCTACGAATTGAGTAAGATATGGGCGGCCGGCGTCTCGGCCGGCATGTCCGGCGGGTCCACCATCGGGGTTCCTCCTGTCATCCACCACGGCACGGATGAGCAGAAGAAACGCTGGCTTACCGGCCTTTTTACTGGCCAGACGAGCTTTTGTCTGGGCTGCACAGAACCTACCGGTTGGTTGAGCGAAGCTCGCAGGAAATTTCCGCACAAAGAAAAGTACTGAGACTGTGCAGGTGGCTCAGACCTAGCGAACCTAAGAACTACGGCAATCAAGAGTGAAGACGGCAGTCATTATGTGGTGACTGGACACAAAGTAGGCCAAACAGCCAGTATGTGTAAGGCCGGGCTTGATATCTGATGGAGAACAGAAATGGATCACAGGCGCATTGCGAGCTACTCACATGACGACCGCTGTGCGAACCGGTGGCTCGGGGGCCGGCGGCATCTCCGTCCTTGTTATTCCCCTCGACCTTCCGGGAGTGTCCCGACGCAGGATCACGAACAGTGGCTGGAATGCTGGAGATAGCACGTGGGTGGCGCTGGATGATGTCAAAGTACCGGCGGACCACCTCATCGGGCAAGAGAACTCTGGGTTTCGTTACATCATGACAAGTAAGTCCCCGTGTCTCCCCCGCGCGGTTATCCGGGGAAATTCACTTACACTGTCGGAGACTTTAACCGGGAGCGCTTCATTCTCGCAGTCCTCATGAACGGACAAGGCCGGATCTGTCTCGAAGACGCGTGGGCCTACGCCATGGACCGTCACACCTTCGGCGAACCTCTGATGGCTCATCAGATCATCCGTCACAAGCTCGTGTCGATGGCGCGCTACGTCGAGTCGCACTGGGCCTGGCTCCAGCAGATCGCGTACCACGCTCAGGTGACGGGGTCGATGGGGACGGAGCTGGCTTCGAGGATCGCCTTGGCCAAGGTCCACGGAGGCCGTCTCCTCGAGCTTGCGAACAGGGAAGCCCAGCAGATATTCGGTGGCGCGGGATACCAACGAGGCGAGGTTGGAATGAGAGTTGAGCAGATCAACAGGGACTTGCGGGTGAACATTGTCGGAGGCGGGAGCGAGGAAATCATCTCGGACCTGGCTGTGCGGCAGGAAATAAGCGCAGCTGTGAGATGATGCGAGGGTCAAGTTTATTTCTATTAGGACTCGTTACTTTCAGGTTTCTAGTTCGTCAACGAACACGGGTTGAGCCTGCTTGTGACAGGGTAGAGGCGGCTAGTCATGTTTGGCACAGGGTCAGAAGACGATCCTCATTGCCGCACCGACGATCTTGCGAAAGACAATTCGCAGTTTCTAATTTGCATCGCTCGACAAGAAGTCTTCAAAAGCACGGAACAGATGTGGCTCTATGCGATTAAGGCTGCATCTCATCTCTCACAGAAACAAAAAAGAAAAATCTCAACTGATGAGATGGAATTTAACCATTGAACCTCCCCGAGGTGGGCTCGAACCACCAACCTCCAGATTAACAGTCTGACGCGCTAGCCAATTGTGCCATCGGGGATGTTGAGATGCCATGCGTCTGGTGGATTGACGGCCTGCGGTATTTTTGGCAATATGGAGCGCACCCTGTGGATCGTTGTTCGTGTGTGGAGAAGGATGGTTGAGGAACCCTGTTGACAGGGTTCATGAATCCCGGAGGACCTGCTTAAGTCGAAGGACTCGGCTTTACTTTACAAGACGAGGTAAAAAGAACTTCTATTGAAGCTGGTTAGAGAAATAGTATCAACTAATATGGTGATAGCTGATGTGTAAAGCGACTGGCGTTGTAGGTTTTCGATTCTGCCCTTTACTTAAAGAATAATTCTTAGTGAAAGAGTACTTGAAAGTCTGAAAACATGTACTTAATACCCTCGTATCATATTATCCTGGTCAGCTGGCTGTACAGCTTGTCGTCGCATACGGTTCGTCTTGCTTGTTGAGGGAAGTTCGCAGATGAAGGTCCCCCCGGCATGACTTCGGTGTGGATCGGTGAAGCCCGGGTGGGTGGGGCAGGTACGTACCGCCCCACGTGAGAGCGCATCAATGTTCGACCCTGGCGATTGGCTGGTCGCGTCTCATTTTCATTCTCACTTTGCTTTCAGCATCGTCCGCTGTCAGCCCCCCAACAATCCAATCTTTAACAAATAAATAACCCCAAGAGGAAGTCTGCTCGTCATCGATAAACAGCATTCTCTACAATGTCAGACTCATCCGACGAGTCGGGCCCCGAGGGAGCTGGCCTCGTGCAAAATGATGCCTCCGACTCTGAATCGTCCGGCAGCGACTCCGGAGCCGAGAACGGCAACGGCACTGGCTTCCTCGACGTCGAAGCGTCTGAGTCACTTGGCGGCGACTCGGACGACTCATCAGATTCGGATTCAGAAGACGAGTCAATCCTGGGCGAAGGCCGACGTCGTGCGCCCCGCGTCTTCTTTCCGGAATTCCGCAGGCTTCCCATCGAGCTGCGCCATCGCATCTGGCAGTTCTTCTGTCCGGACCTCGCTCTCTTCCCACGCGTTCTTTCTTTCCAGGTTGTCTGCTCTCCGAAGCAAGATAGTATTTGGGAAAGCGCGACCCTGGAGAACCAGATTGCCGCGGCGAGCGCGATGCTCGCCGTCCACCACGAGAGCCGCGAACTCGCCCTCAAGGCCTTCCCGGACACACTGGCCATCCGCGAGGGACGCCGCCTGGTGCGCTTCCACAAACACCGGGACGTTGTGCACCTCAACAACCATAAAAAGAACTGGAGGCACAACATGAATGTCCCAGGATTTTCGGAAAATGTCGTGAACCTGGCCATGGACACCGACCTGAACCCATGGGAAATGCGGCTACTCCTTGCGTTTCCTAACCTCAAGAACGTCTTCGACTTCACCTGGCACAATGACCGTCGCATACCGCACAGGATGGGCTGGTGCGCCTCTGACAGGATACACCGCTACGAGATCGAGCAGCTCCGGAAGAACGTCCACACTGGCGAAGACCTGCACTTTGTCTACTGCTGGCCGGACGTCGATAATCACCGTGACTTTGCGCAGGAGAAGGTCGGGATGACGGAACGGTTTGAGGCCGCCATGACAGAGGTAGAGGAGATCAGGGAGGAGCGCTCGGATTTTATGGAGGACGAGGAAGTCGCGCGTCTGGGCGAGATCGACTATTGGCAGATGATGTGCTTCGGCTGGGATGCCGCGGATCGATTCGAAGCCTTTGTGGCAAAGCATGGGGCCGCCGACGGAGACATGCCCGCAGCCGATGATTCGGGCGATGATGAGCATAGCGGTACGGAAGAATCCGACGGCTCGTCTGATCAGAACGAGTACGAGAGTGAAGGTATCGATGACGCCACAATCGACGGGGAGTCTAGCGACGAAGACGAAGACGACTTGGTGATCGATACGCGGCAGGCAAGCGACGACGAGGACGACGAGGGCGGAGCATCGGATTTTGGCGGATTTTCCCCGCCGAGAGACGAGGACGGCGGCATGATGGTGGACGGCTCGGGGGCCGCGGCCCACTTCTCCGGTCCCGAGCCGGAGTCTGGCGACGATCGACCTCGGCCGGGTGGCAGGCGCGCGCGGCAGGCCGTGTCCTCGGACGAGGAAGACGACGACGACGACGACGAAGAAGAACCAGGTGAAGGCAAGGTAGAGGCGCCCTCGCGTGGCGCAAGCCGGCGCAGCGCCGTGATCCTTTCCGACGAGGAGGAGGAGGAGCAGGAAGACGATGACGGGGCACCGTCACGGAGCACCGGCCGCCGCGGCCCCGTCGTGCTCTCCGACGACGAGGGCGACGAAGATGAGGCGGCGAAACCTGCGCGGCCTTCGGGAAGACGGGCCCGAGTGCTGCCCTCCGACGACGAGGACGAGGATGAGGACGAAGGCGGCGTCGACGTCCACGCGAAGGGCGGCTCAGACGACGGAGGCGAGCGGGCGGGCGCGGGGGACAAACCCCTCTCCCTCGCCGAAAAGCTCGCCCGCAACCGCCGCGACAACCCGGTGTCGGACGAAGAGGAGGACGAGGAGGACGAGCCGGCGCCGCCCGAGAAGATGTCTCTCGCCCAGCGGCTCATGACGCACCGCAAGCGGAACCCCATCGAGTCCGAGTCCGAGACGGACGGGGGATCCGAGGGCAGCGTTGTCGACAGCGAAGATGACATGGACGATGAGGATGAGAGTGAGGAAGAAGAGGACGGTGAGAATGGAATGTTCATGAATATGGCGGACGATGGCGAGTCCGACGACGAGGGAGATGAAGAAGAATACTAGGTTTGGTGGACTGAACCATTTTAGGGGGTTTCTTCTCTTTTTATTTTTCGATAGACTCGGACTACGGCCCCGGGCACTCGAACTCGGGCTAGAAACTTCAAGGCGTGGAAAACCGGTCGGCACAACTGGGCACGGCGGGGAAAGGCGTACGGATTAGCCGTCGAAATTGGCTAGCGAATAATATCAGGATCCAGCCGGGGCATCTACTCGGTCCGGGGTTAGAAAGCAAACCTCCTCCTTCGTCGCTTTATCCTTTTGCTCCTGTCAGTCTTCGTATGATGCCGGTGCAATGAAGGGGCAAAATGGGAGAGCGGCACGTGGGTATATCGGCCGAGCTCCTGTATCCAGGCGGCGTGCCGTAAATGCATGGCTGTTGGCTACTGAGCTTGAACCATGTATGAAACGCATCCATGACTTTTAGCCCGTAATGGCGGGTGAAGGGAACGACGCATGGAAGGTCTGGCAGAGGCGAGGCCAGGATTTGTCTTGGGTTGGCAGCAAGGCTTCTCTTTATATGACGTGTTGCCATCAAATCACGATTCGAAATTGCACGGATTGTCCATCGAATATATGTTTTGTGTTAACCATGTCGTACCATCAGTCGGTCGTGAACCGCTTATACGAAAAACCGCTTACACTTTCAGATGGTCCAAGAGTATGCAAGCAAGCAACTGTGAAATCGTGGCACGGTGTTCATATCGACATAGGATGATGGGACGATATGAAGTTTAGTAAGGATGAACACATCAATATCCAAGAGACGAATATATTCCCCGCCCATCCATTATAGCCACACTGCGATGGAACAGGGCTGGAGGTGGGTAGGAGGGGCAGGCACGATCGGGAAGACGGCTCGGCAACAACAGCTTCCTGTAAGCAGTAAGCAAATGTGGGTCCGCTATGTGCCCCTCTCTTACGTAAGCTGGGATACCTGGACAGCTAGGATAAGGAACCTCTCGAATTTCATTACAGCGACAGCCGGTACAGATAATCAACCTTGGGGGGTATAGTGAAGAGTTTCCCCAACCCGCCCTCGCTGACATCGGGTATAAAATTAGGATGACTATAGATACAATAAGCAGCCGTATTGATGTGTAGAAAAAAGAAACCTGTGCGAGGCAGTTGCACTTGAATATGCATGGTTGTATGCCACCAACAGGACTTCCCCCGCGGCCGCTGCTTATCGGAGGGGGGCGGGGTTAACAGGCAGTAAGCGTTAACGGATCCGGCGATTTCTTGACGGCTTACGTAGCTTTCGAGACAGGACCGACATCCCCCGCTATCTATCCGTACTCAGTAATACTATCTTGGATTCTGCACCTTTCTCCCCCAACCTCGCTTATGCGCATGATGGCGTGCTGCATATATCGACGAGATGGCGAAATCTGCAACGCTGCAAGACGACATCGCACCTGTTCAACCTTGCACAAGGCAAGACTCCGTCGGCCGGCGCGAACCAGACAAAATGGCAGCCGTCACCCTTTCCGAGACCTCGCCCTTGCTTCTTCCTGACCCGATCCCGTCACCACGCCCGGTCGCCGTCTCCGAGTCCGACATGGCGTCAAGGTTTGTCGAGGCCCTCTGGGGTCCCCCTTCGGTCCAGCGCTCGCTGCTTATCAAGCTCGACTTCACCGTTCTCATCTACTTCTCCGTCGTGTGGTTCCTTTTCGGCGTCAACCGCGCCAGCTACAACACGGCCTACATCAGCGGCATGAAGGAGGACCTGCACTTCCAAGGCAAGGTAAACACCCCTCCCCCAAGACGCATGTCAATGATGATTCACCATGCCATGCGGCCCTGACACCACACCGCCGCCTCTCTAGGACTTCAACTACATGCACACGATTTACCTCGTCACGTATGCCGTCTTCCAGATCCCCTCGACCTCGGTCTTGACCGTCTTCAAGCCCCGCTACGTCTTTGTCACCGCCAACACCGTTTGGAGCGTCCTCACCTTGGTCACTTTCCGAGCGACCCACGTTTACCAAGTCTTCATTCTCAACGCCTTCGAAGGTGCCTTCTCGGCCATCGCGTAGTAAGCCCAGTCCTACCCCACCCCTCTTCGATCGTGGAAGCCACAGGCTAACACCTGCTCCAACCCAGTGTGGGCGCGCACTTCATCTACGGCTCGTGGTACAAGCAATCCGAGCTCGCCACCCGCGCCGCAGTCTTTTGCGCATTTGGCAACCTCGGCAACATGGCCGGCGGCTGGATCCAGGCAGGCCTCCTGGCCTCTCTGTCGGACGGCCCCATCGCTCCATGGCGGCTCATCTTCATCGTCGTGTCATGTGTCACCATTCCGTTCGCTGTTTTTGGTAGGCACAGCAGCCCCTCCCGAGGTGATGAGAAGGCTGACTTCCTCAAAAAGGCTGGTTCGCGATCCCCGACCTGCCAGAGCACCGTACAGCCAGGTTCCTGACACCCCAAGAGAGAGAGCTCGCCGTCACCCGCCTCGGCCGAGCAAAGAAGACGGCGTGGGACCTGAGCGTGTTCCGGCGCGTTCTCCTCAGCTGGCAATTCTGGCTGCTTCCCACCGCCTTCATGCGTAAGTTTTTTTTACTTTTTCCTTCTGAACATTAGAGTTGATCAAATCGTAAGCCCATGCCGAACATTGCTGCTGACATAACGAGCACAGTTTACTCCCTCAGCGTCCAAGCCATCGGTAACAATGTCATACCTCTCTGGATGGCCTCTCGCGGTTACAGTCTCATCCAGCAGAACAACTACCCGACCGGAACCTACGCGGCGGGCATCGTCGCCACCTTCATCTACTGCGCCGTCTCCGACAGGCTCCGCTCCCGCTGGGAGGCGTCTCTGTGCATCGGCTTCACCTTTGTCGTCAGCAGCGCCATCCTGATCTCCAACCCGCCTGACGCCGGCTACTTCTTCGCCTTCTACCTCATGGGCACCACCTACGCGCCCCAGGCCCTCTGGTACTCGTGGATGGCCGACCTGACGGCCCACGACTTGCAGCTCCGCGCCATCACCACGGGCTTCATGAACTCGTTCGACTTTGCCTTTGTGGTGAGTGCGACCCCCCGAGCCCGGGTCTTTTTTGCAGGTGCTGACGAGAAAAACAGACGTGGTGGCCGCTCATCTTCTTTCCCGTGACGGACGCGCCCAACTACCGCAAGGGCTACATTGCCAGCTTGGTGACAGGCGCTTTAACCGTGCCAGTGATCTTGTTGATTGCCTTCCTCGAAAAGCGGGGACGCAGAAACGGGACCCTCGGCAGTGTTCACGACGGGGATTCGGAGGTGGTGCCAGAATAGTCTGGCAGTGCGGTCTGCAAGCAACACCTTGGAGCTCAAGTGCTGCTGGTATTTGCCATTTCTGTTTGTTTGAAAGCTGGTTGGAGCGCTTCATATTCACATTTAGGCGGCAAACATAGATATCTCAGGAAGACTGTAATCATTCATAGGGAAGGAGACTTATAGACAGGTATAGAAGGGGATGATCTTCAATAGAGAACTGGTAGATTTCCAAGACCCAAGTACGTCCGCCGTACCGCAGCCTTCACCGCCGCCTCCAACCCCCCCCCCCCCCCCCCCCCCCGGGGCTACCCAGACTCCAGCTCCGCCGCGGACGACGACGACTTAACATGAACGTTGCTCTTCGCTTCGTGCGTCTCCGCCGCAACGCCTTCTTTGTCCCAAGTCTGCTGGCCGTCCAACTCGACCACGTGGACCGGCCTGCGATCGATCTCGACGCCGGCTTCCTCCCTCGCGGCCACCACCGCCCGCCCGTCCAGCTCCGGCTTCTCGTACCCGTTTTCCCGGCCGGGCGCTCTGGCCTTCGCAGCGGCGCCGAGCGTCCCCTTTCGACGCCTCCAGAGAAACCACAGCAACCCGGCCAGACCCAGCAGGACGACGACCGCACCGCAGGAGATCCCGACCGCGGCGCCCGTTGAGATACCGCGGCCGTCGGCGGCGGCAGGCGGAGCGACGGCGGTCTCCGCGGGCAGCTTAGAGGACCCAGAAGGCCCAGAGGATCCGGGAGGCCCGATGCCAGTGGCAGCAGCCGACGCCGTGGGGTCGCCGGATGCCACGATCGTGAACGGGCCGCTTGTCGCCGTGTACGCGGGCAGAGCGGCCGCCGCCTCGCGGACGGCGACCACGACGTAGCTACCCGTCCCCCGGAAGTCGCGGGGCACCGTCCACATGCATGACACGACGGTCTGGTTGCACACGTCGGTGGGCACCCACCGCCAGTTGTCGCCCTCGACGGTGTAGGTGAAGTTTCCCGCTGTTGGGTCCGTTGCGAGCGCGCCCTCGTCAGCTCCGCGGCCGGTCGGGAGGGAAGTGGAGGGGAAGCAAAACGCGTTCCGCCGGGGGTGGAAGGGGGCAACTAACAGTAAATGACATCCCTGAACCCTTTCGCTCCCGCCGCTGCTTTCTCGTCGTACTGAGCGTCCTGGAGCCAGACGTTCCAGAGAGCGGCCGTGGTGCTGGTGTAGCTGCTCGCCTTCCCGGCGAACCAGCTCAGCAGGACGGGGGAGTCGAGGTAGTACGTGTCGTTCGTCGCGGGCCAGAAGGCCTTGCCGTCCACCCCATCGCAGTAGTCTCTCGTCGACAGGCGTCCGAACGGAGAGCCGACGAGCCACATGTCGCAAGGGCTCGGCAGCACGGCAACCGGGAAAGGCGTCGGGGGAAAAGAAAAGAAAACCGAACACGCTCAGCCTGAAGAACCCCCCATATCGATACGTCGAGAACATGACTTTTATTACACGCACGAGGCAGGCTGAGGGCGTGAGCTGCTAGCCTTCGTCCTCTCAGCCGCACGTTGGCTTGGATCTGGACCCTCGGCCATCTTCCAATGGCGCGTGCGCCACGTCTCTAAGCACACAACGGGTTTCTTTCTCCTCGAATAAGCATACCTGTGCGAACAGATCAATGGCTTGGACGTTTGCAGTTTCCTCGGCCGAATGGTTGTTGTTCTCTGGTAACGGCGGCGGTTTGCATGCTTGAGATAGAGCCAGTATTTTCGCGTCATCCCCCTTCCTGCAGTGCTGCGTAAGTCCCGTTCGTGAGCGGTCGGTCCGTGGGGGATCTGATACGATGTATTCCACTCCGAGACGGCACCATTCCCTGGGGCTGAACCATCCTCCGTTCCGGTTTGGTCGCACGATGCTTTTCGATTCTTGGCGGACTAAACAGTGGCTTTGCCTCGTCCGTTTGCATCCTTTTTTTTTTTTTTTTTTTTTTTGCTTTCCCCGAACCCTCACAAAGCAAGTCTAATCGAGCATGGCAACGGCTTCAGAATACGGAAAATGTGGTCATTCCATTTGCACTTAGAGAAGACTACGGATGCCAGCATTGTTTGCAACTTTGGTATCACAAGGGTTTCGTACAATACGCTATCAGTACTGTTCCGTGTGCATAATCTCAGAAAGATATTGAGAGCTTTCTGATATATAACATGCTCCAGCAACACAAGATGCCTCGTCTGACTAGCCTTGAATAACTCCACTCATTAGAGGAGAGTCCTGATCAGGGCATCTTCAAAAGCGGTGTTAGGGTAGGCGAAGGCTTCCAGGGCTTATGAGTTATCATGCACGGGTGTGAGTCGAGTAAGAAAGACTCTGGAATATTACAAGGGGAGTTTAATATAACAATTAAAATGATTCTAAAACTGTGTATGTCGTCCTCTTGATTAGAGCGGTATCTCTATCCTTACATCTTCCCTGATCCTAACCACACTGCTTATTAATCTATAACAGAGCGGCAACCCCGTACCCGCCAATCAAAGCTACGTCTGGCCACCCCTTTTGGTAAATTCATGGATAGTACGGATACGGATAGTTGTCAATAACTAATGCCAAAACGCGCTTTTTGTTCAAAAATATCATTACTGACGGACGCCTGAAATGCCTGTAGAGGATGACCCCGTCGACAGGCATCGCGTAGGATCTGGGGGTCGGTAAACTCAGGCAGGTGATTTACTCATGCCCGCATTCCCTCAGCCAGTCGGAGTGCTAGAAAATCCAACACAGCATATATCTAGAGTCGCAGATCTGCCTTTCTCTCTCCTAGCCGAAGTTGAAGTCTAGCTAAACTCAGCAGGTCCTGCGGAGAAGACAAAAAAGCAACTTGCCCACCTTGGCTATGACGTGAAACGGAGACGGTAACACTTGGCAAAAGTCCGCAAGCTGCAGTCCGATAGCATTGCCATTACTGGTATGGACTTATCGGCAACGTCTGCCAAGAGCGTGATGCCCAGCTCTGTCCAACACCGCTCAACGGCAGTTGAAGTTAAGCCTAGCTTTTTCTTTGCTTTTTCTTTTGCCACGTGAAACCCTTCGCCGTGTGGCCGTGAAGGAGAATTATCCACGTGTCGTGGGAAACACCTGCAGGACATGCTCTGCCCCGTCCTGGGTAGAACACCCGGCGCCCGCAGTTGTCCGATGATGATTGTCCATGCAGAAACAGACCACTCGAACGGTATTGTTCAGTATACGACGGCTGCTCCGTAGGCTTATACACGAGTCTTTACGAAGACTTTGAGCAGTCTTACCACGGTCACTGAATTGCGCGCTGGGTGATACGATGATCCGTCGGAACTGCCGAGCGTTGGATCACTTTACGTGCAGAAACCGAGAGAGTGTAATATTCAAGAACTCTTACCACATAAACTTAGCCTTGCGTAATGATAGAAACATGGGATGAACCCCTGGGTTGCTTACCTAGTTGGCAGACTAGGTACGGAATAGGCGGATTCCCTTCCTCTAGGAACTTGTGGGCACGCTGACTGCTTCGCCCGCGCAAAGTCTTCCCGTCCGGGAAAGGCCTTACGGGGTCTCTGTACGGGTCGGCGTGATGCCGAGGCAGTATGAGCGCAGAGCTGCGCGCCGTTGTCTTGGCATACATGACTGAGTAGACCATGGCTTTACTCGCCGCAGTGAAATTAAGATTGGACTCCTGGTTAGGAAGGTGGGGCAAGTTCGAATGGGAAATAAGCTCCGTCCCCCACATCGACTGCGACGCTGCTTCAAAATCGATATCCGGTACTCCGTAGACCGTACGGATAGAGGAGACTACTTAGATGACGGCAATCCGTCGCCTGTGTCTTTCAAGATTCTATCATGACCAACTGCTATACACTTTCGCTTACTTTTAATTCGTTTTTAAATAAAAACCATCACCGTCAAGATGGCAGTCGAATCCGCCCGCTTCCCGCAGTTCGAGTACCAGACGGCCACGCTGAACGGGGTCACGTACAACTACATACACGCAGAGCCGGCGGGCAAGGTTGTCGGCACCATCTTTCTCATCCACGGATGGCCCGACCTGTCCGTGGGATGGCAGAAGCAGATCCCCTATCTGCTCTCCAAGGGCCTCCGGGTCATCGCCCCGGACATGATGGGCTACGGCGGCACTGACGCGCCCGAAGATGTTGGTCTCTAGTGAGTAACTTGCCGTGCCGATCCTTTGATTAGCGGTTATAAGCTTTTTGTTTCCCTTGGGACGATGTGGCTGACCTGTCCGACTCAGCACCTTCAAGCGAGCCTCGGATGACATTGCCGCCCTCGCCAGCCACCTCGGTGTGTCGCGCATCATCCTGGGCGGACACGACTGGGGCGGTGCCGTCGTCTACCGCGCCGCCCTCTGGCACCCGGAGCTGGTCGCCGCCTTCTTCGTCGTCAGCACGCCGTTCGCGCCCCCGCGCATCACGTTCGTCGACCAGGCCCTGGCGCTGCCCACGCTGCACTACCAGCTGCAGTTCCGCACCGACGACATCCAGGACTACATCGGCCCCGTCAACGCGCAGAACGCCACGCGCGTGCGCCAGATCCTCAACACCCTCTACGGCTCGGTGCTCCCCAACGGCGAGTCTGCCTTCAACTCGAGCGGCGACGGCCTCGCCCTCGACCAGCTCGACGGCGTCACCAAGGACACGCCGCTGATGACCACCGAGGAGGTCGACTTCTACGTCGACACCTACTCCGCCAAGCCCTTCAACCGCACGCTGAACTGGTACCGCACCAGCGAGCTGAACTTCCAGGACGAGCTGGCGCTGCTGCCGGCCGACGGCACCTACGCCTCAAAGTATACGCAGCCCGCGCTGTACATCGGCGGGTCGCGGGACACGGCGCTGCCGCCGATCCTGTCGACGGGCATGGACGTGTATTTTGACAGCCTGGCCCGGGGCGTGGTCGACGGCACGCACTGGGCCATGCGGGAGAAGCCCCAGGACGTGAACGACCTCATCGGCGGCTGGTTGGCCGGCTCCGTGCTGGGGAACCTGACCGTCGGTCTCAACCTGACGGCGGGGATCGGCGCTCTGAGTCTGCCGTGAACATGCATGGCCGAAACTGGCCTTTGGTCCAGAACGTCATCTCCCTCCCCTTACTGGTGCAGGGAGAACCATGGTTCGGCCTCACGGCTGACACCCCATCCCCCACCCCTTCAGTCCGACTCCACTCTGTGTGTCTCCTACGAGATGCCTCTCAACAGAGTGTAACGCCGACATGGATTATGAACCCCTGCCCCCCGACCTCTTCAGCCTCGGGGTTTATGATATTTCCCTGATTCTTACCAGGCTTTCCTGGCATACCATAATTGCCTGCGCCCTTCACCACCATTGCGAAATGAGGACAGAGCCTATCTCAGTGTGGGGCAGTAAAAATGTGGTTTTACTTTACGCATTTATGCGTGACCCCCCCCCCCAGACGATGTATATGACAATCATGAGAGCAATAAAAGCTGCTTCGTACACTAAAATAAACTTTACCCACATGAGCGCGCGCCTTGAGTGACAAAAGATGCATGAGAGAGGCAGAGCAAGACCTTGAAGTATCTGGCTATTACTTGTGAAGTTGTTCGCCGCATGCTGGTGACCAAGGCGGGCACGGTACGTGGGGGGAGGGTCGTAATACTGCAGGGTGTTAAGCATTCATAAGTATGCCAAAGATTGGTGTTGCCTTACCCAAGAGAGATATACTCGCCTCTATGTGTATTTGAAAACCTGCTTAAATCCAGGCCCGCAAACTTGAGTTCCCTGGTCGACGACGTGTGCGGGATGGACGGGGGCCAGCCATGCGAACGCATCGGGGCACTCTCGCGTTCTGAGATTTGGGTCGACTGCAAAGTAACTCATCAACGCAATGGTTTTGGCCTGATTGTTAAGCATGATCGCGTTTTGATCCTCTCGCCTTTAGGTTGAACCTGGCACAACGATGGAATCGAAGGCAAGGTCGCCAACTATGTCAGACAAAAGAAAAAGGATATTTCGCTGTGGTTCAGAGTCTTGCCGGCGCGGAAGATGAAAAAGTAAAAGAAATATTCTCAGGAGCATGCAAAGATGCATCTATTCTTTAACTTTTCAATCTAGACGCACGCAAGAGGGTCATTTGTCTGAATCTTGCCATGCTGGAATCCCGAAGAGTGTGGTTGTATATGTTGTTCCAGCTGGCTGGTTGAACAACGTCGTGGGAGGCTGGCAACAGGAGCGGATGTAGAGTCTCAGCAGGCTGGCCAGGGAACTAACACATGTTTCAAAGTCACATCAACCTTTTCTTGGGCTATCCAAAGTCCCCAGACATGATGGGGGCCGCCGTCTGGATCACCAGCAGCTTGTAGTTGAAACGGAATCATAACTCGTTATTCATCAAAGGTATCCATCCAGCCTTAACATCATGAAGCAATGGTATCAGCCAAGTGGAAAAAGAAAACGCCATAGAACCGTCTCCAAACCATCCCCCCTTTCGCCTCGTGTCTCTCCGCGGCCCATCACCAAGCCCGCCCACTGAACAACCTACCCCCCCCCCCCCCCCCTCAACCATGCTTCCCAGTAACAGCCCCGACTGCGAGAGTCTCGATCCTCCCCGAGTACAGTCTCATGACGTGGCACACGGGGTCCCCCCACACGACCCGCCGCAGCTCCTCGTCCGTGACCGTCTGCGCAACGACCCCCTCGTCCAGCCGCTCAGCCACCGTCTTCCGGTCCTTGACCCTCGCCTTGGGGTCGCCGCTGCGGAGCACCACGATCCGGCCGGGCGAGCTGAGCGTGCTCGGCGGGAGGTTCCACACCGGCCTCCTCCTTCTCCTGCTGCCGTCGCTGCCCCCGTCCCTGTCCGAAGAGTCCCGGCACCCCTTGGCCGCCTGCGTCAGCGACATCTTGCTCGCCTTGGCCGCCAGCCGGCTCCCCGCGTCCGTCTTCTTCTTCTTCTCCTGGCCCCCGCCGACGACCAACGCCGAGATGGCCGGCTTGCTCTCCCTCGGCGGCGGCGCCGCGAACAGCTCCAGCAGGCTCTTCACGTAGGCCTTGTCGGCGCGCGGCACCGGGTCCCCCTCATTGACGAAGGTGAGGAACAGGCTCTTGCGCAGCTCGGGCCGGTCCGGCCGCTGCAGCGGCAGACGGCGTACTGTATACTCCGGCACGAAATATTCGGGACGCAACCTCGTGACACCGTCGAAGTATCGCCTTTTTAATCTGTTTAACGAGAATGTTCCCGGACCTACATGTCGGCGGGAGAAGTGGGTTTCCTGTTGATGTGTCAATGGTCTTTGCCCAAACGATCTCCGTAATCATAGGTTCGTTTAATCCATCTAACCGAGGTTGTAACTAGGTCCTGCATCTACTAGCGGTAGGGCGGGGGAACCCCTGCGACGCAGTCACAATTGACCGTTGTCACGTTTGTAAACTTGTCTAAGGCTTTTTGGAGTGCTCTGGATTTGCGTAGAGCCGAACTGTTATCGGTCACCTAAGCTCGCCAGGGTTTGCTGGGTAAGCATTATTGCGTTACTGTGCGCAAAGGGCGGATTTGTTGCAAATACGTCAATGATGGCCGTCTTGCGCGCGACGTCGAGGAAGCCGGCGTGGCACGAGTTGCCCGGGTCGTCGAGGAAGCCGGCCGGCGGGACGGGCTCCGCCTTGAGGTTGACGGCCCAGTCCTGGACGCTGGCCGAGCCGCGGATGGCGAAGACGATGGTGCCGACGTGGTCCATGGGCACCGACTTGATCACCATGGCCTTGGTGCCCGTCCTCCAGTCGGCCGAGACGTGGGCGTCGCGCTCGGCGCCCTTGGGATTGTCGTACACGCGCTCGGCGTACTGCGCCGCCATGCAGAGGATGGGCCAGGTGGGCATGTATCTGACGTGGGTGTCAGCGATTTTCCCTCTCTCAATTCACTTCTATCGTGAGGGGGGGGGGGGTTGCTTCTTACAGTCTCAGCGGCGGAAGGTTCATGGGCAACCTCGAGTTGGCGTATAACTCGACCTTTGCGAAGTAGTTTCCAGAAACCACGGACGGGGTGACAGCGGCCGACTGCCCCTTGGACGACGACGAGGAGGAGGAGGAGGAGGACCCCTTCCTCTTGGTCGTCTTCCTCGCGCCGCCGTCCTGCGGGTACGAGAACAGGGCCTTCTCGTTGCCCACCAGCCTGTCGCAGTCGATGAGGGTCATGACGTCGTTGAAGCGGCCGGCGATCTGGTCCATGCACACGGCGGTGGAACTGATGAGCTGCGCGGCGTGCGGGTGGAAGTTGGGCTCCTCGAGGAAGTGCGGCGAGGCGAAGTCCTTTGCGATGGTCACGACCGAGCCGGCGAACTTGTCGAGGCCCAAGGGGCAAGGGTTAGCCCCGGCGCCGCCGGCGTGGGACGCTGTCGCCGTCGCCGTGGTCGTCGGCGGTGCGGCCAGGGCGAGGTGGGAGGAGGGCGGCGGCGGCGGGTGGAGGTAGTAGTGCTGGTTCACGACGATGGGCTGGGCGTACGGGTCCCGTTGGGGGTGTTGAGACCACCCCTGGGGGCGGTGTTGTTGCTGTTCCTGTTGTTGGACCTGGTGTCGATGTTGCAGCTCCTGTTGTTGCGGGTGGTGGTATGGAGGCGGGGGATGGTGATACTGTGTCCGAGGCTGCCAGTACCCCGGTGTCTGCGTCGTCGACGTGGCATACCGTGGAGGAGGAGGAGGAGGAGGAGGCGGCGGCGGCGATGATGCGTGATGGTGACCCGGGGCGTTTACCGGCGCGGGCTTGACCGGCACCGGCGAGGGGGCGGTCTTGTTGACCTTCTTGCGATCGAAGAAGCCCATCGCGACGGAGGCATTCAAACTTCTTCACGGATCGTGGCGTGCATGCGTCGTTTACACTGCCGGATCTAGGTAGGTCGAGTTCTTGTTTACGGTTGGCGAACCCCTGGTCTCGAGGTCCCTTCCCCCGAGGTCTTGGCGTGAGGGTGGGTTTATACAAGGAGCTGAGTCGGCGGCGGAGCGGTCCGCACGCAGGACAGTTGGCGGAGGGAAGGCAAGAAGAGGTCTCACGGCCGGTCGGGGAGGGGGGTTTGAAGAAATTGCGGTTTCGGCTTACGAGGAAACGCCAATGCGGACCACGAGCGAAGTCACGAGAGAGCGACACGAGCGGGTGGCCGTTCTGTGTACTACGTACGTAGCCGCGGCGTTCGGTGACTCGTGGGAAAGGCTTGCTGGGCTTTCCAACCACCTCAAGACCGTCTTTCCAGACGTCGTGTCTCGGTCAGAAGAGGGGAGAGGGTGACCTCGACAAAAGGTAAACCTTGGGCGCCACCGATCGGATGCGGCGTCCGTGATGCCTCTCGCTCCGCCCACTGTACGGGAATAAGCAAGGTTGGCGATGTTGGGCGATCGGAGCCCGGGGGGTTTGCGTGCGTGTGCGTGAGTAACAAAGCGGCGCGGATCCAGGCGATCTCGATGTCGTACGATTTTGGAAACACTGCGCCCACCTCCAGTGTTTTTCTCTCTCTTTGTCTATTACCTGTCTGACCGGTTGCGTTTGAGATAGGCGCAGAGGGAAGAATCGACGCCTGTGCGGAGGGGGCCCGTCCGGTGTCGATCTACCGCGGTTGTGAGGCTTAGACGGAGGATCGGAAGGGATGTCCCCCGGAGACGGCGTTGACCTTTGATCGGACGGGGGGGGGGGGGGGGATATGCAAAGGCGCGGGAGCTGACAGCCTCCTTGGGGAGTCGACCGGGACTTGCTCGTCAGCCGAAGAGAGGGAACTGGGAAAGACGGAAACCCCCAAAGAATAGAACAGAAATGAATAATCAATCTAGAGGAAACTGGGCCGACTCTTCTTCTATTGCCGTGCCACCATGTGACAAGGGGGGGATGGCCGTCATGTGTCTCTCTGGTTTGTTTCCGTATGCCCTCTCTCCCCCTCCATCAACTCCCGCTCGCGCCCTCACTATCGGACCAGGCCCCCCTTTCTCAGAGAATTTGATAGGTCGATGATCCCAGGCGAAAGGGGTCACAATGAGTGCGCTAAGGAACCCGCCCCTCCCATCTTGCAGCTCACCTCGAAGCCAAGACTCTCGTCTCTCCCCATGTGTTTGTGTGTTTGCATGTTTCTCTCTTTCGCGCATATGAGGGCCAAGTACTTGTCCATACGTTCCCAAGTGGAACGGTACACCCGAGACTAGGTAGGTAGGTAGGTAGGTAGGTATTACTGAGAGAGGATGGGATGGGTAGACGGAGAGGATGGATGGATGGCGTCTGCCCGTCTAGCAGAAACCCCCATGTCTACGCCCTCCGATTCGTCACCCGCCGACCAGTCCGCCGTCCTCGGGTCCCCCCTTTTGCGCCGGCGGCGGCGCCAGTCCCGTCCCGACCAGCCAGGCCACACCCACCCGGTTGCATGACCCGAACTGGCGCTGCGTCTCAATCATAGGGCCATTCGCCAGAGACTCGCAAGAGTCGCCTATTGCGAGGGCGAGGGCCAGGCAAGGGAGCTGAGGTATAAGGGATAGGCGCTGCATATGCCCCCCGGAGACGAATCAGCGTGCCTGGTCGTCTTTTCTCTTGCCATCCTCATGCATACAGAGCCTGTCTGCAGCGGTACGTTAACACGGACAGTGGTAACGAACGAGAGGAAAAGAAGAAGAAAAAAAAAGATGGAAAAAAGCCGTCCCTCGACCAATGCTCGACGTGCGTGAATCAGTTCATATGCGCGTAGCCGCCGAGAAACGACGCTACCGCACGAGCGAGCCCTCCCCCCCCTCTCTCTCCCTCTGTCATATCATCCTCCTACTCATGCTTGCGTTTTCTCCCCTCCTTGTCCGCATCCTGCGACGTCTGTTTGGTTCATCCCCCGCGTGTTTGGAGATGGAAATCGTCATGCACCCTTTCGTGTTTCCACTCTCGTTGCGATGAGGAGGCCTATTTCCAAGGCCCCTCGGCATCTCGGAAGAAATAGAAAAAAAGACGACGTGAACCAAAGGAGCGGGAGAAAACGTATTTTTGACGTTGACTGACCCGGATGGTTAGTTGTGCATGAAACACATACACAAACACACACATATGGGGGAGTATACGCCCCCCCCCCACGACGCCATGCGTTTTTCCTTTCTGCACGTCGACCGCCGCCGGGTCTCTCTCCCTCCTCCATCGCCATCACCACCTGTATCACCGTTGGGATGCGGCAGCGACGGCGTCGTGGAGGAGCGGGGGAAGCTTCAGCATCCGGGAACGCACAGTGACATGCAGAAAGTCTGAAGTCATGTGGATAGGGGCCAGTTAAGTGGTTGACTTCAGACTTTCTGCATGTCACTGTACACATTCATTGAGGACACACCCGTCCACAGGAACCAACCAACCCCTCCAAGACTGCGGATTTTAACCGCCGACGCCATGTCCAGAATGACTCAACGGCTGTAACCCTTCCACCCCTCTCCCGTGCATGGCTTACGATAGAATAAGAATAAAAATAAAAATAAAAATCAAGGTTCGGTTCGCCAGACGCCACCACAGCGGCGGCCCTGAGGCGCGGAAAGCTTAGTTAGCATGCCCATCGGCATGCGCTGCTGCTGCAGACGCAGCGTCTATTTCCCACGTGCATGTCCGGTCGTGTCGTTGCTTTGGCTGGGCGTGGAGGGGGCCCTCGGACTTTTCTAGGTTCGTGTTGAACGTTGCGTATACCATGTCCATGTATGTCCACGAGGCCAGGTTTCCCGCCCAGACGGCGGCCTCCTTGCTCGCATCGCTTACACGACGAGATGGATTCGCCCCGTGAACACCTCCCCTACCCCTATGGCAAAAGAGACACCAGAAAGGACCCCCGAGTTATCCACACCACACGGCTTAGATGAACTCTGCAATAAAATAATACAAACTTACCTAAAAGAAAATACCAAACGTGTGTACCGACACCGTCGCAGCTGCCGGGACGGTTGGGCCCAAGTCAAAAAGATGAGATGAACTGCCGGACCAGCAGCGTAGCCTCTGGCAGCAACAAGCAAGGGGGGGGGGGTAGCAGACATGCAGCCGGCTCAGAAGCCTACAGCATCTTGGCCCAATGTGGTCGGCTACTCCGTAAGTCGCATCGGAATCAGAGGGCCGTCGAACATGACGTTCCCGCCGGGCTTAGGTTGCAGGGAAGGCTGGCTACCTTGGTTGAACAATCAGGTGGTCCTCACATCACGGGCATCAAGTCACGGTTTGCAAGTCAGAGGGCGCGAGAGACCGCTAGGTTAAACAAAGTCACAACTTTTTTCCATTTTTCGCGAGACAAAACAATCGATACCGACACACCCGTTCCGGGGCCGCGCCCGTGTATCCGCCGTCGACGTTGCCGTGGATTCCCCCCCTTCCCCTCCGGGACGGAGGACTCGCACAACGCCGGCGGACAGACCGCGTCGCTACCAGTACGGACAGGATGACCCAGCAAAGAAATCTTTTCTCCCAGCCCTTTTTCGAGATAAAAAAGTCGACGACCGAACAAAGCAAGAAACAGACAGACATTCCTTTTCCACATCCTTTCCCCGACCGACCGCCCGCGACCGCGGCAGTCAGGCCGGACTCTGCGGGTCCCGCGTGCTGCCGCTCCCGCTGGCACTGCCGCTGCGCACGCTGCTGCTGCCGGACCCGGCGCCATCGCTGCGCTGGCGCCGCCCCAAGGCAAACGTCACCGGCGTGCGCTGGGCCATGGGCTTCTGTGCGGGCGTGTTGTGCATCGACAGGTACTCGTCGTCGCCGTTGCTAGACTGTGTGAACCCCGAGATGTCACTAAGCATCGACGAAGAACGACCTCTAGCCTTGAGCGACACCGTGCTGTGGTGCGGCGGCGGGTAGCCCCAGACTGCCTGCGTCGAGTTCGTCGGCAGCGGCAGCGCCGATCCGGACCCCGTCATCATGGACGTCGGCCACATCGACGCCGCCGGCATCATATACTGCGACGTAAGGGCAGCAGCGGCGGGCGGCGGCGGCGGCGGCTGCGTCCACGCGGGGGCGGCCGGGTTGTACGCGGACATGGTCGTCTGGGGCGCGGGGGAGTGGTGGGGGTGGTGGTGGTGATGGTGTTGTTGCTCGGGAATGTCAAACGGCATCGTCGTGGCGGTGGCGTAGTTCATGTGCTCGTGGTATGCCTGGAGCTGCTGCAACAGCGCGTTGACCTGCTCCTGCTTGAGGGCGTTGGCCGCCTTGATGTCGGCGATGCTGCCGCGGAAGTTGTTCTCGATCGTCGCCGTCTCCGCTTGCCACACACCTCGCGCCTGGCGCCGTCGCTCGGCCTCGTCGAGACCGCGGTTGTTGGCGTCCGTGATCCGGCCGAGCTCGTTATCGACCTTGGCGATGCGCGCCGCGATCTTGTTCCGCTTGGTCTGCAGGCTGGCCTGCTCGTCCTCCTTGGCCTTTACGGCCTTGGCGATGCTGGTCTTGTGCTCCTTGAACTCCTTGGATGCGGCATCGAAGACGGCCTTCTCGGCGGACCACTCCTTCTCCGCCTGTTTCTTGCGCTCGTAGAATCCTTCCGGTGCTGTTTCAAACGCCTTGAGATCCGCTTCAAGCTGGGCAATCTCCTTCTCTGACTGGGCTTTGGTGTTCTCTTGCTGGATAATCTTCTGTCTGTGCTTGTCGTCGTTGCCGCCCGCCGACTGGATTACGTTGTCGAGTCTCTCATTCTCCTTCTTGAGCGAACTGATTTTGTTCTTCCACTCCTTGCGCAGCGTCTTGAGCCTCGACTTCTCCTCCGCCAGGCGCTCGTTGTTTGCGTTGATCGTGCTCTTGAGCGTCGTCGCGGGCGAGTCCGGGCGGAGGGACTGCGGCGTGCTCACGGGCGGGTTGGCGGAGCCCTCCTGGTCCTTGTTCTGGGCGAAGGAGGTGCGGATGCTGGTGGAAAAGATGACTCGGTTCGTGCGGGTGTCGACAAATTCGCAGACATACTTGGACAGCGGTCGCAGTCCGTAAATATCGCCGCACCACCGGTGGTGGCCGGGCTGCTCGTCCTGCTCGTCGTCTTGGATGCGGAAAATGCGTGTCGGCTGCCAAAAAGCATTGTTCACTCGGACATAAAAGGGCTTCGACGTGTCAACCCCGGCGGGCCGCGAGACGTGACCGTTCGGTGCGGCGCTCGGGCTGTCGGGGAAGTGACTGGTGTTGAAGCAAACCTCGTCGTGGCCGATGTAGGAAATCCATATCTGCTCGGCCTGGCTGTCGAATGGGGCGTTCCCCAGATTGTGAATGTCGGTGGCGTTGGAGCCGGCTGACTCGGACGTCGCGTGAGACAGCTCGTACTCCTTGACCATGACAATTTTTGTGCTCGCCAGGGCCGCCCACAGCGGCTGCTGCAGACGCACCTGTGTGCTTTGTTTTCTCTTCTTTTTTGTACTCGATACTGTCGCATTTTGTTGGAAAGTCGTGTCGCTATCTGGCGTAGCGAACCCGGTGTCGGCGGCCGCGTCGGTGGCGTACGACTTGCCTGCTTCCGGATCCGTTATGCTCTGTGTCGACGCGCTGCCCTTTTCTCTTCTTAGATACCACTCCCGGATGTATCGTACTATGCCCTGCGTCAAGATATGTATGGCGAGGACGCTTTTGATCCACCCGTGCGGCCCTCTCTTGTCGAAGCCGCGAGCGAAGGATTCTAACGGGTCGTCCGGGTCGGGCGAGAATCGCCAGTTGGCAGGGAGGAACTTGGCGGCCCGGGACCAGTGGAACCTGGAGCCGCGGAGTAGATGGGACCCTATGACGAGGAAGAAACATGTGGTGACGCTCCTCGAGGCTCCCTCCCTCGTGTTGGACCCGCCGCCGAGAGTGGCAGCGATGACGGGCTTGGCAAAATCGAGGATGGCAAGCTGCATGGTGGGCCACAGGAACAACCAGACCAGGAGGATGAAGACATCCATGCAGAGGACGGTGACGAGGGAGGGCATGGTGGAGTTGTAATCGAAGATCTCGGCCAGGTTGATGTTCATTCCAGAGCTGGTGGTGACGGGGGGCACGAAGGTCAGAAAGGTAAAGACCATGTAGATACCGGAGAGGGCGACGGGGGGGACCTGCATGAGCAGGATGAGGATGGCGAGGGTGTCGTAGAGGGGCAGGGCTCTGAGGACGGTGGCAGCGAATTCGACAGGGCCGCCGGGGTCGCGGTGGACGTCGGCGTTCTTGGTGGCATTGACGTCGATCTGGCGATGGCTGGCGTCGACGACGGCGTTGAGCAGGCCCGAGGAGAGCGAGTCGGACGACGAGGTCTCGGAGCAGCCACCTAGCGAGGGCCGCCTCGCAGCAGGAGCGACGGCGTCGGCGTTGCGGTGATCGGGAGGCATGGTATCGTGGGCGGCAGCGAGAGGCGGGTTCTTGAGCTTGCCGTTAGGGGAGCCGTTACCGTTGGGGAGGGACGAGGGGAGGGCCGAAGCAGCGGCATTCTGGTCGGAGGGGTTCCGGACAGAGGGAGCGGCGTCGAGGTTCGGCTGGCTCTTCTTGTTGGTGACTCGCTTCGTGGGGCCTACAAGACCATTTTCGTGCCTGGTATCGCGTTGGTTGGCGGCGCCTTGCTGTCGCTTCGACGAGTTTGAAGCGCGAGGCATGCGCTGCACCGATTTCTGCTGTCCTCCGACCCGGGAGCCTTGCAAGGCAGGTCGGGGGGCGCCAGCAGCACGACTTGAACTGGTCTGGATGCTGGAAAGGGGGGAGGGGGGGGGGGGGGGAGGCGAGTGATCGGGATCCCGTCTCGAAAGCGACCGGGACGATATACGGTAATGGGGAGGGTGAAAGGAGGAAACTATGCACTTGGCGTAAGGGGAAGCGCAAAGCGGCGAGTTTTCCGGGGGAAACCGTAGGGCCTCATGCGTCGTCGGGTGCGGCGGAAGGTCGAGGGGAGGATTTCCAGAGGCAGCGGCGGCGGCGGGTGTGGTGATGATGATGCTGGCGACGACGGCAGCGGTTGGTGGTGATAGTGGTGGTGGTGGTGGTAGAGTTGTTTTTTTTTCCCACGTCTGGGAACGGGGAGGTTTGGTTTGTGTGTGGTGGTAGAGTAAGTAGGTATGTAAGCTACCTAGGTTGGTAGGTAGGTAGGTATAGGTACTAACTACGGGGTACCTAAAGTAAACCTACGGTAAGTATCCGTACCTAGGGAATGATGTACGTAAGATGGATTTATTCGCGTCGGGAAATGCTCGGTAGGGTGGGTTGGAAAGGAGCGGAAAAAGAAAAAAAGATGGGGGGAAAAAGAAGATTGAGAATGAAGTGAGCAGCAAGCAGCAAGCAGGTGGTGTAGAAGAGAAATTCTGCGTATTGTTGCTGAATACGGATACAGTCAGTTAATTAAGGTGGTCTACGTGTGAAGATGTATCTGTATGAACAATACCGAGTAATACTGCGTAGCAGCCAGTAAGTAAGTGTACCTGTACTTACAGTAAGGTGACAGCTCCAGGCGGTAGAACTCCGTCCTAATAGTGGTGGTCTCCAGGAGGCTCATGTGTTGGTTGAGGGGCCTTGCTTTTTTCTCTTCTCTTTTTTTTTCTTTTTTCCATTCTTTTTCTCTTCTTTTTTTACCCTCCCCTCTTTTTCCTTTTTTTCCCCTCTCTCTCTCTCTCTCTCACACACACACACAACACCCCTTTTCAACTTAGGTAAACTACCTAGTTTCGGGACATTTGGGACAGACACCAAGTGGGAATGTGGTGGAGGGAGTACCTCGCCTCAAGTTTATTTTGAAAAAAGGCTGCGCAGGAAAAGCGGACGAGAGCAGGGATTACACGGGGTGCACAGCGGTAATGTCTCGCACTGTCCAGCCTGAGTCGGTACGTACTGTCGCACCGGGTTGGGGGGGGGGGGAGAGGCATTGGTGGGAGGTACGTACCCTTTCTCATTCTCGTCCTCTCCTGGTGAAGTGTGGAGCCAGTACATTGTACATTGTATACGGATAGTATGGGGTCCATCTGGAGTATCCTATACCGAAAACCATCTCTCATTGGCCATTCTCTCGTTTTTGATGGACCCATTTCTCGACACTACCCCCCTCGATGAGAATCAGAATCAGGATCAGGATCTCGCATGTCGACCCGGGCAGTACTTGGCCCTCGGCCCAACTGTGTGTGGTCCCAGGGGCAATTTCGCCAGACATGCGCGTACCTCGGGGTACCCCTGTGCTAGCCATTGCCAACCCACAATGTGATGCTGTACTTACTGCGTATGGAGTATCCGTACTCTGTGTAGGTAATAGCAGTACTGCTGCTGCAGCCTATTGAAGTGGCCGAGTAAGTTAAGATTGCAGGAGACCACCGGTGCTAAAGTAACGCATCGACGATGCTACTATGTCAACGTGTATATGCACCTTCACCACGGGTGTGTGCGGCCGCCGAGACAGGTATTCAGATGTCCGGACGGATATCCAAGCAGACACAGACACCAGTGGCTTCAATCCAAGAGGAACACTCGGTCGCCGTCGTCTCGGATCCTCGTGTCTTTGCCCCTGTTGACCGGTACCTCGACAATCCGACAACTGTCAGTCCTCGATGCACATCAATCGCTCTGCTTGCAACGCCTGCTCCACGTCCAGCTCGCTTGCATTGTTCGTTCAAGCCGGCCCTGGTTCTCAGCATGACGGTATAGCATTGCGTTTGCTTGGCATGGCGTGGAACGGCATGGACCCGGGAGAAACGGAACGGAGAACAGCAGGCACGGCAGGCAGTTGATCGTGCCTCCCCACCGTCGACCGTCGACCATCGACCGTCGGTCGTCGTGCCTTCCCCTTCACGATGCCTGCCCCCCCATGTAGTCGTCGTGCGAGGGGTCATCCTTCCCGCCCTGCATTCGCACTTGCACTTGCACTTGCACTTGCACTTGCACTTGCACTTGCACTTGCACTTGCACTTGCACTTGCACTTGCACTTGCCTCGCCGATATAGTGTACACACTCGCACCTGCCTTGCCTTGCCTCGCCTTGCCTTGCACCTTCTGTGCGTTGCTGTCTCGACCTCTGTTTGTCTGTCTGTTTGGAAGGAACTTCCTTCTTCTCACGGAACAACCCCGTCACTAGTGAGGATACCGCCTCCCAACTCTAAAAGTGCCTGCTGCTTTTCTTTTTCCTCCGGTTCAGTTCCTCTTACCCTACGGAGTACACTAGGTAGATATGTACTTACACACTCTACCTAAATCAATGACATCTTCTAGTTAATTCACTTCTGTCATCCGTCATCCCTCCTCCCACAGGACAGGACAGGACAGTGGGTGAAGCCTCGATTCCTGCTGTCAATCCTTCCCCACTGGCACATCGCCGCCCTCATCTTTCTTCTTTCGTCCCTAGTTCGGCTCCCCCGTCACCTCTTCGTCTCTTCTTCGTCTTGTTTACGGCTTCTGCGACTGGCCGTTGTCCGCTATCTGTCGCTATCATTGCTGTTCGCACGATACTTATCCCGACTCTAATATTGCCCAAGAGACGGGCACGCGACAGTCATATCGCCCCTCCCAGGACGACCCGTTTCCCTTCACAGTGGTCATCCCACATCTCGAAAGCAATCCAACTCTACTCTCACCAACCGCACCAACCGCTTCCTTGTCGTCGCCCCAGGACCAGGCTCTCCCCGCTCTCTTGCACCATACCGTCGCACGACCCCCGCGTACTCAAAATCTCTTATCGAAAAAAAAAAAAAAAAAAGAGTAAAAGGTGCCACGAGGACATTCCAAACACAACCATCGCCTGTTCGCCCCGGCCGAAGCTTGTTGTCGACCGCCAATCATCAATCGCCGTCCCCCGTTCCCCAGCCGTAAATTGACGATCATCAAGGCCACCTCCACTTTACGCACCGCTACATGGTAAACCGACTGACACGCAATCGCCCCTAAAGCCCACCTTCGGATTGCCCTTTCGAGTACCCTTTACTGAGGATCCTTCGTGCGCGCTGCAGCAATCACCCAGGTCCTACCTGTACTTTAAACGTAACGGTAAATATAGCATGCCCATACACTTACTGCCTGCTCCGTGCCTGTGCCCTCCGGCTCTCGGTACACAATCGTTCCACGATCGACATCGTGACGCCCATGGCCGGCGTTGCCGTCAAAACTCGCTCGCCAGTGACGCCCGAGGCATGGGGCACCAAGCAGATAGACGAAACCAGAAAATCAACCGAGAGCCATGACCGCCCCTTGAACCCCCTTCGCACAGTGGGGGGAAAAAAAAGCATGATGGACTGACTTGGGCGACGATGCCATGGGATGCACACTATTATCGGCCTGTTCCACGGCTCTACCATGCACAGGCACAACGCTAGCCCTGACGGAGCATAGCCAAACATCCATGGTCCAGCGTCCAATTCCAGGGCATGCCATGGCCTGGCGACCTGATGGCGGCGAGACGGGAGCATCCTTGGTGGAGCTTGGCTTTGCCCACGACTCGACCACTCGACAATTCGACGACGGCCGGGGCAGACGATGCACTAGAATGTAGCGATGCAGGCCCGTCTCATCTCGTCTGATGGTTGACAACGCACCACCACCACACACACACACACACACACACACACACACACATACACACACGGATACACCCAACGCATAACGCACACAACGCACGCACATACCTACACAACCCTTACTTAAGCATGCTTCACAAGCTGCAGCGCTCTTGCAGCTTCTCAACAGCCGCCCTCCTATCAAGAGCCGCAACGGATTTTGGGGTATTGAGTTTCTGCGTCCATCTTTGTTTGGCCAGCCGCGGAATACCGCATGCATCGTACGTAGTAGCTTGCTTTCTTTCTTCCTCGGCGCTGCGTCTATCACCTAGGTAGGTGGCATCCTTACCACCCTCCGTCAAGTCATTCCTACAACACTCTACGGATATACGAGGGCCATATCGCCTTGTTAGCCAAGCCACCATATCATGGTCTGCTCGGCTTAGAACGCCCTTCTGCTACGCATACACTACATGCGTCAAGTCAACCATTGACGGCTGCGAGTCGATAGGTCCGTCCGCATTGCTGTTTTCGACCCGTCGCAGGCCCCAGACAAAGCGGCCCTATCCTCTCATGTGCCCGCAAGCCTTTGTCGCCTTTCCCCAGGCGGCGGCGACGATCCCCTCTTCACCCGAAACATAACAAACCAGTTCTGGCAAGAACCGAGACAGTCATGCGCCTCCGCCCTCGCTGCTTTTTACTCGACGGCTCGACGTCAACCACTCATTTGGTCTGTCCGGACGAGTCGGCGCGACACTGGACGGGCGCAGACTGCTGACCGCTTCCGACACTCACTTCACCACCCCCTCTCAACATCAACATAATTCGTGAGGCGAACAAGACGATAACGAGCAAACGAGTTGCAGAGTCCAATATCGCTGTGGATTGGTTCACCACATGCCGGCAGGGTCAAGCATTTTCCTGCCATGGTATTTCCACTTTTTCTTTCTAAACTGATTATCCTCCGATCAACATGTCTTCCATGAGATACGGAGTACAAGCGTGAGGAACGGCAGCAGGTCACAAACGGACCAAGCCATCATACGATGTAGGCCTGTCTCCAGGTCTCTTCCATCACACCTCGACAATCCAGTCGCAACAGACATAATTGGCGGACGCAACCTCGGGTGCCCCGTCAAAGGCCCCCACTTCCTGGGCATAATCAGTGAGAGACTAGACGCAGGGCGGTAAAGCAAGTCGATCTGCTTATCGGCATTTGACCGCGACCAGTGGCGCGCCCCTCCTGCCAGATTGCCTTCCATGCCACAGCCGGCTCGGACCAAGTGGGCTGCTGACTCGGGATGCCGCCGAGAGCAATTTGCAGATGCGATATTTGATTTGCGGTCCACCAAGAGCACTCTGCAAGAGTCAGTGGCACAGCTCGCCCCCTCCATGAGTTTCTATCGTCGTTAAAGTTGGACAAGCGCGTGACGGGAGGAGCGGCGATGTCACGGCGTCAATAAACTTGGTATGATAGTCGACGTCTGTCCGGGATACACCACCGGCGGCGATATGGCATCGCTTGATTTGACCACACACGACGGCCAACCTACTCATGACCGTCGAGATTACTACTGCCCCTGGAATGAGCTTCATGGCGCGCCATCTTCTGGCAGCAGCACAAGCACGGCACGCCTTGCATGCACCTTGGAGCCCTTCCCCTCTTTGTCCCCTCCTTGCCTGGCTGCCCCTCCATCCGGTCGAGAGATAAAAGCTTAGTGGCTCGCCCTGCAGACCGTTATATTCCTGCCGCTGCTTAGCGGGATCGAACTGAGAAAAGCTCCCTCGCTATCCCTCCTTCGCACTGTGGCGCTTATGTCAAAGGGCTGTAAGGCGGTCTGATGGTTTGACTGCTGACAGCTAATTCGCCTGCCGCCCCTCTTATGCATCCCTACAGCACGAGGAGCACGAGGAGCACGAGATGTGAGGCGGCACAACGTAATAGCGTAAGGGCGGCTCCGTTGCGATGCGGATCCTCTAGTGGACTTTATTGCCCCTCCGAACCAGATTCCGAATTTTTCAGCGGCAGACACGGAGCCGAGTCGAGTCATCGTGGACCACGCCGGAGAGGCCGGAGAGTTCTCCTTTTTGTTTTTCATTCCATTCCCAAAAAGAATGGATTGGGGGAGAGGGGAGGGGGTTGCACCTGTCGTCCTTTCGAGAGCCATGTCCCACTGAGCTGGCTCCGTTGCCGCCACACGCGCCCTGCATAGTAGATGGATCACGACAATGGGGACCAAGGGGTTCCAATCCACACGATTGCTGGTCAAAGGTTACACTACAGTACAATCCACAAGATTGCCATCCAGTGCCAATGTGACCATCTATGAGTACCGTCGTGGCTAATCACGCTGGGAGGACGGGTAAGAGACGCACGCCTGCCTCAACGGCACATGTCGATGCCTGGTTTGCTCCCAGAATGTTTCCCCAGTCACAACTCTTGAGCAGTTCCTACCTATGCGGCAGCAGACCAGAGCACTTCCACAATGCTGCCGGGACCACGTCCGGGGCCAAAGAGCCTCGTTCTTCTCCAGCCATGGAGTCTTCGCCCTTGCATCGGAGACCGCTGCCACCCTGACGGGCATGGTTCCCCTTTTGAGAGTCCCCCCCGCAACGCGTCCCGACTCGCGGCTGCGCTGAGGTCTGATATGAACCCACTCTTGCCCATCTTGGCGGAGATTGCGTGCGGCTTCGCGCCGCGATGAGCCACGCGGAGCCCCAGTCTTTGTTCATGGGACCCAGATCTAGTCTACATTATGGAATTAGATAGGCACACAATACGGATACTACGCCCAGGCTATTGTTCACGAATGTCGTACACTTGCGGTATACGCCTGCCGCAACCCCGTCATGGTGCCACGTGAGAGTGGAAGCGGCTCTGGAGCATAGGTCCAGGTCTTAGGCGGGAGAGGCGGGAGAGGCGGAACCGAAATCCTCTACGGCGTCATCCCTGTTCCAAGTCTCGTTTTCCAGTTTCTCAATGGCATTCAAGAGTTCGGCATGTTGTATTCTCGCCCGGTTTTGGGTGTCTCGATCGTGTTGAAACGCCGTCATCCGACCCAGTTCCTGCTTGAGACTCGATATTGCATCAGGCGTTGCTTGGTTGAAAGAGGTCGACATTTGGACAAAGCCATCTGCTATCACGGCCATGCGTATGTTTGACCGTATGTAAACCTTGAAAGTTAGACAGGCGCGATCGCTGAAGAGGCTGTAGGTCAAGAGCCGAGCATAAGCGCTGTGGCTTCCTAGTTCTTCTCCGCTGCCCTATCATGGCCGTCAGTAAAGTGTTTTTTTGGGGGGGGGGGCACACGGTGATGATGTCAAGAGGGAGGCGGACAGGTTGGAAGCGGAGACGGGTAGCGTCGACAGCCAGCCTCCCGGGAGAACCGGTTATGTCTCCGGCTCGGAGCGCGTGCCATATCCACTTGCGGTCGGGGGCTGCCGTGGCGATGGCGTGGTTCAGGAGGTGCATAGTGGCCTGGCAAGCTACTTGCGACAGCTGTTGACGCTGGCCAAAGACCTATAGGGCACGAAGCTCAAGACCCAGGTCAGCGGGGCAGGCACTTGCAGACAGGACGACGGACAATAAGGGGGCGGGAGGTTTTGGCTCCCGAGTCGAACAATCCCCATGACTCACCTTCCAGGTCGGCTCGGGCGTGGCGAGGCTCGCCTCGTCGCCCGGCCGTAGCAGCGTCTGCTTGTACACGAGGTCCTCCTGCGTGCCGCACTTGCTAAGGGTCATCTCGATACGGGCCCAGTCGTTCACGACAGTGCGGACGACGGCGGCGGCGTCGGCAGTCTGCTGCGGGTTGCAACCGAAGGCGAGGCACTTGCCGATTCTCTGCAAGAGATCGCGGCCGGCTCGCAAACGAGGCTTCGGTGTCGGCACGGCGCTCTCGGGATTGAGGAGTTTGAGGTGTCTCAACGGAGCATGGCCGCGTCTGGCGTTGGGTATAACCCGACGCACCAGGGGTGCCGCCGCCTGTTGGGAGAGCAGTCTCGTGGCCTGCATGTTGGGGGGGAGGTGGTTTCGATTCGTCCCGGGCGGGAGCCAGAAGGGGGGGGGGCTCTCTCCTCTCGAGACTCCGGAGCAGCTCTTGGGATGCGACGCGGTTTGGCGAAAAAGGAGACGATGATGGTGAGGGTAGGTAGGTACGCGCAAACAGCTCCGTTGGTCGGAATAACGTGGGCGGATCTCCCCGCCCCTCCTCCTCCTCCATGTATGGCCAGAGAGCTTCGGCCAATCACCGGTGTCGGGGACACCGCAAGTGGGGGTCTCTTACATCATCCCCACTGAAGCTTCGAAGCTGCTTGCTGCAGAGACAAATGATACATCCCTAGTATTATCATTCCATTGACATATGGAAAATCCTCACACGACAACATACAGGCCCATACCGAAGATGAGCGCCGTCAATAGTGAACTGCGTAGGCGGGTGATTGGCATTTACAAAGGTGCGTTTCCGCCTCCTTTTTACTCTCTCCTTTTTGTCGTTGGGTTATTGTTGGGGAGGAAGTGTGTGTGGGTGGCGAGCCTGCTCTCCCGGGCTTATATATCGATTCTATATTTCTCTGGTTGGACACAAGGGGCAGCGTTTTCTATTATTACTATTATTAGTGTTATTTTCTTCCCTCCCTTCCTTACTGACGAATGTGTGTATTGTCGAACCATGCAGAGCTTCTTTACCTCGGCCGCGAGTATCCCCTCGGCTACGACTACTTCCGCCCGCGCCTGCACAAGGCCTTCAGCGCCAACGCCGGGCTGCGCGACGAGGACGCCATCAGGCGGGGCATCGAGAGGGCCGAGTACGTCAAGAAGGGTACGTTTTGTGTGTGCCTCTCCTCTGTCTTTCTTACCTTTATCTTCCTTTCCTTCTTGTCCCCCCCCCCCCCCCTTGTCGCTGTCTTCTTACGAGTTTCTGTCTGGCAACGGGTGCTGCGAGAGAGTGAGAGACACAAAGATGTGCGAAGCGTTCGGTCGTGACGAGGGGTCAGACTTATACACACCCACGGGGGCAAGTGCCATATCCTCTGGCTTTCCACTGCCGCCGGTTCCAACACTGGTCTGCCATTACGTCTACAAGCGAGCAAGCCATTCTTTCCCTGCCTCATTGTCTTTCTACCCTGAGGTTATCAATACCAAGCCGGGGGAATCTTCTTGTGCCTGTTGGTCTCGGTATCCATGGCATCACCAGATAACCCTCCGTCTCGAGGCACAACTCGCGAATATGCATTACGACCCCCTACGTGTAGTCCTCACACCGTCTACCGCGCATACACCCTCCCCGTTACTCTGCGTCCCTGGCCTTCGGCTCGTCCTAGGTTCGTTTCGCTACAGCCGTTTGCTCCTTGTTGCTGGAAATCACATCCTAGGCGTTGTCGACGACACGTCGTCACGTCACCTCCATGACAGCCTTCGCTGTCAAGACCCTTCCCCCCCTCTAATTGCGACCACCCACCGTCATCATGAAGCACCGGAGCGGTTTGTCTCTCCCGATTTGACCCCCCTCCATCATATGCCTGCCCGGGGAAAAGGGGTGTTTTGTACCCCCTCCCCTGTTTTTTTATGCTCGGGCTCTTGCGTATCAGAGGCTGTCTCACTCATTAACGCCTCCCGAAGCTTCCGCTCATCGACCCAAGTCCCCTTACTGACCCCCCCCCCCCCTCCCCCTCCCTTCCCCCTTTCCACCCCCGGCGGCGTCCTACCTACACGCCTCTCGCCCCCTATCATACAGCACTTCGGCTCTCTCTCCGATGCCCGCGTCTTCCTGGGGCCCCTTTCCACACCGCACGCCGGCCTCTCGAGCGTCTTTCACTGTAGACATGCCCCGGGCATATGCCGGTCAAGGCGGACTGCGCGGTTGTTAGTCAGTCTCCCGGCCAGTTGGCGGCCAAGCTGTCGCGCATGACATGTTCGTCTATTCGACGCAAAGGCAAGCGCTGTTCGAAACTCAATCCCCTTTTCTCTCGAATTGCCACGTCCGGGGAGGCTTCCATCAGAAGACCCAGACCGATCCTTCTTCACAGAATACCGTCCTCCCTTGCCCCGGCACACCAGGGTCGTAAGCCCGATCCACGAGGGTTGGCGTTTCGTCCATCAGCCACCCTCTCGAGTCTCGTTTGTTTTCTCCTCTCGACGTTCAATGCAAGCGGCTCGGTCTCGTGTGTGAACGATGGAGGAGAAGCGGGAAAGAACAGAGAGCTAACCATCCCACCCCTCCACCAACAGAAATCGAAGCTCTGTAAGTCACACGCCATACGCTTTTGCGTCTTCGGCACCCCGGCCGCCGCCTCCGGGCCCTCCCCGCCGTCCACCAGTGTTCGTTTTGCGTCCACTACACACACGCACACACACACGCACACACACACACACACACACACACACACACACATATATATACACGTGGGCTCCTCTTACATCCCCAATTTCCGGACGGCATTGTGGCAGAATCGTCCGAACCGTCCGAGACCTCCCATCATTCCTTGACCAAGGCTCTCAAAGATGACGTAGCCAGCTTTCCCACCAAGGCTCCCTTCTCCCCAGCCCATACCCCCAATGCCCTCAATCATCATCACCCTCTTCGCATCTCTGAAGCAGGCGAGCTTCCCCCTCGGCAGAATAATGCCAACAGCATATTCCGCCAGGAGAACGCCCTTGTCTTCCCTTGCTCTTCTTGCCACACTCTCTATATATACGCTTTCATGCCCATCTTCCCAAAGTAACACGTAACCCAGCCATGTCCTCTTCTGCGTCAGTACGTGGCTGAGAGTGAGCACTCTGGAAGTCCAGACAACACCGATGTTTTGACACGAAACACACCCCAGATAAAACCACACTGGTATATCATTGACTTGGGAGGAAAGTAAACCGAAAATCTTTCATTCTTTATACACACAAGAGAGTTCCGTCTCCCTCGCACATGAAGTATGCGCAAGCATGCTCCGTCCCGGTTCAAGGGGAAGAAGGAGGGGGACGGGTTGTGGGGTATATACATGACAACATGATGTTGTAAATAAAAACATGGTGGGGTGATGATGACTGTATATGATAAGATGTAGATGTGGATGTAGATGCAGACTGTAGATGACGGGGTATCTCGATGATGAACTGGATCTCTTTGCCCTTGTCCCCCCTTTCCTTCCTTTTGATTCCCTTCCTTTCCTACTCGCTTCTGTTCTCTTCTTTTTCTTTCTCTTTTTTCTGTTCTTTTTTTCCCCTTCCCTTCTTTTTTGTTCCTTTCTTTGTCCGTTGTTGGTGTTTGCTTAGTGCTCCGGTGCCGGGGATGCTAATATGCTCATGCAGGTATTATCTCAAACGGTATCGGACGTTGAGGAAGCGATATGTCCCGGGCGCTTGAAAGGGACCCACGTCGCGCCGGGCGGACGCGGATGTAGACGAGACGGCGCAATAGCCATGGACCTCGTAGACCTAGACCGTGTTCCCCCACAAATGAAACGCGATAGAAAACGAGAAAGGGGGAAACATCCCAACAGGGCGTAATGCAAACTCCGTTCTCCCACGCCCCTTTGTACCGCTTCTGTGACATGCGCGCGCTCGCTGGCTTCTTTTTCCATCACCGCTCCCTCTTGCGTGCCCACCAGGCACCGACCTCCAAACACTCGCCCCAGCTCGTCCCGTTTTCCCTCATGAGGTCGTTCATCATCTTGCCCATCCAGCCGTCCCACTCGTCCTGGCTCTTGCCGCTGACCTCGCGCAGGATCGGCTCCAGGCTCTGGATCTGCTGCACGACGGTCATCAAGGCCGTGCGCCGGAGCGCCGTCTGGGCTTCCGTCAACGTCTTCTTCTGCTCGTCGGGCCTGTCTCTGTCCTTGCCCTTGCCTTTACCCGACTTGATGAAGGACTTGCCGTCCTTGGTGACGACACCGCCGACGCCCTCGCGCTCCCAGCGGACTTCAGACAGCGGGATCGCCAGGCGCTTATTGTGTATATCCGTCAGCTCCTCCGATTCCTGGAGCAGCATCGGGCCGATGAGAGTGCAAGGCACGGGGCTGAGGTTGCGGGCCTCGAGCGCGCGGTGGACCCAGCCGTTGTACTCTACAAGGAAATTGTTCAGGGGCGCGCTGAGCGGCGTCTTGCCCGAGATGGGGTACGCGCCGAGGGCCGCGACAGAGCCCGTTTCCTCCGACTCGCTGGACTGCGGCCCGGCGTGAGGGCGCAGCATTCGAATCTGGTGGTCGCTGTCCCAGAACTCGACGGTGCCGCCGGGCCGCAGGATGCGGTGGTATTCCTCAATGGCGGCCTGTAGCGAGTGCGGCGACGTCACCACCAAGCTCAGGTCCTTCACCATGACCAGGTCGAACTCGCCGTCGGCAAAAGGCCATGGGAAGTGACGCATGTCGTGCTGCACAAAGTTCCACTTCATCTCGCGGGACACGTCGCCCGCGTTGGCGCCCATGGGCGCAATGTCCATTCCGGTGAACTCGATGTCCGAGTGGCCCCGTTGGGCAAAGTACTGGTGGCACGACTGGCTCCAGAAGCCCGAGCCGCAGGCGACCTCGAGGACGCGGCCCGGCGGACTCTCGGAGAAGGAGTTGGAGCAGATAGGAGCCCCGAACACTTGTGTCAGCATCAACGTGCGCAGTGACTGGCGGTGAATCTCTTGTAGGTCGACAGGCAGCGGGTAGGCCAGTGACGGGTCGGAAAGGTAGGTGCGGCCATTCCGCAATGCATAGGGGCGGGAGGCGTCGAAGGAGAATGTGGGGTCAGACGATGTCATTGTCCGAGCAGACAGCGAGGTCGTTGAGGGAGCGGCCGACGACAGGCTTTCGGTACGGGAGAAGGGAAGTCCGCTGGCCTTTGGGGCGGCGAGGTGACGGCCGGAGGAGTCCGTGTCGACGAGCATGGCGACATGTTTCAACTCATTAAGGGTGAGGCCGACGCGGGGTGAGGATGGGGGTTGGAAGGCCAATCTTGCGTAGGAGCTCAGGCTGCCGCTTTCCTTGCGGAGGCGCGGTGGCGCTCGTGTGTGGGAAGGACGATCGGCGGCGGCGCCGTGTGCGTTTTGGAGCGAGTGGTGGTGCTTGTGCTTGGACCTCTTTGGCGACGTTGGCGACGCGGGAGTGCGACTGTCCGTGGGAGAGGCAGCCTGCGGGATGAAGGAGCCGGTCGAGGTGGGAGTCGTCGTCGAGGTCTCGTGGGATGAACGGGACGCGGAGGACGACGAGGAGGTGCGGATATGCTGCAGGCGGACCGACGGGTGGCGTTGACTGAAGTTGCGGTAATTTAACCTCGACAACGGCGGGTGATGGGAGCCTGCCGACTTGGCGGTAGAGGGGAAGGTCGACGACGACGGCGTAGGCGGTGTCGCGGCGGACGTTGAGGAGGTGGGTGAGGTTGCTGAGTCGGTCACGGGCTTGGTATTGACGGCGGCCGAGGTGGTGGCAGTTGTGATGGTGGTAGTGGAGAGGGAGGAGGAGGAGGAGGGTGAGGGCGAGGCGGCAGTCTTTGGCCTGGACGATTCGATGCGAGAAAAGACGGGAGGTAAGGGGGCGATGCTGGTGTACATGTATTGGGACATGTTTGCAGAATTTGCCGCTTCCGCTTCCGCTGCGGTTGCTTCGTCGGGAACTGGAGCAGCGGCAGTGGCAGCAGCAGCGTGACAGAAAGCGGATTTCTGGGGCCCTTAAACTTGGGGGACCCGGTTGATGCGGGTGTCGATGTGGCTCTGGTCAGTTGGGTCCTTGTCGTCTCCTCATGTCTTGGGTTTGGGCCCTCGCCCTGCTCCTTGCCCTGCCCTGTCTGGGGCCGGGAGGACGACGACGAGGCCCAGCTCGCTGGTGGCAGCTCGAGGTCAAAGTCGACCGGGGTGTCGGAGTTGGTTTGGGTTTGGTCAAACAATGGGTGGGTTCTGATGAGTGTGACTTTGATCCCTTTCTTTCCCCCCTTTGGAAGGGGTGAAAGCGAGGAAAGGAGACGATAGAATGACGACAAGGCCCGTGAGAGTCCCGATTACGACCTTGTCGTTGCTCTTTCTCTCTCTGGGTCTCCTCTGCTGGGGGTGGGGAGAAGAAGATGTGGATGCAGGTCAGGTACCAACTGGAAGGGGGTTTATTGAAGGGGGAAGGGGATGAGAGGGGAGGGGTGTGTTCGTTTGTCGGAGCCTCGAGGGGGGGAGGGGAAGAAATGTACCAGGGGATGGGGGGGGGGACCAGAAGAGAGAATGCGGAAAACGGACTGGGAAGGGGGGGGAGGAGAGCATGTGTTTTGTTTGATAATGTTCGGATACAGACTGCACCCGTACAGGACAATACAGAGACACTACTTGTTGTGCCTCGGGTTTGGAGGGGGTTTGGGGAGGACCCGGAGGGGAAATGCCAAATACTTTGTCCGCAGAGCGTTGAGGCTCTCTCTCCTCTCTCTCTCTCTGTCTCTCTCTCTCTCTCTCTCTCTGTCTCTCTCTCTCTCTCTCTCTCTCTCTCTCTCTCTCTCTCTCTCTCTCTCACGCGCGCGCGCTCCTCAGTCTCGTACAAAGGAAAAGACACTAGCTTGGTAAGCGTACTGGTCAGCCTGTACGTACCTTGCTGCTGCTGCTGCTGCTGCTGAAGGAAATGGGGGCCAGGCAGGTAAGCTGCTATCATGCTCTCTGGGTATGTACGATACACACTGGCACCCGATGCCGTGCCATGCAGCAAGCGCGGATACAGTGGTGAAATGGTGTGGTGGGGGGAGGGGGGCGTGTGTGGGAGGAAAAGATAGAAAGGGAGGGGTAGTCAAGGGTGGGAAAAGGTAAAAGAATAAAAAACAATAAAAAAAATCATACGGGAAACGTAAGAATTGGAATTGGGAAAAGTCCGTAACGGATCGAGGACAAGCGCAGGGAAGCAGTCGGGTACCCTTCTGCGGTTCCAATGACTCCAGTTAAATTGGCAGAAATCGTACCAGAATGGGCACGAATTCAAGAAGGATTCGTGTGCGTTTCCTCGAGGGAACAATGAAGGCTAGTTGAACTTGTTGAACTTGTCGGAGGAGCGGAATGTGAGATGAGAGGCTGACCGAGACAACCCGCTTCTTGAAAAGGCAAAAGCAAAGGAGCATGCGCACCTCAACCAGAACCAAACACACCAGACTAACAGACGCCGGTGAGGTGAACCACCACTCGGAGAAGACAATGAGGGCAAACGCACCCACAAACCCAGCTCAAGCCAGTGTCCGTGACCGCACATTGACACGATCCGACCAGGCCACAGACGGGAGGCAGGGCATCTCCACCCACTGGTTCGTTTGACCGTCATGTACTCCGTACCTTGCAGCAGAAACCAGTGGGTGACCGACGAGGTGTGTAGGTACTTTTGTCGACTGGCTGCAGGTACCGTCTACCTCTCTCAGGGCACCCACGTCGCTTGCTCGCCCTGGCCGTCGAGTCTAGCCAATCTAGTCTACACTAGCTAGTTAGCCAAATGGAGGATACCCGGCCTTGGAGACGGACGGGAAGCACTGGGCACCAGCTGGATACTGCTCCTGGCTCGTTCCGCGGTGGGCTGCTTGCTTTGCTTTGCTTTGCTTTGCTTTGCTTGCTGTGTTGTGCTGTGCAATGTGGTGGTGCTCTGTTTGTGTTCTTGTTTGTTTGCTTTGCTTTGCTTTGCTTTGCCGGCTTCCAACCGCCCCGCACCAAACATCCACCAAGGTTTGTATTCCCACTCGACGCCATGTCTCACGTCGTCCCAGCTCTCTGCTCTAGGTAGCGTACCTAATGCGCTCGCCGCGCCGAGTCCAACTGGTTTACCCCTCAACGCGTGTTGCCTTGTGTGCGTCCGCTCGTCGGTGGTCGCCGAAGGGTGCTCGAGGGTCAACCGATCCCATTTGCCCAGCATCAATGGCACCCACTATCCACAACGGGAGGAGGATTTCGTCAAGGCAATAATACCACGCCTACCCCAGTCAAGGTAATCAAATGAAAATGGCTTTCTCCCAACTCCAATTGCCCCTGTCTTTCCTGTTTCTGCAGGACGTGGTATCGGCGACGACTGACTTTAGCCCGGCAGGGAGATACACGTCGGACGCTTTGCCTTAGCGTGTGAGGCCTTTCGTAGTTCCTCGTCCGTCAAATGATAACGACAATGGCAACACACAGCGAGCCCCCCCCCCTTTGGCTTGCCAGTGTCCGAATTCACCGGCAAGCCATCTAGTCGACGGGAGTTTGCGATTGTGTTTGTTTATCTGCTTGTCCTGTCTGCTGTCTGTGCGTCGTCTCGTTGACTTTGTTTGCTTTTTCGTCTCGCTCCCCCTTCGTTTGGTGTCGTCCAAGCTTCCACTTGGGCCTGGGCAGGCTAGTCACAGCTTGTTCCACAATGTCTCCTCCTCCCCTTTATTGGCTCCGGCATGACAGGAGCCACTACCTAGTGCTGGCAAGACGGGGGGGCACGCGAATAATCGCCCCAGGAATCGACCGTTCGAAACTTGGTTTTGTTGGTCGCCGCCTTGTGGCTCGTGGTGGGTTGACAGCCGCCTACACCTCTGTCAACGTCGACGACGTCAACTCGCTCGCCTTTCTTATGATGCCTTTCCTAGGGTTCCGCGTCGTGGCGGGCCAAAATTCGGCGGGTTTTGATGAGCCAGTATGGCTGCGGTAGTACACCACCACAACAAGGAATTGGCATGAAAAACGCCTCGCTCAGCCCCTCATCCAGTTCGTCGGGACGCCCGGTATCGTAGTCCTCTGCGCCGAGCCCATTCAGATCTCTCTTTCTTCCCCTCCCATTTCTTTGTCTACTGATCACTTGGATCGCGTAGCTCGGGCCCTGGCCTTGCCGTTCTTTTGTTGGCCATATGTTTGCTCTCCCACCTGACACTCGATGACGGATAAGCCCACGGAGCGCAGGACAAACGGGGCCAAGGTCTGACGGAGTTGCCAGGCGGGTGGGTGGCTAGGCCAAGCCACACTATTCTACACTAGTGTTGACTTATGTAGTCAGTGGCCGTTGCGGACTTGTCATTCAGTTCTTTGCCCTCCGCCCCTGCTCGAAGAACCCAGGACCCGGGCACCAGTGGAATGCTTGTAAGCGGAAAAATCTGCAGGGTAAACGGTAAAGATGGTTCCCCAGGAACCGGGCCTCTGGGGAAAAAGTGATTGCTCTCCCGTGCCTGTCTGTATCCGTACGGGACGTATGAACGACGGAGGAGCAGAAGGTTGCAAAACTCTAAGGCATGGATTTCCGAATCCCCCTCCCCCGAATTTGATAGCTGACCAGTGACGAGTCGGTCGACGTCGTGCGGAGCCTCAACTACACAAGGGGGCAAAAGACGGCAGGAGCGAGCTCCCTGCCTTTTTTGACGATTCTGAAAGAAATCTGCTGATCGTCCTCTTCTTGGTTGAGTGGGCCGGGCCGCGCTGATTGTAACTGGACTGCTGCGATTCGTGCGTGTCTTCAGCCCGGGGGGCCTGTTGCTACTGCTAAATACTACCGAAGACGTTTGGCGCCACGACCCGGAATTTGCCGTCAATTGGCTCGCTCGCCGAGGTCCGCCGACCAGTGGACCGGCAGGTTTCTTGCTCAACGGCCTGCAAATACAGTATGTACACTACTCCGTACTTCACTCCGAAAGACAAGAGTCAAGCACGTCGGGGTTGGACCCGTCCTTCTAGAACCTGGTCCTTGGTTCTGTCTGAAATCTTGAGACGGCGGGATACCGGCCGCTTGTTCCCCGGTGGAGACGGGACTGGGGGATGCTGGACTGACGGATCACTCGTGCTTGCTTGGGCCATCGGCGGTGCTTTCTTCGCTCAACGCCTAAAGCGGCATGCGTGAAATTAGAGGAGCAGAGAGGATAGCGGTTCTGGCGGATCGACCGACAGATGGGAACGGTGGGTATGAGAAGACGGGCAAGTCACTGTCGAATGTGCAATCAACCGGTTGCCCTTCTGCCGCCTCGTTTGTTTTGAGTCCCGTGCTGTCGAGCTTTGTCTCGGCCGTTTTCCTCAAAAGTCGACACAGGCTGACAGGCGGCAGGGCTTACGGCGGCCCGCCCTTGGGCCGTCATCCGCGTCGCTTGGCTTCGCCTCGGCTTTCTCGTTGGCAAATGGTACCGGGGATAGATGGGATCAAATTTCGCCGCGGCCTCTTGTCGGCGATGGCCAGCATCGGTTACGTAGGGACATCAAACCCTGTCGGTCTATTCTGCAGCGTGCCTGTCCCGAGCCGTCCCGGGTGCGATGAAGCGACCAAGGGATTGCTATTTTTTTCGATCACTTACTTGTGTCGCGTGCCACGACGCTGACGCAGCGTACGGGATGTAAATGACCGGCTCGTCGTGATTCATGTACAGTTGCTTGCAGAATGCTGTGCTTACTTGACATAACGGCGTATCCTTCTGGACCGCGGAGGACCTTGCCTACGCGGCAGTTGGTGAACTTGATGCAGCGCCCCAATAGATAGTGCGTGTATAGTCACCTCCTCGGTTGCGTCCTGCCTATTGGAGCGCACTAGGCCTGACAGTGCAGGGTAACGTTGTATGGTTGGTGTAGCGAGCGTCGTCGGCTTCCCGGTCGGTGGGTTCTGCCCAGGCCAGTCGAATGAATCATCTGAACCTTCTGCTCCCAGGATGCGACGCAATGTTGGTAGCTTGCGACGCGAGTGTTGGAATTTGGGCTGGAATTATTCCAGTCGATTGCCTTGGTGCCAGGGCCCAAGAGCATGAATCAAGCCATGTGCAGGACGATCAGTCGGGTGTTGCACGAGAGTCAACGACTGACTGACTGGCTTGTCGGCAGTAGCACTTCTTGGCCGGGCCTCGTCTTCCCAGAACTAGACCTTTTCGTGATTGGGGGGTAATTGAGATCGCTGTCTTGTTTGGCCAAATTGGACGATCGAGTAATGGCCATCCGGACGACCGGACCGGTGGCCGTCGCGGCGCTCCAGAAGCCTCAGATGTCTCAGATACCCCAGATGTTACGGAGATCATATCACCCCAGACAGACCAATATATTTGGCGAACAGGGCCAAAGTCAAGGCCAGCTGGTTGAGTCCAGCAGACGAGCGGACAAGCGGACTCTGTCTCTGAGGCACACCGCTCTGACAAGGACCCTTGGGGTTTCCAGTGCCTCAAGAGTCAACAATGTCGATTGATAACCGGGGCGTCGGAGGACATCCGAGCTGCTAGCAGTCGAGCAGTCGGGCAGTCGGGCAGTCGAGCGTCGGAGCATGAATCGATCGTATGGATAAAGGAGGAATGAAGACTGAGCTTTTGGGATGGACAGTGGGTGACTTCTGGACCGATGTGGAAGGGGGGAGCGGGTGCGGTGCTCCTGCGGAAACCGGCCATGATCGTGTTAGTGAGGAAAGAGCAACCCACGGAAAGAGCGGCCCACCCCGCGCACGGAAATCGCGAACTCGGAAGCGACTGACGAGCACGCAGAGACGCTCGCTTCACAATCACCACCTCACAGACATACACGCGTTATGAGACTGTGAGCAGGTATTATTCTGCCTCTCGCTGCGTAAAACTGCTTTAAGTCCAGTACCTGACCGAGGCTAATCTTGTGTTAATACTTGAATCCAGTGGGCCCATGCTTTCGGAACCCAGCAGTTAAGCGTTACAGATCGTACGAAGCCAGAGCTCGGTTGGCTGGCGCAAAAACGGCCCATCGTTTTTCTCGAAAAAAGAAAAAAAAAAGAAAAAAAAACTCCTCGCCTCCACGACTTCATGCCCTCCCCTCCCTCGACCGAAAGACCCCGGTAGACGACGTCGATGGTCGAAATAAGAGTGGGCAGGAAAGAGGGGTTGGAGTCTGGTATCCATCCCGAGCTATCAGGCTCGTAAAAGTTGCCGATGGTCTCTTGGTACGGTCTGCAGTACATACTCGTTGCATCCATTGAGATATCGCAGCATTAACGCGACGCCCGCTGCCGGTACTGCGAGTCGTGGTTGCTACTTGCTCCTGGCTGACACCTTGCATGGACCAGAAACCATACCCTACTGCAGCTCGTCTCCTCCGAGGCAGTCGCCCTCTATCGCGTGCCGCTGAAGGTCGACAAGACCAGGGTGAGCTTTGTCTCCGGTCCTGCTGCTCCCCCGTATCACATCGAGGCTCTTCGCTTGACTGGTTAGATTTGACATATATGCGCAGGAGGGCTTGGCCACCCTTGGTCGACCGGTGAGACCGGTGAGCGTGGCGCCGGAGCTCTCGGATTCGCCCGCATCCTGCCGTGGGACGACCCTGTTGGTTCGAGTCAATAACACCACGTCATGTTTCTGGCTGTTTTACCCATTTCTTTTCTACCGGACGTGTGAGGAAGGATTTTCGGTCAGGAGATTTCGTGTCTAAATCTTAGGGGCTAGGCCCCTCCTCACCATGCCCTTTCCCAAGGGTCTTGACAAGGCCGCGGGGATAGGTTGCACGACGTCAGTGTGTCATCCGGTAGGGATTTTCTGTTACGTCGACAGTTAAAACAATTAGGGCTGGATGTCGTCGTTTGATTTACCGCCCCGGAATCTGGCCCGCCGTCCCGAGGACATTGGTGTCGACGCTGTAGCCTACTATCCGTGCCGCTTCTAGAATAGCCTATTTCTGCAAAGTGTTTCCGTTTGACCATCTATCCGGTTCTTGATACCAATCTCGTACATTCCCGTCTTCCAAGCCCAACTTCTTTCTAAGTAAGGTCGACAGATGGTACCTGAGTAAACATGATCAACTTCGTGAACGTTTGATTCCTGAAGCTCATTCGTAGACAGACGCGGATTTATACCACAACATCACAAAGCGAGATCAAGGTTCAGCATACGTTCTTTGATTTCAATATCTCCTACATCTTGGCAGTGGAACGTTTCGTTTACACAGATCATGGAATGACAAATGTATTCAACGCTATCTTTATCGGTCAGACCAAACACGAGGACATCTCGCATGAACACGCACCATCCAGTGCTTCTTACACGCTTTATGAAAACGCCAGCAACTGCTTGGGAACCAAGCTAGTGACCTTGTTCAACTAATCGTCTATCCTCAGATATCTATGAGTACTTGGAGCCACTTCATGTTGCGGAAGCTGTCCAGAATCAACTTGCTTTGCATTGTATCTACAATCTCTCAATCCATCGGTCAAACTTCTGAAGCAAAGCAATGAAAGCACTTCACACTCTCCAGTGTGGCCATGCACGCTCTCAACCAGCTTGCTGGAGTAGCTATCTCTGAGTGTACCCTTCAACTTCTGGTAGTTCTGTTGATCAAAGCCTTCAATGGCATAGATTTGGAAAGTGCATTACAGATATTGAGTGCATATTTCTAGCTGTAATTACCATTGCGGAGAAACAGAAACCGCTTCCTTCACTTCAAACGGAGAAATGCAATCAGAACATCAAACTTGAAAGCCTGGCGGCAAGGAAATGTCGTGCTCAGGAACAATCTGACGCAGCATATACATGTACCCTTCCATCGAGTGGTCGTTGTCCGAATTAGTAGGTTCATCGGGACCCCATACAACACCTACATCTTCCGCTGCTTGACTTTCATCTTGACTGAGCCTTCTCGAAGTCAAGTCGCGCATCACTGACTGCATTCTCGGGGTCCATCTGTTTCGGAGATACCTTCGTAGTTTCGCGTTGCTTCCGCACTCTTGCGTGAACTCCACCATGAGATTTTCGAATAATTGCAGCTTTTCCCGTTCTTCCTCGTGAACTTCTTCGGCATCTTTAACATCGAGTCCTCTTTCCCTTGAGTCCCGACCCCTGGCTTTCCCAGCTGTGCTAATACAGCAGGTGTGCGTGAGGTCGAGAACAGTGAACGTCAGTTGCCGCAAAACTGCCTGATGTAACCAAGCGTACTGTTCACTTCGATACCGTTTTCCACCAATGAGTCTACGAATAGTACGACATAAAGGCCGGCCTGCTTCGCGGTACCAACTTGTATCCATGATCGTAAGCTCTGTTTCTTCCCACCTTGGGATATGGCGTTTCCGATGCAGCATGCCTTTGATTGCTCGGCATAGGAAAACCTCAAACGGAGTGCATCCATCTGGAGAACAGTAGCATGAGCAGTGGTCTGTTACTGATTCAGAGAATACCGTGTTCGAGAGCTTTCGCGGTAGCCTAAATGCATTCTTCTCATACTCGCGCAAGTTGGCACTCAAGTGTTTCATAAAGTCGAGTCCCCATGCGAATGTACAGATTTCCAAGTGAGCATTAAGCCAAATGGTGTACAGGGCTTTTTCTTGTAGGGATTCCGGGCGTTTTCGTCCGCGGCCATAATATTCCCAGGGTCTCATCGGGCAATTTGCATCGTCAGGCCGAGTCGGGATGTCCTTGAACCCTTGTGACCAAGCGAATGCAGCTACGTCCTTTTCGTAGATCAAGGCATATACCGGGCTGCCAAAACCACGATGGTATTCCTCATCGCCTTTAGCGCATACTCTTAAGCGGTTCGGTATAGGGCAAGAGCGAGCATCGAGATATCTTTGCACCCGTCCTGCGTCCTTGTCCAAGACCCTTGAGCGACATATGCCGAGGCTGGTGGCCTCATCGATAGACAGGTATGTTGGTGCCAGGGCTTTCAATGCCTCTCTTCTGGTTCCAAGATGACCGATGATGATTTTTCTGATCGATTTTGTGAGGTCTTACTCGTACAAGGCGCGATGAAGAGTGCGATGATACAGTGCACAATTCGCATTATTAAGCACCATCTCTAGGACCTTGCAGCCGTTGCATGCGTTAGAGTCTTGGCTTTTGGCACAGACTTGATGTGCATGCGTGGCAATAGCATAGTCGATAGGATACAAACCAGATTTGTCTCGTGTATTGAGGGCGTCTGGGCTATTGTAGAGGAGAACGAGCTCCAAGATCTGCAAGTTGCCCACTGCAACGGCGATATGGCAAGGCGTTTGCCCCAAAGAATTGACTTCTTTGGAGGTATACGGGTATGATTTCAGGGTTTGAGAAACGGCCGGTTTGTCTCCCCGTAAAAAGCTCAATGAGAGCGAATCACACTGAAACACTGAAAAGCCAGATGTAGTGTTAGCAACGGCAGCGCATCGATGCACAGCCAACTAATCCTCGACCTACCATCGGCAAAATAAATTGAATTTCGCTTGTCAGCCAAGGCTGCATTTAGCAACGAAAGCCCTGGAGACCAACCAAAACGAGCGCGAGGAATAAACTCAGTCGCGGAAGTCCAGACTTGGACAAACGAACGGAATGCATCTGTTATCAGCATCGAAGTGTCCCGGTGAACGGTGTAGTATATGAATCTGAATAAGTTAGTAGGGAGGAGAAAATTACGCTATTCATTTAATAGTTAAAGATTTTACCGGAGGGGGAATAAAAATCGGAAATCTCACTCGAACGCAGTAACGTCTCCCGCTAAGGGTACATTCACTTGCACTAAGCGTGACGCCACCCTGGCTGCTAGGTCTTTGTGTTGTGTTGATCTTGATCTCTTTGATAAACTAAATTAGAAACAAGAAACGAATGATTTAGGGTACTCTCATAACGTACCTGATGACTCCTGCTATTATACATCAGTCTCATAGCCAAGGTTGTGCCGTTCTCATCTACGTCAGACGGGCAGCCAAGCTTCTTGGAATAACACCAGAGTATGCTTTTGAAGCACTCCCCGGCGAACTTTTTCTTCTCTGTGTAGTTCAAAGTCTTTTCCTTGAGGCAATCATCGAGTATTTTCCCGATTTTAAATACGGGGGAACGATCCTTATTGACTGTTGCAATCCGAGGGATGCCATGGTTGATACTTAACCCCCCAGCCCCGAAGCTAAGAGACCATGATGACTGAATGGCATTCTCTAAAAGAGACCCCATCTCATAGAGTTTGAATCTAAAAGCTTCATTTTGCTGGCACTCCGTAGGTATAATATTCTGCCAAGGACATCTGGGCAGATGGTGCTTGGTTAATCTCCTTAGTTTAGTATAGAGTATTGGGCCCTAAGTAGTTTCCTCGCGCTGCAATGACCGACGCCTGACACAAGGGCAGAGCCGGTCATTCACGCTAGGGATACTCGAAGTCGCAGTGCGTTCGATTTGCGCTTGAGGTTGGAGGATGACGTCGCACATGGTCTTGAGGTCAGTAGGTTTGGCAACTAGTCTTGCAATTTTGACATCTTGAGTTCTGTGGTTGGTAGATCTTTTCGCCATTTCCTTTAAAATCTCTTTGATTCTGTTCTGCTGGTTACGAACTAGGGAAACTTCTTGTAGGATGTCTTTTGTGTTCTCTTTAGTTCTTGTTGAGATTTCTGTTGTTTGTGACCAGATCTTGGACTGCTGAATCATCATTGTTGACGTGCTGGCTATTACTTGGGCGTTGATGCTAGGGCCGATTTGCTCTATCCGACTGACAGTGGTATTAAACGAATCGTTGATGGACTGTGCCATGCTGCTGACGTTGGTACGGGTATCTTCTTGAGTGATCTGTACTAGTTCAAGATCTGACCTGATGCCTGAGAACGCATTGCTATTGAAATAACAACTGTCAACACTTGCCATGAACCAGGCGGTCTTGAGAGATACCCACAGGCCAAGAGTTTGTAACGCCGTCTGCAAAACCACGTTTGTAGACTCTAACCTCCTCTTGAGCTTGAGAATGCTCTCCCGATGGAACGGGAAGGTGTACTGCCTCCCCTTTTCTCTGAGCTTGGTTGATAGCATGCAACCAGCCGGAGTCGAAGGTCCCTGCAATCGAGCGACCAGCGCCTCCAGTGCCCTTAACTCGCTCTTGCAGGACAGAATGCAGGCGTTTACGGCGGCGTATGCCTGTGCATTGTTTCCCCTTGATGAAGACGTTGCGTTGGCGATGGCGCCTAAGCACATCTGCAAGTTTTGGTGATGTCCCCTTGCGCGTTCGAGGTCTTTCTGCCTGCCCTTGACGGCGCTGAGGTATTTCGAAATCTCGCCATAGAGCTGCAGTCCCAGCGAGACGAGTCCTGCAGCAGTGCCGGTGATACCAACGGGCTCAGCCATGCTCTGGCGGTATGAAGATAAGTCGAAAAAGAAAGAAGGGCGTTGTCAGACTTGGAGAAAGGGCTATAGAATAACAAACACACATTTAAGGATCAGGCTAGCGAGACGGTCCTGAATATATCACTGCTTTCCATGACCACATGTTAGGCTGACTGCACCGTTGTTGGGCTGATTTGCATTGCATGGCTTGGTGTCCGTTCAACATCGACTGTGACTGGTTGGCCTCGCAGTCTCCCCAGCGGCTATCTCAGTAAACCGGCGGCCAATTATCTTCATCTCCTGAATTCGCTGCTGTCAACGTGCATTGCGGTTGTATTTCCGCAAAGTTGCCACTCTGCCGTGGCGGACAATAAGTCGCATACTGAGAATAACAGCAGTATGTCAAACTTGAAGTATCGGGTCGATACGGGCTGATTTCCCCGCAAAAGAAGTCCAATATAAGCTTAATGCCAGCAGCCGTGGGTTTAGAGCGGCGATAAATTCACTACGTTTTATCTTTCTAATTAATTCGTTGCCATTAGCGCATTGATTCACCCCAGAGCTCCCTCGGTAACTCGGCCACGGCTTATCTTCTTATGAATAGCTATAAGAACCCACAGTCCGTTATAATCCATGCGGAAACTGGCACAAAAACGACGACCAAACCCTTTCTTTGCCTATATTATCCTCCCACCTCAACATCAGTAGATGCAAAACCGCACCACTTGAGCCGTGTCAAAAACAGCTCCAGCATGGTACCGCACTGTTTGTTCCCCTCCAGGTCACGCGCCACGTCACGTTCGGATCCGATTGGCCAGCCCAGCCGTGTGGCCCGTGCAGCTTTCATAGTCACGTGACCTCGCTAGAGCTTGCACCTCCCGCCAGGCGTGTTGTCCTGTATCTGGTCTATCGTCAGGATCGAGTCAATCCCGCCCACGGCACAGTCTTTGGATCATCTGCATCTCCGACCGCATTCTTCACTCCCAGTATTCATTGGCTGCTTCAGAGATATCGCAAAACTTTGCACTGCACCCGTTCGTTACGGTATGTCATCCGCCCATTCCCCGCCCTCCCTGGGGGTCGCCAGGGGTATGCTTCAAGCCGAGCCTCTCTACCTTTGTCGCAACTCGAACCCCAGCCAGCCCCTACTCGTACTCCTCCCTTTGCTCCTTTGACCTTGCCCCATCTTCATGTCTTACTCCTCCAACTTGGCCTCACTGACAAGACATATTCTTATCAAGACACTCATCTGCTGCATTCAGCCTGCCCCGACATCATTGGACAGCTTTTGCCCTCCTCAACGTACGCCGTCACCCCCCATTGAGCTCGACTCGACGACCTCCATCTAACCCAATGCTAGACCCTTCCTAACCGAATACATCGTCAGATCGAGGAAAAATCTCACACGTTCCACGCACGCACGCCCGCACGAGACACGAAACCCTACGCATCCTCGCATCTTCGACGCGGTTCATGGGCGCCCGAGGATAGCACAAGCTCATTGCGCTACCGGGACTCTCCATTGTCCGAACCAATACTCGATGCAACTGGACCCCGTCTTCGAGTCCCATGCGCAAACGCGAGCTACCCTGTGCTTTCCCTCGTTTCCAATCTCACATAAGTTGCTGCTGCGCACCCGGTGCCTACCTCTCGCCTGCATCTTAAGTCTGAGGCACCACCACACCCGACCACGAATCTCAGGTAGATGGCCGATAGTACTCACTATCTGGACCACCCTGTCGGAGATCTCTACCTCAACTCCCTCTTATCGAAAGAACCCGCCGCCACCGACACCGTACTACTCAACACGCTCCTGAGCCGATTCGTCACGAAAGACTCCTCTCCAAACCCGTCATCAATCCCGAACTCACGGGCCAATCTGCTAGGGATGTTCTCCCAGAATCACCAGCAGGGCCACAACTCCCGCATCAATGGGGGCCCCGGCGGCCGGGGGATCCCGATGCTGTACAACTACCAACAGCAACAGCAACAACACCACCAGACTCACCTTCAGCACCACCAAGCTGCCCAGGCCGAACATGCTGCACACAATGGCAATGGCGGCGTCATGGGCCACCACTCCGCCTTCTCCTCCGGTGTAATGGGGAATTCTAGTCCATACAGCGCCAACGGCCTGCAGAACGGTCAAGGAGGCGCGACGCGGGGCGGCCAGGCACAGCAGATCACCGAACACTGGGCCGAGCAGCTGCGGCTCTACGAGGAGTCCAAGCAAGCCCACCGTGCTATGACCGAGCAAAATCAGCCCCACTACTACGCCAGACTCAAGGCCTCGGAGAACCGTGGCATCGCGGGACCTCCTCCCAGCTCGGGCAAGAACGGCGATGATGATGCGGACGACAGGAGACGACCATACAGCGTGGAGAAGAACGCCAAAGAACGGCAAAACTGGCACAACATGGACCTAAGCGGCCAGGGTCTCCGGAACCTCGCTCCGGCTCTCTTCCGCTACCAGTTCCTCCACGACCTCTTCATTGCCTCCAATAGGCTACAAACCCTACCTCCGGCCATTGGTCAGTTGCGCCAGCTGCGTTACCTCAACGTGTCATTCAACCAGATCAAGGAACTTCCCGCCGAACTTGGCATGTGCACCTATCTCAATCAGCTACTCCTCTTCGATAACCAGATCCATACCCTTCCCTTCGAACTGGGCTCTCTACACCTGTTGGACGTTCTAGGCATCGAGGGCAACCCTCTTGACCCGGACATGAAGCAAGAAATCATGGAGAAGGGCACAAAGAGCTTGATCAACCTCCTCAAGGAGCAAGCTCCAGGTATGCGCCCACGACCACCCCTTCTGTCACCGCTCGCTAATTCGCTGCAGTGCCGCTGCCACCCTCCCCCCGAAAGTATATCACTGTTCAAGAAGATGTTTCTCCTGCGCTGGAAAAAGTCAAAGTTTTCTCTTGGAACGTCCTGTGCGACAAGTATGCGACGCCCCAAACGTACGGATACACGCCGACGGGTGCTTTGAACTGGGAATACCGAAAGGCTTGCATATTTGACGAGTTGCGCGAGAAGGACGCCGATCTCCTGTGCTTGCAAGAGATCTCGACTGAGGCCTTCAAGGAAGAGTTCAGCCCGGAGTTGGCTCAAATGGATTACAAGGGCGTGCACTGGCCGAAGACGCGAGCGAAGACGATGGCCGAAAAGGATGCTCAGGGAGTGGATGGTTGCGCGACGTTCTACAAGGCCAGCAAGTGGATTCTGCTCGATAAGCAGGTCATAGAATTCGCCGCCATCGCCATCAACCGTCCGGACATGAAGAACCAGCACGATGTCTTCAACCGCGTCATGCCGAAGGACAACATCGCTGTCGTTGTGTTCCTCGAGAGTCGAGTCACAGGCTCGCGCATCATTCTGGTCAACGGACATCTGGCGTGGGAGTCGGTCTTGGCAGATGTCAAGCTTATCCAGACCGGTATCCTGATGGAACAGATTACGAAGCTCGCCGAGAAGTACGTTCGCTGGCCGGCACTCAAGGACAAGAAGCCAATTACCTTCTCTGCTACTGGCAAGGACGGGGAGGAGCCGCCCCCACCGGCCAAGGAGCCGGGTCCCAGCCAAGAATACCGAAACAACACGGATATTCCCCTGCTGGTGTGTGGAGATTTCAACTCGACGGAAGACAGCTCTGTCTATGAGCTGTTATCCATGGGTCGTGTCCCGCCCAATCACCAAGAGCTGTCCAGCTTCCAGTACGGCAGCTTCACTCGAGACGGCATCGAACACCCTTTCAGCTTGCGGGACGCCTACGCACACATCAAGAACACCCCCGACGAGATGCCTTTCACCAACTACACTCCCGGGTTCTCCGACGTCATCGATTACTTGTGGTACTCGACCAACACCCTCGAAGTGGTGGACATCCTGGGCCCGCCTGATGCCGAATACCTCAAGCGAGTGCCAGCGTTCCCCAACTATCACTTCCCCGCCGACCATATCCAGATCATGGCCGAGTTCGTTATCAAGGCTAGAAAGGATAAGAAACCACCCCACCCGGAACCGGATTTTGGATCAGGAAGCAAGGGGCAAGGGCGATAGACGAGAAGTCCGACGACTTGTTTTTTCGTACTCTTAGTCACCAAAGGTCGTCGCATGCGTGCAGGGAATTTCTTTTGCCGGAGTTTAGGATTGCGATGCTTTTCGTGAGTCGGAGGAACTGGCGAGGGGTGGTCTTTTGGGGGACGGCAGCGAAGTTCACGAGGTTCAAAAAACAACGAAAGAGAAACGGGAGGAACCGGGATCGTCGTCGGATATGCATCGCCACTCTCGGCACGGGGGATGGATGGGCCTGGCGTGGGCACGTTGAGGTGGAGGGGCTTTTGTAGATGGAAGGGTTGTTGATACATAGCCAACCAGCTGCGTTTTCTCTTGCATCCGACCCTCTTTTTGATTGTTCATGGGGCCCTTGACATTTGCGAGGCCTTGCCCGAGGTAGCAAAGCGTCTGTTCTCGTCTCTAGTGAACGGCTGATTATGTGCGAATGCGGTGAGGTACATCAGGAGTAACGTGGCTTGCGGGAATGAATTGCGATAGCAAACGACCTCCACGAGCCTTGTCGGATATCGATCTACTGGAAAGACTTATGAACATCCTCTTGAGCTCTTAGCGGACGGAGATGCGGCTGTCCTAGCCCGGACCCCTCATAGTACAAAGATAGGATTGCGGCTTAGTCAAAAGTAGAGCCCATCATGTAAGAGCAGGAAGATGCCAAACGCGCATCTGGGGAGGTGGGCACGAGCTAGACTCAATGGCATATACGTTACATGGCTAGATAAGCGCGTTTACGAAAGGGAATAATTGCCGGCGCACGAAAAGCTTAGGACGCCCGCCCCGGCCCGGTTGGGACAAGTAAGGGGGGGACGGGATCTAGTGCTAACGTTGGAAACAGCCCGCTGCCAGGTCTGGCTTAGAAAGAAAATCATGAAGCGAACCTAGCCGTCTTGCAACGATACTGGCCAGTAGTATTAGCTAGATATATTTGTGCCACCGGAACCTGATCAACTTGTCCTCGTTGATCAAAGATCTGAATAGCAGTTGCTTTCATGATCACCGTGTCCGCATAATGCCTTGAGGACTGAGATAAGTAGGTAAGTGGCAAATGACTCCCAGTTAGAGCTTGGATAATGGCAAAGAACGTTGAAAAGCATTTCATCTCGTCAAAAGCTCCCCTTAATTCATTTCATATGCCCTATATTCTCGGTATACTGCCAGGACCGGGAGGTACGTGGGGAGCTAATAATGCAATGATTCCTTTTAACCACCTCTCTCAAGCAATCCCGAACCATGATGCGTCTTAAGCCTTCTCTTTCAGAAGAGCCAGTGTTTCTGTAAAAGCTTTTGCCAGCGCCACGCCATTCTTCCAAATGTCGTTGTGCGCGCCTTGAAGCTCGATGAAGTGCGTTTTGTTTCTCAACTCGGGCAGGCTCTCCAAAGCGGCCTCCATCGCCTCCGCCTGGTCCCACGGAACAAGTCCGTCGTCCCTGCTGTGCGCCAGAATAAAGACCTTCGAGCCCAGCGCCGCATACTTATCGGCGTCCACTTTGGCCGGACTCGCATCCCTCAGCTGGTCCTCCCTCATGGCATTGAGGACCAGGTAGTCATAGCCGGGGTGAGTGACATGGAGATGCGGGTAATCGTAGATACCGCTGATGCCCAGGACGGCCGCGGGCTTGGGGACGGCGGGGTCCCGGAGCGTCTCCAGGGCGGCGAAGAAGGAGATCTGGGCACCGACCGAGTGGCCGGAGAGCACGTAGTTTCCGTCAATGGGGTGGCGCTTGTTCAGGTCCTTGAGCGCGGCGACGGCATCGCTCATGTGATCTGGCCACCTCGCGTTTTGTAGCTCGTTGGCCGGGGTGTTGTTGGGCTGGACGCCGGGGAGGGCCGAGAGGCGGTAGTTAAGCGAGGCAATGCCAGCGACTCGGTCTGCCAGGACATCTGGGCTGTTGGTCTCGAGGGAGGCGATGGCGGCGTTGACGCCAGTGGAGTTCTGGGCAAAGTCGCGGTAGAATCCTCCATGGATCCAGACGAGCCAGTACTTATCGGCCGAGACCGAGCTAACGTTCCCGGACGTGGGTGGAATGTAGATGCCGTATGTCTGGAGAACGTTGGCGCCGTATCGGTACGTAGTCGTCTTTGTGGCGGCCATGGTAGCCCCCATCAGTATTGTGGCAATGGATGTGGCCAAAAAGCGCATTTTATTGGTAAGATGCGGCTTCTTGCGTACGATCAATAGGAACCTGGGAGAAACCCAGACTACATATACCGGTCACACATCATTCCACAGCGTCAAGGATAGATAGGACTGAGGAGAGAGTGCATATCGTCCTATGCAACTAGGCTCAATGAGTGGAACAGGCCCGGTTGGAGATCGCATAGCCGATCCAAAGGCAAAAGATCATCGGTGACAAAATCCAGCGGGGTGAAGAAGCTAAGGACCTGGGTGGCTCGCCTTATCATATATCAAGGAGTCGGGCCGGGGCACCTGGCGGCAGGACAATCATCTTTTCCTATCACCCACTTAAAAATGTTCGGTATCCGCGCCGTGCGTGGATCGCCAAGAGACCGGGTCACTAGTGCTGTTTTCGAGATGGGGGTGGAAGCCTTTTGAGTGTGGCTGGTTTAAGACGAGGGATGCATCGAAGTTGTCAACATTAATTACAGACGTATTTCCTCCTGGTCAAGAGAATGCAAATTCAGGCTAATGCCCGAACGCACAATAAACTGAGCGTAGAGGAGGGAAGAAACTCACCATTAACGAACACGGATTTTTACCAATAGATTCACAGACATAAAGTTCGCAATAAGAGGGTCCAAAATGTCCCCTTCTGCCTTGCCTCTCTGTGATGCCTCTTTCCCAACTGGCTATGCATAATTCCCAAGACGATCTCCAACCTTAGCTTCCTTAGTTCACTTGTCGAAGCCTCCACCAACCCAGTACCCAAAGAAGTTTGGTGGATCTGAACATTCGTCGAACTAGACTCGCAATCAGAGCATTGCAACAGCGGCTCCGCCTTTGCAGTCACAAATCACACAGGGATCTGACTTACCGAGCTCTCAATGGACACAAACAGACACTAGTCAGTCTATCTAGCGTTTGCACTTGATTCACGCCGAGCATAGTCGCGTATACCAAGTCAATTAAAACTGGAGTCCGGCATAGTCTTGATGAGCCCTTGAGCTCAACCACGGAGCTCTGTAAGAGTAGTATCGAGGCGCTTGGTGACTCAAGCGTTCTGCAAAAGCTTAAACGTAGCATCCAGCTCGTGCAACGCGTCGTCGATGTAAGACCGTCGCTCTCGAATCCACTTGTGGAGATCCTCCAGCATATGCTTCGAGCTGTTGATCATACGTTCCATTTCTTTGGGTTGTGGACCGCCTGAGGTCGCCCTTCGATTGACGATCCCGACAGGATCGAGCGCCTCTCGAAACTCATTCTCGCTCAAGAATTGGTAGCCGCTGTCCTCGAGGTTTGTGTGTTTCAACGTGTCGACGAATATCCTGGATGCCTCAGCATAGGGGAACTCGCTCGGGCGCAGGCCCGCATTCTTTGCAAATCTAACCACTTCTGAAGCAAAGTGGTGCCCGAATCGGAATGGCACATTGTGCTCCCGCATCAGAATATCCGCCAACTCCTGAGAGGCAGTCCAGTCCAGGTCCAGTTCTTCCAAAGACCGTTTCCCGTCGATCACCAGTGCGTCGAGGATGCGCTCCCAGCCCCCGAGCACCCCTATCGTCCCGTTGAGTACAGTAAGGTTGTCTGTCAGGTCCTTCGCATCGACCATACCCGGGGGGAGGTTGTGTCCCTGAATAGCGCGGCCTACGCCGAGACTCACAACGCGGGACGCATCCGACCGAATTCTGTTGAGCAGGCCGGGATTCCTTTTCTGCGGCATAGCGCTTGAGACATATGTGTTATCCCCGCCCTCTTGGAGAAGAATCCACGGTCTCGGCTGAGAGTATTGGGCCATGACATCTTGAATGTAAGCGCCGGCATGGAGAGCGATCTGGGACGCTATCGCTCCAAGCTCAACAGGCATCTCTGAAGCGGTGATCTGCGCCGCGTCATAGGCGTTGTCGACGGCCTTTGCGAAACCGAGATCCTTGGCCATGCGTTCGCGGTTCAGCGGCCAACTTGTGCCATTAAGGACGGTGGTGCCCATGGCGCAACGATCCAGTCGTGCATAACACTGCCGAAGTCTCTCTGCATCCCGATGAAGTCCGGCGATGTGGCCTAACAGGTAATGGCCATAGGAGTTGGGCTGAGCAGCAACTCCGTTGGTATAGTTCGGGACTAGTGTTGTGGCATGAGTCCGGGCCATCTCGACGAGTCGTCGTGTCGTGTCATGAAGCTGCAATGCGAGTTTCAGCAGTGCATCGCGGAGAATTGCCATCGAAGCGGTAGTGAGCATGTCTTGACTGGACCGCCCGGCATGGAGGAGAGTGGCCTCCACACCGGCAGCTTGGATAAGGAGAGGCTCAAAGGTAATCACGAGGCTTGGGCGGGGAGCGTTGGGCTCGTTGCCAGAGTCCAGTAGCTTTTGGAGGCCGCTGGCGATCCGACGAGCCGCGTCTCGATCCAAGAGCCCTTCGTCCGAGTTGATAACGGCACTGGCCTTGTTAATCTCACCCAGCCAGAAGAACATGTCTCGGCCGGGCATCGGGAGGTCATCGGGGGAGACTAGGTAGCCCATGATTGCTGCTGCACACACAAATCGTGCGACTGAAGCAGTATGACTTGAAACGGATGGATATCAGGTTACCAGCAGTTAGTTTCTCCGACTTCTGCTAGTCTGTGAGGGTGTCTAGGCCGACAAGTCCGATTAGGAAGCTGGAGATAAGAGCGGCGGGGAAACGACATTGTGTGCCTCCAAAGGCGATGCCTCTTGACCCGCCGGGTTCTTCGGAGCCGACTCGGTCAACGAACCGTATGTGCCGACCTCCACTCGGTCGTGATTTGTGATCAAAACTGCTCAAGAAATAAAAACAAAACCCCGATCGCAAGAGATACGTGTATGGTGCTTCGGGCAATCGCCCGGTGGCCACGGAACGGGCTCGTGGGAAAGAGATCCGGTAGGCATGGCGCTTTTTGCCGTCATGTTGCTCAGGGCCGGCCCGAATGGCTCGTCGCCCTTTGGCTGCTCCATCCGAAGTCAACCCGACAGGCGAGGCAGATTCCGTTGCAAGGACCCTGAGTGAAACGGAATACCCGATTTTGCTGATTAGACAGCATCAGTGTCGCATGACAAAAGACATTGACCACGGATAGGGGTTCGGCGGCACAGGAATTAAGTTCCGGGCGATAGCCGTCGAACCCCGTCCCATATTGCATCGCGTGCTGAGACGCGTAAGGCAGACAGACTCTCTGCAAGTACCCAACGGCTTGCCTTGTGGAAGACCCAGAGAGACCCAATTCGAGCTTCCGGAAGCGCGTCTATTGGCCATCCCTCGAACGATGAAATAGGGGTGGATCGTCATGGAAACGGAGATCCTCCCACTACCCGCAGAACGCCAAGACCAGCATACGGGCAGGATGTTGCAAATTGCAATCTACAGGCTGGCCGCCTTACTTGATTGTTTGATCAACGGTCCGATTCTTCGTACGATGAATCCAGTACAGACAGTCGCACAGCACAAGGCAGATTATAGGGCACAAAGGTGGCCAGAGACGATACCAGTTATTAATCAGCAGTAGAATCAAATTTGCGTAAAGGTCACAGGACGAGTGCCTGCGTATTTTGCTTGATGGACTGACCAGACGCTTAGGAAACGTTTAAGGCGTGTTTACTAGTCGGGAACCTTAGAAACTGACCTCGATAGAAATGGGGCACTCAGGAACCTGCAGTACAATGTAATATATATATATATATATATAACGTTATATATAAATATACATTGGCCGATCTGTCTGCTGAGTTGCATCCGAGGCCGTAGGTGGGTTGCAAACGTCAGATGTGGAGAGAAGGAAAATTGAAACTGGACCTGTAGCTGCACAGCCACTCGACGGTAATACCCTTTAACACGGTGACTCTTCCACTTATCTTGGCGGACGTCGCGGCTTCTTGTGTGTCGTCTTCGGTGCCAAGCGTTCAACAAGTTGACTGGCATTCTTTTTTCCCGTGGTCCCAATGCGCTGTATTCTCTCTATCTTGGCTTCTGGTAAACCCAACTGAATCAACAGCCAAGATGAGACCAGCACTGCCGGCCGTGACCGTTGGCCTGAGTTTGACGGCCGCTGCCAATGCTGTCGACATAACATGGGATAACGACGGTTGGTTTCTCACGGTTACCAAAAATGGCATGGTCTCACTGACCTTCCCCAGAATCAATCAAGAGCGCCGCAAGCACCATAGCCTACGGGCTAGTGAAATATTATACTGGAAACAACACTGGTGATACGCCGGGAAACTTACCGGATCCCTATTACTGTACGTCCTGCCGACTATCGACGTGGTGTTTTCTTTTCTCACATGTCTCAGGGTGGGAGGCTGGCGCTATGTTTGGCACATTAGTCGATTATTGGTGGCTCACGGGGGATGATTCCTACAACGCTATTACTACGCAAGCTCTGCTTCACCAAGCCGGCGAAGATAATGACTATATGCCGAAGAATCAGACCCTGACAGAAGGAAATGACGACCAAGGCTTCTGGGCGATGGCAGCTATGTCGGCAGCCGAGCATAAATATCCCAACCCCCCCGAGGGTCAACCACAGTGGCTCGCTCTAGTGCAAGCTGTTTTCAACGAGTACGTCAGCCGTTGGGACGAAGCGGAATGTGGTGGAGGTGTGCGGTGGCAGATCTTCACCTGGAACGCCGGATTCGACTACAAGAATTCGATTTCGAACGGGTGCTTCTTTAACGTTGCTGCGCGCCTGGCTCGCTACACTGGCAATACCACCTACTCTGACTGGGCCGAGAAGGTATGGGACTGGCAAAACAAGGTCGGCCTAATCACGGACCAGCATGAGGTCCTAGATGGAATCCATCTTGAAGGCAAATGCCCCAGCTCCGTCGACAGCACGAAGTGGTCTTACAACGCTGGCATTTTTCTCTACGGCGCCGCTGTCATGTACAACATAACGGAAAACGACACCTGGAAGACCCGTGTGGATGGCATGTTAGAGGAAGTCAACAAGGTATTTGTTCAGAACGAGGTCATTTACGAAGCGTATTGCGAACCCACTGCCCAGTGCAGTCAAGACGCCCAGAGCTTCAAGGGATATCTCGCCCGATGGCTGGCAGCCACATCGCAGGTCGGCCCGCATACCTCGGACTCCATCAACAAGCTGTTATTGTCAAGTGGGAAGAAGGCAGCAACGAGTTGCTCGGGCTCTGGTGGTGCGTTCAAGGGCCCTCCAGGCACAGCTTGCGGCTTCTCATGGCTCAAAGATTCTTTTGATGGCGTGGTTGGCGTCGGGCCGCAGATGGCTTCATTGCAGGTGATCATGTATAACCTCGTGCGGGCGGCCGAGGGACCTGTTACTACCAAAACTGGAGGAAAGTCCAAGGGTAACCCCAACGGAGGCAAAATCGACGACGGTAGTGGTTCGGGCTCAAGGGGTCCCAACCTCAAGCCGATTACAGCCGCGGATAAGGCCGGGGCGGCTATATTGACTATACTTGTTAGTGTTGGTGTTGTGAGTGGCACTATTTTTGTCTCAATCTAGGGGTCTGATGTACTTCATAATTTCAAGCATATTTCTTCTCACAGCGGCTTGCCACCTCAAATTGCCATTCTGAACACGGACAGCGTTACTTCAGCTCTGGCCCTCATCTATCAGACATATAATCAGCCCAACGAGGCCCAGTCAAGTGTTGGGTGGCTAATATATAGTACCTTCGTTCTTTGGCGATGTTGTATTTGAGCATAGCTGGCTTACTCATTGTGAGTTCTGGACAGATATCATCAAAAAGTGCAGTGGGAAAACTCAGGTCTAAGCGGAGTTTCCTACGCAATTTCTAGGAACGTCCTCCCCTTGAATAACACTCAAACAACTCTGATTTCTGCTTTGCCCCAAGATAATTTACCTTATGCATTCTCTGAAAGTCACTTGTCACTAATTATACTCTAATTGCTTGGCCTTCCCCTCCTGTTCAATTTGTGCAAGTGCACTTCAATTGAACTAAACCGATAATCGTAATTGGCGTATGAAATTTTGGGCAATAGATAAGTGAACTTGATCTTCTCTCTATAATATCATAGTGGATATGTCACAGCTAAATCAATCTCGACACGAGCCAGGAGGTAGGTTTCTGGTCGTTTGTATCTAGCAGTTCTTAGTCTCGTTACGATTGGTCTTTTGAAGATTATATTATTACTGCATAAGTCTTTTGAAGATTCTCCAACAATCTCCTGCGTCAATAAACTGAGCTTTCAAGAGTTGTGACCGCTTGCGATGCCCCAAAAGTACGCTGCCCAAGCTCCAAAGATCAGCATGATCAGTGCACCAAAGCATGCCTTGGAGATGATTTTGTTCCGCGGCCCGTTGTCTTCATAGAAAACCCTCTTCCTCTCGTTCCATAGCTCGCCATGGGCGATGCGCTGCTTCCTTGTCCATTGCAAGTTTCCGAGGTCAATGGACCACCAAGACAGTGCAATCAATATGATGGACACCAACACGGATGCTCCGGAGAGAATGGCATAGACGATGACGACGTGGTCGTAGCTGTCGTTATCGGCGTCTTGGATGACACCGGTCACAACACGAACGATGATGTTCATACTGCGAAACCATTAGACTATGCGCGATTCTGATCAAGGTTTTAAGTTCTTACGAATTGTTCATGGCCATCTTGACGGCGTAAGCGGTCCCGAAGGTAGACGCATGCCACATGGAGGTCCGAATACTGTCGATGATTGTGGTAGGCCCAAGGGTGAAGGCAACCGCATAGATGCCGAAGGCAGCAGCTGCGCCCTTGGTATCAGTGACCCAGTTGATCAGGCTCATTGCTAGGAAGACTCCGGTGCCGCAAATTGCGACTAGATACAGTTAATATTCTGGTTCGGTTGTTGGCACTGGTAAGTAACTCACGCAGTGTGATACGGTTGCCCAATATGTCAATGAAGGCCCCGAGGCACGGCACTAAGAAGAAACCGGCATATTGCAAAATTGCGGAGTACCAGCCAGCAGTGATGGAGTCAGTATTGAATCTCTTTTCAGCCAGCTCGGTGGCGTTTTGGCTAAAGACTACGGCGGTGCTCGTCTGGAATAGCGAGAACGCCATGATGGCCCAGAAGGCCCAAGGCAACTCAAGCACCTGCTTCGGCTGGAACTTTTTGGACTTCTCGGTAAGTTTCTCGCCTGTCGCCGGATCCTTCATGTTGCCAAACTTTTTGTGAGCGATGCCGTTGAAACGGTAGAAGACCAGGGTGAGGACATTGGTGAAGACGTTCATGAACACAGAGATCCAGAAGACCCACGCGAAGTTGCCAGTGTTCTTCGCAATGATGTTGGCTGAAGACTTGCCGACGAAGCCACCAATCTTCTTGATGCCGAGCTCAAGACCCAGGGTCGAAGCGAAACCGTTGTTCGGCGAGAACCAGGAGCTAAAAACCTTGTACTGCGCCACTTGGGTCGCAATGTCGCCAAGGGCGAGGATAACTCGGCCAGCAATCATGAGCTTGAAAGAGCGGACTTGGGCGGCGGCAGCGACAATAATGGATCCAATCGAGTAAATAATGTTGCCTGCCGTCGCGTTAGGCTTCCCCTTCCGAGCACACAGGCCATTGCATTCATGAATGGATTAAACCACACTCACCATATAGCATGGCGCCGGCACCACCGATCCTGTCCGTTACCATTCCGCTGAAGAGAATTAAAAGGGTGACCATGAAGTCTTCACTGGCCTCGAGCAGCGAAAACTGCTTGTTGTTGATGTGCAGCTCCTTCTTCAAGGTGGACTTCAGAGCGCCGGTGATACCTGAACTCCATGATGACCCGAAACTGATGCAGGAGATAAGAATCACGGCAATCAGCTTCCAGTACATTGGAGGGTTAGGCTTTGCCTCCTCGGTTGTCGAAGAGTTTGACGAGCCCACAAGCTCGTTGACAAGGCCTTCGGGCTGCTTCGCCGTATGAGACTCGAGATCTGCGCGGGCCGCCATTGTCACGGAAGTCCCAGGCGTTCAGTAGCAGTCTAATGCAGCGATGGAGGATGAAGAGAGATCAGAACGTAGGGCCGATTCTTATTACCATAAGAGGCGGCCCGCTTCTTTAACTACTCACTGCTGACGGGATTATTCCCTGCGAGCGCAGTCCGAGGTCGGATCGGATCGGGATAGAGGGAAAATGGCTAAGCGGCGCGAACGTAACTTAGGGCAATGGAGAACGCCCATGAAGAAAATTCCCTCTGCCCAACCAAGCTTTGCTGCGTGCTACCTAGGCGTGCCAAGAGAAATCGTGGTCTCGAAAACACATCTGATAAGATTAATCAGGTTTAGAAAACCCCATCATGAGTCAAGGGTTTCTGTGTCTAGGCCAATCCGTCGACTCAGCCGTTCGGCTGACATCCACAGCGGGGTTCTTACGAGGTGGATCTCCGTGCGTTTGGCCAGTTTGCTTCAATAGACTCCATTCTCTCTGTCCTCTTTTGGCTCGGACCCGTTTTGGTACGTGACCATATCTTTGGTACGGAATAAGGGAAGTTCGGTTTGACCAATGGTGATACAGCCGAGCAGTGCTCAATCTCGCCATATCATGCCACATGTCTGTTTGTTTTTGTCAGCTGCAAAACCAGTCATTGGGGTAGTTAGATACAGGATACTTCCATCGTACTGTGTTTCTTGAAACCTTATATTCTGTTGGGAATCATTGCATACCTTTGTGACCTCAAGAGGGACTGGACTGTCTTGGATATTACGTACTCTAGCCATGCCAGAAGGGTGTGAAAGATTCGGACATGGTTGAAAAAGAATGAGAAAAAGAAAAAGAAAAGAGCTACGAGTGGAAATGCTTCGGGAGAAAGCGCACAACACAGTTGTTGCATCACACCAATTGTATAGGTTTTGTCTTTGATTAAGTGCGATAATCGATGAAATGAACTGGGCTAAATTCGCAGTCTCCTTGAGGAAACCAGCGATGTAACTATGTAACAACTAAGAGATCCATGTCTTCTCATATGTGTCTAGGGCTTCTTCTCTACGAATTATCATTTCTTGCTTCCACCATGATGGCCGTAGCCCCCGCCCGACGGTCTGCCGCCCTTGACTGAAGCTGCAGATATCTGGTCCTTATGCCCGCCTTTGGTGTTTGAGGCATTGGCTCCAGTGCCGGTGGGTCCATTTGGATCTCCCTCGGAACAACCGCCCGAGGTGTTGCCCCACTTGTTGGGCGTGCTGCTGTTCTCGAACGGACTTACGTTCTTGCTCTCCCAAGAAGACATTGCGTCGATATTGGATGTGGTTTCTGATCACTGAAAGTTTGGGTTAGATTATGAGATGAGTAGATGCTTGATTATGTAAGGCAGGTCGCTTGGATGTTGCTGATGGTGTTTATGAGTGTGTTGAAATGATGTACATATAAGTTAGGTTCGCATCCTGCGTTGTACTTATATCTATTTGGAAGTTTTTTCGACATCGAAGTGAATGAACTTGTCATTTCCAGTGAATTCGTCCTCTATTTCTTATCATATTGACTGTTTTGAAGTAGAAACTCACTCGATGTCGGCTTCGTAGTCAGGGTAGTGCGATAAATATATCGCCTCCAGTGAATCATACTCTCGGTGAACCGCAAGAGCTTAGTGAAATACTATCCACTGAGAATTATTTTCAAAGAATCTTTGATTTTTTCAATAGTATCTAATCACACAGCTGCGTTGCAAGCTCCAGAGAACCCCTCGAGCTGTCAGACAGTGTCTCCATCATGCCCTCTTTTTCTCAGTAACTTCTGCCTCAGAATCATGTATCCAATGATTTTATGGTGCATTTGATACACTAAGGCTCATTATGTATAATATTTAGGTAATGATGTTACTCCCTGGTGGCATTTAGTCAGGTAGTAGTCAGTTGCTTGACTGACGACAAGTGACGACCACGTGGTCCAAATTGGGAATCCGAGTAAAAATAAGAGGCAATGAAAGAACACAGATCATATACGGAGTAAACCTATTCTAGAGTTGACTAGTCCAGTTTATCACGCATACAATGTACATAGTACTGCTACAGCACATGCACCTGCCTGCATGCCCGGACACTAATCCTGATATGCCAGCCTCATATCATCTAAATTAACCCCTCGTCCAGCCTTACCTTACGCTCAGAGCCATATACTAACCCTCTTGTTTTAGATATCTTTGCAATAGAGACATGGTCGTTATTCGAGAAAGACCAAGCTTACACCTAGGTTTAGATATAGCCTATCATGTCATAAGTGATCCATTTGTAGTCTTGATCATACGTTTCTTGCCATCTGCCACATTCGACTCGCACGTTGTTGGATACTATATTGGAATGTATGTTGCTACGGTCTCATGGTGACATTTAGTTAGGCAACCGTGGCTCGGGCCCCAGCATCAAAACATTTCATGACAGGCTCCGCTCACTTCTCGACGGTATCGCCGTTAATGAAGTATATCTGAAAGTATAACTGACCCAGAGGATAAATGATATTGTGCGTGTTGTTTGAAGTAACGATGTCGTGGATCTTGTCCGTCGGCTGTGTCTGTCGGCAGAACTGGGAAAGGCCTCTGTGAGCGAGGACAAGTGCATCTTATGTATTAGTACCCTTCCAGAGCTAGGAAGCAGGGTTTGTTTCCTTTCCATCGAGTTCTTACTCGGAGCGGGCGGTAGATAATGTAATCACGTAAGGTATGCTGCCGCTAGCTGTGGAGCGGGTGTTGAAAGAGATATTGATGTTGTGGTCGCGGGAAGCACCTACATTGAGCTGTTCAACCATACCACCAAGACCTAGAGATATGGATTGGACGAGTAGGCTGAAAATAGCTTGCTATCTTCGGCAGGAGTACCATACCAGATCACTCTTCCAGGAAAGTCCTTAGTATGCATGGTAGCCGCGACGAGAGCTCCACCAATGGAAGCGGCTACGATGGTTTGTTGACCGTCAATTGTAAACGATCGAAAGGGTATTATTATAACGCATGGTTTCTTCCACATAGACAATTGATTTCTAGTGTTGAGTACGGTATTAAGCTAAGCTTAACTACTGTCTCTTGATTAGTTAAGATGAAGGCCCTGGATGAAAGAATTGCAGAAGCGGCAGCTGAATCTGTGCTAGCTGATGGGCCGCTTCCCAGAAGCCTCTCTAGATTACAGAATGACTAAAACACCCCTTCTTGTCTGGCAAGCAGTAGTTCGTCCTGCGATAACGGATGCTGCTCAGATTGGACCCTTTCAGTGAGCTCTCTGACGAATGTCATTCTGGAAGAAAGATCTACCACAGAGAGTGCCAAAGTGTTTAAGATTGGATGTTTCTGTGAGCCTTGACACTGGAGAACCGGGCAGTCATTGGGATTGAAAAGTCTGCAGCGTCAACAGTGAACCGTAATTACTATACAAACTGCCAAGTAATTGCATTGTAGTTTTGCTCGTTATCGTTATTGGGGCTTCTCCCTTACCACACTGATAATCGATTGAAATCATACGTTAACTGGAATGGGATGTGATGCATTATTCCCACAGAGGCTGAAAAGATCTGCTTTGGGTCAAACATTCAATAACGTCTAGCGGTAAGCATACCTCAGTCAGATCATCCAGCACTGAACCCCACTGATCAAAGTGATGACCCACAACGCCCGCTCTCAAAATAACGATTGGGGAATGTGGCCCGCAGGGTTGGGAAAAAATACTTAAGTATAAGTAAAAGTACAAGTATACTTAAGTAAGTAAGTATAAGTCCAGGGTTAAAAATACTTACTAAGTATAAGTAAGTAAAATTCTCTAGAGCAAATACTTAAGTATACTTAAGTAATTCTTAATTATACTTAAATGCTTATTACGTAATATTTTTAAAGGATTTCTTAGTAAAGTAATAAAGATAAAGCTAGTACTCTTGGTCTCTCGTTACATAATAGGCCACGTGACCTGCGTAGTAGGCTATCTTAGCCTATAATATACCTTGTTCTCTATATTTTTCTTACGTAAGCAAGTACTTAAGTATACTTAAGTAAGTACCTTCTAGGCTTAAGTATACTCAAGTAAGTATTTTTTGAAAATAATTACTTAAAGTTACTTATTCCCAACCCTGAATGTTGGTAGGCAATGCGGGGGATGGTCTAACGGAGAACGGCCGGGGCCGGGGGGCAACTAGCCAATCACACTGTCACTTAAGTCTTCCTCCGTGGTTCAAAGAGCGGACGGATTTTGAAGGCATGCAGGAACATGGATCACTGGCTTGGTTATCGTGCCAGTTCCAAAGGGGTATGGTGCACCACCAATTCGGGAGTTTGATCCCGAGGAAGTATATCCTAGATTTGGAGAAACGAGGAGAAAGTGAGAACACCACATGTTTGACGGGCTGGAAAGCGGGGGAGGCAGAGGTCGTCAGATCCTTTCATACGGCTGGATTGAACTTTCCGTGCTTGAACACGTACAACTGACCCCTGACAGTCGTCTTCCTTGGGGCAGGAGAACGCTCCAGACGGCAGACAGTTTCTGCTAAGCCTACTAGGTAAGCTTGGGTTCAAAGTATTCGAACCCAACCCACATGACTGTTGCGGGTTAGCATTCTTTCGATGATGACTTTACTCACATTGGGAAACCTGAGAGAATCATCAATACACAAATCTGAGCAGCAAATGCTCAAACTTCGCCGTCCCCGACAGCAGGTCTCCAAATCAAACCTTTCAGAGCTACCGGTACTTAGTAAATTGGTAGGTACTAGGCCTCGGTCCGATTCACCGGCCGGCATCTATAACCCGACAATTGCCGGCCAACACATTTAGGTATCTCTTCACCAGACCTCATGATCCTTAGAGGGACACCCATCGTACTACGCGTGCATTGAGATGATTGTACGCAACGCGATGAGTGGATCCTTATCCCGACACTCTGGATTGCTGCCAAGGCAACTGTGTGGTCGACTCTGTTGTTCATTCAGAAGTGCATAGGTTCTCTATTTCGGTAGACCTGCCGAAATAAATGGCCTGTTCTTCGTTGGGTGTTCGGGGAAACCGGGGCCGACCAACCATCCAAATCTGCACAGAATCGCCAAGCAGCCCTAGACCATCACGGCTCCTGTCGTTCTTCACTTAACCCCTCCAATCACAACGCGCCTCGGCCATCCGGTTCAATCTCCCACCGCGAAACGTTGCGTCCAAAATCCCGGACAGAAGCCGGGTTTCCAAGGCTCCACCGTCAGCGGAACGCCACTTCTCATGTGGTCGGCCTGGGGATGGTGCGACCTGGGGTATTAAGTCTGACATTTTGAGGGGAGGCAATCTGCGGGGATGGCGTAACGGTTGCATTGCTGCAGCGGGACTCATGAGCCCATGCATTTGTGGATACGCAGTGAATATGCGCATGGCATTGGACCACACGCGTATGTCGCCGTCGCGCTGGGGTTGGAGTGGTATGGTCAGGTTGCAACCGAGGGATGAGCGAAGCAGGAAAGCAACAAGCTGGCGGGCTATTGAGATGCATGAGCTGGTGTTTATAAAAGGGCGATGCACGTCTGCGTTGATCTGGGGAAGGTCGATCGTTTGGTTTCCCCAGATTCTCCGCCCGCGTCTATCTGACTCAGTCTCTCCAGCAATAGCTCAAAGACATTGTGGGTTTTGCTTGCCAAGATGGCCAAGCCTGTTAACCAGACCTCCTCGCTTGGAGACGAGAAGCGAGACGTCGCCAGCACCGATTTTCAAGAAGACGCGCCCCCTGCCGTGGTCGCGGCCGCTACTGCCCACGAGATTGCCCACGAGGTCGATGATGGCAAATACTCACCCTGGACCAAGTCCATGTTTTACCTCTACGCAGTGCTCTTTGTTGCATACTGCTGTGGTGCGCTGAACGGTTATGTGAGCCTGAGCTCACAAACACAACTGTGGGTTGGGAAAAAGCTGACCAGAAAATCTTAGGACGGATCACTCATGGGTGCGCTTAACGGAATAGGCTCGTACCAGCGGACGTTCAACATGTAAGCACTGCTCACTGATAATAGGTTGGGTATTTAGCATCGGAGTCTAACGGAAATATAGGAAAACCTCGGGTTCAGAGACCGGTATTGTCTTCATGATGTAGGATACATACAGATGAAATTTTGGAGGAAGTGCCTAACCGAAAGACACTAGGTACAACGTTGGATCAGTTTGCGCCATCGCTTTTACGGGGCCCGTCAACGACCTGCTCGGTCGCCGTTGGGGAATGTTCATCGGTGCGCTCCTGATTATCGTAGGTTTGCCTGCTTCCTAAGATGTAACAGAATAGGCTGACAATACTCCAGGTGGGCACATGCATCCAGTAAGAATAGTCCTAGTCACTCTTCATGATGACACGAAACTGATACAGGCGATAGAGCTACGAGCAAAGCCATTCCGCAGTTTCTTGGAGGCCGATTCCTTCTGGGTTTTGGTGTTTCTTTTGCCTGTGTCTCCGCACCCACATACGTGAGCGAGTTGGCTCACCCCAAGGTACTTGGGGCTCCATGCGTATTTTAACAAGTCTGTTAGGCTAACAATTGGCTAGTGGAGAGGTACTCTGACTGGCCTCTACAACTGCATGTGGTGAGTGTACTCCTCTGCCCTTCTTTTCACCTACGAAACTTTTCTCTATGCTTCCTTCCCATTTATATGTTTATGTCGTTGTCGCTTTTCGGATATATCTTGCAGTAAACTAATTAAAAGATAGGCCCGTGGGCGCCATCATCGCTGGTTGGGTAGCATATGGCGCAGAGCAAATCCCTGGTGACGACGGATGGCGGGTTCCTGTTTGGTGCCAATTGGTATATGCCCCCACCATTACGGGTCTATGTATGTTGGGTCTAACGTGCACCAGATCACTTCCGGAATCGTTATAATCTTTGTGTTTTTTCTACCCGAGAGTGTAAGTCTTCACACCCATTCTCAACGGACGGTACTTACAATTTTTGAACAGCCCCGATGGCTTGTTGCCAACGACAGACACGAGGAGGCAGCCAAGATCCTCACGGCCTTGCACGGAGAGTCAGACCCAAACCACCCCATCGTACAGCTACAGATGAAGGAGATGATGGCCCAGATTTCCAGCGAAGCCAGTGACAAGAGATGGTGGGATTACCGAGAGTTGTGGGATACTCACTCTGCTCGTAGGAGACTCATTTGCGTTCTCGGTATGGCTATTATGGGACAGGTAAGAGCTTTGCGCTCCTCGCGTATTATGCGCTTACATGGATACTCACCCCTCTTTTGGATAGGCTTCAGGCAATTCTCTGTCAAGTTACTATCTTGTAACCATGATGAACACGGCTGGCATCACAGACAGGAGTAAGGTCCTGGCCCTCAATGCTGTCAACAGCGTTCTCGGTCTGCTCGGTAGTCTCATCGGCGCCCGCCTTACTGACCGCGTTGGCCGACGACCACTCTTGATCTACAGCATTCTCTTCTGTTCTATGACTTTCGCTGTCATCACTGGAACGTCCAAGATGGCCGTCGACGACCCCAGCAATACCAACGCTGCAAACACCACGATTGCTTTCGTCTTCCTCTTTGGTATCATTTTCTCTCTGGGTTGGACTGCCCAGCAGAGCATGTATATCGCAGAAACCCTCAGCACATCCACTCGTGCCAAGGGTACTGCCGTCGGCAACTTTGCGTCCTCGGCCATCTCCTTGGTCCTCGCATACAGCTCTGGTCCCGCGTTTGAGCAGATTGGCTACTACTTTTATCTGGTTTTCGTCTTCTGGTAAGTGTCCGATGACAGCTCTGCCGCTCTGTGAGATGAAGCGGCACAATAAATGCATGCTAATGCCAGCCGCTAGGGATATCCTGGAGGCTGTCTTCATCTACTTTTTATTCCCAGAAACCAACCACCGTACGCTTGAAGAACTGGAGGAGGTATTCTCTGCACCAAACCCAGTCAAGAAGAGTTTGGAGCCTCGTAGCGCATCAACCGTGTTGGACACCATGAAGGTCGCCGATGAGAAACTTGGATATGTATAGAGGTTACCATACTTTGTGAATTCTTGATTCACATTACATCTGGGCTTTTGAATGCAAGATCCAGGCATTGGAATCATATCAAACCTAGCAAATATCTGACACAATCAATGAGAAACACCCTTAACTCGAAGAGATTTCATGGAGAGTATTGGCTATGGCTGTTTTGGGGCTTTTTAAACTTTGAGACTAAATTCAGCACTATGGTCTTCTCCTCACCGTTCAGCGAATGCATCATCTACGGATAGATGGCATGACAGTAACGGGCCAGTGAAGCCGTGAAATCGGATATTTGGGACTACTTTGCCATTTTTAGACCCCCTCCCCTCCAGCTTCAGAAAGGATGTACTTTTCCGTCTGCAACCCCCTCATTTCTTCTGTTGTGAAAGGGGGGAAGGCCGATTCCGTGCCACTTTTCAACAGACGAGCGCGGAAAAGACTGCGTTCCACTCCTAAATCCATAACAGTGACGGATTAAAGTCCACTTCGGATATGCTAATGACTATTTAGCTACCATATATGCACGAGAAACAGCCTCGAACTCATCTCACTTGATCACTCTCTATTTTCGGACGATAAGCACGTTGCCAATTCCTGTTGAATCAATTGCGATAGTTGATGTGACTTGGAAAATTGCCGTCCAAGTCGAGATTTCACCACAAAATCCAAAATCATGTCTCAACGGGGAGTTATCCGGGACATTGTCATCACGCCCGTGGCATTCCATGACATGCCGTTGCTGAACAGTGTTGGTGTGCACGAGCCATTTGCACTCCGCAGCATCATTGAGGTCATTACGGACGATGAATATGGATTGGGCGAATCCTACGGTGACTCAACCCACCTTAGCCGCCTGGAACTCGCGGCCGATCGCATCAAGGGCCTTTCGGTCTATAGCACAAACTCCATCTACCAAGCTTGTGTCGGCTCCCTGGAGGGCGACACCAGTACTGGCGGCGACGGCATGGCAGGTATGGTGACTACAGCCTCGGTTGTCGACAAGGTTTTCTCCCCGTTAGAGGTCGCGTGCCTCGACATTCAAGGGAAGTTCGCTGGCGTCCCCGTGAGCGACCTCCTCGGTGGTCGTATCAGGGACAACGTCCAATACTCGGCATACTTGTTCTACAAGTGGGCTGGTCATCCCGGAGAGCCCGATGACGAATACGGCGCAGCGTTGGACCCTGCTGGGATTGTGAAGCAAGCACAGAAGATCATTGAAGAATATGGATTCAAGGCTATCAAACTCAAAGGCGGTGTATACCCACCAGCCCAGGAGGTTGAAGCTATTAAGGCATTGCATACGGCGTTCCCCGGCGTACCACTGAGGCTGGATCCTAACGCCGCCTGGACAGTTGAGACTTCCAAGTGGGTAGCCAAGGAACTGGAAGGAATAGTCGAATACCTGGAAGACCCAGCTCCAGAGATCGAAGGTATGGCCGCCGTGGCTAAGGAGGCGTCGATGCCGTTGGCAACAAATATGGCTGTCGTCGCCTTCTCCCACCTCCCTACATCGATCCTGAGAAACGCAGTCCAAGTGGTCCTTTCTGATCACCACTTCTGGGGTGGGCTGCGCAGGTCTCAGACACTGGCCGTCATCTGCGCAACATGGGGCATGCGGCTTTCGATGCACTCCAACAGTCATTTGGGCATTTCATTGGCTGCCATGACGCACTTGGCATCCGCAACACCCAACCTGGATTATGCTTGCGATACTCACTGGCCATGGAAGCCCCGTGACGAGGATGTTGTTATTGAAGGAGCCCTCAAGTGGATCGATGGTGGCTTAAATGTTCCAACGGGACCTGGATTGGGTGTTGAGCTCGACAGGCAGAAGCTGGCGCATCTACATCAGCAATATTTAGATTGTGGGTTGCGAAAGCGGGACGATACTACGTACATGAAAAGGTTTCAACCGGATTTCTCTGCCAAAATTCCGAAGTGGTAAGGAAACATATCTTTACTAGGGCCAGGAATTCCTTGGATCATCTGGAAGCCTCTAGCTTCAACTAGATCGCGCAACATTGCGAGTATATTTAGAGGTAATCACAGGGCCATAAGACGGAACAACTTCCAATATACCGGGTTCCTATTCTCTGCGGTGTATTCTTCTCGAACCTCCCTAATTCAGTGCGTGCCTGATTGATCAAGTTCCTTGACGATTTCCTTTTTGTATCATGGCATCATTTCTCCTTCGCAACCTGTATTTTAACTTCCCCAATATGAAGTGAGGGTTCTTGTTCATGGGAACAACTGTATAGAACCCATTCCAACGTGCTGGTTTTGCGCATCCGCATCTTGTAGCATTTTTGTGAGTTAACTTTGATTCGATCAAAAACTAAGTAGATACTTACAAGTAAAACCCATTCAACTCAATGGTAGCCATCTGTATTCTTGGAGCGGGTGGCACTCGATGGTTTCCAATGGCCTTTTCAAGATCGATAGAAGGCATAATCGAGCCACTCATGCATATCCACCGTATTCAAGTCCACTTCTGGAATCTCCATCTCGGAAAGATATTCGTGAAGCTTTTCGAGACCACTGTGTTGTCTCTCCTCCCATACCCCTAGGCGACGTTGACGTCTAATATACCGGGCACGACGACCAGGATCCTTCTGATAATGTCTCATTAATCTGTCGAGAAGGCTGTTCAGTATAGACAGTGCTATGCAAGCCAGCCACCCTTTTGCCGTTAATGAAGTAGGAAGCAGGGTGCCAGCTGCACTAACGCTGCCTCTGAGTCTCAACTCGGCGATGGTGTTGTACCATGTGTGGTTACCGGGGTTGTCCATTGCCACAATGTATAAAGAGGGTAAATATAGAAGACGTATCAAAACAAGAAGTTCAAAGTGTGGCATTCAAGTCGCCGTATCAACGCACGCAAGTTTGAGCAGTCGGGTCTCACGATGAACTGAGGTCAATCTACAGTTTTTGCTCTGAGTGGCGGAGGAACGGAATGACCGGGACTGCATTCGGTCACGTGGTGCCCTGAACGCGGTCGCGCGCGGACGTTGACTGGTTTGGCTGCGAATGTAAGATTTGATCTGATGAAACAACAAAAGTTAAAAAGTCTGTTCTTGCATGGTTAGGCGCAATGAGCAGATGCTGGACAGTACATTAGCGCTTTGGTCTGTTCAATCTTAATCATTTGCTCGTTAGGGCAACGCACTGTCAATGGTTTACACACTATTACACCAGGTATGGTATAGCAGCGGTATTTGAACCATAACCCTAGCTGCTGCTACGACGACAAACAGAAATGTGGCGTTTTTCATTCTATCATTAATTTCAGACCCTGTCGTTGTCCACCGTCAGTGACGGCTCGCTTGATATCAAGCAGCAAAGAAAAGATTCGGTGAGCTGATTTGATGCACAATCGTAATCAACATATTTTATTGATATTCCCCAGGTTATGGGTCGCTCTTGTGCGTCTTTGTAGACATATGATCCGCAGTTTGTCTGGAAACGAGATAAAGCACGAGCTCAGTGTGACTGAGCCAGCATGTAGCACCGGTGGCATTATCTTAGAATAGAACATCTACAGCACGTCAAAGTGACTAAGCTCGAATTGTATTAGGCCAGTTTTATTCTCACCAATAACTCAATGTTACTATGTTTCAGCATTTTGATACATGATCAAGATTTATGACTCCGGAGGATAACATTGGATAAGAGGGCCGGGGGTATAAGAAAACATCACTCTAACATGTTTCACCCAAGCCAGTACCACGTCCAACTGGATGCGTTCGACCATCTATTACTGCGCTCGGTTGATAATATTCCGTTTCTGATGATAATATTTAGATATTCAACCAATGTTTGGATCAGGTTCATCCTGGGAGAATTTAACGTGAATTAAAGCTATTTTTATTTCATATATCACGACCATATGTAGCAAGATAAGAATTCGGACCTCCTTCACTTGCTTTTCCTAATCGAAATTGAGCGGGTTCAGTTTTCCTCGCCCCCGTAGCTTATCTTCAATGGAGAAAGCAATATATCTCAAATCCTCTGCCTTGCTTTATTTCCAGGCGCAGAACATATCTTTTACTTTGCGTAGATGATCCTTGTCTGTTGGGTCATCAGCATGGAGCAAAAATTCCCCGACAAGCTCCATTCGTAGGTAGTCAGCCAGAGTTGGCTCTTGGATTTGTACGACATTTTACAGACTCCCCAGTTTCCAAGCGAAATATAAGAAATCAGTCCGTATGCTATCAGTTTTCGTATGCTTCTTCGTAAGTTCTTCTTTGAGCAGCGTAAAGTCCCCGTGATACGGTTTACGGTGGTTGGCGAGTTCATCGATAAGTCCTGACAACTCTGCAACAAAATCATCTACTTGTTCTTCCGAGGCAAGAACCCCGAGGACGGCGTTGGTATATGGAATAGGGAGTGTCATGATCTTGATCATGAAGGTGTTGGGGAAGGGTTGCAGATGTGCAGTGCGCTGTCCAGTACCCATGATCCAATCTTGATTGTTCCTGTTCTCGCGGATGTTTTCGATCATCGCGATGATTTCTTTGAGCAGAAGAATGCAGTTTGATCGCCAACAACGCCAATGACGAGGGCTTTCAAATCGTTTCTGACACAGATGAGACGTCAGAAAGTAGAGAGCGCTGTTGTCACCCTTTCGGACAAACTTTTTTGCGACCGAGAACAAGAGGTTCTGCACCATCCGCACGCGGACCCCGTTGGTGCCCTCCAAATTGGACATTGTATCTTCCGTGATAGCAATTAACACGTCTGATGCGTATGAGACATGAAGCAGGAGTTTTCCGGTTTCAGAGCCATCAAATTGATCAATCCAGTGTTTGCTCGCGTTAGAGCCGACTAGATCCCGATTCGACTTGACTGCTTCCGTAATGCGTAACATTGCCGGGGTTGGGTCAATTTGTGTCAAGATGACAGAACAATGAATCTTAAAGAGTGGCACCGGAATGTAGCTAACCCAGTCCTTGAAGAATGATGCAAGTGCGTCTGGGCGGGCCACGTGGGGAGTCGTTCGTTGGCTTCGAGGGTAAAACCGTTCTTCATGAGGAAAAGTTCTATCCAACGGCTGTTATGAACTGTGGACTCCTCGAGGGCAGCCATGATGAACTGGGAGATGCGTAACTTGTCTTCCGTGTTGAGCTTCTTGTCCAGGGCTTGGTCAAGCATCATACTCAGGAGCAGTGCTTCCTCGCCCACGTCAGGGAGGGTGCCTTGATCATCACCAGCAGCAGCCCAGTCATCTTCAGAGAGGGGCCTTCTTTCACTGAGTTGTGCAGCGGTTGGTACGTCATAGGCTTTACGATTCGTTCTAGGACGTAACAGCCCAAGCTCTCGCCGTTGGACGAGTATCCGACGCGCGCTTTGGACTTGATTTCCTCTTCTTCGAGAAGAACGTCCATGGTTGGTTTCCACAAGATCTCCGTGCTGTCGAGGGAAAACTCATCTAAACTTGGAGATTCCATGATCTTGTTGATGGATGTTGCCCTGGCACAACGCAAATCGGCAATGATCTTAGGGAGATCGAAAACACCGGCCCACTGAGAGACGCTAAATCCGGGCTCTTCGACCACCATTGCCAGGGTTTCGAAGAGGCCAGGATGATTTTGTTCACAAGCCTGATATCTCTGGCAATCGATGCCAACGTGGCTACTGTAGCTTTCAGCGACTTGGACTTCGGTATGGCACACAAGAGATCTTTTGCTTCTTGCGTCGCCCAAGTTCCGTGACCGTAGAGTTCATTGGCGGTCACAAAGTCCTTGTTGAAACGCCGTGCCCATAATACAGTGTCTGCCACCATGTCCAGGTCCCCGGCAGCAAAGCAAAGATTGAGTGCCGATTTGGCCCAGAAGGTGCGGTTCTTTGCTTCACGCGACTGGTGTGATTTCTTCTCCCTCTCCTCGAGTATTGAACGAGTTCGATCCAGCCAGGTCTGGTCTTGACTTTCAGAATCAAGTCTTCGATTGAGAAGACACCTGACCACCTCCACATCCCCCCGTGTGAAATCGCCTGGGACCCGAGTTTGATCCGCCACTGTATTTTCGCCAGCACCATTGCCAGGCTTGAGGGAATTGCCGTCGGGATGAGCCGTGGCAAGTCTCTCGAATAAGCATCTTCCATTGTCGACATCAATTGATCAGAAGACCTTCGTCGGCCACATAATGTTCTTAGCCAAATCTCTCAACTTCGAGAGACCTGGGGCCGAGTTATCCTCTAGTGACATCTCATAACCCTTGACGTGACGAAAGAACAGCCGGAGAAGATCGTATCTCGCCTCGGGGGTTGTTTTCCATGGTACGTCGATGCCACTACAAATATCGTCCAGACCGAACAGATGCTTCCTGGTAGGCAGAAGTGCTAAAAGCTTTGCCACACGTGCTTCCATCTTTTCATTCCTGTTGCCCTGGGCGCCAACCCAAAGCTGGATGGTGTATTGAAGTAGCCCCCCCGGTTGAATGTGTATCTCGCTTGCCAGAGCCCCCTCGTGTCTCTGGATACACTGAATCGTGCGATCCAAAAAGTCGTCCCGGGTCTCCCTATCATATCGCCCTCTCAGCAACCGTCTGAGCAGCGGCATGACACACATAGCCGTAAAGTCGCTGGGGATCTGGACGTGTTCTTCCTTAGTATTGAGCATCGATAGAACCATGCCGCAGAACTGCAAATTCTTGCCGAAGAGACGCCTATGCGCCTTGAATTCCAGCTTGCTCGTATCGGAGGAGAACAGCTCTCGGAGGAAATCCTGCTCGTGTCGGTCGCGATGACACCGCCATAGTCGACAAAGCTGCGGCCCGTTCCATTCAATATTTCTCGTTTGCTCCCATTCTTGCAACATCTCTAGGTTGCAGGCCGGCACAATATCCTGGTAGAATGCCGTTAAAGTTCGATCATCCTGCGGATCGTCGTAAAGAACTCTGACGAGCTTGCCGAGTGATTCGCGTCTTTCAGGGTAAGCGTTCCGCGCGTACGCCGTGTTACCCAACCGTCGACGCAACAACCTCACATCTCGCACACTGAACTCAGCCATCAAGCAAGCGATTCCAGCAGCCCCGCCAACGGCATCCCATGTTGACTGAAACCGATCTTTGTGCCAGAGCGCCTTGGCAAATATGGGCATTGCCGCGCTACGGTCGCTGGCGCTGTCTTTCTGGCGCAGATCTTTTGCTATCTGCGCGATATCCTTTCGAGCCATCGCGGCTGGGGAATCATGAGTTCGGCGTGTGCTGTGTGCAGTCAGATTGGTGCGGACAGATGTGAGAGAGAGGCTGCTTATCAACGATGCAAGACAGTTTCGCTCCCCCGCCCCCATTTTACGTCTACCGGATTCTTCGTAAGAGTCATGCGGGCCGAGACTAATAGGGTAGCGAGGACGAGTTTATCATTTGATGATTGGTAGCTGTGTTTTAGGCAGGAATCATCACTGCATATGCAAATCAGCGGCGCTGGTCCGTATGATTTGAGTAAAGCCTCATGATACTGTTCCCGAATCCCACACCACCAAGAAATTAAACCAATACTTCATATGTGTTGCCGAGTTGTTTAACGAATATAATGGCCGCTCTTCCTTGTACCGAAACTGTTGGTATACGGTAGGTATGCTTCGGGGGAGGTGGTCACGTGATATTCACGTGACACACCGCCTCCCTCGGCAGTATCCACCTCACCACCAGTATACCACCCAAAAGTCTGGATTCACTTTGTAACCAACCAATACAACAAGAACAAGCAACCACATTCTGTATCACAATTTGTTACGTGATCTACAGGATATCCCTCTTACGTGATTTAACCAACACTGATCTGTTAGTATACGGTAGGTATGCTTCGGGGGAGGTGGTCACGTGATATTCACGTAACACACCACCTCCCTTAGCAGTATCCACCTTACCACTAGTATACCACCTAAAAGTCTAGATTTACTTTATAACTAACTAATATAACAAGAATAAGTAACTATATTCTATATTACAATTTGTTATATAATCTATAAGATATCCCTCTTATGTAATTTAACTAACACTAATTAGTATATAATTAATTATAAGATTACTACTGTAATAGATTAGTAAGGTTTTTTATATAAAGCAGAGAGGATTAACTAGCCTATTAGTAAATAATCCTTTATAAATTTAACTATTATTATTATTATAACTTTCTTTACTTCCTTACTTTATCTTAACTAAATCTATATTAATAATAAGTAGAAAGGAAAAAGGTAAAAAGCTACTACTAGTAATAGTAAGGCTGTTAAGTTAATAAATAATAAATATCTATTCCCCTTTATATCCTTTAATATTATTATTATTACTATCTTACCTCTTATAACCCCTCTCTCTTCTACCTGCTTTTATCTGCTATATTAATCTAATAACATAAAGTAACTATATTAACTTTAATCTTAATAAGTTAGACGCCTATAAAGTTAGATTATATATAATATATATAATTACTATATAGTTAGACGCTAACCTCTATAGCTACTACCTTTTTACTACCTTTTAGTTAGATTTTATAGATTAGACTATTACTACCTTTAACGCTATAGGCACTAAGGCACTATTAATATTTTATAATTATCTTGTTAATAATAGAGTCTTTATTAATTTAGTAAAAAGAAAGATTACACCTAAATTAGTAGACCTTCTTAATACTAATTTCTATATATAGACTAAAGAAGATATTACTTTTATACGCTATAAATAGCCTATCTTTAACTTATAAATAAAGAATCCTAAATTTATTAATAATATTACTAGTTAATATATCTTACTTAAGGAGAGATTAATAATTAATTAAGCCTTATTTACTACTTTTTTAATATTATTATAAATAGTAGCTAATATTACTTTATAAAGGTAACTAACCTTATTTACCTTAACTTATCTATTAATAGTAAATTATTACTAACTAAAGTAGGAGTAAAAAGGTATAACTTTACTTTTATAATAAAATAAAATCTACTAGGCACTTACTAACTTAAACCTAGTACTTAGAGGTAATATAGGCACTTTATTTATTAACACCTTATTATATAATCTAAAAACCTCTTACCTTACTTATTACCTTACTTATTAATCTTATTATAGCTAGTATAGTAAGTAATTAGGTAGTTAGCTTATTATAATAAATAGAATAAATCTTTAGTAAGATATACTATTTAACTTATTAAGTAACTATAAGCCTACTACTAACTTACTACCTTAAAGCACTATATAAAGATTTTAGTTATAGGGCTATAATAAATTATAATAACGTTAGCTACTATATAAGCCTAACTTTATCCTTATCTTTTCCTTATAACCTTACTTATATTAGCTAACTAACCTTATAAAGCTACTAACTAATAAAATAAAGTATAATAGTAAGCTATATAACGTTCTTAATCTAAAGTTAAGTATTTTTTAGGATAATTATAGTAAGGTTAGGATTAAGTAACACTAGCTTAGCCTTACCTTCTTAATTATACTAAAAGGTAAGGTATCTTAGTTCTATATTAATTATATTTATAGTAATAGTATTTATAATTTTAATAAGATAGTTAACTAAATTTATAACTACTTTAAGATATAGGAATAAATATAGACTTAGTTATCTAAATAGTAAGAAATAACACTTCCTTAAGTTATATATAATAATCCTATAATAACTAAGATCTAAGCCCTTAAGGAGCTTATCTTAAAGCTAGCCCTTATCTAATAGGCTTTCCCCTTATTATACTAAAATAATAAGGTGTTAAGAAGTTAGTTACTAAATGCCTGCTCTAAGGTTCCTAAGTATAACTTTTACTTATATACTCTAGCTATAATATTAAAAGAAGTATATAGCTAATTATAGTTATTTATTAGTACTACTATAAGGCGCCCTTACTATAGCTAGTACTTTACTAAATCCTTACTTTTATTACTTAATAATTAATATTAAGTAGACTATACTTACTAAGGCTAAGGCTATTATTAATAGTTTAGTAATAACTATAGTAGTAGTAATTTTTATAATAGTAATAATAATAATAGTAGCTATAATACTAAAAAGTGCTATATTTACTATAAGCCTAGCTACTAGTTAATAAAGTATACTACTAATAAAAGATATAAAGCGTACTAGTAATTTAAAAGTAACTATTATATTAAAGATATCTTACTAACTATATATAACACCTTTCTTACTAGCTATAAAGGCACCTATTTATAGGAAGAAGAAAATAAAGATAGTAATAATAATAAAGATCTTTAGTAGTATCTCTAAGGGGCCTACTTTATTATTAGTAATAATAAAAAAATAAGATAATAGTGTATTTTACACCTTAACTACGTTCTTTAGAAGCGCTAAGGTAGATAGTAAGGCACTTACTACTAACCTTACTAACTAGGCTATTTATTACTAATTAATAAAAATTAACCTTAATAGCGCCTTTACTAAGTTACTTAGTACTTTTATATTAGATTATTACTTATTAGCTACCTTTTAAGGTATTTTACTAAATATAGGCGTAGTAAGTTACTTAACTATAGGCTACTTATAAGCTATTACACTATAGTAAATTTAACTATCTATAACTATTAATACTATAGCTATAGGTAAAGTAAAGATTAGATTTAGTAATAGTAATACTATTACTTTATAAGGTATTATTATAGTAAAGACTTCCCTTAGGTATATTACCTTTTATATAATACCTACTAATACACTTTTTTTACTTTACTTAGCTAATATAAATTAGCTATTAATTTAATTTAATAACCTTATAAATACTTTTTAATAAGGTAAACTTATAGTGCTAGTTATATAAAAATAAGGCTACCTATAGATACTACTTAGCCTGCCTAAGTAAAGCCTTATAAGTTATTACCTAACTAACGTTAAGCTATACTGCCTTTATTAATAGTTTAGCTATCTATTAATTTACTAGCTATATAAGATCCTTTATAAGGCTAGCTATAAGGTTAAAATAAAGGTAATTAAATACTTAATAAAGTACTACTATTACTACTAAATTTATAGTAAGGCACCTTCTTATTTTTAATTTACTTTATATAATAACTACTTCTTTAATTATAAAATTATTATTAATATAATATACCTTAATAGTAACCTTATACTTTATATAGTTAATACTACTACTACCTTTAATATAGCCTACTTCTTTTATAATATTTTAGTAAAAACTATATAAGAGGTACTTTATTACTACTAAATTAATATCTACTAAGGACCTCTAGATTAAATTATTACTAACATAAGATAGAACTTTATCTTAACTAAATTTTTATATAAGGCCTATATAATAGGCGTTAAAGTTAAGATTATCCCTATTAAAGCCTATTATAGCGTTAGGAAGGTTAAGAGATACTACACTATACTTTAATAGGTATATAAGATAATCTATAGGGAGTGCCTATTTATTAACTATAAATCTATACTTTAGAGCGTAGCTAAAGTAATTAATAATACTACTAGCCTAAATAGCCTTATGCTTACCCTACTAGTATTTAGCGCCTACCCCTATATAACTACTAACTTTACCTTTTTACTTAAGATAATCTAACGTATAACTACTATTTATAAGGTAACTAAAGATCTTTATAAATATAATATAACGTAGTAAATTAATAAGGCTCTTACTACTTATAACAGCCTAGATACCTTTATAATAAAGGATCTACCTTTAGGTAGTAATGTCTACATCTAGTATAAGAAAAGAGGTTAGTCTAGCCTATATAAATTACTTACTACTTAAGGTAAAGACTTTACTATTAATATTAATAGCCCTTATATTTTCTAATCTATATTAGTTAAGCTATACTATATAGTAAATAATAGAGAAAAAGGCTTAGCTAAGTAACGTCCCTTATTTATCCTAAATAGTAATAATAGTTATAGTAATAAGCCTACTAAAGATACTATTATTATTATAACTAGTCTAAAGTAGTAACTATATACTAATAATACTACTATTATATAACCTTAGTAAGCTAGGAAAATCCTTATAAGATACACCTTACTATAGGAAACTAATATACCTTATACTACCTTCTTTTTAGTAAAAAAAGAGGCCTATTAAACCTTTATAATCTAACTATATAAAAAAGGTATTATTACTACCTTAGGTAAGCTATTTAAGTAATTAGTAACTACTAAGATTAATAGCCTTATTATATAAGGTGTCTTTAAATTTACTATAATTAACTAACTTTAACCTTATAAGTAAATTTTTAAATTATAGATTATAAATAAGGTAAAAGGTACTAATAAGAAGCCTTATAAGAAATTACGCCTTATTATTTAAGGCTATACTAATAATAGTAAGGAGGCTATTCTTACTTAGTTACTTACTATTTAGTAAGCTAGCTAGTAGCTTATTCTTATACTAGCCTTTTCTTTTCTTATTAATAGTAAAGTTATATAGCTATATAATATTATATAGGCCTATATTTAATCTACTTCTTACCTTAACTATACTATTTATACTAAGCTCTTAGCCTAAATCTATTATAAGTACCTTAATAATATTATTATAAAGGTTATTAAGCCTCTATATAGGATTACTAAGGTAGGTATATACTAGTAAGCTACTTATAACTATTATTATAAGGAGAATCTTTAGATAGTCTTTACTATATATAACCTCTACTTTCTCTTATTATTTAGTAAAAATCTATACTTTATACTTATTAGTATATAAATAAATAATACTATTAGCCTAATAGACCTTTTATTTTCTAACTAAGAGAATAAGGAACTAACTAAAGTAAAATTTACTATAAAGGATAAGTTATTTTTTACTATTAACTAACTACTTACCTTTAATAGTAAGATTATTATAGTTATATTTACTATAAATACTTTTATTATACTTTACTAAAAAAAGTAAGAAGTAAAACTATAATTAATTAATATAAAGTTACTTATAGCCTATTAAGATTTTATCTAGTAATAGGTATAAGAAGTATATATTACCTCTATTTACTAGCCTAAAGCGTACTATAATCTTTTTATTATAGCCTAATATAAGGAGCTAGATAATAAGGTAATTAAAGACCTTAACTATTAACTATAATAGTAAATAAGCTTACTTAACTATAGTCTATAATTTATTCCCTTAGATCTTATATTAGCTAAGCTATTTATATTTATAAATAGATTATTTACTAATAATTATAATATAACTTTATAGTTAGGATTTATTATCTTTTTTATAAATAAAAAAGTTAATAATAACTAAGCTAAGTTTTCCCTTTATAGTAACGTCCTTTATTTCTTATTTATAAAGTCTAAATAAGTTACCTAAAGCGTCCTTATATCTAAAGTATATAAGATAGTTATAAGTATTAATATAGCTTACGCCTTATCTATAACTATTATAATAGTTACTTAGAAGCTTAATATCTTATTAATCTTAACTATTACTTATATAGACTTATATTTACTTTATAAATATCTAGTTAAGCTAAAAACTACTAGGGAGAAGCGTCTTATAATTAATATTATATAATTAAGATAGTTTTATAAGTAATATAAGCTTTATAAAGTCTAATAGATTACTAAATCTAATAATCTAGCTAATAGATTTATAAAGGTATCCCTAAATTAAGCACTTAAGGGCCTAGTTATAAATAATAAAGCTAAAATATATATAAAGGGTTAGGTTATATAAGTATAATAGATTATAATAAGTATATAGTAAAAAATAAATTATAAGTTATATAACTAACTAGACTATAATAGTAGTAGTTAAATCTAACTAATATAAGAATATACCTTTAATAGCTATAGCTAAAAAAAAACACCCCTAAATAAGTTAGTATAAGCCTATACTATCTATAAAGAAAAATAAAAGATATAGGAATATATAGTATATAACTATAAGAAGTATAATACTTTTAGAGTTTTAATTTTTATTACGTTTTTAGGCCTTTTAAAGGTAATCTAGATAGCTAGGGCACTAGTAACTTTTACTATAAAAGAAAAGTTACTAGTGTTAGTATATAGTAAGTATGCTTTAGGGGAGGTAGTTATATAATATTTACGTAACATACTGCCTCCCTTAGTAGTATCTACCTTACTACTAGTATACTACCTAAAAGTCTAGATTTACTTTATAACTAACTAATATAATAAGAACAAGTAACTACATTCTGTATCACGATTTGTTACGTGATCTATGGGATATCCCTCTTACGTGATTTAACTAACAGAAACTTTTCGACTATTGGTATTATACCCTGTTTAAGGCCGTGGTGCGAAAATCCAGCGTGAGATTCTTTGAACCAGGATACGCAACTGTGTCGACAGTGAGACATCTTGGATGGTCCACTTATGTTCGCTTGAAGCCGTATTACACAGCCGCATTTAAATCCAGAAAACGGTATCAGTACGATTACTCAAAAGGATCGTAAGGTTTCCCCAACCTTTGGTCAACCAGTCAGCCATAGTGAGTGCTTTGAGCGTTCACTTCGCATTTTATTGTTTGATCAGGAATGGCACTTGCATAGTTATGGCAACTGAGATAGTATTTTTTTCTCCTAAGGTGAAGTACACTAACTTTTCAATCTGTCCACTGGTCCATCTGTTATTTTCTGTCACATCGCCAGCTGCTCGGATCCAGCCCGAGTAAGAACAGGCGGGACAAGCAGCGGAACGACACAGCTTTTGGCAGGCTACAAAACTCGAGCCTGAGACATAGCACACAAAAACAGAAGGACAAACAAGCGAGCCCACACTCCAAAATCAAAGTTGCCCAAAGCACCAGAGATCACCATTGCGAAATAAGTGACCGGTCACTTATTTCGCAACATTTACTTGGAGACACCGATGCAAGAGAAGCACCTCTTGAAGGACTCGGCCTCCAGGGCGAAGAGACCACCGTGGTCCAGGAGGGTAGCCGGGTTCCAGACCTCGCGCTCGAGACGGCCAAGGAGACCAGTGTAGCTGGTAAGGCCCTGGGGCTCGGTGACACCCCACGGGTTGCGAAGGACGATGTACTGCTTGTCGCCAAGGACGCAGTAGCCCAGGACGGAGTAAGCGTGGTTGGCAACGATGTTGGCGCCGTGGTACTCGCGGCCGGTAGCGTAGGTGTAGGCCGTCATGGGGTTAATGGTCTTGTTGTTGACGCTGTTGGAGCGGACCAAGCCCAAGAGGGTCTGAGCAGAGTGGTTGTCGCAGTGGTAGTAGTGGGGAGTGCGACCGTTGATCTGGGCCATAGCCTTGACAGGGTCACCGCAGTGAGTCTGGGTGATGTCGGGCTGCTCGGAGTTGGAGCCGGTGATCCACTTGGCAAAGGCCTTCTCGTAGAGCGAGGGCCAGATGTCGGCGCCATCGCTGGAGCGGCAGTAAAGAGGCTCGTTGTCCGAGTTGTTGATCGGGATCTCGTAGTTGACTTCGACCGTCTGGGTCTTGTTGTTCTGCTTGCCGCCCTTGTCGTGGAACTTGACAGACAAGAAGCGCTTCTTCTCGTTGTGGTGGACGCGAGTGGCACGGTTGATGGCACCGGGGTCAGACCAGAAGACGGAGAACAGGGCAGCGATGAACCAGCTGTTGCTGGTGCAGCCCTGGGTGGGGTCGTCGAACTGGTGGCGGGTCTCGCGGCGTTCGCCGATACGGAACTCGGTAATGTCGGTGATCAGGCGCTTGTTGACTGTCTGGAAAAAGTAGTCATACATGTCGCGCCACGAGGCATTGGGTGGCTGCCAGTGACCCCTCTCCATCCTGAAGGGGGTGACGAGCTCGTTGATGGACATGGTGACATCCCGGTTCGAGACGGTCTTGCCAAGCTCATGGGCGTGGAGAACCAGGCGAAGCTTGCCGTTCTGCATGCGGGCAAGCTTGACCTTGGCATCCTTGAGGTCCTTGAGGCCGACCTTCTCGAGGTCCTCAAGCCTGCGAACACCGGAGAAGTCGGGAGTCATGAGATCCCGCTCATTGAGGATCTTCATGTCCTTCTCATCGTACATCTCAGCCCGCCTCTCCTTCTCGTTCAGCTTCATGCCGGCGAAGAGGACGGAGTGGTGACGCATGTCAAAGAGCTCATCGTAGTCGGTCTGCAAGACGTTCTGGAGGATCTTGGCAGCGGTCATGGACTGGCGGTCAATCTTGCGGCCAATGAGGGCCTCAGCAAGAGCGTACGGGTTGACGGCACCGACACAGGGGTTGCGGGGGGGAGAATCCGGGCGAGGCTCCTTGCTAAAGTCGTGGTCATTGTTCATGTCGACAAGATCCTCGTAGTCCTCCATGGTGCTCTGAGTGGAGGAGCCGGGCTGGCTCTCGATCTTGTGACCGAGGATTGCCTCAACGAGGGCAATGACGTTGCTGTCTCTCTCGGTGGTACGGATGTCGCCCATTTTGATTTTGATATTGAGATATAGTATGTTGTAATAGATTGAAAGGATGGTGTGATTTGTTGAAAATGATTGAACTGTTGGCTTTTGACTGAGAACTTGATGCTTTTGGATTCTATCAAACATCATCTGTAGAGGGGAATTCACTGAGACTTTATACCTGTTTTCGGCCAGGCTTATAGACTACATCCTCTAGTTGATACTCTGAGTTCCGCGTTGCAAGATGAATCATGAATACGTAACCTTAGCTCAAACAGCTCTGGGATATCGTGCGTCGTCGCATTGGTGCGAAGGTTTTGCAAATCCTGCGATGGAACAACAGCACCTGAACCGCACAATGACATTACACCGATTTTCAGACTTGCCAAGGTTGCACTTTCGCTTTGCAGGGCATCTGTGATGATCCCGTTGTCGTATACGCTTCTCTACATGCACAAATATCGGCCTGAGTGTCGAGGAGCATGAAGACAAGACCGTAGTGCCCGATTATTCCATTCACATGTAAACAAGTCAGCCTCAGACGCTGAAGCAGACTTCGCTGGACGAAGTCAAAGACTCATGGAAATTCGTACTCAGCGTCCGTGAGTGGGCATTTCAGCACAGCCTCGACCGCTGCCGATCCCCGTGGAGTGAGTTTTGATGAAACCTTGATAGAAGCTCCTCGCTTAAGATACAGTGAGGGGTTATACGTTGGGACAGATGCTCCAGAGGATGTTCTCAGAGTGTACACGGAGTCGTCGTGAGGCTGAGATTCAGTCCCAACAAAGTCAAGGCTGCAGCTGTGAAGGTTTATCTGATGCAGGGATGTCGCGGCAGCGGAAACATCGGAAGAAGCTGGGGAAGTGTCCCGGTTTGAAGTGACAACCGAGCTAGGTCTGAAAGGTCGGTCAATCCCCAGGTCTATGACAAGGCGGTGCATGCCAAGTTGCCAACAATGCTGCCGACAGCAATCCACTTCAAACCCACGTGGCCACGATGGCCTGTGCTGTGGCACCTGGCTCTACCCCCTCCCCATGGCACACTTCAGAAGAAAACCGTTGCTGACTATTAGCTTTCCAGACCCCTCATTCTTGCATTGATTCGCCAAATTTATTGGCTTTTTTCCTCTATCCCGCATTCTTCTTGCGGAAAAGCTGCGTCAAATCGTAGCCTCAAGCTACATGCAGAATTACTCTTTATGTGTTTCTCAAACAGCCGACGGTAAGCGGAACTATTTCAAGCACATACGACACTTCCCGTTTCTAAAGTACATGTACACTACGAGGAATGCAAAGTTGTGATGAAGGTTGCGGGGCGCTTGCGATGCACGCGGGGTTGAAGTCTAAGCTCTTGTGGCTTTATGGGGCGCCTTACTGCTCTCCTGATTTCGAGGTATGTGCTGCTTCTGGCCAAGAATGCGGTGTGAGGGGGTGAGATCTAAACAGAAGATGATGACGGCAGCATTTCTAGCCAACTTCTAAGCATTCAGCCTTTGTCACTAATCAGTGGGGATATATTCTCTGCAACTTAGACCGAACGGATCGATGCATCACATGTTCAATTCTAGACAGATCGGTTACCTGTTGCTTGATTCGCAGAATCCTACCCTGCGCACGGCTCCTAGATCGACCCTGCGCACAGTCAGCACTGGGCGGTAAGCGGATGGGTAGATGTGCCAAAGCATTGAACGACCGCCCGGCAAAGGATTGCATGGTTTGTCGCACAGTCCACAGCAATGCCCAAGCCCATAGCCTCTTTGATGATGGGGATAATGGACGGTGTCTCAAGATGTTGTCGGGCCGGGCGGGGCGAGCGGCCCGAGCCCGATAGGCTGGAACCCCGCCCGGCCCCAAAGTGGGGACCCGTATGGAGAAGATTGCCGCCCAACCGCCGACCGAACGAACCGGGAAGCACGGCAGGTTTAATGTTTCCTTTGTCAATCCTGATTTATTCGTCAGTTAGCTCCGATGCGCTGCATACAACCGCGAACATCCAGCCAGATTTACTTCGCATCAGGGCTGAAACCCCGTCAAAGCTGCATTTTTGCCTCTACTCCAATGCAGCTAAGTTGTGGCGTGCAGCATCAAGACCCCGCATTGCTCTTCTCCATCGTGCTTGCTTGCGAAAGGCAAATAAGCAGGTCAAAGATTTCAGCGCATGGCGATTGTCTGAAGAAGAGCCATGTTTGAGGCTGCTGTGTTGCAGACTCGGGGCAGGATTCAGAGGCTACGTCCTTGGGTTTTGATGGAAGCAACCCGTTTCACATTAGCAGCCACTAGCCCACTGCTGAGGAAGTGGTGAAATATGCCCTGAGAAACGTACATCGGAAGTTCTAAATCAGGTATTATATTTCCCTCTACACTCTCCTCTACATTCATGGACTCGGAATCTCATGCGTGTTCGCGCCCCTGAAACGGTTATTCAGGTTCTCACGCACACGCACTAGTGAGGTCTGCACCAATCTTTCTGATAGTAGAACTTGAAATAACTATTTTCCAAACAAGCCATGCAATTCTTCAGGACAGTTGGTATTAATACATATCTATGGACTGATAGCAGGTTTAAGCTACTGTTAGCAGCAGTCTTTACTTGAACTTATCACGCGATGTTGATGATGTATAAGATACGTAACAGAATAGAAATACCATGATTTATACTCGCCGTGTATATTAATATCAAGCGCGTCTTAAAGGCGCCACTTTGTCAACTTCTATTACGGGTCGTGGTTTTGTCTCACTTGGTGAGCCATCCTACACCTCTTCTGGAGTGTTAAAGCGATAAGTAACACCAAAATATATGTACATCTCGCCGTTTTTAAGTACCTTTGGTAGGAGATATTCATTTTAGACGACCAGCCTCGTGTGAAAATATTTTCCCGCAGGCCGACATCATTCCAGCTACCCTTAGGCGGTGATCATCTAGTAATGGTATATAAATGGCCCTGGCGATTAGGTTTCTTGGATATCTAGATAATGCACATTCACCACATACCCAATGCCTGATTCATTACGGCTGTGACAGCAATAGCCTCGTAAAGCACAATCTAGGATCTTGTAACGCCTTACTCTGACAATCCCGGAAAACTCTCTTAAGTTTCCAGCCGCATCAAACATGTTAAAATCTGGGATAAAACAGTCGTTCAGCATTGCAATCTCATCTTCAAGACCCCAGGGTCAGTCTGATCAATGAATGCTCGTACTGATCAATGGAAATTCTGGGTCATGTAGTTCATTCCGTATGCCAAAGACCCAGAAGGAGGCAATCTTTTGTCACATGCCACACAATCAATCACAAAGCGTGGTTAGGCGTCTGGCATTTCCCACACGGTGTTCGAAGCCTTCCAGGCGCCATATAGCCCCAATGTCTCGGGGACTTAAACTAGAATATCCAGTTGCTGAAAAGTTACGGAGTCCTTTCTGAACCATTCAACATAAGAGATCCTTGAGCAATTAATCATCATCGTAATATCGAATTCCCGCAATGATGGTATTAGTACGTGGCAAGCGGAAGACGCCCAGACCATCCACACTTGGATTTATATCTAGGAGCACGCCAGAATAGTATGCGACACTTGTATCTTCAAAATAACACCGGCGGGGTGATTCTGCTAATTCCTTGAGTGGAGCAATGTGTGGGACAGTAGAACATGACGTAGCATCGTGTTCTCATTTGGTTATGTCGAGCTCGCTTCAATGAAAAATATCAACAACGAGAAAAATGGAGAATGTTGAAGCTATCTGTGAGTCAACATTACCATTGCTATGTAGACTATACCTTCGATTTCTCTTCCCTAATTTATCAGGATCTCTGTCAGGTTGATGGCTGTCGCCGTGAGAGGTGTGAGCATATTGCTCGAGAAGGAGTCATAAGTCCCGGCGCCATAGATTACAAGGTGGTCTGGGTATTGACGAAGGATCTGGACAGGTCTGCTGTACGCCATCGGAGCCGTCGTCGCGTGTTCTTCCCACTCATTCATGTCGCCCCCGAACTGGTTGGTAAAAACTTGGCTGTTATCCGCGTCAGAGACGATGATGGTTCCGTTGGGACCGCCGATGGGGCTCCAAGCCACATAGGGGCTAGCATTGGGTATTTTCTTGGTATCGGTCACTATAGGTATGCCGCTGGCGGTTTGAAATTCCAGAGGACTATCGGCAAGACGGTAATAAACCGGGTATTTGGATCCGTCTGAAGCGTACCCGCCGACATACTCATATACGATCATCCATTTTGCGATGGGAGGAACCCAGATGACAACAGGCATGCCGGGGCGTGCCACGTACTCATCGTAGGCTACGGAATCAAAAACCGGGCCCCAAGCCTTCAAATCTGTTGAGACCTGATACGAAAGTTTCTGGCCGTGCTTCGGGTCCCGCTGGTCGGAATAATAGCAGATCAGAGATTTGTTGTATTCCCTAAGAAGGCCGGGTTAGAATATGATACTGGGTTACAACAGCTCCTAATGTTCAGGAAGACACCAAAGCGTGCTCACAATAGGTACGGTTCCCACACAGGCGTATATCCGTTTGTCGTGTTGGGAGGTCCGCCCTCAGCCACGCGGCTGACGAACTCCCACGACCTTGCTCGGTCGGCACTTGCATAGAGGTCGATGCGCGTGCCATTATCACTCCAACTATTCCCAGTTGCCAGGATAGTGCCCGCATCATATGCCCCCAATGGCTCACTCAACACGGTGAGCATGGGCTGCGCGGGAAAACCCCACCCGTTCTGCGTGTCCGTGACGTTGGAAATCCAATCCCACGTTGCGCCGCCGTCCTTGCTCTCGAAGACGGGGAAGAAAGCGGGGCTATGACCTGTGATAGACGCGGTTGCAAGGATGGTCCCATCTTGCAACTCGGTGTACCGAGGATAGAAGAAACTCCCGTTGCCCAGGGGCTCGTGGATGGTGTTATTGACGAAAAACCCAAATGCCGAGGGCGCAGCAGAGCTGGCGGCAACGATTGAAACGCTCTGTACCAAGAAGGCCAGCAGAGCCATGAGGTGCGACATCTTGAACGGTCACTTTTGGGGGGAAGCTTGGTTGGTGTCAAAGAATGAAAGCCGGCTTGGGGATATGAATCATACTGTCGGTTGACTACTCGTCAGCTTTATTTTATAGGAAAGCGTGTGAGAAGTATGGCGAAGTGACACCATGATTGGGGTATACTTTCACGCTGGAACTTTGCAACATGCCTAAATGCAGTCTGCATGATCTTACTCGTGCTAAAAGTTACTCCGTCGGGGTCGCAAATGGCTACTGACTTGTACGAAGACCGAAGTGCCTACTAGTCGTACGAGTCGGGTGTTCCAGTGAACCAACTATAGCCCATCCGCATTTGAAAAGCGTCGTATATCATTTACCGGCGTGGAAGACAGAGGCTATGTGAAAATCCACGTGAAACCTCTCGGAAATTCGGCAAAGTTGGAGGGCATCAAAATCGAACGTTCAAGAGCAATAGCAGCCGTTTACCTCGAAGTGCATACTGCCAAGCCGGGCCGTTCCTTTCTATGATAATGATCGACTAATCAACGTGTCACTCTTCGGCAGTGACCCGGCTCCATGAATAGGTACTCTTCTGTCTCGGCAGCATACTCGCATTATTCATCGCTCACCCACAGCGGCAGTGAATCCGGGTAAAGGATATCTGCAAAGATTGACGATTTGCGGGAAGTTTGAGCTAGCACAACTCATTTTAGCCGCAACCTTGGCTAAATCGGACCACGGGGTATGATCAGAACTCAACCGGTGACCAGTACCCTTCAATAAGATAGGACCCACATTCTCTAAGGGCGAGGAACTTATTCAAAATGCACGTCAATCCCATTTTGCAGCTCATAGTTCCCAGACATTTGATCCCTTTGGACAGTATCCCGGTCATCGCGTTATCCAGGCCACAGCATTTGGGTCTCCTGTGGGTGAATATCGCTCAACTGCGCAGTATCTAAGTTGCAGACGACGTGCAAGAAGGTGCAATGGCGGGGTTCCAAAATGCGGGAGGCATTTACCAAGATACTGATACAAGGCGGTCCCTCTTGAGGTCGCACAGGTGCGGGGGATCTTTACGAAGGGTCTTGATGGTTGAGGCCAGGGGATCTTGCAGTAGTTCGGCCGCTACAGCGCTCAGAAGCAGCCGGATGAACTAACAGGATCTGCGTGGAGCGGGGTCAGGAAGACGGTCTATTGCTTCAACTGTTGTTGAATTTGCGTAAAGATTAAGTTCCGGAAGATGTAAAGGTGACGGTTAAAGATAGAAACAGTAGATAAGACCAACGATGTTGGTGCGAATGGCACAGCAACGGTTGGGTTGATCAACTGAGATACGGTTACAAGTCTAAATCAGATCGATCAACATTTCATCGCCACTGAACCCCTCTGAACTGTTCCGGAAACCAGAGAGGCTGGTCGCTGAAACGTCGCGATGGTACCACTAACAAGCACCTCATAATTAGCCGGCAAGCTTGCCATTATAGGGTTTCGGAATCGCCAACTTAGATGCGGCATGCAACCCAAAAAAGGCTGGGCAGACTATGACTAGCCTCCTTCACACAACTCGAAGACGATAAGAAAAGGGGTCTCAAACATGCGCATTGGATGGTGTGATAGTTCACCCTCAAAGAGAACAAGCCGAGACCGGCGTTCCTATAGAATAGCCAGTCTCCATTCACCTTTCAAGATTCTTCGGGTGCTTGAAGGCTTATTGCGAGCCCGTGTGCAGGGCTAGCGCTTATATATTGGGCTTTTGGACAGTTGAAAACTGAGTAAACTCGGTGGCCTATATGAGCCTTGGGTGGCGATATCCCACCTACAGACTTGGCCAGAGGACTAATTATGCTGGGGGGATAGCTACTTATAGCTTGGGAATCCAACTCAACCTGCCTCGATGAGCCTCCAATTTTAGAGACAGCATCTTTCATGAATCTGTCTGACATCTAACCGACGAACACCAACCCTCCCGTTCTCACATTTTGGATTCGGACTCACTGCCCCCACGTGCGACACTGAAGATGTGTCAAATGAGTCAACGTTTGCGGTTGTGCTTGTCTTTCTCTAAGAGGCTACGGGTCTTTCTATTCGAGCCGTCTATGAATTATTCATGGTAAAGCTTAGAAGATTCGTGAGGTCGAGGTATGTGCCCTTCTACGAGGTGATCAATGCCCCCCCCCCCCCCCCAGGCAGGCAGGATACCCTCAGCTTCGAGTAGCAAAAGTAATGACTGTTTCCGTGATGATGCCAACGGTGCGTCGGTGGAACCATGTTCTTAGTCCGTCGGTTATTTCCACTCGGTGGCGTGGCGAGGGCGGCAGACAAGGGGTGTGCGGGGGGAACGAGCGACGTTGCTCAACATCTTCCTGTATACAGAATCGAGGCTCGCAATCCCCAGTCAAGTGGCGCCATTACAGTATCTGACGTGGCGTCAGCGTCTTATCCCTATGCGGACAAAGGGAAAAAGAAAAGAGGAAAAAGGATAAGAAGAGAACAACAAAGGTACCCAACACTAAAAGGCCGTTAAGATCTCGCCAAGCTTAAACACTCCGACTGGATGGGAAAGGGGGAAAAAAGGAACCATGAAAAAAAGACACCACCAACTGCAAATATACTGCGACAAGCACCCTAGAAATTCCAACATACTCCCAATCGTATCAGGGTATAAGGAAAGGCCCTTGCCACGAGCACAGAGGACGTATGATGAGATGTCTGGGGCATGGCCTGGCTAGATTGGTCATAGCATCGATCACCATGATTGTCAATATAAACCGAGGGTAATCTAAGTGTCTTCATTCGTCTAGTCTCGATAAAGACATACGTCTGCCGCCATGGCGTGCAACCTCGACATATTCCAACGTCATTCGTGCATCAAGGCGTCGACCCGTGCAACTCTCCCCTAGCATCGGTCAGAGCCGAAATACCCACTCCGAGCTGACCATGCTCATGTATCCCAGAAGTCCTCCTCTTGTTGTTTCATAGTGGACCAAAGCAAGACGCCTACGAACACCAGATCCCATGCCCCTGTCGGCAGATGCAAGTTGCTACACATCCCTATCCTGTACAAGAAGAAGTCCGTATTTCTCAAAAATGTACCAACCCAAGGCAGCTTTCGGTTGTTCTTTTGGCTCCCGTGATCGAATCCTCTGCGACTACCGCAGTATCTAACCGCACGCCGTGTACCCAAGGACCGAGGAAGTGTTGTTAAAAAGTCAAGTGCCAAACAAAAAAAAACCGAAAAGAGTGCTCCTGACATAAGACAGTCACCAGCACGTGGCAATGAGCCAACTAGATTTTGAAAGTGTTTTGAAAAGCCAAACGCCACCGAGTCTTAATCATGATTTAACGAAGCGTGTTAAAGTCCATCTCTGTGCCTATGCCAGATAGACCCGGCATGTCGGAGTTGGCCCGCTGCAGGGCGTGAAAATCACCAACGGTGCGTGGGACCGGTTGTTGGATAGCAAAACTAGTGGCACGCTGCGGCTGCTGCCGAGGTATGGAGTTCATCAGGTTATTCCCGCCTGGACCTAAAGGGTGCGATGTCGGAATTGAGGACGAATTCAGGCCTTGTTGCCCTTGAATTGATGGGGGGGTGATGTTGCCTTGTTGCATGTTCTGATGCTGACCGATACTCGATTGCATCTGCTGAGGCGTCATGCATTGGTTTTGTATGAGGTGATGAGACTGTTGCTGTCGGTGCTGGTTGCTCATGGTGCTCGAGCCGTTCATCGCCGATCCATTTTGGCCCATCGGGCTCATGACCATATCGGGCATTTGAGTGCATCCGTAATCGTTCATTCCGTTGCGTGGATACTCCATAGGTGGAGACATGATTGGGGGAGAGCTAGCGAAGGGCGAGTTCATATCTGCGGTAGTTGCTGGAGGAACGGAAGGTGCACCGGCAGACGAGGCTGCAATGGTGTTGGTGTCGCTGCCGTTGCTGTTCATGTCCGACATGCCATACTTCTTGTCGTAGTCGGTGGCAGCGTATTTGCGTTCGTACTCGGTATCCATCTGCATTTGCATTTGGGGGGGCGGTTGAGCCATGCCAGCATTGCCAAATCCATCAAAAATGTCCATGTTGCCTAGGTTGGAGTTTTCGGGCGCATTCTGCAGCATGGGGTTGGTCAAGCGTGGCATGATCTCGGCAACCTTGTTCAGGAGCAAGGGCAAGAAGCGGTGGTCTCCATGGCGGAGAACGGCCACAATGTTGAGCGTTTGGTTGAGTTGTTCGCGAGGGCCAACAGTGAAGGGGTCCCGGGCAGCGGGCTGGACGGCGAGAAAGTCGGTCATGTTGCAGCTGATCTCGAAAAGCTTCTCAATCTAGATACCTAGTCAGCCAGGTGGCACCAAATGCCTCATACCATTGAAACTTACTAGTCCAGATCCCATCAGTTCCATGCCCTGTCCTGGGAAGTGAGACGCCAGGGTCATCAGAAGCTCGCGGGAAAGGTCAACAGGGTAGTTAAAGTTCATGTTGTCCTCGTTCTGGGAGTTCATGTTGCCGTGGGTCAGCTGCCAGACGGTGCTCTTGAGCCATTGCTGGTTTGTGCGCAGGTCGGACAACTGGCCGTCCTGGCAAAGGTAGGTAGGCAGGACCTCGTTCAACTGCTTCTGGAGGTTTGCAACGTAGAGGTTGGTTCGGGTCTTATTCCAGACGGCAGTGAAGGCATCGTCAAAAGGACGGAATAGGTTGACGAGCATGATGAAGCTGTTGAGCTGATGGCTGAGTGGGTCGCTCGGGTCGTCGGCAGAGTTGGGAGGGTTGATGGTGGCCTGCAGTGTCAGAGGTCGCTGGCGCTGGATGGCGTGGGCTCTGTATGACGGCGATCGCTTAGCACAAGAAACACGGCATCCGGTTTCGGGCGGAGGGGGGAGTTACCTTTCCATGATGTAGAAGAGCCAGTAAAGGCGTCTCCTCCGGGACGACTCTGCATTTTCCCACTGGGGGCCATGATATGTCTCTTCCTTGCTCATGCCGTTGAGATGCATCATGGTGGAAACCTCGCGGAGGTAGAACCAAGCCTTGTCGTGAAGCTCGAGACCGTGGTAGCATCCATAGATGAAGAAGTTGGTGGCGAGGGTGTTGAAGCTAAGGCTGTCGAGGTAGTCGTAGCCCTTGCGCACTTGCAGGGTCTCGTCGAGAAGCAACTGGCTAGCGACGATGGTGGCACCAGGCATTACATCGAGGTTGTAAGGGTCGCCGGTGGGCATGGACATGCCCGGCTGGAGCAACATGAATGCGCACAGCGAGGTCATGAGGCAGTAGGTATCGCGGTTCTGCTCCATGTAGGGGAGCTGGAGGTCGATCTGGCGACGGTCGAGGATGGGTATCTTCTCGTAGAGGTTGGCGAAATAGAAATCGATACACTCCTTGACGAGCTCGCTCGAGAGTAGGCCTGGTGTCGGAGACAAGGTGACGGGGCCAGGGGGATTCGGGATTCCATTCATGCGATTCTGGACCTTGGCGGACAGGCTGGTCTGTCGCTGTGTTTCCCTCAACTCGCTGATGACCTTTGCGCGGGAGCCCTTGGGGCCCTTCTTCTGGGGGATGGCATTGTATGTGCAGGAGAGCTGGGCGGTATGGCAGTTGCGACACGGGTTGACGCCGTCGCACTTGACCTTGCGACGATGGCAGGCGTCGCAGGCCCGCTTGACGGCCTGTGTCATGTTGGCGAAGTGTGGTGAAGACGTCGTGGCGGTCTGAGGGGGGTGAGCCGTCGTCGACGGTCGGTCCGAAAACCTAGATAGGATTATTCCAAGCGAAGGCAGCGGGCCAGAGTAGACGTTGTCATCGACAATGACGGGAAGACCTGGCAATGATTGAGTTTTGCGGGGAATGCGAGATTGATAAGTGAGATAGATGCTGAAGGGCTGCGAGGTAGGTATTCGTGGAGCGCAATGCGAAGGATGGAGTGTATTCGGCCCTTTCTAGACGCAGTCGCTGGGAACGAAACGCGGGGGATGGTGCCAAAATCCGGGGCTGCGACGCCCGTTACAACCCGCTCAGCTCGTCTGTGCAGCTGGGCAGCCACTCGAGGAAAAGTCTGACGGGGGGCAGATGCCAAATGACGATGTTATTCGACTCGTCTTGGGGCCAAATCACCGCCAAGCAGTGGTTTCTATTTCGAACGAAGGCGACTACAAAATTTCTCGGCGAGGGTCGGTAGAGGTACGGGAAAGAGTTGGCAGGGAGAGGATTCGAAAGAAAGAGAGGGCGGGTGTGTGGGCAGAAAGGAAGGGAAGGTAAGTGGGAGACGTGGACGAGGACTGGGAACTGGGATTGGGGACTCGGACGGAGGGAAAACGGGAAGAAGACGACGACTAAACAGGTATGGACGCAACGAAAAGTGGGGAGTGAGAAAAGGCAAGCATGCCGCCGTAGTAGTAAGGCAAGGGAAGGAAGGGAAAGAGCGGCTGCGGAAGAGTGGAGATGGGGGAGTGGGGAGGGGGCAGGGGTGATGGGGGAGGAAAAAAACAGCAGAGAAAGGATACTGGAAGCGAAGCTACGGCGACACACAGGCGACACAGGATACATTCGTACCTACCTATGTACACTGGGCTAGGCGGATAGGGAAAGAAGGAAGCAACAGCGACGGAGCAGCTCGCTCCTACTGTGCTGCGTTAGTAGTGTACCTAGGTATACGGATACGGATACTGGAGTTGGCTTTGTTTGGTGGCTAAGCCGTTGGAGCGTTGTCGCTAACCTGAATTAGGCAGACCTGGAAGGAAGGAAAGTAACAAATGAGAGAGCAGGAGCGGCATGCTGCCTGGGAAGCTGCCGATGCCCTGATACTGTATGTGGACACTGTGCAGGAAGATGCCGTTACAACCCACAATACTCCGAGGAAGGAGGTACGTATCTGCATACCGCCATGGTGGGAAATGGGCAGGAGCACCTTCTCCTGACCTGACCTGACCTGCCTCTCCACAGTAACATGTCATAGGCTGACTCACTGTGCCCACGACACATCACATCACCGCATTCTCTTTATGCGTTCCATAATTCCCTCTTTCTCTCACCTGATCTTACATTCCGCGTCCACGGCAAGGCATCCAACCATGTATCCCCACGATGGAGGCACCATTACCACCGATGGAGGCACCAATACCACCATTTCCTCCACTTCCGATGCATACTCTTCCTTGTCATCTACAGCCAGGTCATCTGTGTTTTTCCATCGTGCGCAATGCTGCAAATTTCCACCCGTCAATGCAGAAGGTCCATCGCCTCCTCCTGGTAATAAACAACCACATAACTACCAACACGACATTTCCAGCCGATTGATGTCTCGGACCATATCACCAAAGCAGCAAAGCCGTCTCCCAATCACCGCCAAATCCACAAAGACCTTCCGCCGCCCTGGAGGTAGTGGCACGATCAAAGAGTCACCGTCACCAAAACACGAATCCGGCAGATGCCGCCTGCAACGTTGTACCGACAGACGGCTGCAGCGCCATCGTCGCCTAGAATAGCCCGTACGCTGCGACTATTGCTGAGCCAACACGCCAATCAAATCTTGTACACGCCCTCTCTGACCATGCTGGGGACCGAGGCACCAGGAGGTAGGCCTACGGTTGGTTGGTTGGTTGCTATACGACCTGTCGCCTGGTGTACTGTGCGTGTATCCGTACTCTGATCTACCTCTCCACCGCACTCTCCCATCCAATCGTTACATGCGAACAGCTCCTCTTCACCAGGTAGGTACCTTAGCTACGGATACACTAATAAGGTACGTGTGGCTCTCCGACGCTGCCAGTTGGCTACCGTTAGCAGTCTTCAATGAGCGAGGTGGGCACTGTTTCACTCGCCGTCGGCCGAGGCGCATTTCCGCGTCAACTCCAGGTTCCCTATTCGCCTCACTTTGCCGACATTCTCCTTTGTATCCGTACATCGTACTTCTTCTTCAGTCCTGTTTTGGCTGTACACGAATTCTCGATCGCATCTCTCTCTAACGCCACGACGGCTGATTCATACGCCACCTCAACCGGCAGTCCCGTGACGCCTCGACCACCATTCTTGAATTCGCCCATTCCGACTTGTCAACGCCGCCAGACAAGCCCACTTGGCTTGAGCGCCTTACGAATACCCCAGTGCACCACCCCGGTATTTTTGTTTTATTGGGGCCGTGGCGCTGTGACAGTCGTTGTCTGATTCATTCTGGTCGGCACTGGAGCTTCGGGGCACTTGCCACTTGCGACCTATCGTCGGCTTGCACTGTCTGCCGTCTGCCGCCCGAATAATTGCTAATAATGCCCGAGTTCCACTCAAATCTCCTGTTCAGCGTTGGCTCTTGGCGCTCGTTTCTTGTTGAGACCGCGATGCTTGCAGAATAGAGCTACACGAAACAATTGTGATGAGGGCGTTCCTTGCCTCCCATTTGACGACAGCCACGATGATGACCACAACCACCGCACTGATGAGGGTCCATGGGCAATGGAGAAGGGACATTGGAGGACGAGGACGCCGGGGACCGTCGTCTTGAAGTGTGTCTGTTCACCTTCAGCTCCCCCTCCATATGCTCAACAGCACGATCCGGCCCCTAGAGAGAGAAAAAAAAAGAAGGAAAAAAAAAAGGAAAAAAAAAAAATCCACAACACTGGCAGTCTCGTCTCTTGGAGCAGGTCTGGGCCAAAAGCGCCCATAGTTGCATGGTGGCCACTAAATCCCTGGTAGTTCAACAAAGCCATGAACTCTGTTGGTCTCGACAACTTCAAGGTCGGTAGTCCGAGATTTGGGCTGGCTTGGGGGCGCCGCCCGTGAGCGATAACCTGGAGATTTATTCTGCGCCCAACAACCACATGCCTTCGATGGCGGTCACCTCCCGTTTTCACCCACACAAAACTTCAAACAGCGGCTACTGCATTGTCAAAATTACACCTTTGCCTCTCGGAGTCCGAGACCACGACACTTCTCAATGGAGCAGGCCTTGGCAGCCAATCTCACCTCAAGAAGATTTCAGTAGCCGACCCACTGAGCCTGTTATTCATCCCCGGATCTTTCCCAGGCGACACAGGAGCGAAGCTTCCAAACCGTCTTCCATCATACTTCCACTCTGCCCAGTGCACCTATTACATGGCGGCCCGCGTGCGACCACCCCCAGATGCAGCTCGCCATTCAGAGGCCAGCTTAAGCCAGACTACCATCATAGGTATAGCACGAATCTGCCACACTCGGCATGGCTGCTCACATGTTCGTATCGCCTGGGCTCGTTCCCGTCACTGCTGCTGGACCAATATGAATTGACACAGTACCCGACCTATTTCCCTCTCTCCCTCTAAGGAACCTTTGTTGCCACATTTACCTTGGGCCGCAAAAGGTTTGCTAAATGGTTCAACGGCATTTGCGTTCTTCGCAACCCCATTGTGGTGGAGTCCAAAAGTCCAGCTCGGGAAGCGACTATGTTAGCTGCTGCTGCCACCATCTCAGCAACCGTCGACGCCAACGTGCATCAACGGCACCGCCTCTCTTTGACCCATAGGCGAAGGGGATGCTCGTGTCAGCTTCGATCGCCATCTGACATTTGAGGGGCCATCGAGTGGCGCCGTTGGCTGGCAGGGCTGATGAAGAACGATGTCGACTTTCTCAACGGTGCTTTGCACAGTTGGCGTTGATGATGCGCGCTGCAGTTAATTAGAGGGAATTCTCGGGAACTGCAAGTTTCCATTCCGCGACAATCTGTGCACAAAAAAAACCCGAAAAAAGGAAGAAAAAAGCCCTCAAGGAGAGAAGACCTTGCTCTGATCATCGTCGATGACAGCGCCCAGAGAATCGGCCTGCAGCTGCAGCTTCTTCCCTTCTCCACCCACCTAAACTACATTGGTGTGGGCTGCGCCATCTCCTCAGTTTGTCTCAGCCCATATTTCACTTCCATGCGATCTAGCCTGGATGAGATCTAGCGTCCGCGGTCGGTCCGATAAGGCATGCAGCCGTTGTTTTCTTCAGCGCACGTCGCCAGTCTGCAGCTCTGTATGTCTCGTAGTTTCGACACCTGCATGCAAGGCTGACAGGGAGGGGGGTTTGGTGTGTCTCTCACGACCTTATCAGCTCGGAGAAATGTCGTACCTGCGCTAGAACTTGTTGACGAAGGCCATGGAATGTGTGAAGTACATACTCATATACAATGTACTGATAAAGGCCTACTGGGTTTCCAAACACCCGCCGCGGAGGTGACGAATCAGGCAACCATGATGGCGAATCGGTATGGCCCCTGGCATTGAGCTAGGTGGCAGCCATCAAAAACGGCGCGCCCAGACTTTTCATCTCATTTTTCTTGAGGCCGTTTCAAGGAATTTTGGGTACTTGATGGCAGCCTCGTCGGCGTAAGGCACGCGGAACTGTTCACCCGGGTGGATATCCCTTGCCACTGATGACCAGTCGGAGCAGGGCTGAAACACGATTGCCGCCCATTGCCGTGAGGACGCATAGTAGTATTGGGAAATCCTAGCAACGTTGCCGAGGGGGTTACCGGGATTTCTGAGAAGAAAAAGGGAGAAAGAGAGAAATATGCTACAGCCCAAGTCCTGGTTCCGAAACATTGCAGCTCTCGGTGCCGGACAGACCGGGGGGGAGGGTCCCGCAACCCGAACCCGGTCCATACCAAAAGCACCGTGGTACACCGACCCGAACGCCATCTCATTTCCAAAGCCCGTCACGCAAACAGCCGAACCATTTCCCGCTCCGACCCACAATACCCTCCCGTATAGGCACACCGCACGTCGCCTTGGTCCTTGCTACGAGGAGTTTCAGAGCTCCTGCGAGTTGGGGCAGTTGCCCCGGCACTTCTTGGGCGGGTACCGCACCTGCGAGGCGCAATTGTTGGCGTCCCCGTGGCTCCCGAGGTCACCGGCAGGCACGAACTGGCCCGTCTGCAGGCTCCCTTGAAGGAAGTAGCTGTACCACGCCTCGTGGAGCACGTCGCGGCCGCGGCCCTGGCACCGCAGCACGACACGGCCGCCGCTCAGCGCCTCGAGTGCGCGGATGACGTCGGCGAGCGGGTAGCGCTTCGAGTGCGAGGGCGTGATGCCGGCGCGCTCGAGGGCGGTAAAGGTGTCGAGCTGACGGAAGAGGGAGAAGGCGCGGGTGAAGAAGTCGACGACCTCGATGCCTGGCGTGTAGGTGTCGGCGTAGCAGGACGTCGACAGGGTGTTTATGCAGCTTGCGTGTTTGTTGTACTCGTGGGCCCAGAAGTGGTCGTTTGAACCGCTGTTCGGGGAGGAAGAGTGTGTTTGTTAGTAACGGACACTTGCGAATATGGGGCCGGTGACGGGCCGGTCGGTATACTGCTGACAGGAAATGCAGGTAGACGGGGGACGGGGAAGGGCTTACTATGCCGGGACCCAATATCTCTCCATCGAGGCCAGGAGGTCGCCTTGGTCGTACTGCTTAAGGATGTCACTGATGTTGTTGAAGTGCGGCGTCATGCCGCAATACGCCTTGTAGCTCCCGTCACAGAGGTCGGGCCTGTTGCATACGTACGGGTTTCGGTCAGCAATCTCCTTTCCCCTGGTGGGGCATTCCTCCTCCAAACACGTCCGTTTCCCGTATGCCGAGCATGGGCCGGGCAGAAAGATACAAACTCACCATAGCCCGTGGACGGTCCAGTCCTCCTCAGCGCCGCCGGCGTGGACGGTATCGTCCCAGAACTGGGTGAGAAGGAGGCGGCCTGAGGGGTAGACGAAGCAGCATGAGTCCAAGGGACCGCTAGTTTTGTGGCAACTCAGCGGGCCGTCGATGGGACATGACGGGGCGCCGGAAAGGGGCTCGTATGGGGTGACTGCGATGCTGTGGCCGCCGTCGCTGCCGCCGCCAATGCTGTCGCCTGTGAGGGGCGTTTGGTGTGTCGGGAGGATGGCCGTGAGGCGGGCGAGGACGGCGCGGAGGGAGGGCGCCATGTTGGGCTGGTTGGTTTCGTGGTCGGCGGCCTCTTTGAGAGGTTCGGTAGTCTGACGACTGGTTTGTATGGGATATTGGCTTGATTCGAAGGATATAGAGGTCAAAGGAGAGGACGGACGGGAGGTTGATTGACGGATGAGGGTGGATTGGGACGTCGGTTGATGTCGAGACGGAGGCGGAGCTTGCGTGGTTCAAGGCGGAGCATGTCTGGGGGAAGAAGGGTTCTGCCGCATCATGTGGGGACGGTAGCGGGGCGGTCTCAGCTGTAAAGAGTTCACCGCCTTGCGGGAAAGGGCTTTGACTGGACAGATCTGCATGAGACGCGCCGTTTTGCATGTACCTGTACGATCCCCTTGGGGGTTGTGGGGTCGGTGACATGCCGGTGCTTTTAGCCGTGCGTTTTTGTGAGGAGGGAAGTTGGGGGTTTCTGTGGGAGGGCTGGGGATTCGACGGTGTCTCGAGCCCATTGCTCTCCTGCGTTCGTTATTGTCTTCATATGCAGTGTAATTCATCTCGGATTGCAAATGTTGGGCAGTCGGGGCGTGTTGGCGGAGATGAGTGGATCTGAATTGATGGATTTTTGGTTAACTTTCGATTTTAATTCAAATATGTCCACAGTTCAACCCATTCTCTTCTAAAGAAGTTCTGAATCGTGGTCGAAAGGACGCCATCAATATGTTCTTTCTCGGGCAATTGGAACTGCATCAACTCAATGGCGTGCCGTTCCCAAACAATATGCGAACCGTTTCCCCGAAAGCGGTTCAAGACTCTGTTCACCGCAGAAGCCGTGGGGGATGGCCTCAACAACGATCCGGCTCAGTTAAGTGACATGCCCTCGAGTTTTCTCATGTATGAGCAAGTAACTGGATCATATCGGCAAGGGAACAAGTCGTGCTGGTCCTCTATTTGTTGTATCAAGAAAACACAGTATTGCTATGAGCCTATGACTAATCTAATGGCATATGCATATCACACATGATGACCCAAGTCTTCGCCAATCAACAAGATGGAAGGCTCCGGCTCAACTTCCGGGAATTTCTCTGGCCTGGGTAGGTTTTTATACTTCATGATCTGTTCCGTGATGCCGTTCTCATGCTGCCATTTCAATATGGGATCGTGCGCGACGCACTGCCTCTTGATGTTGAAGTCCGGATAGGGGTTCTCTTGCGTCCTCATCCAGTTATGCGATATTAAGTCGAGAGAGGGGTTGCACGTGAGTGCCTGCAGCAGGATGTCGATGCAGTGCTCCAAGTGCGCCTGATGCCTCTTGGGCGCCATGGAACTGGGAATCCAAAATCAGCCCCAGTTAGGCCTCTTCGCCCCGAGAGATGTTTGAATGGGCGGTCGACTTACATGTTCCTGTACGAGTCGCCGTAGTAGTAGTCCCAGTATGCGTACTTGCGCACCGCGTTGAGGCAATGCAGCTGGTGCTGCATGTCAATCTCGACCAGGTACTTGTCGGGGCCGACGCCCCACTCCTCGGGGATGGAAACGGATATCTCGGGGTCCTTGCCCATCTTCCTGAGGGCCTCGCCGCTGACGCCAAAGTACTCGATCCGCGCCACATCGTCCCAGGCCTTATCGACCTCTTCGCTTGGCGGCCTTCGCCAGATGCGCGGGGGCGTGTAGTCGTTGAAGAGCGTCCCCTTGACTTCAACCGTCTCCAGCTTGATCGGCAGACTGTCCAGGATCGGGCCTGTAGCAAGGACCGATATCAGCGAAAGGGGGGACGGGCAGCGGTTCGTAGAAAAGGGGGTTTTATACTGTATGGCGAAACCCGCTTCATCAAGCGAATCGGGTCGTCGAGCCATCTCCACGAGATGAACAGCATCCCGCACGACGCGACGAAGAAGACGGCGTTGAGCGCCGTGATGAGCCTTGACCGGAAGCTCCACTGGTCTCTGGTTTCTGGGCGTGGCGATGCCCATTTTTCCTACGACGGGCGTCAGTCAGCTCCCGTCAGGCGGCGTTCCGCGGCACGCTTTACGTACCTCGTTTGACAAGTCTTCCGACGAGTCTTGATCCGGCACACTCTGGTAAAGGTCCTTCATTGTTTTAGAAGCATCTCAGATAGATGTGGAAAGATATCGCAAAAACAGAGGAAGAGTTGCCGGCTGCTCCAAGTCATTGCTGTCTCTCTTGGATGAGTTAAGCCAAGGGCGGAGACGGAATCGTCTGACAGTTTCGCAACCACGCTAGACAACGAGATACAAAGCACCTGCCGGAAACTGTCAAGCCTTGTAATACTCGGAGCCTCGTTCCAGCCGCCGTTGCGTCAGTGTCGTCCAACAGCCTGACTTGGGGGAATCAATATCCCAGGCGAAGGATCTGCCAAGACCCTGAAGGATCCGCCAAGAAACGGGTATACGCTGCGACAAAATGGTCTCACCCCGCGGTGAGGAGGGGCTTCCTCCTGGGCTGATGAGCGATGACTGAACACACATAAAGATTAGTGCCTAAAGGGCCTCAAATCGAAGGATGCAGTTGATCAACTGCATACTTGCCGCAGTAGCTTATCAGAGTCTGGAAAAGGTTGTCGAATTCTCAGCCTAGTGAGCGTTCTCGACTGCTTGTTCGAGGTCTTGAGGCACCTTCTCTATTGGGTTAGGGAGTCTGACCCATGCTCCCGACATCAGCCAGTCGCGACCTAGACAGTGGAATTTGTAGACTTTAACCCCTCTTGAAAGCTTTACGGATGCCTGCTTTGGCCTAATGTCGTGATGGAGGATTGAGACGAAGGATTCTGGGCGTGGCATGGAAGGCGTTTTATCTCGGGTTATGCGCGATACTGGCGGGTGTCGTATTGTATAGTTGACGCCAGGGGTACTTGCGACTTAGACACCATCCTTACGTCCAGATAGTCGAGAAAAGGCCCATGCATGAGGAATATGGCTTTCGTGAAAGACATATAAACGCTACGGCGACCAGCCAGCAGGGTAAACCCGAACCACCATCAAGCTACGGTTCTGCAGAATCCCCTTTCTCAACGTACAGTCGACTCAACTGCCATCACCTCAACCACCATGCGTGCTCAAACTCTCCTTGCCGCCATTGTGGCCTGCGCTTCGGTGGTCTCTGCCGCTCCGGTCGCCGTCGAAGCCTATGGCCCCCCCATCAGCCCTCACATCATCTCCAAAAAGGACACCGTCGAGGCGTACGGCCCCCCGCTCAACCCCCATATTCCGGCTGTTGAGTCCAAACGCGAGACCACTGAAGCGTACGGACCCCCCACGAACCCGCACATCATCTCCAAGAAGGATACGGTTGAAGCCTACGGGCCGCCTGTGAACCCCCACATCCCCGCCGTCGAGTCAAGGAGAGACGGCGTCGAGGCCTACGGTCCCCCGACAAACCCTCACATCATCACGAAGAAAGACGTTGTCGAGGCTTATGGCCCTCCCATCAGCCCGCACATCATCGCCAAGGAGTGAGGGCTCTGACATTTCGACCACAGAAAGGACCTATGCCGATTGAGAAAGTAAGCTTGATGGGATGCAGCGATGGGCCTTCTGGTGCACGGTGGTTGTCAAACCCAGAACAATAACTTCGAGGTCTGAAAAAGAATCATATTGGCTACTATACCGCATGAGACGGAAAGATGGTGGGGTGACGGTTGTCAATAATGATATAGCGTCCGTCAATCACAGTTCAGACAGTCCGGGAACGCCGAAATGGCCCTGCCATTCAAGTTAGTCTTCACCTCCAGCATGTTGCATAGGTAGACTACGTATCCGTTGGTATATCCTTGGGGTCAATACTGCATCCTGTTGTTGCAAGCGGTGCACCAAAGTGAGGATGTTCGTGTTGTTAGTGGGCTGCTTGGGCAAGGAATGCCCTTCGCGGTGCCCCATCGGAACACGACTTTGGCGTTCATCCATACGATTCGCTCCCAAAGCTTGCGGAATGACGACACGCAATACCCTTTTGATGCGCACACAAACTTTGACCGAGCACTTGCGCACCTTGCGAGGCAATAGCACCAGCGGATCTCAACTTCCTCTCCCCCCCCCCAGCAACTGACATGCATATCTGAAGAAAAGCAGAAAAGATGGGCGACTGCATTGATGACGATGTCTCCCCGCCGATCAGAGTGATGATTGTTGGCGATTCCATGACTCAAGGTCGCGAAGGGGACTTCACATGGCGATACAGGCTCTGGCAATGGATGACAGCAGAGGGGGTCAACTTTCAGTTTGTCGGTCCATACAAAGGAACGAAAACACCAGAAGTCTCTCGTCCTACGCACCCACCGGCATCGGACACCGAGCCTACATTGGATAGCAATGTTCCGGTTGACCTCGGCGGCTACGCTGCGGGCGTAAGATTCGACTCTTGTCATTTTTCAGTATGGGGACTCCAAGCGACACAGTGCAATGAGTTGGTACAGGACCAAGTGGAACGGTTTCGACCAGACTATATGCTGGTCATGCTCGGGTTCAACGATATGGGATGGGGTGTCGCGGACGCTAAAGGCACCATCGTTGCCATGGAACAGCTGATAAACCGGACACGCGCTGCGAACCCGACGGCCAAGCTCGCCATTGCCGATGTACCGCAGCGGACCCCGATGGAGGGGACAGAAAAGTTGGCCCCCATGGTCGACAGATACAATCAGCTTCTGCGGACTTCGGCCAGGAACTGGGGGACCCAGCAGTCTCCCATAGAGCTGGTCGAGATTCGCGACAACTACGACTGCTCTCATGGCAGTTATGATGGCCTGCATCCCAACGCGCTAGGGGAGTTCCAGATCGCCAGAGCGTTTTCCCGGAGCCTCGTTCGCGGCTACAGCATTGGAACACATGAGCTGAGCATCCCGCTGAAAATACCGGAACGACCTACTCCGGTGCCGGCGAACATTGTTGCGGAGGCTGTCGCGTACGGCGTCGCCGTCACCTGGGATGCAGTGTATGGTGCTCTCGGCTACGACGTTAGAAGCCGTGAAGGCACGGGCTCACTTTGGATCGAGTCGCGCACGGAATCGAATCGATGCGATTCGACCTGCACTCAGGAAGGGCTGGAGTATCACTACCAGGTTCGGACTTACAATGGTGATAGTCTTGTATCCGCTTGGTCAAAAGTAGTGTCGGCGATGTCACGGCAGAGTCGGGTTCTGGACTCGGGGACATTGGCGCAAGACAAGATGCAAAACGGGTAAACTGTTGAGTGAAAGAATCACCTGGATAACGTAACATCGATCATTATGATAATATCGCTCAGATAGATTAGTTATTGCCCAGATGAGTCCTGCCAACTTCGGGATTGAAGGAGACAATGTCAGTTAATTGATAGTTGTACGAGAATTCGATTCAACCCTTCAATTTCGCCGATATAGCGCTACTGTTTACGCAGCGTTTGTCGATTTCTAGTTTCCTAACTCAAGTAGACTTTCGCATCATGTTTTTCTTTTCCCCCTCGATAACTAGCTCTACTGGGACAGATCAAAGTTAGGGTCTTGTAGGAGATCCATCATCGCCGTATTAGAGTAGAAGAAATCTTCCAGCTGGGCAGCGTTTGTCATCCACATCATTGGGTTCCCTGGCCTCATGTCTTCATCCATGCTGTCGACGCTCATGCCCGTCATCCTAGAAACTGAAAAAAGCTCCGGGGAATGGCCGGTGTTTTGGTTTAAAGTGGAGGGCTGATGGTAGTGCGGCCTTTCTTCCACTGTTGCCTTCGGCGGAAATCCTAGGGCCGCAAGATACGCATCCATTTCGGCACTTGCCTCTGTTTGCCTGGAATGCGGTGTAGTGGCGCGGAACTCTACAAATCGGAGTGCGACACTGTACAGAACCTGGAAGAGGCGTGACATCTTGCCTGCCGCATCGGACATTGTCGCTGTTTCTTGGAGAAAAACTACGAAAGAGTGAAGGCGCGCCAAGTCATCTCTGTCTTGAGTCTCAATCACCTGGCAGAACAGAACGATGAAGGGGATAAAGGGCGAAAACAAGACAGTCCTGCAGTAAAACATTAGCTGATGTGGCGCAGGTGGCCATTCGTAAGAGCCTACCAGTGCATGTAGGACGAGAAATAGACATCGTGGGATTTGCGCATGATCGCAACACATTCTCGATGTTTCTCGAGGGCAGCTCGTGCAGCTTTGACGCATTCAGGGCTAAAGGTCGTTGGAGAGCCTTCGACGCGCGGCGCGGCCCTATAGACTAATGTAAGAAGCGACAGACGTAGAACACTGTCCGATGACACGTAGAATTCTGAGAAGTTCTCTTCTGCAACATCGTTGCCTCTGGTAAGAGCGCTCCCCTTTGGAGTTTTAGCGACGCAAACACTAGGATTGAGGCTGTGACTTACGATAAGCTCTTGAGTACGGACTTCTATATCATGAAGTGATGAAACCAGCTCATGAATCCGCATTTGCCGGACATGGTATGGCTGCGTGATGGAATCTGGGCTGTAGAGCTTCTCGTAGATCTGACCCTGACACTTTGCCGTCTTGACCCATAGCACAAGATACGGCAGAATTGGACTAGCCGCCTGTTCCTTCACGCTAGGCAAAGGCATCGTGATGTGCCAATCTGGAATCGTCGAAGCTCGCCCCAATCGCAATGAAAGGCTCTTGTCGATGTAATACACGTTCCAGAAGAGAAATTGATGCCAATGCATTCCATGAACCGTTGGTTTGATGTCACTCTTGGAGACCTTGAGGGATTCAACTCGATGATAACCAAGGGTTTGGCACAGTTCAGACGCTTTTGAAACCAACGTCCAAGCCAGTGAAGGCTTTGAGATCTCGACGGCATGGAAAGCCTTGAAGATGGTCAGCTTATTGGATGCTCGTAGAGTCAAGTAAGTAATGAAGTCATGAGGCTAAAAAGAACCGTACTCACACCGAAGAGAAGTGCAACGATCACATCAGAAGATGCCGGCAGGTGAAGCGGTAGATTGAGCAGGAAGGTCTCCAGGTTTACTCGGCATATTCTAGTGGTGTTAGACGGGTATGCCTATGGTTGTCTGAGGGCAGCTTGCTCACTTTGCATATTCCATATACTCCTTCCTATCCTCACCTGAGATCTGTGCGGCGTAATCTGTGAAGAGTGAGTAGAGACCGCCGTTCACTGTAATGAAATCGTAATCTGAGTAATTATCCGAAAAGTACACATCCAGGCAAAGGTCTGGGAAGCGCCTAGACGGTAGGAAGTCGTAGATCCAAGCCATTCCCGAGAGGCGTTGTCCTGAGAATTGAAACTTCGCTTAGCAAAGACAGCATAGGGTTGAGGATATGAGATCGAAGAAGGACTAATTACCTCTTGCAACTCGAATTGTGCCTACCGCTTTTTCTATGGGCGGCATCTCAAGCCCCTGAATACGAAGCCGGTTGACTGGCTTCGCATGAGGGTACGTCATCTCCACTGCGGCAGCAGGCTGCTTCAGTGCGTGGACAATTTGAGACAATGCTTCAAGAGTCTCGCCCAGGTCTAGACTCGAGTCCTGGAGAGACTCGGTACTGACGACCTTCTGCACGAATTCCGTAGCGAATACGGAATGTGCAGCGAGGGAAGAGTCGCCCTCGATAACAGCGCCACCATCCTCGTCTGACTGGTGGGCATGGCTAACCAAAGTGGCGGGTGTTGATGTGGACGTAGATGACTGCAGATGAGCAGATGATGTGGCAAGTTCAGCTCGGGGGACAGTCATCGTAAAGCTGCTGCTGCCCCCCTGACCAGTATTGGAGGTTGGGTGCACCTTCATATCTTGTAGGAGCCGGATGACCGTTTCCAACCGGCGGTCAATTTGATCAATCTTTCTTTCACTTCAAGATCCACGTCAGCCAGAGAAGCTACGGTGTAGGTTCACAGCCTCAGTCCCAAGCAGGTGCGTCATCAAGAGATTCCGGGCGCTAAACGTAGGGCAAAACGACTCACTATTGAGGGGTGATGAGAATCCTCGTTCGCTTTTCTTTTGGTTTGTTGTCGGCATGAGTGCATTCTATCTTGGCGTGTGTACAATAAGAACATGGCAGTTCTCTGTTGCAGCGGATCTGGAAACCAGTCAGTGACATTGACAGCGCGTACTGCTTTTAGCAGCGAGTGGGAATACCTTCCGAGCACGACATGCATCACACTAGTAGTCCGCATTAGTAAGTTCTTATCAGATATATTAGAGAGTTAGAAACATTGCTCACAGCTCTGCGAATGATTGTTGGGGGGTTTGCCGAGGATGATTCGGGGGCCTCTTCAGGCCCATCATTCGTAGCGTCCTCGTAGCCGCTACCATCTAGATGGCTTTCGTCCATCTTAGTTAAGCGACTTTTGGCAAGGGGTACCTGCTGCGCGAATCGTGGTTTGGGGAACACAGCTTGTTGAAGCACGCTCGGGTAACGCGGGAGCCGTTCTAATTCCTGGGAAGAGGGAAAAGATTGAGATGTGTGTCGGAGAAGAGGAGATCGGGTCCCGAAATATGAATGACTTGCTGGCTCTGCGCTCTTCGCTCAACTAGGAAGCATCAGGACATGCTGCGTTTCTTTATCGTTTTTTATCGTTTTTTTACTATTCTTCCCCTTTATGCAGTGTTCTCGGGGGCCGCGCGTTCCGTTGCAAGTCTTGGCTTGGCGGATATATTTGCCTGTTTGGGTAATTAGCTTCAACTATTAGTAATCGCAGTTGTTTTTGGACACTTCTTTCAAATACATGGCTGCTTTCTCATTCAAAACACAGCAATATCGTCACTTGAGGTCAGTTAAAATCCGAAATACTCCCTTCTATTCGAATTGTTTTGATATAGGGACACAGGAGCCTCAACGTTCTTATATATTAGTTGACTGATCGAAACGTGTCAACGTGTTCTTTTTCTCTCTTCTGGGGCACAAAGTATAGAGTCATTGTCTTATGTTGAAACACTTACTAGGGCCAAAAACGTTTGCAGAACGCCATCCCCTCCCAACCCACCTAAAATTCTCTGTGTGGAGCTTATCAGCTTTATGGCTAATAAGTGCCAGTTTGTGGAACGAATGATGACTGGGAACTTGCCAGTAGATGGATGTTATGTACTGTTCCGAGATAAGGCTGGGAATCCAAGACGCAAGAGGTTTACTAGCGGAGGAAGCAAAAAGACCAGAGCCCACCACGATGGAGACAGACTAGACAGGGCGGATGAAAGCGCTGGAAGGAATACATGGAAGAAGGTGGAGAGGGTACATCAGATTTCCGAAGAGCGCATCAGGCTGATCAGCGCTTCACGGCGTGAATGGAGGGGAGCCATAAGACATCAGCCAATGCTATAAACAAGGTCTCAATCCTGTATCAGACCGGAATAATATCACTGGATTAAATGGCCACCATTGAACTAATTGAGAGAGGTTGCCGGACCTGGCCTTCAGCAGAGAACCGGTGCCGTAAACTGTATGCCCCTTGGCGCGCTTGTAGGGATCATGTAAGATAGCTCTACATAATGACAGGCAATACAAGCAAGATAGTCTAAGAATTAATGCATTGTATCAATTGCGTCTTCGTTGGCCTAGATCAAAACAAAAAAAGGCCGCCTTTCACCACAGTGTCTTCTTCTAAATCCATTTACCCTACCCCCATGTTAGCTGACACTACTGAAATTCTCTGAGGCTGGCCAGACGTAGATATAAGTAACTGCATCCAAACAAATCAGCCACCGCTCGAGCTCATCCTACGCCTTCCAGAAATTTGTGGTGTTGTAAGACCTCCCATATCTCAGTTTCTGCACCTCGTCGCGCAGATTCAGGCCCGGTTCACTGATAAGGGTCTTTTCGTCAAGGTGAAAGCACCTGGTAGTAACCGAATCTGTGCACAGGGGGTACAGCTACTTGTGATCTATATCGCAAAAGACGTTTTGCCTAGTCGAAACAATATCCTAGCCGTAAGATGTCTCAGAATTACAGATCTCCCTAACGTTGGTGTTCTAGTCTGAGATGATGAGGTGAGAGGGGTCATGGTTAGCGCTACCACCGTTAGCACACGCCTCTCTTTTGGGCCGTTTAACCTTCATTAGTGCCAAGTAAGCGCCCTTATCCTAGGGATAATTAGGGTCATTAAGGACCTTAGTTAGATCCTTGTTATCGCTATTGCTATTCTTGTACTTAAGCCTAGGCTTAAAGAAAGGCGGGATGCTGTTAGGCAGTAGGTTACCCTAGAAGGAGAAGCGCGGCGTGCTCTTGCAAATCGTGTTAAGGTTTTTGTAGTATTACTATATTTTATCCTTATTAGGTTATATATTATTAAGGTAGAAGCTAATAGCCTATACGTTGATTTTACTATTATAGTTAGCGTCTAGCTAGACGTAGCGCGGTGTTTGAAACTTGGAGCCGTCCTGGTTATCGCTTGCAAACTAGGATTGCCTGCACTTATACCCTATGTCGCTATAGAAGGCGCCAGAAATCTTGCCGTTAGACACCATAACAGCCGAGATGCAGACAGCATCGTTATCAAGCTTGGAAAGCAGGACATAACAAGGATAGGCCTGAGAGTACTTTGGCTGCGTTTGGCTGTGATTTACAGGGATGTTATCACGCGACCCGCCTTGCGGGATCTAATCCTTTTTTCCAGAAGGATGCCACTGGCCAATCCGGTTTCCATCTGCAGAAGTGGTCACTAGTCAGGAGTGCCTGAGGTAAAGCAGTATCAAATATGCTTACTATTGCTGGTGATGGCGAATGGAACGAGTGGCAAGTATGGATGGGATAGAGATGTTAGACGGAACGGTTGTCGCGGGTAAGCAGCTTAAAGAGGGAGGAGAATATCGGCCCACCGAGTGCGTTGGAACCCCATCGTCGCCAACAGCGGGGGCAGATCGACAACATGCCTCAGAAATGTTTACCAATGGAAAAACCTTTCAAACTGCCAGCTTGTCAGTGTCTGAGAATGGGTTGGCGACTGTTGGTTCTGGCAACAATGGGGTCCAATGGTGATGCTGGATTTAATGGGTTGGGGGCAGTTGTCTCTGCAGACCGCCATTCGGGAGTGTCTCATCTCCGCGGCTAAGCTGAGGGGGGAACTGATATCAGTTTAGGCAAACGTGTCACACAACCAACGACCAACAAATTGCTACATGATAGTATTATATTAGGTAGACACTGATGGAAATCGGTTCTCAACGTCGTGCCGATTCTCAACGTCGTGCCAAGACGCAGATTCCTTTTTCTTTATTCCTTTTTGCGTCCCTCAGTACTTGCTTCCTTTAGCTATATCCATAGGCCTTGACGACTAACAACTGTAACTGTCGATACCCATCCGGCACAGCTGCATCATAATGAGAATCCCTCAGAGACTACCGGCCATCCTGGCCTTGACGGCCAGCATCATCATTTTGTTGAGCTCAATTCTGTGTCTTGCTTTTCAGATGACGGCCTTCACCACGTACATGGAATATACCGATGGAGGCACCTTCTTGATCTCAAAGTCAATCCCCCGCTACGGGCCATTCAGTTACTTCTACGAATGCCCGCTACATCTCATGCCTGTTTTACGCCCACCGCTTGTTGTTGCTGGAAGCTTTGGCCTGGTAATAGGACTAGCGATAACCTGGATGATAGCCGCTTCCTCTAGCAGACAACGTCCGTGGCAGGTATGTTACTTACGAAATATCTGTATAGCTGCCAAGGGTTGAGCTTACTAACCCTATTATGTATAGTTGTATCATGGTCAGCGAGTCGCACTCATCACCGTCCTGGGTGCCAATGCGCTTTTGGCGACAGCTTCCATGATCTACGTGTTGGTGCAGCACGGCCGCAGCTCCCACATCGACCCTGGATACATCTTACCAGGAGTTCGATCTGTATATGACAAGGAATATTTTAGCCTGGAGGAATGGACGTGCGAGATTCCCTATTACCTCGAGGAATTCGGGTCACTTATCCTTGTACTGCAGTGTGTGGGCGAAAGGGTCAGCCGCATCTCGATAGCTGGCATGTGCTTTTTCAGTCTGGCATTGGCGGGATTGCTGGTCTGGGATCTCAATAACACACAGGTTGCCGTGACAAGGCCGAAGACAAGGAACAGCTGGGAAGATGATGACTGGGCGTAATACTGTCCCATCACCAGTTGAGCGCACCTAAAGCATCTCGCCACCATGTTCACAGCAGTTGTAACTAGGGGAACAGGCGGTTGAAGCAATTGAACTTGAATAACTGAGTCAAGTGCCACCATACAAACGAATGAAGAACCTAGTTATGACCTTGGCATCTTCCAGATAAGACACTTCCTCTATGAACCTACAGAGTGTATGTGGTGGTGAGCGCCTACCATGTGCAGGCCGCCGTGATGGGCTGGGTCTCCTTGACGCCATTATGAGCCCCATCTTTGTATTGGTCTCGAAGTCGACCCCAGCCTTAATCTCTCTAGGTTTCTTCTCACCAAGGCTCCGGTCTGGCTCTCGGCCGCCACTTGCTGAACGAGAGGACAGCTTATAGCGGGCAACTCTGGTCACAATCTGGGTGGAGCTGAGCTGTCAACGGACTGTCCTGGTGCAGCAACACGACTGATGATAGCAATGGAGACTGCTAGTTCCGTAGACCTAGACTGAAGCAAGCAAACATTTCTGCAGAGAAGCTTGTTTTAAATACACATGCAATACTGCGTGGATCCATGTTCTCCATGCACCCTCCAGCGGCATGTAAGGCCAAAACGACAATGTCCAGGGGCACAGATTACAACCGCTTCCCAATATCGGGTGAGACGTGAAACACGCAAAAGTAAATCTCTATATCAAAACGGAGCGCCGAACGCTACTACTCTCTTTTGGGGTGAGTGCTAGCCCTAGCGCCGCAACCCACCAGACCGGCCTTTCTCGGTTGGCGGCGGATCATGTAAACGTTTGATGCTTGGCTGCATGGTGGGGATAGATCTGATAAGATGATAGCGGGGCAACTAACTGTAGAGAGGTCGGGGGCACCAGTGGCCCAGATCCTAGCTGAGAGCGCATGTGTCACAAATTACAATAGCTTTATACAGCACCTGTCAGGTGCCATATCACATTAGTAGTATTACTTATATATATAGAATCCTTCCTTCAAATCACTACTTATAGAGGAGTAAGCCATTTTCTATCCCTATTCGTAAATGCCATGCTGTGTGCTGCAGCTTGCGACAGCATAAGATCCATTTCGCAAAGGTTAGTTATCCTGTCTAAGATTTCCGATTCTTTGCACTTGAGGGTGGTTGACGGAGAAAGCGTTGTTGACGCGACGATAGCCTGACCCATCTTTGATCTCCAGAAAAGCTTTTACCGAGTCGAATGTACGGTTGTGGAAATGTGGCATTCTTGAGGATCTTCAACCAACAGCATTCATCCAAAGGGTTGCGAGGTGGTCGCGACAGAGTTGAGCCTGCCCTGCCCACATCTACCCGCGCTAATCCTCTTTAGGCGTTGAAGATTGCATCCCTGCAACATAGCTGATGGACCCCTTTTTTTCCCACCCCCATCTCCGCTACCCGTCTTATTTCGTGCGCAGCACGAAGTCAAGCTTACCAGCTTGAGCAAACCGACTGAATCACCGGGGCTCGGCATGCGACGGAGTCGGTGACAGAGATCAACGACAACTCTTGCTTGACATACGGACAGTCCTGCTGTCCCCGCCAGAGCCGCCTGTTATCAGAGCTCGGGATCGTGCAGATCCCTTTGAACACCCTCGGCTCGACCATGGCCAGCATCTTCCGCCGGGCCGCATCGGGCGTCTACACCGTCCTCGCCGTTTCCATTCTCGGCGTCTGGAGCCTCATCGTGCTGGTTGGCGTCGGCCTCACTGCCGTCGACGCGAACGCGAGCCTCCTCCAGCTCATCGCCCTGCCGTCCCTGCTGACGTTCCTCGTCGCGAAGCTCGTCGTCGCCGCGTCGAGAGTCAGCGACAGGAAATTGATCCTCTCGCCACCCAGACAGACCCCCGGACCCGGAGTTCCAGCTCCGGGCAGCAGCGGCAGCGGCAGCGGAAACCTTGCAACCTGGCTCGCGACGGCGGACCACGGCTCCCCGCACGGCGCGCTCGTTCTCCTCCTCTTCTCCCGTGACGTGGCTCCTGCACCTCGCGCGCATCGTCTTCGCGCTCTTCCTCGTGGTGCTGATGGGCGGCTTCATGGCCTTCGCCGCCACGCTCGACGGCGCGGGTAAGGCTGGCAACAGCGGTAGCGGCGGCGGCGGGACGACAGGCGGACGTGGGGCGCTCTTCGACGACGACGCCGACGCCGGGGGCGCGCGCCAGAACATGACGATGGCGCTGGCGCGGTTCGAGGAACAGGCCGGCGTGGTGGGGATCGGGGACTACCTCAAGGGGAACCCGTGGATCGTCTTCCAGGTCTTTGCGGCGCTCTGGGCGACGTGCGGGCTGCTGACGGCGTACGTCACGGCGTACGCGTTCGGGGCGGCCCGCACGGTGCTGATGACGCCGCTGGACGCGTGGGTGAGGAGGGGAGGCGGCGGCGGCGGTAGTGGCGGGGTCCCGTCTGTCGTCGTCGTCGTGGAAAAGGAGAGGGTCGTCTTGCCTGTGGAGGCGTCAAGCTGAGGACTGAGTGCGGGCCAGTCACGGGATATCAGAGCTGGGAGTGCTGTTTTCCTTCCTCCTGAAGAAGAACATCCAGAGTGGAGTCGGGGGGAGGGGAAAGAAGAGCTCGACGGCCACCAGGTGCAGTCGAGCTCGTCGAGGCCCGTCTCTGAAGCAAACAAACCGGGGCCCGTTCTGCAGCCTTCCGTCGCCGAGCCGCCCGGGAGCAGGCCGTAGGGATACGGCGCGCGAATGGGAAGGCGAGCCCCGGGTGGGTCTTGGGCGCCTGCCGGCGTAGTGGGGGTAGAGCCGGGGGGTTGTCCGGGGAAGCAAACAGGAAGGAGCGGCCTGCACCTGCACCTGTGCCGCAACTTCCTGCCTCACTCTACAACAAGCAAACGACCGCCCTTTCCCCTCTTTCCTCTCTCTCCTTCCCTTATTCAGCATCTTCGCCGTCACCTCCAACAACTCTCGAATACAAACCAAAAAGGGCAACCGTGGTGCAGTGGTTTAGCATTCCAGCCTCCCATCCAGGGAACCAGCTGGGGACCTGGGTTCGAACCCCGGCGGTTGCAGCTTCTTTTCCTTTTGTCTTTTGTTTTTTGCGTCCATCGCAAGTTGGGTGGATATTGATGTGCTTTCTTCCTATCTTGGTTGGCGTCACTGCTTGGGGGCGGTGTGTATGGCTGCAGCCGTGGCAATGGGACCTGTCGAGCTGTGTGTGTCATGTAGTTGTGAGCTGTAATCCTCGGGGGATGTAAACAAACAAACCCCTTGGAAGGGGACGAACGAGTGGCTTGTATATTGCACGCATTGTATGTCTATTGTGTATTATTCATCGTGTGTTCCGTGTATCCAATGCCGTCAAATCTAATCCCAAATCCCATGTTCCTCATCATCGCATTACGCCACAAACCCTGCCTCCTTCCTCCATCTATGCCCTTGTAGAACCTCCCCCCTCCTCAACCAGCTCTCTCCAAGACCCTGCAAGCCTCAAATATCTTCTCCGTGATGCCGTCAATGTGGCCCCAGTCGAACATGTCAAAGTGGTGCCCCTCCGTCATCAGCACCCTCTCGACGAAGCCGGGGCAGTACCCGTCCCACCCCAGCTTCTCGTCCTCGCGGTACACGTCCACCGAGCTGATGACCCCTGCCGTCGACGACGGCACGCGCGCCTTGGCCTTGACCAGGACCGCCCGCGGCGGCCTCTCCCACACCACCTCCGCCGTCTCCTTCTCGCGCTTACTGCCGTAAAAGCCCGTGTCCAAGCCCCCGTGGTCGCCGTCCCCGTGGTTTTCCCGGTCGTCGACGTCTCCGCCACCCGCCATCCTGGGCACCGTCACAGCCGCCGCCGCCGCCGCCGCCGCCCCGCACCGGGGAATCTTCCACGCCCGCACCATCCCGCCCGCCATCCCCATCGCCCGCCGCGCCAGCCGCAGGTTCTTGGTCTCGGGCTCCGGCCCGTCGACGAGGCGCCCGATCTTGACCCGCAGCCCCTCGGGCCACACGGGGTACACGCTGTCGACGATGACCAGCCCGGCGATCTCAATGTCCTCGTCCTCGTCGCCGAGCTGCCGCGCGATTTCCAGCGAGAGCATCCCGCCGAGACTCCAGCCCCCCAGCAGGATCCTCCTGCGGGGCTTGCCGCCGCCGCCTCTGCTCGAGCGCGGCGGCGGCGGTGACCGCGGCGCCTGCGCGGGGTAGTCCCGGCCCTTCGTCACGGTGGCCCGGATCATGCGCAGGTACGTCGCGGCCATCTCGGGCAGGCCGCCGTCCCAGGGCACGCCCGAGTGGAAGCGCGGGTTGGCGATGCCGAAGACGGCCCGGTCGAGGGGGCCTAGACAGTGGTACGCGAACGTCGTGCCGCCGCCGTCGTGGACGAGGATGAGCGGCATCTGCGTCTCGCCGCGCGGCGAGGCGGGCTGAACGAGCTCGCACTCTTTGGGCGCCGGGTGGTACAGCATGGCTGCTGCTGTTCTGGGGCTCCAGGCCGTTGTTGAGTGAGGTAAAAAAAAAAAAAATGCGGCCGTCGATCAGAAAACTCCCCGGGGGGGGGGGATGTCTATATGTGCGCGATATAGTGGGATCGCGGGACCGGGTGAGAGATATTCTCGCAAACGAGATATCCTTGCTGACGCACAGGAACGAGGATGTGGGGTCGCCGATCCGACCAACCACCGCAGCGCGCGCGAAGGAGCAGGAATGAATAGGTCTCGCAGTAACGTGATACGTGACTAGAGACTCGCCCTCGTGAGAAAGATGATGAACCGCGAGTGGAGATGTTGTCAGTTAAAACAGCAACCCGGGGGGGGGGGGACAAAGTAAAGTTCTAGTTCCCGATAGTTGAGTGGGTCGAGAGCGGGTGGGATGGAGGCCCTCCAACCAATGCACTTCGACACATGGGCGAGAGAAATGGGCGATCCCCTTCCGCTTCGGCGTTCGGCAGCCAGCAAGCTTTTCGGGGGCGGCGAAGACCCGTCTAGGTTCGGAGCTGCTTCTGTCAATGAGTCGTGCCCCGTCCCGAGTCGGCGTTGCGTTGGCCAATCTTCTTCTTCGCCGATCGCGCATCCGGGAACGAAACCTCTGAGCGATACGGCGCTGAACCCATTAAGCACGTCATCGGCATCCAAACCGCTTGTGATTCCCAGATAAACTGTTTATTGCGAGGCCAGCAGCGGAACAGGCTTCGGAACAAACACCATATCAAAATTCGTGCAATTTCGTCTGCCGCAACATCCAGAAAGCTGGAAATAACGTCGTTATTACTCATTCGTCGCCGCAACTCGAAAGAAAAAAAAAAGGCAGACGGGTGCAATCTAGTCCACAAGGTCCGCCCACAATGCAGTTTACTTGTTCCGCCGGAAATCCAACCCTTCCCCTTCCGTCACCCGTCGTCCGTCGCCTTTCACCTCCGCCTCACGTTCGGGGCTTGAACTTGAGAAACATCTTCTCCCTCGGCTTCGCCGCCGAGTGCCTGTTCCTGTCTATCGAGCTCTCCGGCACCCTGTCCATCTTGTTACCATTGGCATCGGCGAGGTAGAAATCGAACCGAGAGATGAACATGGCAGTCGTGACGGCCATCTCCAGCTTGGCGAACTGTGTATGCCCCCCCCCCCATCGGGGTGTGTCAGCAATGCATCACATGAGAGAAATGAACAGGAAGAAGAGGAGATGGAGAAGACAAGACAGGAAAGCAGACTCACCCTCATGCCCAGACACGGGTGCCGGCCGGTACCCCACCCGATGAAGGCGTGCGGGTCCTTCTTGTCCTCTTCCCGGCCGGGGAGGTATCTCCCCGGGTCCCACCGCGACGGGTCCGTGAAGAATTCGGGGTCCATGTGCGTCGAGTCGAACTGGTAGACGACGTACGCGTCCTGCGGCACCACCTCGCCCGTCTTGCCAATCGGCAGGTCCTTGCCGCTGCCGTTGTAGCGGAAACCGCAGCCCGTGAGGGTGTGCCGGATCACCTCCTTGAGCCCGAGGTCTATGAGCGGAAACTCAGCCTCCCACTCGTCCATGGTCATGCTCGCCAGGATCTCGTCGGCCGCCTGCTCCGCGGACCGCCGCCGCCGCGCAATCACCCCGTCAACCTCGCGCTGGAACTCGCCGTACCAGTGCGCGTCCCCGGCGAGGAAGCACAGCAGATACGCCGCGTTGATGCCCGTGTTGATGAGCCCCGCGAATAGCGCGCCGACGAGGAAGGCCACCATCTCGATGGTGCTGTCGCCGTTGTCCATGAGGAACTGCAGTGCGTCGTTGCCCGGCACCCCGCGCGCCTTGCGCTCCTGGATCACCCCATCGAGAATCCGGTACATCCTGGCGCCGCTGATGACGCGTCGCAGGTGACCCACGGTCGGCATCCAGGGAAACATGACCTTGGTCGCCGTCGCCGCGCCGTCGATGCCCTCGAAGATGCGCAGCATCCGCAGCAGGAGGACCGGGTCCTCGGCCACCTCATCGCAGCCTACCATGCGCACCGTCAGCTGAAACACGAGGCGGTACATGTCCTCGAAAGGGTCGCTCGTGCCGAACTCGGACGACGGGCCGATGCGCGCCGCGAGGTCGTCCATTGTGCCCCGCGCGTCCGACACGAGGAGGTGCAGGCGTTGCGACAGTACGTCCTTGCGCAGGAGCCGGACGAGGCTCCGGTTGAACTTGGCGTCGAAGTTGTCATCCGAGGACCGCTCGCCGCTCGACAAGTTGATTTCCGGGGTGGCGTTGAGGAGGGCGCCGTACCTGTGGCTGTGTAAGTCCCGATGTTTCCTCCATGTAACGCCTCCGCCCCTTCTGTCACAACAGTCGATGACGTGCAAATCGTCGCATGTGCATTTAGTGAGAGAAAAAAGAAAAGAAACAAGGTGTCTCTAGAGAAGAGAGTGGACCCACCCCTTTGCGAAATCCAATTCACGGCTCTCGAAAAAGAGACGCCGGCCTTCGAGGCCGCTGAGGCCGACGATCCTCTTCTTCCCAAAGTAGAAGCTCCAGTTGCCCGACTCGGCGAGGCGGCGGCCCTCGCTCAGGAAGTTGCCGCGCTTCGAGAAGAAGCGCGGCGAGCCGACGACGGGGTAGCTCTTGAATAGCCTCGGCGCGCTGTTCGGGAACGAGGGCCGGTGGACGAGGGCGCCGACGGCGTAGGCCAGCCCCGTCAGGAGGAGGACCCAGACGCCCATCGGCCAGTCGTGCGGGCGCAGGGCCGTGGAAGCTACCGCGGCGGCAGACATGGCGATTTTTTCTTCTTCTTTTTTTTTCGTTTCTTCAATTAAGCGGGCACGTTTCGGGGGCTTTTGATGATCTCGTTCCGCGTGTTTTGTTTTTTCTCTCCTCCCGTCGCGTGCCGATCGAAGAGGGGTGGGAGGTTCCAATGAGCTGGAGACTCGATGCGAGATGAGACGGAATCCCGAGATAAAGGATGGGGGGTACTACACTAGAGTACAAGACGAAGGAAGACAAGATGAGAAAGCTCGAGAAAGGGAAAGACGGTGTGTATAATATTATAATTTGAACCCGTAAACGCAACAGAGCTAGGTATCCAACCCCTAAGCGTTGCGAGCTGAGGAGAGGGCCCGACGGATTCGAAACGTGGGTGGCAAAAGCAGCGAGGAGAAGGAGGAGAGGGGGTGGAAGATGGGCATCCCGGCCGGCAGCAGCGACTTCAAAGCACGGATGAAGACTGTGCCTTTCAACCCGAGTGTCGTAGGTATGTGCTGGAACAGGGATCCATCAGGACAGGACCGCCAAGAAGCTGGTCCATGGAAAACGAGCTGGTACCCAGCGTGGGACATGTAGTTTGTAGATCTCATCTCTTTGTCCCACCCTTCGCTTAACCCTCCAAACTGTCCTTGGGGGTATCTATTGACGGCGGCGACTGAGAGGCTCGCGAATACGAACGGCCTCGATCCGGTTGGTTTGCGTTCGCTTTCCTCTGGTCCCATCTTTGTGTTTCCCAGGGTCCCGAGGTTCCCCTAAGCGAAGGCGGACGAGGGTGATGGGCGGGGGAACCATCAGCCGTTTAGCCCGGGAGATGGGGCGCGGCAGTTGGGGTAGCCGAGCATTATACTTTTCGCGTCCAAGGTCGCTATTGGAGAAGAGGGGTTAGACGGTGGTATTCTGGGGGGGGGGGGCTTTCTGCTTTCCATGACGACGGCAGCCAGAGTCTGGCAGTATGGGTGATAGGCTCCATGGATCGCATGAGAGCAGAAGATGGTGTATTTGTATCCGTACTGCAGAAGCGATGTTGCACAAGGGAAGAACCCCCGCTCTTCTGTTGTATTGTGCCGGAAGGTGCCCATTCATGGGTCTGATTGCCCGTTCCTTCCCACAGCATTTTCATCGTCACCTGTTGCTTGACTTCCCAAATGCATAGGTACATAGACCATTGATAACGAAACGCACACCGCCTCTCTCTTCGTACATACTCGGTACTTTAATGTACATTCTTGATGGTGTGGTATTTGCTCTTTTGTGCGGACGTTTGGCCCCAGGTTGGGGTTTCCCTCGCACAATTCGGGTTTGGACATTTGTTGGGGAGGGAGAGGGGAGGCATTGTGCTCATTGTGCTCATATGCCAAGCACACGACAATATATAATTACTGCCTGTAACCATCGTCCTTTTATGCTTTTCTGATACGAGTGCCGAGTCTGCACACTGCATGCCGCATACCACAAACTTCAACGACGGCGTACCGAGACCCCCCTTGTGTCCCCCATGCGTGTGGCCGTAAGGATCCGGGAGAGGCAAGGAGGAGGCTTCTCAGATGGTAAACGCTCTCAGAGATTCCGGTGACCTGAATCGCCATGTCGGCTTATCCCCTCCTTCCTTTCCTCGTCGCGTCGATCATGACAAAAGCTCGTGCCGGCCGGCCAGTAGCAGAACGCCGTCCGTCCCAAATAAAAATTCCCAACATGCCGGATCCCGTGCGTTTGGGCCATGTCAATGAGACGAAAAGTCATATGCCCTATGCCTCCCCGCGCGCGGAGAAGACACGGCATCATCGAGTCGCGGTACTTACACTACCCCGGGCCGCAAACAAAACAAGGTGGCAGCGCAGGACGTCTCGCTGGCTATCCCGCCATGCTTCACTAGACCATAATGCAAATTCACCCAACTTTCTGTCAATCGCGTCACGGTGTTATGGCCTCCTGCTACCGCCTTCTGGGCAATGCGAGGCCATGAAGCGACCAAACCGCCCAGGATGTATACATCTAGCAAGCTACGCAGAAGAAGAAGAAGAAAAAGGGTATCGTCTAACAATGCAAGCCACGCCACTCTGATCCCCTCTCTCTCTATCTCTTGGGGACCCCGTCTAATCCCACGCCATCGCCTCTTTTCGTTACAAGGTTCTAGCACATAAAGTCTAGCCTTGGTCTCTTCTCGTGTCAGCAGCCAGCCGCATGTCCTACAACGCCCACAACCTCGCCGGGCCGAACAAGAAAGCTCACTAAACGGCCTCCCAGTCCATGGCCTCGACCATGAAGTCATACTCGTCCTCCTCCATCTCTTCGGCGCCACCCCCCGCTCCCCCACCGACGGCCGCCTCCTCGGCGACGCGCTTCTCGGCAACCGCGTATCCAGCATCGAACCCGGCAAAGACGTGCCTAAAAATCTTGTCCAAGTCGTAGCTCTCCAGCGGCGCCGTCCCGGCCCTTTCCCGCCCCGCCTCGCCGTTCGCCCTCGCCCTGGCCCCCTCCTCGGCGTACTTCCACCGGTTCCTCAGCTCCTTGGCCCTCGACAGGTGGAACAGCACCTCGCCCGTCCCCAGCGCCTCGTGGAGCGGGTTGTCCTCCCTCTCCAGCGCCGCGATGACGTTCTGGTGGTACGTGTGCGTTGCCTGCTGCGCGAAACCGCCGTCGGCCCGCCGCGGCGTCGCCGACGTAGTCACCCAGCCGTCTCGCGATACCGTGATCCCAAACACGCCCATCAGGTGCACCAGCGCTCGCTCCAGCAGCATGTAGTACTCGTAAAAGTCGAGCTTGAACATGAGCTCCGCCTCCTCGGCGTCCGTCTCGCCCCCGTACAGCGGGTCCCCCGGCCGTGCTATCGCGTGGTGGTACCCGTGGCTCAGGTACGGGAGCTTCCATTTGAGCCGGCGCACGATCTGTATGTAGCGTCTAAACTCCTGCTGCGCCGTCAGCCCGTCGTGGGTGGCTGCAGCGTTCTTCGTGACGCCGGCGGCGGGCGCTGAGGAGGGCGTGCTCGTGTTCGCGCCGGGGCGGAAGTAGTTGGAGCTCTTGGTTGGCGACGGAGGCCGTGGTGCCGCGGGGGTAATGACCGAGGACGTGGCCTGGTATGTCCGTGGTCGGTATACAGAGGTGGACGAGCTATTGGAGTGTTGGGCTTTGCCTCTGGAAGCCCAAATGGAGTCGCCCAAGCCCTTCTTCGAGTTGATCATGCTGGTCGGGTTGGACGGATGGATTGCGGGAGGAGGGGCGTTCGGAGGAGATGCCGGGCCGGAAAAGCAAGAGGTTGTAACGACTGTATCTTTCTTGATCTCGTCGATTGGAGATCGCGGTCAGGGTCCGGAGTTGGCGTCGGGGAGGTTGTCGGGCTGGGCGAAATGAGGGATCGGTTCTTGGACAGAAACAGGTGACTGCATCAACGTCCAAGAAAGAATGCGGGAAAGCGATACAAAAGGATGGTCGAACGAATGCCAGAAGCGATGTCTCAGGCAGCAGGGCGTAACAAAAGAAAAAATGAGGGGGCGGGCGGCCTCTGCAGTGTTGCTCTTACGAGACTCGTAAGTTGGTTCTTGTTGGTCCGGTCGCACATCTGGCCAACAGACCAAAGACGCGAAATATGCGACGTGAAGACGAAAGAAAGCTGTTGGTGGGGGGATGAGGCGGGATAGCACAGATCCCGGGCGGCTAAGTGGGCGGGAACGCGGCCGTTATGGCATGATGCAGGGGCAGGTGTACGCTGGGGCTGAGGCTGGGGCTGGGGCTGGGGCTAGGGGCAGCTTAGGAGGTTACCTATGTACCTACCTACCTAGGTACGGAGTACATAAGTCACCTATGACCTAAATCCACTACAGTCATTTGCCACTGCTCCCGCTGCAGCAAATGTCGACGCAGCGTGCATGCCCACAGTCTACAGTGAGGAGAGAGAAGGAGACAAGAGCGAGCGCCTTGTACATCGCCGACCAAATGGATGCCACTACACCAGTTGCGACACCGGTTATAGATCTTGCCTGCGCTCCGTAATCCTCACCAACATATCCGTTTGATTCCAAAAGATTCCCGACTCCTCTTTCCAGGGCTTTGATGGACATATAGTCTGAAATTCAAACGCCCTTAGCAGCTCGAATATTGCCTTGGTCAGCTGAGTGAACGCCACGTGCTTTCCGGCGCACATCCACCGTCCGTGGCCAAAGGCGAGTTCCACCACCCGTTCCAGCTCGACTCTCTTGGCGGCATCGACCTCGAGGAATCGCTCGGGTCGGAATATTTCAGCATCGGATCCAAATATTTCAGTCGACATCATCATGCCAATCAAACTGCGGCTGATCGCGGTGCTACCCGGCAGAAACACGCCGTCAACAGTATCGCCACCGGGAGGGACGCTCTTGAAATGCCCATAATACAGCCCGGGTGGGCGGACCCGAATGGCCTCATATATTACGGCCTGAAAGGCTTAATAGTCATCGGATCTCCATGGCTACATACCTGCAAATACGGCAACTTCTTGCCCTGCTCGTAGGTAATGGTCGTCGATGACGATACCAGACCGCTGTCGACAGCTGACTTGATCTCCTCCACAAAGCGACTATAGACCCGAGGGGTGCTAGTTACTAACATCAGCGCCGACCGGATCGTGGTACCCGTCGTGTCGGCCCCGGCAATCACCTGCACGACGCACTCGGCTTCGCATTGCTCCCGCGTAAGCCCATGCCGCATAAACGAGCCCTAGATTAGTCCCATGGTCAGATCTGAATTACACGACCGCAGTTGACCGGAGGGGTTCAACTCACTACCATGCCTTTTGCGTCTTTAAAGTCAGTGTCGAAGTGGCTTCCGACGAATTCCTGTCCCAAGCTACCGCATAACGGACATCAGATATGTCCTTTTTTCGCGCACAACGAATGACTGATGAAACTTACGCAATAGGCCTGCCCATTCCCTCCTTATCCGTGGTCTTGGGCATAAAATGAGGAGCCAGCGGAGACTTGACAAAGTTACGCAGTATGGGGGTGTCGACAACTATGCTCATCGGTTTAGTAAAGTTTTGGACCTGCCTGTTAAAGCCAAACAGGTCTTCGTTGGCTTTCAGATAGCCAAACGGCTCACCGTAGGCGAGAAAGGTGATAGAATCCATGGTGAAGTAACGAATAATCCAGACCAAGTCGGCTTTCCGCATCTCGGTCGGCGTCGAAAGGTAGTGCTGCCGGATCGTATCCTTGAGCTTGGCCAGCTGGATGTCGATGCCGCCTTCAATGTCGACGTTGTCGCGGCCGCTGTAAGCCATGGAAGTTTGCGCCTTGAGCCGGTCATGGGCGGCCGTGTCGGTAGTAGTAAGCATATTATCTTGGCGTGGATCGATTCGCAACGCCGTCCACCAGGCGTCTCGGCCATATGCGCTCCGGGCACCCGATATGCGGCGCAGGGCGGCCGGGTCGTCGGTGAGAACGTAGTTGGGGGCCACGTGCACGACCGACCCGTACTTTTTCAGGCCAACCAACTGAGCGCTGGAGATGCCGAGAAAGTTGTTTCGTATCAGCCACAAGTAGGAAAAAGACCCGAGAAACGGGCCCGGGACGTGCCGTAGTGGCTGCCAGGTTGCGAACGAAGAGACGACATAATGCACGGCCACGGCGCCGGCTCCATACGCGACGAGGTGGCTTGTGTCAACGCCCTTGAGAAACTCCAAGGTGCCTGATGCAGAATGTAGGATATTAGAAAGGTTTGTTCTATCCAAGACAGCAACCCCGCTAATTCCAGACGAAATAAAGCTGCTGATATCGACACGGCTGAAACTCAACATGATGGAAGCTAACGGCGACGGTGGGAGAACAGTAGCCAAAGGTAAACAAGAGGATGTCAAGAGAAATACAGAGAATTATATTGATATCAGAAAAGATTCTGAAAGAGACGGAAAGACAGCGCATTTAAAGATAAATGTCTTTTGATTTGCGTGAAGCCACCAATCTTCAGTAGAATTATAGGCCAACCGGAGAGAGCTGCCTCTTACGACGCAGCCAATCAGAAGAGCCAGCTTTTAGACTGGGCGGCCATAAGCGAAACGACGAATCATATCAAGCTCGTACAGGAAACTCAATAGTAACCTCATCTGTCTTTACGATACGGAACCAAGAAATACAAACATCAATCCGTGTCTGGACGGCCTCGGGCGATATTGCCAGCCACAACGTACGGCAGCCATGGATACCCGGTATCAGCCGAAACCCCAGCGTTCCGCGGCGAAAGTTCTTCCTACTTTAGTCCCCAGACCATCCGAACATGCCGGGGGGTCTGGCCGTGATACCTTGGACCGCCTGGCATTGGCTAAGAAAACGCGGAGTAGCAAGCCCAAGGTGCGGACGGGGTGCAAAACCTGTAAGATTCGTCGCGTCAAGTGCGATGAAGCCAGGCCAATCTGCGAACGCTGTCACAAGGCGCGCATAGTTTGCGACGGGTACGACGCACCGTCGACTCTCGGCGACACTGTTGCTATGAAAGGCAAGCCGAAAGCAAGGCCTGCCGGTGCGCCAGCGCCACCGGCCATGGCCGACAGCTTGATGACCAAGTCAGTATTCTTGCTGAAGGAGACTCTCCGTCAGTACCTCTCAGATAGTTCCGCACCGCCCCCCGTCGCGCAGGGCCCGAGGGAAGAAGACGTTGACGACATCGAATACATGCTCTCGTCTCTCTGCCTCAAGGGCGGGTGGACGCCGTTTCTAAAGGCTCAGAAAACAAACTTCGTCATATGGGATGCTTCCATACATCAAGTGCCCGATCTGGGACATCGGAGCGCTAAACAGCTGCAAGCTGAATGGAGCTCCTTCTTTGCCCGCATCATGGCATTTGCTGGTCAAGCCCTCGTCAAACTGTCACAGGAACGGCCGATCAGCCCCGACGTCGTACTTTTGCGCCAGCAGCAGACATATCTACGCCATGTGGAAAAGTGGCGAAATGTTCTGGATGTAAATCTGGCTCGCGCCACTGCCGCGGGCGAAAACCATGCCAAGCACGCCATCCGACTCATGCAGCTACACCACTCCATGATTAGCATCAACTTGAGGTGCTGTTTAGACCCCACCGACATGGCTTGGGATGAGTACGATGACGAGTTCTCCGTACTTGTCGAGCGTTGCTTGGCTTTCGCCATCGAGACGAAGCCAGCGTACCACGCGCGCTTCACTCTGAACATGGGCAATCTTTCAACGATCGGCCCGGCTATCGCCAAATGTCGTAGCCACGATATCCGGATGCGGGCGCTCGAGGTCGCCCGTCGTATGCCATGGCGCGAGGGCGCGTGGGACGCCGCGGCCGAGATGTTTGGCAGGCTCGGGGCGGTGCTACTAGAGGAGAGGGGGCGGGACACCAACGGCTTCATCTCGGCTGAGAATAGGTGGACGTGGGTGGACGGTGACTGGGACATGGAGCAACGTAAACTGGTGGGTCAGTATGTCAGGAGCGTTCCAGATCGTGACGGTAACCCTGTAGTGACATCGCTAGAGCTTGGTCTGGATGAGTGGCCAGATATATATGGGGATGTCTCGTGCTTCATAGATCATTCTGCGGGATGTAGAGCTTTGGAAACGACTGCGTGAGCTATCGAATTATGTATATTTATTAAGCCTAGAGAGATATTAACACGACCCCCCCTCCTACAAAAGCGTAGCAAGTGTCCTTCTATATGTATTGGGAGATTCCTGCTTACTACTAACTAGCAGACACCAAAAGCGATTTACAGACCTGATCCGACCAGTAAAAGTCTCGTAAGCTTCAACAACAAACATAGGGATCTATTTCGCCAACATTGAACAACAAACTTCAAAGTAAACAGTATAAATGTGTTTATAAGCATGCCTTAAACCTACATAATCTTACCTAGTATGTTCTATATCAGATTAAGTCCAAATAATCCTACTATTAGGAGTGATAATACAAACAAGCTCTCTTGCTGTATAAAACAATTACTTGCGCCCTCGCTTTCGGTCTCGCCCTTTAGAAGCCTTTGGACTTCCATGCCAAAAGGCGCTACACAGAGAGCCCGCATGGCTGTGCCGTTTTCTGCCAAATACTCGACAGAGTCCATTACGTTCGGACAACAGACCTGTCCACCGGGGCCCATCTGCAGCGGCGCGCCCGATCCGGTAAATGACCCCATGAGCTGGTAGCTGGGCAGCGAGGTTGAGGTGAAAAAATGCGAAAGCCGGGTATATTGTCGACACGTTCCCGCCTGTCGGGGTCCACGTCACGTTGCCGAGCACGTCCATTTTGCTGGAACACGACTGCTCAGGCGCGATGTTCTTCGAGCCCGCACTGATATCCACGCAGCAGCTTTTCCGGCCGAGGAAGACGCCGCGTTGGTTGCCGCGGTAGCACCAGGTTCCGTCTCCACAGGCACCGACATCTGTTAGACAGGTGCTCGTTGTGCTGTTGTCTGGGCACGGTTGACGTTCTTCCGGGGCGAAGGAGTAGATTTGAGACTAAGGCCGGGTTGGAGCAGCAGTGTTTTTTGCCGTTGTGAAGTGCGCAGAGAACGCAAAAATGGTAGTAAGCTTTGTCAGGAGAGAGCTTGAGAATCGCATTTTGGTGGGAAGTAAATTATTCGTGAGACGGATGGGATAGCGAATAAAAGCAGTTGTAGTTTTGCAGCCCGTAGGACTTTTATCGAAATTGAGTTATATTCTGATCTGGGGGGTCTTGTTTTACCTTTTGGTTATGGCGGAGCATCGCAGTTGGCGAATAGAGTTCGGTTGATGGGCTGAAATCTAGTGAACTTGCTTTTCAGCCTTCATGTTATTGTTTCTTTTAGGGTTTTCACCATGTTTTCATCACTCACTTTTGCTAAGGATGTGAGATTAGTTAGAACATAGCCCTTAATCCAGTCGCACGGCACTACTGTACAACTAGAGAACAAACGCTGTTACGCCGCTTCTAGATCGGTCAGAAGGCAGTACGAAGCCATAGCCTCTAGTGGCTAAAAGAACAATAGTGCACAAAGACTCGGCATCGATAATTCTATTGACATGATCCGGCGTATCATTGGTAGTGGTGTAGAGTGAAGCTCCGCTGGGTTGTGCCAGTTGAAGCTTGGTCTTTATGAACCATAAAGGTTTGTTGCTGTTGGGGTCGTATCGCAGGTACCAGGCCTCGAGGCATTTGTAGTTATTGTACACATAGTGACGGCTGCAGGAACTACACCAGTCGGGCTGGAGCCAAGGCCACGAAACTGTGTGCGCCGGCCTTCATTGTTCTTAATCGAACCAAGGATATCGAATGTTTTAAAGCTATGACGGAGAGGGGTGCCACGTGGACAAGGAGAGTATCTTGCAATATGCGTGATATTGTACAGTCGAAAGGACGGTTCATAGAGATCTAATTAGGGTTGGATTCTTAGGGCGTTAAGAGGAGATGTAAGGATGGATGTTGCGACTCCACCGCTCCTAGTGGTGGTTAGCAAGGTGTTTCTAGTAAGTACGCGGGCAATTCTTACGCGCTGGCAGCTAAATGCACCTAAGATTGTGCTCTTGCTAATGCTTCCCCTTAATAGTGGACGGAAAAAGGTTAATCCTGTAATGCTGGCATCATCATGTGTGGCGCAGAGGGTTGCGTCAGCGGCCACCAACACTCTAGACATCTCATTCTGCATACACATCTTCCTCACTTGAACAGAGTGCTCACGTATCACCGTTTTTTATACTGTGCGTAAACTGCCCTTGGGCCTGTATTGGTATGTCGAAATCGTACTTGTACGTATTCCTAGGATATACAACTTCAACAATAGCCCCTCGTCAATACTCGCAATAGATACACCCCAACGCCGGTCAACATAATGACCCTAGTCATCCAAGAACGCCTTCGTCAGCCGGCCGGCTTCTACGCCTTCTTCGTAGCCTTGGCCGTTCCGATATGGGTATTATGAACCTGTTGTGCATCGTTAGCATCATGTCCCCGACAATCACTGGCTCCTGGTTGTCGCCACCGCAAAAACTCACCTTGGTAGCAAAACGCAAACTCGTCACTGTCTCCTTGAGGTGAGCCTCCAACGGGCTGACCATCACAAACATGAGCGTCTTGCTGTTGCCCCCGAGCGAGTACTGCAGCAAGTGCGTCAGTTTGGAATTGCGATACGGGATGTGCCCGCTCTTCTTGCCGAGCGCCTCAATCACATCCCCGAGGCACGACAGAGACTTGTTGATGTTCTGTGTCTCCTTCATCCTGGCGCCCTCGGCTTGCGAGTGCTTGAGACGCTCCGAACCAGCAAGGTCCACCAGGTTCAGCGTGCCCTCGCATCGCTCTCCCGTCGCAGAGTTGAACCCCGACAGCTTCAGGATGAAGACGCTGTGCGACCGCGACGACCGCTCGTTGGCCTTGGTTGATGCCACCGACCGGTTGTTCTGCGCCTCGGCAAGCATCACCTCCACCGTGTCGGCAGAGTCTAGCGAGACCGTCTTGCAGTTGAGGACCGAAGTTTGCTTGCGCACGTCGTCGTGTCGGATCTCAAGCTTGCGCGCCTTGCCTCCGTCCGACTCACGGCCGTTGGGCGTCAACAGGTCATTGAGTTCCTCGTTGTACACTTCGATGAAAGAGCCCTCCATCTTGTACGTCCATTGCTTCTCCTTGAGCTTTGTGACCGTGTCATAGATCATGTGCGTTGCGCGAGGGATCATGCCGTCCGCTGAAGACATGGTGTGCGTCTTACCAGATCCTGTCTGGCCGTAGCAAAAGATGCACACGTTATATCCGTCGAGGGCGCTCTGTACGAGCTGCGAGATCTCATCAAACACGTCTTGGTTCTGCGCGGTTGGGTCAAAGACACGGTCGAACTCGAAGTTGATGTTCTTCGTCGACACGTCGCCAAAGCTGTTGACCTCCTGCGTCTGCAGCGCAATCTCGGCCGACGTCTTTTCGTCGGGGAACGTCACCTTTGCAGGTGCGCCTTCGGACGCGCTCAACACAGGACGTACTCTGCACATGACGCGGATGTTACCCTTGAGCTCTTGATACTTGTTGAAGAGGACGCGGCGTTCCGTCTCTTCCTTGATGAGCTTCTCGCCGGCCACCTCCGCCGCCTTGAGTGCTTCCTGGAGTCTCGCTTCCATGTTGGCGAAGGAGTCGGATTGCGCCTTGCTGTCGGACTCGAGGAACTCGACGTGTGATTTGAGAGAGTTGATCTTGGCCTCCAATGTGACGTTGGAGGCGCCGAGCTCCGAGATGCTCGCCTCGAGGCCCTTCTTTAACGTTCGTTCGCGGTCCAGGTCACTCTTGAGCGTTTCCACCATTGCCCTCAGGTCGGCGGCTTCTCTGTCCTTCTTCTCCAGGGTGGCGTGGAGGTCTTGCTGCTCGTGCCCGAGCCTCATGCGAAGATCCTGGATCTCCTTCGACTTTTGGTTGCGCTCCTCGTCGAGCTCGGCCTTGAAGTGACGCTCGAGAGCATCCAAAGCCTCCCTGTGGCTCTTTTCCGTTCTCTGCGTCTCGTCTTTGAGCTCGCGTCGCAGCTCATCGAGCTCATGACGGTGCTTACGGGCCTCGTCTTCGAGCTCATATTTGTGGTTCCGCTTTGCCGTTTCCGATTCGATCGTCAGCTTCTGCATCTGATCGCGCATGCTGCCGATCTCATTTTGCAGGTTGCCGTTGCGGTCCTCGAGCTTTTCTCGTTCCGTTTCGAGCTCCGATACTGTGCCTGGTCAGCCCGTCTTTTACACACAGTCGACTCGTCCGAACTCACTTCTCTTCTTATACATCTCCACTCTCTCGTCCATTAACTCTTTGTCAGATAACATGACATCCATCGTCTCCTTGACCTGCTTGAACTGCGACTCGATGCCCGCCACCCTATCCTCAACATCCCAGCCTACAAATTGAGTCAAGTTAGAATCTTTTGTTAAGAAGTACAGTCTACTGGGAGAAGGGGATCTAGCCGGCGATCTGTAATCCTTGATCGTCATGATTGTTTCTCCGAGCCTTTCCATCACGGCTCTTGCTCGCTTAGAGTCTGGCGAAGGCGTGGCAGGATCGGTCATGTGACTGGCCTGCCTCTTCTTCGGGGACAGCTCTGGCGCTCTCATGAAAGGCTTCCGTGATGCACGCATAGTGACTTGCGCATTGCTCATTGACGTTGACAGGGAACTGACGCTGTCCGCCCGACTGAAAACCACTTGATCTTCATCTTGTGTGGAGGTTGTGCTGGTGTCGTCCTTGATGGATAGTGCACCGAACCGGCTGCTAAGAGAAACTTCTCTTTGGGAATTCATTTGCGATGTGGTATTGGCAAGCCTGGTATTTCTAGGCTGGAAATCAAGAGGTGGCGGAAAGTTCAATTGCTGGGAATGCAAGACCGTACCGTTCTGTTGTGCTATTGGTCCATCGATCTCTTCCTCCGATCGATGACCGTATGCCGTGCGTGGTCTCGCATGCTGATTCGTGTTTCGGGTTCGAGGCTGTCCGTGTACGGACTTTGAATGAGCAAGGGACGATTTCGAGCGCTCATGGCCCCTAGGGCCGACACTCGCGGAAAAGCCGCCGCCGGTATTGTATCGGGAGGTCGTTGGTACATTTCGAGGTCTGATGTTGTTTGGGTCCTTGAGCTGCTAAGAGTCAGCGTATGCACGAAAAATGGTCAATAATGAGCAGGCATTGGGTGGTACACAACGCAGCTCATCCCCGTCGCCAGTGTCGTTGTCGCAGTCGATGGTCCGATGGAATTCGTCATCTTGCACCTCGGCGTCTACAAGGAGCTGGATACGCCTGAATGCGCTGTCGCTGCCATGTTGTAGCCCCAGCCATATCTGCAGGTTGCCCGTAACACTGCGCAGATATGTCGAATGAGACGCTGATGGATGGCTTGGGCGGCGAGAGCGAGGTCGATCCAGGGTGCACCCTCCATCTGGTTCGTCTGAACTACCATGGTCATAGCGGAGCGAAAAGACGACGAGGAGCCTTTGGAGGATGTATGTAGGGATGTTTCGAAAAGCCGACCGCAGGATGATTCGCGAAGTGCGGAAGATATGACCCAAGACCCAGAGGACAATCCGCATGGCGTCGTTCCAGGGCACAGTGTCGGGCGGCGGGTTCGACTCGGAAACCATCTCCATGGACTCGACGTGGTTTTGGGGGATGAGATGCAAAGTGGAAAGGACGCAACGGAACCTACCTCGGCCAGTGTTTGTGCCTTGACGGAACGCGACCTCACAAGGCTGGAGGCACCTGCCGCGGCCGTCGAGGGCTTTGTCGGGAATTCGCCTGCCTGCTGGGCGAGAGTCTTCCTTTCAAGGACAGACTTCTGATACTTGGAAGCCGGCAGCTCAGCTGTGGAAGGGGCAGTCAGCAGCCGCCACCATTCCCATCGTCGCTCAGGAAGAAAGAACCAACCTGGCTTGGGGACTTCGCGCTTCATGGCGCTGTTGAGCGATCCCATCTTGGCTCCGGGTGGCGGTATCATGGATGAATGCGCGCGCGCATTGTGCTGAGATTCGTTCATTTCGGTAAGGCCGATGGTAGAGGAGATGGCGCCCGGTCGCGGCAGGTTGCTCGGCCGCATCACAGAAGAACGGAAGTGATGTTGCTGTCGAGATGAATGTCAGTTACCGAGTTCGCAGCAAGTTCACGCACTCGGAGCTCCTGCGACGGGGTCGCGCAAGCCACGGCCCCCCGGAGACACCAGACACCGGGGCACGCACCGTATTCTCCGCGGTGTCCATGTTGACGATGCTATCGATGCGACGAGCAATAACGGGAATGATGATGTGGGACACGAGGAGCAGCGCTCCAGTTTTGGAGGTGGTAGGAGACGGCGTTGTGAAGTTGGAGCAGGCCTTCAGCAACAGTAGCAGAATCGCAAAAAAGCCCACATCTATGATTGAATATGGGGGAGGGGTGTGGATTATGGCTGCTTGGGCTTTGTTTGCTACGCTTCCCGATTGGGGGCGTGGAAGAGGAGAACGGGGTCTAAGTGTTTACCGTGAAGTGTACACACGCCGCAGCCGCCAGGGGTTGCACGGTTGCCCGGCAACAGACTGGACCGTCGACACAATCTCGTGCATGCGAGTGCAGTGTCTTACGTAACGCCGATGTCTTCCCCTGCTTGTCCAATTGATTGTTGCCTCAGGTTGAAAAATTTTCATGGCGAGGTACTCCGTACCTCCATCCTAATCAGGAAAGCGGTCACTGCACCCAGCACCTCTCTTTCCTCTCGTTGCCAGCACTCGCAGTCAGGCACAAAAAGTGTGGCCTTTTCACATGTCATTACTACCACCCCACCGCGCCATGACGTTGGGAAGCTCATTCGTCAAGTCGGATTTTGTGTCTCGTTAGCCCCCCAGAAATTTCATGCCAGGAGACGAACAAGAGCTCCGTGACACGAGCAGCGCTCCCGACTCTCATTGAAATTCCTCAGCCCTCGGCCTCGTTCCCAACTCCTCGTATTGCTGCTGAGCTGCATCCCCACCTCCCGTCCTGCCGCCGCCCCCCCCTCTTTTGGACAGACCACCGACCCCTCGTCAGCGTATCCCTTCTTATCCCACGTTGTGAACGGAGCCTCATGTCGCGGTGATCATCCGCCCGTCACTGACTTACACGAGTCTCGCCCCCTACATTGACCCGCTCGCGGGTATCCCACCACTGCCAAACCTACCATGGAGAAGTTTAGCCAGTTCCGCGACAAAGGTAAGCATCATCATCATCATCGCCACCAACCGCCGCCGCCATCAACGACCGGCATACCGTGGCATCCCAGCTGACATACCTGCGCAGGCTCGGGCATCTCGCCATTCATCCCCGTCAAGACAGGCCTCTCCCCCGTCTCCTCCGTCTTCCACGCCTTCCTCTTCCTCGTTCGCCTCCCCATCTTCATCACCTATGTCGTCGCCTACTTTCTCTTCCTCCAGCACCTCCCCTTCTTGCCCGTCGCCGTCCGGAAGGTCCTGCTTTGGGGCATGATGGGCATCCCCGGTATATGGTGGGTCGATCTCCAGCTCGACGGCGTCCGTCGGGGCACCCTCGCCGAGCAGCCCCCGCAGCGCTTTCCGCACCCCGGCTCCGTCATCGCCTCCAACTTCACCTCCCCCATCGACGCCATCTACCTCGCCGCCATCTTCGACCCCATCTTCACCATCTCCTACCCCAACACCCGTTCCGTCGAGCAAATCTCCCTCCTCCGCGCCGTCTGCCACGCCTTCTCTCCCGTCCGCTTCGCCCCCCGCCCGGGCGCTCGCCTCACCGACCTCGCCGCCCTCCAGCGCAAGTACCCAGACCGCGTCGTCGCCGTCTTCCCCGAGGGCTGCACCACTAACGGCAAGGGCGTCCTCCCATTCACCCCATCCCTCCTCGCCGTCGATCCCGAAGTCCACATCTTCCCCGTCAGCATCCGCTACACTCCCGCCGACGTCACGACCCCCGTCCCTGGCCTCTGGTTCAAGTTCCTCTGGGACCTGCTCTCCCGCCCGACGACCTGCATCCGCGTCCGCGTCGCCGAGAGCATCCTCAACTCCTCCGCCGCCCAGGCCAACGGCGTCTCGTCGTCTGTCGCCGATGGAGGCGCCACGCACCGCCTGGCCGCGGGCGGGGCCGACTACGCGCTCTCGATCGAGGAACAACGGGTGCTAGATAAGGTTGGCGAGGCGCTGGCCAGGCTATGCCGGAACAAGCGCGTTGGCCTGACGTTGCGGGACAAGGAGGCCTTCATCGAGGCCTGGAACGGCCGCAAGTAGTTGCGAACAACGGTGCTTGGATGTAGTACAAGGCAAGGGTTAAACAATCGTGATCAGCGTTGGGCGGCAATCGTGGATTTTCTGGTTCCTTTTTTCCCTGTCTGGCGAATGTTTGCATAGCTCAGGGTCGGGGGTGCCTCGAACGCGCCATGTTTCTCAAATTTGACGACAGACAACCGAAGAAGGGGGGAAGGCATTATGAGCGGCCTCTGCTATTTAAGATGAGCCGCTTTGTAGTTCATGGTGTACGCTTTACGTGTGTCGTTGGAAATGCTTCATATACCACAGTTCAAACTTGGTCAAAACAGAATCTTTGGTGTGTTTTTTTTTTCCTGGCTCACTCGGGCTGAGAAAATGCCTAAACGAGGGAGGGGGGTTACCATGAACGCAAACAAAACTCCGATTTTGGACTACCTTTTCCGAAGCCGTACAAGATAATGGATGGTATAACAGTGTAGAAACTCTAGCTTTCAAAACAGAAATCACCCACTCCCTCCCTACTCTCGAAGAAAACATCCAAGGGGAAATATCCAAAGAGGGAAAAAATAATACCTTAGATGCTGCCGTCCGTCACACATCCCAAGCTGGCGTTGCTGACGAGGGCCGAGTACTTCTTGAGCGTACCCTTGCTGTACTTGATCGGGGGCGCCTTCCACTCGGCCCTGCGCCTGGCCATCTCCTCGTCCGAGACGTTGGTGTCGATGACGCGCTTCTCGGCGTCGATGGTGATGACGTCGCCGTCGCGGACGAGGCCGATGGGCCCGCCCTCCATGGCCTCGGGCACGATGTGGCCGATGAGGAAGCCGTGGCTGCCGCCGGAGAAGCGGCCATCGGTCAGCAGGGCGACGTCCTGGCCGAGGCCGGCGCCCATGATGGCGGAGCTGGGCTTGAGCATCTCGGGCATGCCGGGGCCGCCCTTGGGGCCCTCGTAGCGGATGATGACGACCGTCTTCTCGCCCTTCTTGATCTCGTCGCGCTCGAGCGCCGCGATGAAGGCGTCCTCCTCGTCGAACACGCGCGCCTTGCCCTCGAACCGCAGGCCCTCCTTGCCGGTGATCTTGCCGACGGAGCCGCCGGGCGCGAGCTGGCCGCGCAGGATCTGGATGTGGCCCGTGGGCTTGATGGGGTTGCTGAAGGGGCGGATGATCTGCTGGTCGGCCGGGAAGGAGGGCATGTTCTCGACGTTCTCCTTCATGGTCTTTCCGGTGACGGTGATGCCGGAGCCGTCGATGAGGCCCTCCTGGATGAGGAACTTGAGCAGGCCGGGCGTGCCGCCGATGCGGTGCATGTCGGCCATGACGTACTTGCCCGAGGGCTTCAGGTCGGCGAGGAAGGGGGTGCGGTCGGAGACGGCCTGGAAGTCGTCGATGGTGAGCTTGATGCCGACCGAGTCGGCGATGGCGAGCAGGTGGAGGACGGCGTTGGTGCTGCCGCCGAGGATGTTGACGACGATCATGGCGTTCTCAAAGGCCTGGCGGGTCATGATGTCGCGGGGGCGGATGTCCTCGCGGAGGATGTTCTTGATGGCGGCGCCGATGCCCTCGCACTCGGCGCGCTTGCTCGCGTCCTCGGCGGGGCTGCTGCTGCTGCCGGGCATGGTCATGCCGAGGGTCTCGATGGCGGTGGCCATGGTGTTGGCGGTGTACATGCCGCCGCAGGCGCCGCTGCCGGGGCAGGCGTTGCGGATGATGTCGAAGCGCTGCTCCTCGGTGATCTCGCCGGTGATGTACTGGCCGTAGGCCTGGAAGGCGGAGACGATGTCGATGGACTCGCCGCTCTTGCTGCAGCCGGGCTGGATGGTGCCGCCGTAGACCATGATGCTGGGGCGGTTGACGCGGCCCATGGCGATGGCGACGCCGGGCATGTTCTTGTCGCAGCCGGGCAAGGAGACGTTGGCGTCGTACCACTGGCCGTTCATGACGGTCTCGATGGAGTCGGCAATAATCTCGCGCGACTGCAGCGAGTAGCGCATGCCCTTGGTGCCCATGCTGATGCCGTCCGAGACGCCGATGGTGTTGAACTGGTAGGGGATCAGGCCGACGTCCTTGACCGACTGGCGGACTATGTTGGACAGGTCGAGCAGGTGCATGTTGCAGGGGTTGCCCTCGTACCAGACGGACGAGATGCCGACCTGGGCCTTGTTCATGTCCTCCTCGGTGAGGCCGGTGGCGTAGAGCATGGCCTGGGAGGCGCCCTGGGACTTGGGCTGGGTGATGTTGGCCGAGACCTTGTTCAGCTGGTCGTTGGCGCGTCGGGCCGCGGTGGAGGAGAGGAGGCGGCTGCGCGACGAGTATTAGCCATTGCGTCGTCCGTCTTTCTATGTTTGCAGAGAGGTCAATTGGGATGGAGGGAGGCCGTACGCATGGCCGGAAAAGGCAGGACGCCTCGTCGCAGCTCGGAGAGCTTGCGACTGGAGGGAGATGGACCGGGAGAGCATGGCGTCAAGCAAAGGGTTCACCCCCAGGGACGAGACGGGAAGGTCGGGTAGAATGCGGGAGGGGAGTTGTAAGCGGAGTTGACTTGGATCGGAACAATTGCAACCTGCTCCAGCTCTTGGTTGAAGTATTGTTTCCGGGTGAGTCACGGAGGAAAAGGTTCAGTCGAAAGGAAAACCCCAAATCACAGGGACAGTCACAGGGACACACGGCCACGAATCCATCGGCGACTGTTTTTTTTGGGGACCGGGGGCGGTTTGGGGCGATGTCGGCTGCCAAAAAATTCTGGAGCTCCCCGCCAAGTGCTCCCCGCATTGAAATAGGTCACTGCTGATTGGCTGAAACGAATGCTCCCCCAGGTCTAGCGCGCGGTGTCCCAAGGTGAGCCACCGGAGCCGGTGCATTCAGCGACGGTGAGCAAAATGTCAGGCCATGCCAGAATACAGGTAGGTAGGTAGGTGGCAGTGGTGGGTGGCTTGCATAAATACTAGGAATACTGATGCTAAATTTCGCCACTCTCTTTAAGCATATAATTATCCTTGGGACTGTTGCCCAGCTAGACGTTGATGAGTCTCCGAGTAGGTGTTCCTACAATGTCATCTCCCATCCTGTACATACTTATTTCCGCTAAGCCCAGATCACTTCCGGTCCCGGACGAGCCCCGCTTTCCTATGCCGAATCCGCCGTATGTGGAGTGCAGCTACCCGGCAACGCGCATGCTGCCTCCATAACTCCCACCCACTCCTTCAATCGCACCTCTGCTCCATCAGGCGCTGTCTGAGCCAGATAGTCTGAGCAGTTCGTCCAGGGTGTGATAGTCGGGCCGCTACGATAGCCTCCTCCCTCAGATCAGTGCCATGGTAGCCTTTACGGCTTAGTCTTCTTCTCGTCCGTCGAATCCTTCTCCTTCAGGTCCTTCTCCTCTCTCCGCGTCAGTATCTCGTCAATGACGCCAATCTCCTTGGCCTCCTCCGCCGTCAGGTATTTGTCGCGCTCCATCATGTCGTGGATCTCCTCGAGGCTGTACTTCTCTTGGCCGAACGACTTGTTGATGTGCCGCTTCATAATCTCGTTGATCTGTTTGCGGATGCGCTGGATCTGGTTCGCGTAAATGAGGATGTCCGACGCCTGGCCCTGCGTCCCGCCGAGCGGCTGGTGGATCATGACGGAGCTGTGCGGCAGTGCGTATCTCTTGCCCGCCTCGCCTCCCGTCAAGAGCAGCGCTGCCATCGACGACGCGGCGCCAAGGCATACCGTTGACACCGGCGACTTGATATATGTCATCGTATCGTAGATTGCCAGTCCTGGCTCGTGTCAGCTTTCTCCGTCTCGTTGCGAAAACAGTGTGTCGCTACCTGATGAGACTGAGCCGCCCGGGGAGTTGATGTACATGGTGATTGCTTTGTCGGGGCTATCGGACTCGAGCCATAGTAGCTGTGCGACTATCGAGGCCGAGACGGTATCGTCGATCGCGCCGTTGAGGCAGACAATTCGTTCCTGGATTCTTCAGTTGTTTGCGCGAAAAGCTGGACCACCATAGAACGGTTTACCTGCAGCAGCTTGGAGAAGATGTCGTCTACCTGCATTGTCAGCGGGGGGCTCAATTAAGCGGGCGTGCTCGGTACTGACATGTCCTCCAGCCATTGGACTAATCGATTAGCTTTCGCGACCTACGGGGCATGTTGGAGAATCATGGACGACGAACCGAGACCTCGGTGATGTAAGGCATAGGGATGTTTGCAACAGGCGGGCTGTTGCCGCCGCCGCCACCTCCTCCTCCTCCAACGGGGAAGCTTGGGAAGTTGGTGAAGGTTCTGACATGCCGCCGAGGAACGGCTCTTAGGGCTCGGAATAATGTTCTTTGACAGTTCATGGCTGCTGAGGTGCGCAATGCAGTGCGTCGGTGTGTTTGCAAGGTGTGAGTACGGCGATGGTTCTGAGGCCGAAAAGATGCAAAAGCGGCAATCGGCGGCAGGTGACGGTGCGTTGTGCATAGACATCATGCTCTGCTGAAGCTGCCCGCTGCCCCCCCCTGCACTGACCCCCGAGCTCCGAGCTTCTCACCCGTCTTCGCCTAAAAATTGCCCCGAAGCGCGTAAAGCTTTTTTTTTTTCCCCCTTTATCGCCCGGCTCCTGGTCCACCCGCTTCCCCCAAACGCCATTCGAGACCCTCCCGAACGCCGAAACCTTGCGTGCCCTCCCCGTCGCCGACTGACTCCCGCCCCGACACGCAGACCCGAGATGAAACGATGTACGGCAGCCCGGCCCCTTCTGCGTTCTACGGGCAGTGCACCGACACAGTTCTGCCAATGCCGGCAAAAGTCAGAGGGCTTTGCCGAGAAGCCGTCACCATTCTTCAGAAGGCACGAGTTCGCTCGCAGGACGGAGAAGGGGCTTAGGGGGTACGACCAGAAGCTCAAAGTCGACTCGATGAACAAGACGATCGGGACGTCGGTGGGCGACCTGCCCATCTCGCCCGTGATGGATCCTCGGTGGATGGAGGCCCGGACGAGGTATAGAGCTCCGAAGCCCAGGCGGCCCAAGGACGTGCTACCTGCGGGCCGGTTTCGTAAGAAGCTTGAGGCGAATCCATATGGTCAGTCATCCTACCGATGCACCGCAAAAACCCTACTACAACACGATACTGACATACTCTCACAGCCCTCGCCCTTTCGACTCCTATCCGACTATGCCCAATCACTTACGTCCGTCTACCGAAATACTTCCTACAGGAGTTCAAGGCGATTGAGAACCCGGAAACACGGAGCTTCTGGTGGACACCCGGTGACTTGGATGTCATGTACGCCGCGAAGGAGTGGGAAAGGGACGATGAACCACACGAAGACGACGTTCCCTCAGGACCGCAAAACTCGACAGACACCCCCGTCGCGCAACAAAAGGCTACGGAGAAACTCCTGAAACAGTCTCCGGCCTGCTATGTGCTCGCGAGGAGGCCCTTTCTCAAGTCCATGAGCGGGACCAAGAAAAAGGCCCCCCACGGCGAAAAATGGAGGACCATGCTGTCCAGGCGGGAGGGCTCCCTCGCGCAGCGCATTGCCAAGAGACAGGTATGGCGGGAGGACATGGATGACTTCGTCCTTGACAACATGCGCCGGAACGTCATGAAGTACCTCGTCTACTTCGCCGAGCTCCGTGCGGGTCAGGACCACCGATCGTACCTCCTGCGCCTCGGGAGCTGGGACAGGGCCGCGACGATACCGCAGCGAGGGTGTCTGCTGTGGTACTACGCGGAGAACGGACCCAAAAGGCAGGGTGCGGCGGTCGGGCCGGACGGGGGCGACAACGCCGCCGCCGCCGTCGCCACGGCGCTGGAGCCATTTTCCACGTACGACGTGCCGAAGGCCAAGTACGAGAGGAAGCTGCCGGTCTACGACCTCAGGTGGCTGCTGGGCGAGGACCACCTGGCGAAGCTGCGGGAGATCCCAATGTTCCGCGACAGCTCGCTGTTCCTCTTGCGCAAGCAGCGCTCAATTCCCCTCCAGCTCTATCTCTGGAAGCTGCAGGCGTACATGGCCGAGTACGACGCGCCCGAGGTCACGCACGTGCCTGAGTCCGAGTCTGCGGGTGGCCAGCCCTCATCGACTGACGAAAAGCAGCCGCGGGGTTTGAGTCATGAGAACGACGCGGCTACGCTAGCGCTCCCGGAACGTGAAGGCCGAAAAGACTCGCGGGAGCTGGAACATACGAGGAAGCCTACGTCGTCAGGCCTCGCAGATTCAAGCCGGAAAGACCCGAAGAAAGCGTAGCAATCGTAGGCCGGTCATAAGAAGCGCTGGACGACAGAAATGTCTTCGTGTGCACCGCATGTTTCAGGTCACCAAGGATTCTAAGTAGTCGTTCCTTCTAAACAAAGGGGCGGGATTTGTGTAAACTCTGTATACCTTGTATGATAACGCCTCGAATGGGAGGTTTCGGTGGCTGGGAGTAGCTCATCTGACAAGAGGCGATGGATGCGTTTAGGAAGCAGACATTGCCATGGTTGTTGATCTTTTCTTCGTCTTAGATACCCGGAAATAATCCCGCTGCGTTGGCAACTCGCCGTCACAACAAAAGAACCCCCCATCAGCATTGCGTTTGTTGTACGTCTTCCTCGGTAGCAGATACACACGCAAAAACAAAAAACATACAACACCAAGGATTCGCTGGTCGTCACCGACCCAACTACTAGTTTGGCCCTCACCGGCTTGTCTATGGGAGAGCGGACGGGATCCCGAATTCTCCGGTGGGTGTGGTCGTATGTGCTGGACTCGGCTCACAAAGAGGCTGATATTGTTGAGCGATGGGGTCGACGCAAAATGGTCTCGTTACTCGGGCCTGGGTTAACCAAAGAGGAATTTCTATAGTATCCGATCCGACTCGAGAATAAGAGACCCCCAAGCTGGCTAGTACGATTCTGATGATGGAACAACGTAACAACTTGGACTGCCCGCTCGGTAACCATAGCTCATGACTAACCATATAGGCTCAAGCCCCGATCTCTATAAAATTACCAAGGTAGGTGGTTTTTGCCCTATGAATGCCAATGGCAACTTTGCTCCCTCCTAGACAATTGTTACTGTCTCTCTTCACAGCGACGATGTGTGAGATGTAACATAAGTCGTCATTGGTAACAGATATTTCGCGGATCTTAGACTCGACAAAGGGTGAATATCATAACTGCCAGGTACGGCTTGAGGGGCACCTTCTACCGTTCCTTCCCAAGTCTCATCAGCGACTGATATCTACCTGCCTCCATCCTTTACTTCTAACCTTGTCCAATCTCTCCTTTACACAACACCCTGCACCGAACTTCGTCAGACCCTTTCGACACACAGTCCCAATTCCTCTGTAGTTTCCCGGGAAACTCACGCAGAACACAGTTCTCTGGACCACGCTCTCCATTTCTCGACTTTTCTCTTCGCCATCTGGTCTAAGCCCAACACATACCGAGCAATTCATCAAGTTGGACCTCAACTCCCTGACCTTTGCTAACATGTTTGGCCCACGTTACCTTCCCTGATATTTCACATTTTTCATCATCTGAATTGAGGTGGCACCGTGGCATCGTTTACAAATACTCTTTGGTCAACTCCATTCTAGTTTCATCTCGCCCATACCACTCACCACCACAGGACTCGCCTTCCTGCTGGTTCCTACGAGAGCACCTGCCTCTTGTTGCGGGTGCAACTACCTGCCGTTCTTCCTTCATCTTTCTGGACTTCCTACAGTACAAAATACCTCCTTCCTCCTACGTTTCATCTTTCCAACCTCCACCTTTCCTCACTCGTCAGTACTAGCTGCAGTTCTTTTCGATCAAGCTGATCGCTACTTACTTCATTTTCACTAGAAAAACATACAGTTTACCCAGCTGTGTTCACCTTCACACCCTCCCATACATTCAGTGGCGGTGATATTCCCAGCGCTTACTTATTGCAGCACCTTACCCTTCAACGGGACCCTTCTTGCAACCTTGCTTGTTCATTGGCCACCATGACAGACGCACCTCAGCCCGTCCTCCATGACAATGCCGAGCGTGTCAAGGCAAAGGAGGAAGCTCGCGAGATAGGCCTGGACCTGCTTCGGAAAATCAAAATCCTTCTCCATAAAGATCCGGTCGGGCGCAGCCTAGAACGCTTGGAGGATTGGAATGAAAACCTGGGTAAAGTTCCGGGCCACACCATTACCCAACGCGTACAACGCCATATTAATGCTAACCATGGGCCAGATATCCTGGAAGTCAACATCAAGTCGCGCGAGATTCTGGTTGGCGTTGTTGGAGAGACAGGACTTGGCAAAAGTTCCCTGATCAATGCACTCCTTGAATGCTCAATTGTGCCCACCAGCAATTCCGAGGCTTGCACAGCGACCGTTTGCATCTTTGGTTGGAACTCTGACATCACAGATGGGAAAATCTTCAAAGGAAAGATTACTTTCAAGAGTCGCGAGACTGTCGAGGTTGAACTCGACGCGCTTAAGACTGAGCTGGCAGATCTTGAAGATACCCGCACAGCCCAGAAAGAAAACCCAGACCCCGAATACAATGATCGATGCGCCCAGGCCACCAGGCAAGTCAAAAACGTTGCCAGTTGGTCAGGACATACGGAAGAATTCATCCGAAAATCATCTCCGGAACAGATCATTCGAAAATCGGCTGCCTTTTCCAGCATTTTCAGAAATGGGAGAGGCGACAAATCAGACAAGACCTTCAAGCCTCTCAAGGCTGCATCGAGACAGAGTTTCGTCGATCTTCTCACGCCGTATGTGGCCAGCTCAACGGGCAAGCTTTCGGGAACACAATACTGGCCGCTGGTCGAGCAGGTAGAGATCTTTCTCCGGTCTGAAATCCTCCGTCACGGAATCAAGCTCGTTGATCTACCCGGTGTCATGGATGCCCTGGAATCGCGCGCCCAGATAGCGCGGGACTACTTCGAGCACCTCGAGAAGAGAATCGTTGTTACTCCAGCAACAAGAGCTGCCGACAATAGAGCAGCTGCAGAGCTCATCTTGTCAGAGCAACAAACCTTGGTTTTGGACATGAACGACATGCTGAAGGCCGATTCGCTCTGTGTGGCTATCACAAAGATAGATGACATTGATTGCGATTCTGCGGAAAACGAGTTTCCTACGAATGATATTCGCAGAATTTGCTTTGAGCTCAAGGAGCGCGAGGAACGCGAGGAAGACTTCTCAGACGAGGACGATGATCATAATCGCCACGACGATGTCTATCAGACTGGCAAGAAACGGCAACGAGGCAACGACGCACTGACACGAAGGGTGAGACAGAGAAGTGAGTCTGTTGAGCCTGGAGATGGCAATGACTACTCTGGCGTACGCACGGAAGTGCTTAAATCTATGCTCAAGGCACTTTGCATCCAAGAGCGGAACGCCCAGTTGAAGCAGAAAGTCGAGGACAACCTCCTTGCAGCCAAGAAGAAAGGCAGTAAGTCTCGAGCGAACTCCGACACCCTAACAGAGGTTTTCCCCGTTAGCAGCAAGGCATTCCGATCATTTAAAAGATCAAGCAAAAGATGCGGCATTGAGGGGTTCCCGGACCGGGAGTCGACCGGCATCCCGAACCTCAGATCCTGGATTGACCAAGTTTCTCTTGATTACCGAGAGGAGTGGGTTGATGGCGACATTCACCATCTGCAAGTCCTGTTCGACGCGGCCGATGGTTGGAATCAAGGTGATGACTTGCTGACCACAAAGCTCACTGTCAACGAGAAGAAAAAGGTTGATGATGAAATCAATCGCCTGAGCACCAATCTCAAACAAGTAAGTTGTACACCCTTGCTAAACAGTCACGTTACTCATCATAAGAACAGCGTGTCAACAACAGAATTCGCGGCAACATTCAGAAGAATCTTGCTGCTCTGAAACCTCTACGAAATACTCCTCTGAAGAGAAAGAGTGTAGCTAGGAAGACGGCAAAGGAAGAGCCAGAGCTAGCCTTGGCTGCTTCACTTCTCGGCCGAGCAGTTAGTGCCTGGGAGAGCAAGAATCCACGGGCAAATGTGTTGGCGAAGTCTAGACACGAGAAGACTCATTGGGCCACATACAGGGCTTGTGTGAGAAGGAACGGCGCCCCATTCAACCGCCCAGCAAGAAACGGACAGCCCGAGTCCACGATTCACTGGATGGACGATGTGTAAGTATCGCATCATAACTTTCCACCATGCATTTTCACTGAATTGAGACAGTTCACATGCTTTCTGGCAAGCACACTTTGTCAGCTGGACCTTCCAATTTATGCGTCCAATTCCCGTCATTAAAGGCAGGGTTCGGGGAAGTGGGTTGACGGTCTTTAACGCCTGGCTCCAGAGAATATTGGAAGATAAAGAATTGCCTCAGTCGTTCCGAGATTTGTTGAAGGCAAATGCCTTCAAGCTGAACCATCTCTTCGAGAAATACATTGCGGATGTCCGAGCGCGCGTCAACGAGTTCCAGGTGACATCCAGGCAGAAAAGAGCTTCCCTGCAGAAAGCAATGGCAGGTTGCATGCGACCAGGTTTTGAAGCTGCCATCCAGCACAAAGGTAATATATCTTGAACATTCATGACCATATTCAGAAAAGACATGCTGCTTACACCATCCCAGGTAAGGGATTCATGGCGAAGCAAATGGAGACAGTTCATACACATGCCAGCGCCGTCGGCTACAGCATGTTCGAGACGGTGCGCAACGACCTGGAGAAGAAGCTTGCAGACGACATCAAACAGCTCTCTGCCGATATTGCCAAATATTGGACAGGCGAGAAGAAGGGCTGCGGTACTCTTATCAAGGAGGAGATGACCCGCTTGTCCAAGCGACTTTGCGGAAGAAACGACAAACAGACGACATCGGGGGAAATCAGCATCGAAACCAAGAATCAGCTTTCTGGCATTATTAGCGCTTGGCGGTCGGAGTGGCACCGAGTCTCCATCCGTCTCCCGGCGCCGACGCTTCCATTGGAGGAGTTCGAGAGCACGGATGCGGAGGAGGATTAACAGCCGTTTCTTCCGAATGTGAAAACTGAGACATTCCAGTAGAACGACTTTCTGGGGAAGTGAGTCGCCGTTTCCGGGTTTTTCTTTCTTTTTCTTCTTTTTTTTTTGGGGGGGGGGGGAGGGGGGGGGGGGGGGCTCCCCTCCTGTGCTTTTGATACCAGATTTTGCGTTGAGTGGTTGACGCACCGGTGCACGTTTTGAGCATCGAAAGAGGCAAGTTGGAAAGAAACCTTGGAAAGCATCTTGGGATGTTTTGTTCGCCCAGGGTTCATATTGATTTAAATCTAGAGCTATGAGATTGCTTGGAGCGTTGGAGCCTCAATGATATAGTTGAAATCAGTTTGAGACAGCGTTGCTTTTATATCGACTCGAAGTTTTAACTCATGCAACCGACCCGATGTCTCTGACCAACCTGCAGTTGATTTTTCCACACATGGTGTGTCGTTGGGATGTTAGGCTTGTCTTTGACTCAACGCAAGCAAATGGTACAGCATGTGAGGGAAGGGCAATGAAGGATGATTGGTAACTGACGGCGCATGGGAGCGAATGTCTCCTGAAAAGCCTAGCCTCTCCACATAGCAACTCTTGCTCCTCGCTTCTCTTTCCTCGCTCGGTTGCCTTTTGTGCCCCGGGACAGGGAGCTTGTTTCTCGGCTCTCTTGTACGTCCATCCATCTCTATGCCTTGATGGTTTCGGGCGAAACCGGGTCAGTAAAAAGCAAGCGAGACGAGAGCAAAACAACACATGGCATAAGGAACAGCAGCATCGAGGACAAGCCTCGATGCTTCCTACAAGGTTGGAGGGGTGTCGACGAGAGCGAGCAACTCCGTTAAAAGGCACTCTTCTCTCTTGAACTCATCCACGCTGGTTCCCTTGACTTGCCGCCGCCCCACTGCTTGAATACCGCCAAACCCTCGTCCTCCACACAAAGTGCCCCACGCACAAACAGGCGAATCCCACATGAGCCTCCCACAGCCCCGTCATCTCCAACCAGCGTCCTAGAGACACTACGAGGAAGCATCGTGACAAGCGCCGATGGTTTAGTGGTAAAATTCTCCGTTGCCATCAAGCAGCGTCGGGGAGCCGGGGGTTCGATTCCCCCTCGGCGCACTTAAAATCTCATTGCTTTTGCTCCCCCCCCCCCCCCCCCTTTTCCTATTTTTATAGAAGCGGGTTTGCTAGCCATGCATGTATGCATATATCCACACCGGCTCATAAACGGCCGTCCATGTCACACACTTTGGACTCCTTGAATCTTGATACTACCAGCCCAGAGTCAAACTAGCCTACCCGCGCAAGGGGCACGGTGGCCAGCAGCGGCACGTTGTACCTGCGCTTGACGGTGGTGCCTGTGGCCCAGGACGACGCGGGCGCCGATGCTAGCGCGGCGGTTGTTGTTGACGTACTTTTCCTCGCCGACCCGCGGCCTGGAACATGCTGAAGGCGAAACGCTTGTTTTTGAGGTGGGGCGGCCGGCCGGATGTGCGTCATGTCTACGGAGGTCGCGGCGAACTCGCACCCGTCCTCGGGGCGGCCGACGGCCCGGGCGACGCCCAACATGGGATGTGGTGTCGACGGCGATGCGCGGGGGCTTTCTTGTACCAGTCTCTGATGCAGAGCCAGATGCTCTGTGTATCTGTTCCCGACGTTTTCCGGCCGTTGGACGGTGGATTCGCTGCTGGGATTAGAGGGGGGTTACCGCATCGGTTCGAGGGGTGGTGCCGCTTGGCCTCGCGTTTCTTAATTAATGGTCGGGGGTGAGTTGGACAGCGATGCGGCTAGCAAAGGCGAGGAGGCTTGGGCGCCACTTGGGTCACTTCTCTGCGTTGTAAGACCGGCCGAGAAGCTGTCGTCGTTGCCGCCGGCGACGGCGCTGAAACCGGACCGGCCCGTCCCGCTGGCCGTGCTCGGGATGAGATGACCACGGTCGTAGGCGTCGGCGTCAGAGTGACCACATCGACGTCGCTCGTGGTCGAAACGCAGCGGCTCTCCCGGCGTCGGACTCCCGGGACAGCAGTCCTGCCAGTTGCCTCCACGCCCCACTACCGCCAGCGCGTTCCGAATCACTCTGTCCCTCCGACTTAGTCCCCGTCTGTTCACGAGAGACGGCCTTGTTGGTGACGGCGAGCCGGCAGCCACGAGGTATTAGGACCAACCCGTTCGCTGTGAACGCTCACGTGTTTCTCCCCATTCATCCCCCCTGTGGCTTTCTGTCGAGATGCTTTACTGGATATAACAATCAAAGATGGTCTCTCTGCACCGCAAGACTCGGTATGTTGATAGTGGCTAGCGAATCTCTCAAAAATCAGCATCGGCCTACACCAACTGATGCGAAACTGCGCCGGGAGGGGGGGCATGTGTAAGTCGGGAATATGCCGGAATCGGAAACCGTTCCGCAACCTGCCAGAGTTGCGGCTGAACCAGGCTGAGGCAACCGCAACTTGGACAAATCCTACGCCTCCATGGTCGTGATGCCATTCGATCGGGCTTTTTGACGGCGCCATACGCCTCCTGGGATTGTCTGCCTCGTCCCGGTATCGGGCCCTGACCCCGGCGACCCAAGCCAGACCAGACCACCCTTCATCGTGCTGTGTTTCCGCCGTCGTGACGCAGACTCGACCATGTGTTTAGACTGCCAGTCCAGAACACCCAGCCTATCCCACGTACCAGGTCAGCATGTCTCCCCCCACCCCTTCTAGTCCGAGGGGATGAAAGATGGGGGGTTCGTAAACGTCCTCACCCCCCTTCAAACGAAAGAACCGCCGAATCCGTATAGTGCGGAGGTGCTGTTATGGCGCCGGTATTTGATATTCTCCTCCCGGGTGCCTTTGCCTCCCGCAGACCTCCTGGAGCATCGCGAAATAAACAAACGCAAAGCCTCGTTCAAGGGGACAGGTAGAGAAAAGAAAGTCGTGAAATATAGCCTCCGCCGATCCCCTTCAGTTCAGCCCTAGCTGGCCGGGCGCCAAGCTCAATCAAGCTCACCACAGAGTCCCCCCCAGCCTCCGAGAAGAATGGGGTCATGCTGTCCATCCTGGCGTGCTCCGCCGCCAATCCGGAAGGATCCGAGCAAACACACTCGCACACTCGCACTCTCACGCATGCACACACGTAGGTATGCAGTCCTCCCCCCTCCATCACAGTCACATCACATTCGCAACTATTGAACCGCGATGCGTCCCCCACCCAAAGACCAACCATCCATAACAATCAACCACACAGGAGGGGAAAGAGAATCAGAAATAATGACCAGAACTAGTAACGGTGAGTGAACAACCGGGCCCGTCATCCTCCCTCCCCCCCGCTCCCCACTGTCATCCGCATCCGCTCGACTACTTCGATCCCGCACGCCGCCCGGCGCCGGACGGGAAAGCTCGTCATCCCAGGCCCAACTAACGCCAGTTCCGCCTGTCCCACACACCCTTGTCCCCCCCCCCCCCCCCACCTGGAATCAAGCACTCCCACGGCGTAGTTGCAGCTCTGCGTTCCCCTGTCTATTTGTGTTATACTCCGTGCAATGTATGTATTGTATGTCTGTGCTGTGTGCTTAGATTCCAGCTCACGCAGGTCATCGCGGGAACGAGCGGAACAATGGTGGGAGGAGAGGCAGGGGGCGGCGACGCTCTCGCGCCAGAGGAACAAGGATCGACGATCCTCTGGACCCAGACACACAAAGAGAGAGTCTCGGTAAGTCCGTAACAAAGTGGACATTGGCCAAGCAAAGCACATGTCGAAATGGCACAGGTCGGTTTCTTGCCCCTCCCCTCACCAAAAGCCGATTTCAAAGCCCGAATATAACGGAGGTCAGGGGCGGGGAGGCAGCAGCGTCCCATGTCACTTGCGTAACAAGAAATAAGATAAGAAAAAAACATCCCGATCAGAGGACGAAGGGCGCCTGTTCCAAACATGTTCTAGTATTTGTTTGTTTGCTAAGGGGGTATGTGCGGGAATCCTGACTCCATCGAGGAATCGGGAGCTGGTGGGAGTCCTTCGTCCTCCAATAAGGTGCTGGCCGCCGGCGTCGTAGAGCGACGTTCCCAAGATTCGCGCTTCGGCAGGTCACTGGTGAGAAACCTGCCGAAAGGTGACTGATCAACCAGCACACGCACGATGATTCACACGGTAGAAGCCAGGTTTACGGAGACCAGCTTCACCGGCACTCACCCACGATCCCTTATCGTGCGCAAACTCTCAAGAGCATGATCCAGCCCGCCGAGCCCTCGGGGAAAACGGGATGCCCAACCCGCCGCCGGGACAGGCCGAAACCGGGTTAGAGGCCAGGCGGCCAGGCGACCAAGACTTGGGCGACATGCGACGGGGGGAGGAGAACTGGTTATGTCTGGGGGCCTCGGCGCATCGACCCAAGTCGACTGAGTGACTTCTCATTTACGGATACACACACCTGTCGACTTGCTGCCGCATCTGTAATCGCAGGGCTGCTCACTGCATGCGTCTGCATGCCCCCCCCCCCCCCCCCCCCCCCCCCTCCCCTACTCGAGGAACCACAGCAAGGCCCCTAAGCGACTGCTGACTGGAGTCATGGGAATCTGGCGAAGAGAGGTAAGCCGGGTGGGAGCCTCTTATCGCGTCATGTCCAAGGCTCCCGAGACCCATCCCCTTCCTTGTCCGGCAAGGCTCCGTACCCGTGCCTCAGTGTCGTTGCATACCAGCCTATTCAGGTCATTCGGCTCGGTTGGTTGGTTTCTCATCTCGTCAGATTGGGGTGGGTTTGGCGCTATGCATCCCACCCCATAGTTTCTCCGTCCCTTCATCTCACCTCATCTCTCGGCCACCCACCCCCACTCCGTATACGCACCGCGGCACCAACATCATCTTTTTCGGGTAATCTATCGCGCTTTTGTGAAGTCATTTCATCATCGTCTCTCCATTTCTCTCCTCTCTTGCTGTTGGCTTAGAGTCTCCACCCGTCCTCCCGCTGGTATCTTGGTATCGGCTTCGCCCTCTGATCATCTCGGTTGCTGATTCTACTGTACAATGTGTGTCATTCCGTGAGAAAAAAAAAAAAACGTGTGCTCGCTGTGCTGTAATCGGAACAAACTCCAAATACGCCAGCCATGGCATATCCATGGCGTGATGCCCTAAACCCAAGTACTCCTAAATTGCCAAAATCCCTCTGCTTGGCCGCTTTGAGGTATCATTGATCCCATCCCACCAAACCCCCGTTAACCGCCTTTCGTTTACGTATCCCCAAGTGGCCTTGCGCGGTCGTCGCATCGTAGCATCCTATCGGATGAATTAAAAATAAGAAAATGGTGGTGGAGTGCCACGAACAAAGTGGCTCGTAGTCTTGTGTGAAGATGTCATCCTTCTTCCCGGACCGAGCCGTTCGTCGACGTAGCGCCATAGCCGGCATTCGCGCGTTTTGTAAAACATCATCGAGTAGCGCTTGCCTTTAGATGAGCGAGAACTTGGACGGCGCCGTGTGTCCCAGAGCTGCCGCCAGTGCCGAGTTCGAGTCGGGGGCGTGTTCCGTGTAGTGCATATCCTCTTCGAAATACGGCAGGACCTTGATGCCGCAATGTTGCTGGAAAAACTGTATACCAACGTCGTACCGGTCTCTGCATCGCCTGTCCCACGGATCCACCTTGAGTGGGCTGTGATAGCAAAACGTGCTATGCTCGGCACCTCGCACGGGAAAGACGAGCCCTGCGCCCTTCATTGCCGCCCATAGGTCGAGGGCAGAAGCTCTCGTGTTGTCGCTGTTGGGCCATATTGCCTGCATCAGCTGCACCGCGGCGTATCGCAAGGCTAGGTCATCTGCGCTGCCCTGCCCGTGGCGCCCTGCGATCTGCCGCCGCAGCGGCTGAAGCTCCGAGAGTAGCTTCTCAAGTCGTTCGGGATTGGCGTGGTTGTAGAACAGGGCCAGGTCAATCCATGTCCGGGCGACGTACGGGTGACGCCGGCCGTAAATGGCCTCGAGCTCTTCGGCGATAATGGGAATACAGCACCAGACCAGCTCCGAGAGCGTAATCGGCCCATGTTTCTGTTGCACTTCGTACATCGTGGAAAATGTCTGTCGTAGGGGATGCGAGCGTTCAAAGTTCGTCGACGAGTAGGCCGCGAGGTACTTGCACAAGGCAGTCATCATGCCCGCGTCGCGGTGCACCATGCCCAGAAGCAGCTCCTTGATGCCCTGGGGCGACAGTTGCTTCAGATCCATCTCCAGCCGCTTGAACGCCCTCATCAGGAGGTGTCCTCCGGCGTCGTGCTCGCCCATCTCGAATTTCTTGTTGGCGTCGGCAAACATGTCGCTCGATCCGGCGCCCCAGAGCATAATCGACGTCCATCCGACCTGCCTGTCCGTCTCCACTTCGAACTGGCGGCAATGCAGAAACGCCTTCCTCATGTTCCCAACTATCGTCTCCTGCGCTCGGATCAGGTCTGGTGATCGCAGATAGCCCGGAGCGGGCGGCGGTGTCGGGGTACGACATCGCACATAAGACGGAAGTTGAGCTGGCGTTTCAAAGTCGACGAGATCGTACTCCGTAACTCCTTTCCTCTTGAGATACGTGCCCAGGTTGACCACCTTGCCATTCCGCACAAACTCGGACACCTTGCCTTCGGCATCACGCTGAAACTTCATCGACAATAGTCTCTTCACTTCGTCCTCGGTATTATTCTTGACAAAGCCCCACTGCGAGAATCTCGTCTTGTACATCTTCGGCCTGCGACGGTAAGATGATGTGTCTGTATGGAGAGCCGGGCAGACTTACGTGGCTTGGAACCCGTACTGATCGGCCATGATTTGCATGACTTCTTTCAGAGGCCGTCGCTCTTCCAGATACAAATGCCTTATCGTCAGTTTAAACGATTCCCATGCTTCAGCAGGCACCTGCTCCCGTGACGGCCGACTACCCATGGCAGACTTTGGTGTAGGAGCAGTGCTAGGTGCTCGAGCTCGGCCCTACAACCCAGTTAGACTAGGGCGTTTCCAAAGGTGATAAAAAAGAAAAGAAAAAAGAAAGGAAACCATACGGGGAACGACGTAGGAGGCGGAGGGCCAAAGGGTGTTTGCATCCCACTCGGAGTTACGGGGATAAGGTTCGGTGCAGGCGTCGGTGCTGGGCTAAAGGTCGAGGTTACCGGGCTGAACGGTGTAGATACTGGGCTGAAAGCATCCGTATTCGGGGGTGGGCTGAAGGCATTTGCGCTTGGGGGTGGACTGAAGGCATTCGCGTTTGGAGGGGGGCTAAAGGTGTGTGCGGACGAGTTAAAAGCGCTTGTCGAGCTGAATGTATTGGTCGATTGGCCAAAGGCGTTATTGAGTTGAGAGTCAAAAGCCTTGGCTGATGTGCTGAATGTATTCGTCTGGAGATTAAAAGCAGTTGACTGGGATGCAAAGTTCTTGTTTGCGGCATTGAAGTCATTCATCGGCAAGTTGTAGGTATTCGACTGGGAACTAAACGTCTTGGCCGTTGAGTTGTTAAAGGGGTCCAGTTGACTGAAGTCTGAAGGTTGCTGTTGAGCCCGATGAACCTGTGGCGGCGGCGGCGGCGGCGGCGGCGGCGGGTTGAGGTTGGAAGGGGCAGCACGGGTGTTTCCATCACCGAACTTTGTGTCTGGTGTATATAATGGGATGCTAGAGGGCGCGCGGTTCAACACTGGCTTTGTACTTCGGGGCACTGGAGGACGATATGGCTCCGGGACACGAAATAAATTGGGCGTGGCGGGGCTGTAAGCGGTGGAACTGGCAATTCTAGTCATACCAGAAGAATTCATGTTTACTGTAATACTGCTGTGCATGCTGCTGCTGTTGTTGCTGCTGCCATAATGTGCCGACGACGGGCTCGCAACGGACGGGGTTGCCACTGAACCGGGTGCGCTCGTGACTCTGTTACTGCTTGGCGGCGCAGCGCGAATCCCTTCAAAACGCGCAATCAAATTGGACACTCCGGCGGGGGGGGGATCGAGTTCGTCGAGTTCCATTCCCTCGTTCTGTTGCTGCTGCTGCTGCTGCTGCTGCTGCTGCTGCTGCTGCTGCTGCTGCTGCTGGTGCTGCGATGCGTGGCCCATCGAAGTGCCCGGGTTGAAGCGTGAATGCTGCGCGCCAGGCGAGGTCCAGTCCATGGACGACGAATCGAAGTCCCTCCGGGCGGGCTCCTGCTGCAGCGGGCATGTTGAAGGGCCGCCAAAGTTCTGGAATGTACCAAACCTAGTATATGGTTGACCGGAGGTGTTGAGAGTAAGGCCACGATGATGGTTGTTGGCACCGTATTCTGACCCAGAGGGAACACCGCGGGACTTGTCCCCAGAGTGATGGAACATCTCGGCCGCGTCCGGCGTCCCCCGATGGAGCAGAGGTACGGCCCGCTGAGTAGATGTCAATACTCGAACGAGTCAAAGCTCCTCGGTAGGACAGGTGCCTCGTGTCGTCGTCGAGTACGATTCATCCAAGAAGCCCAGCACGTTGCCCTGGTGGCAAGCATAAATTGCCCTTCGGATAGAGGTGGGTGGGCGCCACTGGGCCTTCAAATGAAAGACGAGAGCGTGGGAGACCGAGCAAAAGCGCCCATGATCGTCACCACATAAAAGAGAAAGTGTAATTTCTCTGGCTGCCTGGTTAAAAATAGAGCGAAAGAGAAAGCGTCATGGTTCCGTCCGGTATGGGCAGCGGATGGGTTCGAAAAGATTAAAGACTGACTGGAGAACCCGATGGTTGGCACAGGTCAGTTCAGGTCAGGTCAGGCCAGGAACAAACAAGGTCGGACTGGGATAGGACGGGAAGCAATAGCTGGGCCGGACGGGCAGCAGTAGTGTCTCTCGTACAGGCCGCGGCAGAGAGAGGGAGGGAGAGATAGTGCGTGTATGTGTGTGTGTGTGTGTGTGTGAGTGAGTGAGAGGGAGAGGCACATGGGGGATGGGGAATGGGGAGCCGTTCTTCCAGACCCGCTCCCTCGTTCGTTCATTGCTTCTGGCCTGTCCGGCTAGTGAGTGAGCGGTAGTAGGACTCCCGCTCTTTCAAAGCGAAGCCTACTTTCCGTTGTTGAACGGGTATTGGTCGCGGCGGTCGCCAAGTTCCCCCGGGTGGTGGAAGCTGCAGGCAAAAGTTCCTTCGCGTAAATTCCCCAAAAAGGCAAGCAAGCTTGGTGGCACAAGGGTAGAACAAGGCCGTTTCCCCGTCCCCTCGAGGCTCTCTCTTCTTCTCGGCGATAAGAGGGCGGCGTCCTCGCAGCTGCCAGCGAGAGAGCCATAGCTGGGCCCGCGGAGCTGCGCGGTAGGAATCGGGAATGGGAAGGGGGGGTAAAAAAGCAGCGTTGCATGGCCAATGGCTGTTCAGACTGTCTGTCAGGCTGTCCGGGCGTTTGTTAAACGAACGGGGGGCCATTCACAACGGCTCCTACTGCTCGGAGCGGGCGCTGACAGGCAATTCGCCCGAGAGAAACATGACGAGATTGGGGGGGACCCTCGATGTCGTCGTGTATGGGGGTCTAGCTTCGCTCCGTATCGAAGCTGGGTGCAAGGCGGTTCGTCCCTTTGGTAGACTCTGTGGGTACGGATGCTGTCTGGTACCGGTATGTTCCCTAACGCCTCGCCCTATTGCTGCGCAGCAATACACGACGGCAGCACAGGCTGGGTGTCTGTCTTTCGACTCCAGCCCTCGGGTCAGGGAGGGCCCCGGGAATTCGTCCAATGTGCCCCCCCGAATGTCGACATTTGGTGCCAAAGAGCCTATCAGCCTGTGGGAAAGCGACTGACGAGTGGGCGAGCAATTCCAATTTCCAGGGTGGCCAGGTGGCGGGGAACAGGCATCATGGTGCCACCACTGTTCTGGATTAAGAAGGTGAAAGAGCGTCCTCGTCCGCCCAAAAGACGCCAACGACCAATTCCTGACTCAGACCACCAATCACCATGCCTGCTTGGGAGTGTGCTATCAACTAGGTAGGCCCTCCCGCTTTCGGCACGGCCGCGGGTGAGAGTGGTGTCCACGCTGTTAGTCAAGGCGTGGGGTCCCGTCCGCCAGTCCGCATTGTTTCGTTGCTGGGGTTCAGACGTGTCTCTGTCCACCACAGGACAGCAGATGATGAGATAGATATGCCCTGCCCGCTGTTGACCCTCGCCTAGCTAAGCAACCAAGCTGGCCATCTGGCAGGGCAAGACCTGGGGAAGGAGGAGGAGGAGGAGCCCACGGACGGAAGGCTAACACGCTTTAGAAGCTTGGTGCATGTTCGAACGGCCTTCCACCAAGCCAACTTGGTGCCATCCGATACCCAAGCCGCCTTCGGGTGCGGCCAATGACCATGTCAAGATACCAATCCGAGCTGCGCCGCTAGAGTGAGTCTAACCCCTTTTAGTCACCCTCAGTCGCCAGAGAGTTGCGATCGCGGAATCGTCCTTTCAGCCACTTTCAATAGGCGATGGCGGCAGGCGTGGGCAAGAACCGGTTTGAGGGTGTGTTCGCGCGGGCTGACCGTAAGACAAAAGCGATCGCTGTCTGTTAGGGACGCCACGGTCCTGGGCCGAGCGCTGGTCATTCGGACGACAGGCAATAGGATTGGGCGGCGGTTCGAGGGGCACTGCCGGCGCGGCGGTCAATATGGTTTCGGCCGGTTGCACCACAGGCCACATCCGCGTAGTGTCTGTTCTGTCGAGGCCGAGGTGTGGCCAAATGCCGACTTCCATTGTTCCAAACAGCGGATTGAGTGGACTCGCTCTTTTCCAGCTCCGTTACAGTTCGTAGTCAAGGCATTCGAACACAGTCGGCCATTGTAGGCTAGCCGTAACGATCTGATTAGCCTGTCGCGAAAAAAGTGCTACCGAAAGCATGTCAGTAGGAGACCGAACGGTCAAGGCTCAGCCCAACCCGAAAATACGCAGCTCGCGCAAAATGTCCCCCGAAGGATTTAGAAATGGGTGCCAGCCAATCTCTTTCTTCTGATTTCTCGACCCCAATATCCGCTCAGCCAAGGAAATCCCTACGAGAGATAGCCCAAGCACAAGGACCAGCCGCGAATTCTCTACCAACCACAGATGAAGTTTGGTCGACGTTGAATTATGTACCTATGTACCAACGGTCCAACGCGCATGCAGGACTAGTTAACGGTGCAAAGAAGCTGCAGTGGGTGGAGGGCTTGACATCTGCTGGGCACCGCAGGCCGACCTATTCAGAATAAGCATTTTCTCTCACGCATGACGTCGGGCCCTAAGGGTATCGGGCTTAGGTGGTGCAGTTCAGCGCGAGTTTGGGGGGCATGAAGTCCTGCCTAGAGTCGTGCTCCAGCAATGATGAACCTGGGAATCGCCCATGTTTGGGCTCGTCTTCCAGGGCATGCAAGCCGAGTGGTTCCCATCTGAACAAGCAAACCGCGTTTCTCGGATACAAATGGGTGTCATCCGAACCAGGGTAGGCAACTCCTTCAGACCGGGATGCAACCATCTGCAACCACGTACAAGTGCGCTTCTGATTGTCGATGGCACGCCTTTGGCCGATTCCAATGCATATGCCAGACTGCAAGTGTGGCAGCCGGAGTGTGACAACCATTAGTCGAGAACGGGCAACCAGTCATGCTTTCGAGCGATATCAAATGATGAAAGTCCGGAATCAAGTGCAGAGAATGATATCTATGCTGTGCTACGATAAGTCAGAGGGTTTCCAACAGCGAAGCATCTTCCAAATGCTTGGACCCAGGTAGCCCTACCGATAAGGAATGACAGAGTTTCACCATATTTCCTTTGGGAAGGTAGAGCAGGGTACATTGGCCAAGTGTCCGTCAGTGCCAGAGACCTGCTAGCCGACTCGACGGTATGAAGCGGGCACCCCAGCTTCACCGAGACTGGGCATGTGGAGGTTTATAATCGGATGCGGATACACCCTATCTGTAGCTGACGGGTATGCGCGGGGTGGTTGGCACGGTGGATCCTAGCCTTCTACCATGGATTGAGCGCTCGGTTCGGGGTCCGGTCCATCTCCGACTTCTTTTGGCTTGATGTTACTAGTTGGTCGTGACTTGTCGACGGAGATACCTAACGCACGATTCTCGGTTCAGAGAAAGGCTAGTTGGCATTGTGTTGGGAGTCAGTTGGCTCCAACTGGGCAAGACCGGCGGCGGCCTTATCTGATCATCGAGCCGAAATGGGGAGAAGTGGTCTTGATCGATTGTTTCGTGATGAAATCGTTAATGGCGTTAGGCGGAGCAGACCGGTATCGACGTGTTTCCTAGCTGCTGCCTTGATCAGTGCAAGGGTAGGTACTCTGGCAACATGCGTCGGTTCGATAAGTCCCCTCGGTTAAAGAATCCGGTATTGTTTCATGCAAGTCTGCCTCGCTGCACCGTCCATCCTGAGGATCCACGGGGGTCGAGTCATCTCCAGATTGGGATCTTGCTCCGAGGATGGGGAGGTTATCGGCGAGAGGGCGTGTTGACGACAGTATCCGAATACCGCCAGTGATGTACCACTGAAGTAAGACTGATCGAATCTATCCACATCAGATGCTATGCAAGGCTCGTCCATTACCGAAGCCTGGGCGAGAGTGCTGGTCTTGCCGAAATACCGCCCGACGTCTTGTGGCACACGGTAGAACATCCAACGTATGGATCTGGCATGCATGTTGAGGTCGGATCCCGAGAAGAGACTAGGTCGGTGGTCTGTTTGCTGAGAGTGAGCAGGGTCCTCGTTTACATCTCCACGGAAGATGCATGGAGAAGGGCATATCATGATGGTGGAAAAGATGACACGGGGCCTTCATCCACGGCCCATGACGGACCGAGCATTGAAGCGATAAGAGAGCCCCCAATTCTTCTTGGAAGGCGCGATACAGACCGGGTACACAACTGAGGGAAGTAAGTTCCGACATCCCCGATGCGCGAGGATGGGAAGGAACACGTACCTGCTCTTTTCACTCTGTTCCTTCCCCCATTTTTCTTGCTGCCGTCCATGCTCGGGAGCCCAACCCACAAACTTCTTGTCACTCGTACAGTTTGGCAGAAACAAGTTCTTACAGCAACGATGAATATTGAGAGTCGACGGGACTCCGAAGTTGGAACGCCGTCTGGATTACGTTACTACTGGATAATATTCATTACATCTTGCAAGTATGCGTCGCCGAGATACGCATGCCAATATCGCCGCCAGATACACACAGCCGCTACGCCTGCTGCCCTACATGCATTTCAAATCGCTGCTCATGCCACTGAAACCAATCCGAGTTTGAATCTTTTATGACCTCACTTGGAGAAACCGTCACGGATGTCGACAAATACCATGTACCTATCCTTAGCCCAGCGCCGCGTCCGTTTACCAAAAACGACCATGGGCAGACTCAGGCCCATTATGAGGAGGCTGAGAACCCCGAGGACGATGAAGCAGTTCTCCATACCCGTATCGATCCAGTAGCTCGCCACGAACGTGAAGAGCATCGCGATGGTGTTGTTGATGACGGCGGTGCCCACCATGCCCTCGAGCACCATTTCACTGTGCGGTAACTGTCAGTCGACCCTTCTTCCCTAGCGCTTGGTTGTCATTCACAAGGGGACAAAGGGAGAAAAACTCACGGGAAAGAGTCGGCGAGGTACGACATGCTCAGGTCTCCGGCGCAGCCGTACCCGAACCCGATGAAGCCGAGCCCGACGTACGGCAGGGGCCAGTCCCACCCGCGGGCGCTGCCAATGCCGAAGATCCACATGCCCGCCGGGAACACCACGGTGCACAGCGCCATCAGGTACAGCCGGAACTCAGCCTCCATGACGCCCCCGTTGCGCTTCGTCATCCACTGCATGAACCGGTCGCTGCCATACCCGCCGTACACGCACCCCACCAGGCTTCCAATCAGCGTCGGCAGGTTCATGTTGCCCACCTGGGCGCCCGTGTAGTTCCACGGCGGGCCCTCCCAGGAGTCCTCCTGCACCGTCAGGTAGAACGTCAGGCAGATATTCTGCAGGCCCCACTGCAACCCCGCGTACCACACCGCCGGGAACGTGAAGACGCGGAGCGTGTGCCAGAGCCGGAAGATGTACTGCTTGAAGCCCGTACCGCGCAGGTTGTCCGCCGGGGTGATGACGCGGATGCGCTCCCAGTACGTCTTGCGGCGGGGAAAAGCCATGCCGTCGTCGCCGAGGCCACCTAATCTGGGGGTGGTGGCAGCGGCGGCAGCGGTGCGTTCCATGTCGACGGACTTTCCGTCCAGGGCGTTCACGGACGTCTTTTCCGGAACCGGGACCGAGTCTTCTGCGGCGTAGCTCTCGCCGTTGTTGGAGAGGTAGCGGTCCCGGTTGAACTCGGTCTCCTCGAGACCGAAGAAGAGGAGGACCAGGCTTACACCGCAGATGATGACACCCAGGTAGCCGATCCACCGCCAGCCAAGGCTGGTGGCCACATGTGCACCGACAAGGGGTCTGTAGTCCGTCAGCTTGCTGAATTCGATACGCAAACAGCATTGAGACTCACCCGAGATATGTCCCAATGGCGGTCGCAAACGTGTAAAGACCAAACACACTGCCAGTCTGGTGCTCAAACCAGATGTCGAGCAGAGACAGCTGCACCGTCGCCTCGGCGACCGACTCGGCAGCGCCGACAAAGAGCTGGGACCACACGACGCCCGCGACGTTGTCGATGCGGGCATACCAAACGAGGCCGCCAATGTTGACGGCCATGGAGATGAGATAGCCCAGCCGCCGCCCGTACAGATGGACAAGCGGCGAACTCAGCAGGGTCCAGTAGCCGATGGCGATGAAGAGCACGCCGGCGCCAGTGTTGAAGACGTCGTAGCTGATGCCGTACTCCGCGTTGACGCCGTCGGAGCCCGAGCTGGCGTTGTTGGAGGTGGCGGCTGTGAGGCCGACGATGTACAGAACCAGGAACGAGTGCCAGACCTTGCGCGGCAGCGACCAGCGCAACGGGTCGTCGGGCGACGAAGTAGGCTGCGGCACGAGCACGACATCGCCGTGCTTGAGCAGCGATCCGTCGCCGCGCAGGTTGCTGCCGTGCTCGTCGTAGAGGCGCCGCGTGCCCGGGATGGTATCCTCTACGTCAACGGGCGGCGGCGGTTGTGGCGTTGTGGCGGCGGGGCCTACCGAGTGGGAGCCAAGATTTTGCTGGAGCATGGCGGGCAACCCGTTTTCCTCTGCCGACCTCTCTCTGGTCAGGACTTTCTTCCCTTCTTGTGGACTTTTGTTATTATTAGAACAAATTGACGCTTTGCCAGCGCCGTTACTGCTAGCAAGAGGACAGGGAAAGCAGCATACACTCTGCTCTCATGCGACCGGGCACAGGTGGGAAGGGAAGAAGATGTTTTAATTACTCGTCCGCAAGCCCGAAATCCCGATTGCAGATCGAAGATAACGACCAACCGTCTTATCTTTTTCGTCCCTATGCGCGTTCGTGTGTCCAGACTGTAACGGGGCTGCGGCCAACGTTATCGCTGGGTGGCCAATCAGGCGAGTCATCTAGACATAGGGATGCCGCGAACGGTCGCTGCGAGGATTCGCCGCCCAGCCCTTTCAGACATGTCAAAAAAGGTTGACTCCCATATGCTTGCCCGTCTTCTTTTTTTGTTGAAACCGATACCGAGGAGCGCCGAGCCAATCTGACGAACAGGTCGTTTTCCCTTCGTTTTCTGTCTGTTTGAAAGATTAGGGTGGGGAGTTATTTGTCTTTATTTCCTGCATCCAGATCCCAGCCAGTAGTAGATGGGTATTAATGGTTTCCTGATTCACTTTTTTTTCTCCCGCGTGCCGGGTTGCCGAGGCCACACTCGACGGGCTAGACCGCAGAACAACTCTTTTGCATCTTGTGTGACGACGCTGGCATACGGCGAGCTCGTAAGCGACATCCTTTGGCAATTCATCCCAAAACCCCAAGCATGCCTAGCAACGCGGGGTGAGACGCAGGTACGTGTCGAAAGGAATCAGGAGTGACATGATGGTGAACTTTCAGCGCTGAGGCCCCTTTGCCTCGTCCTTTTTTCTTCTTCTTCTTTTTTTCTTCCTCTTGTTCATCTCCCCGTCGCCAGTGCTTTCGTCGCCTCTCCGGCCGCCTGTCCGTCCCAAGGAACGGGAGACATGTCAGCCTGACTGTTCGTCGTAGGGCCCGGATGGGGCTGAGCCCCAACTCAGCCGCCGCCGAGACAAAAGATGGTCGGGACGGATTTTTGGAGAGGTCCTTGGCGGCAGCGGCGGTACGAGCCTAAAGCCTATCCCGATGCCGAGAAGAAGAAAGCCTTGCTACGAAGATGACAGACGCATACAAAAGTATCTGAAAGAACATAGGTCAGCAAACGACCAGAACGAGGGGCGGGACCTTGACGATGGGATAAATTGATTGCCCCAGACGAGGTGTGATGAGTTGCCTCGGGCGGGCGTGCTGACGGGCGTGTTTGGGTTGACGTTGCCCTACGTAGATCGGGCGATCTTTGTTCGAGGGGAGGGAGTCGTGTCGCACCGAAATAGGCACCGGCAGAAGATATGAGAAATGGCTCACTTGGGAACCTCGTCCTTGTACACTAATGCACTTACGTAGCTGTGCAGGCCCCGAGCCCTATAAGGCGTTGCCCGTGGGATGATCACGTTTGATGTTTCCTCGTTCCACAGGGTGGCGGGAGGTCGACCAGCGGGGGTGGGCGGGGGAGCCCTGCGCGCGAAGATCTGGGCATTTGTCTCGAAGGCCAAAGTCCGCCGCGCGGCCAGCAGGACGGAGGAGGAGGTGACGTTTATCCGTAACGTAGTGAGCCTGGTGTACGAAGAAGTGTACCGCCGGTAACCCGCGGGGCCGAACGGGGACCGGACTATCGGAGGGATTTCGAGAGGATCCCCGTCCGTCCGTTCCCTGGTCAAAGATCGCCGGTGAGCTCTTCCCGTGGCATTTCTAAGGGGAAGACAAAAAAAAGAAAACGTTAAAGAGGCTTTCATTGGCTGTGGCTGAGCTTCGCCTCCCCCACTTGGAGCAGCTGGGTGGGGTAGGTCTCCATGCGCGTCACGTGGGAGTGACGTAAATTGAGTTTTTCTGGTACCGGGTGCGTGTACCTCAGGTACTTGGGGAGGTACTTTCGTATCTTGGTCGAGCATTGGGAAATTCAGATGCTTCACTCCCGGGCCTAAGGCAAGTCTTGACTGGTTGAGCCCGTTGGGATGACCTGTGCCGTGCAGCTGCCAGTGCATCGGCAGTGAGAGAAAAGCATAGTTGTTATGATATGCAGTACGGGTAGACTCGATTCCGTGTGCGTCGAGGCCCAGCGTTTAACGGCTGTATGTACGGTACACTACGTTGATAACCCATTCATTAGGGAGGGATACATCCCAAAGTAGTACGGGACCATCTTGAGCTCCTTGCTCCTTTGCTCCAAAACGCGACCGAGATTCCCCCTCCAAATGTCCACTTCACACTCGCAAATGGCGACGACCCCTGGATTGCGACCCTGAATCTCACCTCCTTTCCCTCAGAACTGAGAGTGTCTCAAAAGTCCGCGCGCCAAACCTTCTGTATCGCTGCCTTTTGACCCGGTTGCGAATCCCTCTCTTTCAACTGTTGCAGAAAGCAAAAAAACCCGTCGCCGCTTGCGTCTGCACCCCCCCGAGTGTCTCCTGCGAAAGCTCACCACCCATCCACCGAGTGCGTGCGTGCGTGCGCACCACGTAAGCTCCCGAAACGACAGCTTGCTCGAAATCTTACGACTTCGGGAGAAGAAAACCACACGTCGGCCCCTTCCTCCGCCTTCTCCGAGGATTCCGTATCCATCACACACTCGCAAACATGGCGTCAACCGGCTCTGCCCCCAATGGCGGGACTCACGACCACGTCTTGCGGCCGAGGCCGAGGAAACCGCAGCACTCGCAGCTGATAAGGACCCAAAGTAACACCTCGGTCGGCGAGATCAACGGCTTGACGCCTCTATCAGAGCCTGGCCAGACGAGCGGCAACACCAGGTAAGCAACCCTCTCCCCCCTCGTCCATCAGCATCAGCAGCACCGGCACCAGCACCAGTAGCAGCAGCAGCATCGCTAACTCCAACGTCACCACAGCGGCCGCTCGACGCCTGTCCCCCACGATGCCCTCCCCTCCGTCAAGAGTATGTCCTCGGCGCGCAAGCAGGCCCGTGCCGAGCAGCGCCGCCGCATCTTCCCCACGATCGAGTTCGCCAGCCGTGTCTCCCATTTCGACCCCAACTCCGACTACCGCGACTTCCACGGCTTCTTCAACCTCTTCTGGATCGGCCTCGCCATTATGGCCATCACCACCATGCTGCGCAACATCAAGGACACGGGCTACCCAATGCGCGTCCAGATCTGGACCCTCTTCACCGTCAAGATCTGGCATCTGGCCATCGCCGACTTCCTCATGGTCGCCACTACGCTTGTCTCTCTGCCCCTCCACCGCCTGTGGCGCAGAGCCCCCGCCAACGGCGCCTTCACCTGGAAGAACGGCGGCATGGCCGTCCAGAGCGTCTATCAGGTCCTCTGGCTCGCCTTCTGGATCGCCATTCCCTTCGTGCTCGACTGGACCTGGACTGCCCAGGTCTTCCTGCTCCTGCATACCATGGTGCTCCTCATGAAGACCCACAGCTGGGCCTTTTACAACGGCCATCTCAGCGAGACGGAGAAGCGCCTGCGCGCCCTCGACAACCCCTCGACCGCCTCCAAGGACCCCGTCTACCTCTACCCCACCCCCGACAACCCCATGGGCACCGTCAGCAGCCCCAAGACGCGCGACTTCAGCGGTAAGGCCGCCTCGGCGGCCAGCAGCTCTGACGAGGACTCCGTTACCGCCGACGAGATCGAGCAGCTCCGCGAGGACCTCGCGCAAGAGCTCACCTCCCCCATGGGCAACATCGCCTACCCTCGCAACCTGACGTGGGCCAACTACTTCGACTACCTTCTCTGCCCCACGCTCTGCTACGAGCTCGAGTACCCCCGAACCGCCCGTATCGACTGGCAGAACCTCATTTCCAAGATCATCGCCGTCTTCGGCTGCATCTCCCTCCTCACCGTCATCTCGGAGGAGTTCATCCTGCCCATCCTCACCGACGCCTCCCTCCGCCTCAACTCTACGCCCCCGCCCCCCATCTCCGAGTCCCTCCTCATCCTCGCCGAGAGCATCTCTTGGCTCCTCTTCCCCTTCATGCTGACCTTCCTCCTCGTCTTCCTCGTCATCTTCGAATACGCCCTTGGCGCCTTCGCCGAGATCACTCACTTCGCCGACCGCCATTTCTATTCGGACTGGTGGAACTCGACCGACTGGATGGAGTTCTCGCGCGAGTGGAACATACCCGTCTACAGCTTCCTGCGCCGCCACGTCTACAGCGCCAGCCGCCCCTACATCGGCCGTATCCCCGCCACCGTCATCACCTTCCTCATCTCCGCCGTCGGCCACGAGATCGTCATGGCCTGCATCACCAAGAAGCTCCGCGGCTACGGCTTCATCTGCCAGATGCTGCAGCTGCCCATCGTCGTCCTGCAGCGCACCAAGCTCGTCCGCGGTAAGAAGACGCTGAACAATGTGTGCTTCTGGTGCTCCATGGTCATGGGGTTGAGTATGGTGAGTTTTTGACTATCTTACGACTAAATCCCGGTCGACGATTTACTAACAGTGATGTTCCAGATTTGCGCTCTTTATGTCTTGGTCTAGGCTTGTCCAGCATTTGCATCAGCGTTAGAATGCGTAAGGCAACGTTTTCTTCTCCAATCATTTTTTGCATCGTGGAGGGGCCCAAGCCTGAAGTCATTTTCCCGAAAAAGAGGTGGTTTGGTTGGTTGGCTGAAGGCTTTCTGCACACTTTTATTAACCCGCTTCTGTATCATTACCGCAAACACACACACACACACACACACACACACACACACACACACACACACACACGGGGGCGGCGTCCCCCTTAGACGTACACACATCTTCCTGGCGTTGTTCTAGATAGGTCTTATACCCCCCTTATTTACATGCCCGACGTGGCAGATCTTGCACGACTTATTGCCATTTCTTGAGTTCCAGGTGAAGTCGTGTAACAAAAACTTCGACAAAATGGACCAGTTTAACAACTCTGCCTTGCGGCCCCTGTCCTCAACACGGCACAATCGGAAGGAGCCTCTCACTTTGGGCACCAATCTGCCGCTGTTGCTGCGGCCAACACCCACCAACTATATTTCATCTATTGAGACATGCTGACGCACATTCACGTGAGTCCTGTAACCGCGCCTCAGCCTCATTCGACCATTTCCCCGCAACCTCCAGGCACAACCGACCATGAACAACTCCCGCCTACGCTCATGGTCCTCGTCCAGCACGACTCCACGCCGGCGTCATGGCTGAAACGAAGTGGAGACGGACATTTCTGCATGTCTTGTCACGAGAGTACCCAACTGGACATTTCGAAACCTGGGCAAAATGCCGGGAATTGAACCCTCATACCAAGTCGGTTGTCAACGACAAGCCTGAGAATAAGGGTGATCTCACAGATTTTCCACAACTTTTACATCGCATGGGGTGGTACAAAATGATGATGGGGGAGCACAAAGAGGCAGAGGACTTAATCCAGCAGGCTTTGAAAGCCTTTGAGAAGGCATTTGGCAAAGAGCATATTGAAACGATAAGGAGTGTTAAAAATCTTTCTATAGTGTTAGGACGCCAGGGAAGACTTGGAGAGGCAGAGCTGATGAATCGACAGGCTCTAGATGGCTTTGAGAAGACAGCTGGCAAAGAGCATGTTAAAACGATAAAGAGTGTTAACAATCGTGCTATATTGCTGCACTACCAGGGGAAACTTGAAGAGGCAGAGCGAATGTTTCGACAGGTGATAGAAGTCAAGGAGAAGGAGTTGGGCAAAGGGCATCGCGATATGCTTAGCAGCGTCTGGTGGCTAGCTCATGTCAACGAGCAGCAATCCCGTCTCGAAGAAGCTTATGAGCTATACCATAGGGCTTTAAATGGCTATAAAGCCTTTGGGCCAGACGATTCTGATCTCAAGCATATCAAGCAGGCGATTGTCTCCTTTGGGTCTTGTTTTACTCGTCGAGAAGGATGTTGGATTAGGAACCAATGAGCTAGAATGTAGTCTAATCAAACACTGTTGAACATTTTGGGCTTCATTGCAAAATTCTTCAAGGGATATATCGATATGCAACACTGCCAGGAGAACAGCTCCTGGCGGGGTTTTCGCATTTACTCTCTGCACCCATACGACGAGGACCTGTCTCTGGAGGGCCCACTGGGACAAGCGGTGAGGCGCATTGATCACCTGAAAGTAATCAAGATGGAAATGCAGCTAGCTGCCACATTATCAATTGGATCATGGTGCTATACGGAGAGAGACTGACCGGTTTGATAGGAACAAAAACCCACTGTCCCAACCAGGATTCCCACTCTGGCTCGACCGAAGGCATCATTCCACGTCTGAAACCGTGCTGTCTGTGTCAGTCGCAAGATGTCTGCGGATAAAGGGGGGAACTCTCTCGACTTCCAGCCTACTGCTGATGATTGAAGCCGCAAACTTTTTCTCATCAGGTCTGGGTGTGGCGGTTGGGAAAGGGTAGCCCAAACACATACACACACACCGTCGTCGGGCGCGAGCAAAAGAAGGCGTTCTTGGCAACCTGAGTGGGATAGCACCATCGCTGATGCCCTCTCCTTCTCCATAACTGGGCGGTGAACACCTAGTTTGCGGTGGGAGGGGGAGCGGTGGAAGGGTGAACACGTCTCGGGCGGAGATTCTTGACTATCGTAAAACGGTCGACGGGGACTGTTCTGCGGGGACCATAATTCACAGCCGACAACTCTGGTTTACTGTCAGCGTCTCTGCAACTGTTGCTCACTTGGCCCCCCCCCGTCCCATCACGAAGCCACGATACGAATCCCCAGGTCCCGTAGTCTTCAGAGGGCGTGATACCTCTCCACACAGTAGATGACGGCAATCCAAAAGATGAAGAGACGCCCCTGTCCCTTATTCCAGGCATGATTAAACTCACATCTACTTCGATTCGATAACGTCTGCTCCTTCAGCTCCCTTCCCTCCACCTGCTTTACGAGACCTCGAACCAAAGCCCCCCATCGTAGCCACGTAACCATGCGAAAGACACTCCCCGACAAACAAACCCTGCTCTTCCTCCCAAAGCAGGCCACAAGCAAGACAGCGGGATCAGAGGTTCGTCCCCGGTTATTCCCACAAAAGTCCCGCCTCGCCCTCGATAGCCAGCTTGCCCAGAGACAGACAACTCATCGCACACTACAAAGTCCCGCTCGCAACGCACTCGTCACTCATACACCCCCTTTGGAACTCAAGGCACCTGTCACGGTTTCCGACAGATCCCGGGACGGGGGCCCGATATCAGCGAGCCCACCTCACTCGCGAACACGGTCTCAACTGACACTCGTCACCAGTCGCCGATGTGATGGATAGTCCAATCCAGGTAATGTCAAGAATGAGTTCCATTCGACAGAAAAAAAAAAATCTAACTACAAAACCCCCCTCTTCTATGCCAAAGGACACAACCCCTGGCCAATAGGCATCCACGCCTAGTCAAGGGGGAAAGCCTGTGTTACCACAACCCCCCTCCCTTTATTCTCATCTTGTTTCTTTCTTAGTAATATCTTGAGCATTCGCGACCAAAGAGTGAGCGTGGTATCTTCCCTTTCCCCTCTTCTGTAACTCCTTGTGTAGCGAATGACGGAAATATGCGTTGACCAGAATAACTGAATCAAATCTCGAGTTCGTTAGGTTAAGTTTAAAAAAATAAAGCCAGATAAGACGCGTAATGAAGAAGAAAAAAACGTATCGCCATCCCTATGCATGCATGTGTATCGTCAGACTCCAGCGTACAACAGCTTCTGTGAGAAACCTAGGACATCCCAATAGGTCCCCGTTGCGTGGACGCCGTCGGCTGCCTGGTGTGAGAGAACGGGTCTTAGCCGGGTCAGGTGGAACGGAGCCGGTATCACCCAGCTCTCGGCGGAGGCCTCACCATGAGGCGCATGGCCTATTTCGACAGCTCTGTCCCGCCCCAGACCCATCCTTCCCAGGCAACCGTCGCCGCCCAGAACGTCTCGCTTCATAAATGCCAGTCAGTTAGCCGTCTCAAGCGGCATCAGCATCTCATATATGCCCTCCCCTTCTCCCACCCAGCGCCAAAGTGCGGGCTCATCAACCGCAGCCCTCCCAAAGAATTGATATCAAATAAAACAGGTCGGTCCTCGTTACTGTATGCTTTTCGCGTCTTTATGTCGTCCCCATCATACCAGCACGAATCAGAGAAAAAGAAAGGAAACCCCAGGTGAAAACGTTGAGAAAAAGAGAAGAAATTGAAACTTAATGCGAAAACCGAATCCAGCCGCGCCGAGCGCGACGGAAAGAGGACAAGCATCGACGCATTCCAGCAGGACGATACGTCTCCCCTCGCAGAGACGGCGGTATAGGAACGCATGGCCAAAGCAGTACAAGCTACCGGACCGCGTTCGCTAAGCATAAGCAGTGTACTCCTCACGGTACCGATGCGGGATATTGCTGTACTGCACGTCATCGTATCTTGCCGTCTTGACCTTGGGAAAGTACGTAGAGCTCGAGTAGCTTGGTTCCCTAGATGGCATAGGAGGGCGTTCGTAGTAGGTATTCTTGCTGTGCTTCCTCGAGGGAGGGGTGGACTCATCGTGGTACATCGCTGCGTACGCACTTTCAGGAGGAACTGCGACTGCGCGGCCGGCGCTAACTGTGTACCGAGTCCTCTGGCCGTGTTCCGCCGGCATCGGGTCAGGAGAGTGAGTCTTATGACGGCTACTCCTGTGGCGGCGGTGGTGGTCATCTTCGGATTCCGAATCTTCGCTCACAGCCTGCGGCTGCATTCTCGAACGACCGCGACCCCGCAGATCAGTATCGGCAGGCACATGCGAGAAAGTCTGTGATCTGATGGGGCCGGGGAGCGGACGGCTGAATGAGCTCTCGTTCAAGGTAGCCGACCGGCTGAGGTACTTTGGCGGCGAGGTGGATGCGGGATACGCCGTCGTCGGAGCGAAATGAGCCATGTGGCGGCTACTGGGCGAGGCGTCCACGACATTGGGCGGCGGCGGCAGGGGCGCCTCCTTGGTCGGCGACGATTTCTTGTGGCTCGACTTGTCGCGCGTCTTGGTCTCTGAGGAGCGCCTCGACTTTGACCTGCGAGTTGTGTCTTCTTCCTGGGGGATAGGAGGAGGAGGGGGGGCGGCGAAGGATGGGCCGGCTGGCGGCGGGGTAGGAACAGGAGGCCGGACGTCGTACGTCTGCGAGCGTGTTATACCTGGGTGAACGGACTTGCGGGACTCGTCCATGTATTTGGCGGCGTAGATCATGGTCTCGGCGTACTTGTGCTGGATATCGGTCTGAGCAAGCGGCATGGGCGGCACGGGCGGCACAGGCAACTCTTCCCGGGGCGGAACAACGTCTCGCGGAACGGAACGGGACCGCTTGTCCTCCTTCTTCTCCTTGGTGCTGCTTGACTTCTTCTTGTCGGCCTTGGCGACATACGTTGCGTCGTCGTCGAAAGGCTCGCTGTAGATGGGCTTGTGTCTCCGCGACTTCTCGCGCTCCTTTTCAGCCTTTTCCATACGCTTACGTTCCTGCCGTCGGGCCTCCTTTTCTTCCGCGGCCCGTTTAGCGGCCTTTTCGGCGACCTTCTTCTCCGCCATTCGTTCCCTCTCTCTTTCGAGACGTTCTCTATCGCGGGCGGCGGCAGCACGCGCTAGCTCCTCGCGTTCCCGTTCTTTCTCTTCTCTGCGTCTGCGTTCCCGGAGGAGGTCGTCGTCTTGTCGAGACGGCTTCTCGTAGCTGGTGGCCCGGCGGGCGCGGGGCTCCTCGAAAATGGAATTTGAATTTGATCGGCTGTGGAGATCCTCGTCCCACGACCGTGAGTTGTATTGGGAGTACATCTTGGTGTTGGGAGACGAGCGGTAGGACGTCGTCTTGAAGGTGTCGGGGCGGGGCTCGGCGGTGCGTACGTCGTAGGTCCTGGGGGCGCGGGGAGCGGAGGTGTTGGCGGCCATGCCCTTGGCCATCTCCTTGCGGAGCTCAGCGAGCTTGACGTTGTCATCGTACTTGGCTCGGTCGTTCTCGTTGCTCAGCAGCTCGTAAGCCTGCTGGACCTTTTGAAACTCGTCCTGCTTTTGGGCCTTGAGCGTTGGGTCCTGGACCTTGTCGGGGTGACACTTGAGGACAAGCTTCCTGTGGGCGCTTCGGATCTCGGGGAGCTGTGCATCTTTGGAGACGCCTAAAATCTTGTACGGGTCGGGTGGTAACGAGGAGGACATGATGGGCTGGGCGTCTGTCTGTGGTGTCTTGTTGTTTTGGGGGCCCGAGAATCCAGTTCGACGGCGGTCAGGGGGGTTGTGAGCGACTTATGAGGCAAGGGCTGCTGCGATGATGGAAAGACTGCAAGGTGTCGCTCGCAGTCCGGGTCGATGGATGTCTGGGAGAAGGACGAGGCTATTGTTGCATTGAGGCGGTGATTATTCAAAGGGGGCTCGAGGCCGGGCAGGCTTATTTGTGCAGAGTGGTTGCAGCAGCAGGCTGGCGCGGTGGCGTCTGCTGGAACAGTGGGCGGCAGTGCCTGTCGGAAGGATGGCAATCTGGCGGGTGTGGAATGGAATCCGAGGGATGGAATGCAGGAAGGGAGCGGCAATTCGGAAGACGTGCGGAAGTAGTAAGGTGTAGATAGTAAGGCAGTGAATAGTATGTAGGATGAATCGAAGGCGCGCAAAGTGATGTAGCGTGTGGGGGGGGGGTGAGGCGAGTTGAGGATAAGGGTGAGAGGCAAAACACGGTATTCGGCGTGGGTTGGTGAAGTGATGGTATAATGTATGTAGAGTGAGAGTGAATTGAGTGATGGAGGCGAAAAGGCGGAAGAGTAAGATGGGTGCGAATGGCGAAGGAGGGTCAGAAAGCCAGGTGTATCTGTGGACGGTAAGGCGGAGAGGGCGGACGGGCAACGACGATCGTGGGTCGTGGCCTCCTTTCTCTGGGCGGTGCGGTCGAGGTACAGCAACGCAACCCAGTTTCCAAGTGGAGTTGTTTCGTGGGTTGATGTTCGCAAGTCGCGTTGGACGGACAGCTCAAACGACGAGATGGGATGGGGAGAGAGGTGGGAGGCGGCGGAGGAGGAGGAGGAGGACGAGGACGAGGATCAGATATGATGAGGATCCGAGAAACCGGGGGGGCAGGAGGAAGAGGACGAGTGAATGCCGTCCCGTCGATTAACGATGAAGCGGTCTTGTCACTTTTGGGCCGTTGAAGAGGGTGAGTGACTTTTGCGTGCGTGGGTAAGTGAGTGAGCGTTCAAAGTACTTTGCAATGTACAATGTGGTTCCTCCCAGGCCCAGGTCGTGGGGTGGATCCTGTGCTGGATTGACGGATGGATCGAGTGGATATGGTCGAGATCAGGTCAGCGTCGAATGCGTCCCGTCAGTCGTGAGCGATCCGGTGCGAGGAGTTTGTGGCTTTAACCGAGTACTCAAGTGCTTGTAATCGTGTGCAGCTATTCATGTAAGCAAGTACCAAAGTATCCACGTACCAAAGTATCGAAGTATCCACCTAGATATTCAAGTGCCCAAGTACCCAAGTACACCAACCAACCGTTCTCCCCCAATGAACGGACTAGGTCGACAGACCCCATTAGCAGATGGTCGTCACGGTCTCGGTTGGGGTCTTGGATCTCGCCATGGCCAGACTGATCGGGATTGTGACGATGGAATCTGGTTTACGCTCCCTCCTTCTCTCTTGGCCACCTACGTATCTCTGTGATGTCGTATACAATACAGGGCAAGTATTCCCGCACGCATTCCGGATGCCCTGTATTTCTCTGACAGGCGTGACTCTCGACAGACAAAACGGGGGGGGGGGGGACTGACCAGGTACTGGAGGTGTGGTAGGACGGACGATGAGGTCACGGGCTTTGGATTGGGGAAGGAGGGGGGGGGGGGTTTGGACCTGACCCGCTTCTGGTTGGACGGAAGGACAGGGTCTGCAGCGGAGCGACGCTGGACGGGCCACTTGGAAAACGGCTGATGGGCACTAGCGCAGACGTAACGCACCTTAGACTGAGGTGTGGGTCAGCCTCAGTTTTTCCCTCCTTCCGTTTCGACCCAGATAAACGGATCAGCAGTCAGGCAGGCAGGCAGGTGGTGCCTCCCCCTTCCCGTTCAGTTACCTACCTTCTTTCCCTCTTCGCCTTTCAGTGGCTCTCTGTCTGTCTGTCTGTTAATTTGGCCATCTGTCAGTCTGCCTCTGTCACCAGTCGAACTGACGAGTCACTCCCCAGTGTACCGGATTTCGTCCGATTTTAAAAGTCTAACTGCCAGTCTTTCCGCTTCTAGAGGTGCGGCTAACTCCTCTGGCGCCACGAATCCCGGGGCTGCTGTTGGTGTAAACGGACGAGTCAATCAGGCGTTGCGTTGCAGCACCAACTACAAAAACGCAGCTAATGGGCCTCCTTTCTTTCTTCGACGGTGCTCGGGCAGCACAAACGGGGAGTGGGGAGAGCTTGTAACCAGGTGAGACGGTTCTGGCCTTGGCTGATGATGACGATGATGGTACAAAATAGTGTACTTACTTACGTGTATCGTTGGTAGGGACGAGGGCCGCTGGCTGGCGGGCTGGCTAGCTAGGGCGGCGTGAACCGCGTCGTGCTCCTCTGGCGGATAGCGTTTTAGGTTGGTGACTTGTCGTAACCTTTTTTTATTATTATTATTATCATCATCATAATCGTGCTGTGCAAGAGAGCACATCGGTGCGACGGTTCTGCTTCCGCGGTTGGAGAGTTGTCGAGAAACCTCAAACATGATCCGGTCTTTTACTTTCTTGCGTTTCCACAGGAGCGGCAGAATTGAGACTTGTTCGACGTGCCCTCCACCATCCTCAACTCTTCCCCCCCTCTACTAGGTACGTAGGAACAATCCGGTGCAATCGTCGTACCCGTCTTGTCAGCAGTGTCCCTGTGCACAACCGTCGCTCAGGTCCGTTCCCGCCTGTCAGGCGTTGACGGGCCCTCCGTGTGTGGCCTTCTCTGTGCTTCCACAGCCTCGGACATGGCCTGCTCCTTTCTGTCCGACCCGCGCAAGCCGTGTCCCAAACGGGAAGAGCACAGCAGCTCGCTGTGGCTTGCTGCACCCGCCCGGGATAGGAGCAGGCGGAGACGGGCGGATTAGACACCATATGACAGAACCCCGGCCGAGCTGAGGTAAGATGCGCAGCACCCTGACTGACGTATGCGAGGGCCCCTGAGACTCTGGCCGTCAGCACTATATCCGGGGAGGGTCTCTGGGGGCTTCTCGTGCCTACCTGCCTGCGTACCTTGACCGACGCGCGCCTTGTCGGGAAGATCTCTTTTTCATCCTGGCCCTCGGACGAAAGCAGCAGCAGCAACAGCAACAGCACAGCGAGCGTGGATACCGGGAAGCCTGGAAAGGTCCAAGGGCAAAGACGTCGAACGCTTTAGGCGATGAGCGACAGGGACAGCACATGGGCACCCGCCGTGACCAAGGTCGATCAGGCGTGGCGGTCACGGATACGGTGAAGGGGGGAAAAGGCCTGTGGGGGTTTGACGAGGATGGCGAACCCACGCCTACGATGTACCTCACCCCGCGCGTTGCGGTGTCAACGGTACGGGCCAGATCCGCCAAGTGCCGTATCGCGGCAGGGTTTCACCCACGCATTGAGGGGCAATCAGGAAGGCGATATGATGAAGAGTCACCCGATGGACCCAGACGAAGCTGTGGACGACGACGACTTCAAAGCTGCGCCCCGCCTGGGCAGTAAGAAGAGGAGGAGGACTCAGGCAAGTACGGGGCGGAGATGACGATGGATGGATCAGCCTGAATCATTCCGGTCTTCAGGGTCTCCCGGACGTACTATTAGCGGGGGATCGTCCTCGACGAGAGTCAACAAACTTTCTTCTTCTCGACGGAGGGCGGAGGGGCGAAAAAGCACAACTGCGCCCCCCCCCCCCCCCCCCCCCCCCCCCGCTTCCCGCCTTTGCCATTGCATTATCTCTCGTGCTGCCGGGTCCGTCCCTGACAAGTCGAGTGCGATGTTGTTCTGTGGTTGTGCCACCGAAGACGGACATAATTGTGGAATTTTTTTCCAATCAAAAAAACATTGTTGCAATCCCCATTTAATGGATGGGAATTGATCAATTGGAGTCATTTGCTCGCCTCGTCGATTGGGCAGCGGCGACACCAGCACAGGGAAGCAAGCACTACAGACACAGGCAAAGGGGAGTCGATGTGGCCGAGGACAATTGGTGGTGGCAGTTGGTGGCTTTGTGCATAAAGTCGTGGATACTTTGCCTCATGAGGGGGTGGAGGCGAGGGCCACGTACCAGATACAAGAGTACATGAGTACATGAAAGATGGGGAAAAGGCAGAAGAGGGAAGGTAGGTAGGTACTTTGCCCCGTTCATCCTTTTTTTGTTTTTTCTCTCAGTGGCAACAGCGCTTCCCGCCGCTAGCACAAGGTGGCACCTGGCACCGTCCGGGCTGCGGCAGGTTCAAACGTTCATCCGTTTTTCCAAGCAGTAACCTTGATACCTACAAGTAGTGTAGGTTCCCCAAGGTTTTCCCTTTTCCCGTTTCCCGAGGATAGCCCGGCAAAGGTAGGTAGGTACCTGGGTACTGTTCGTACACATATGCTAGTAGAGACCTGGGATGCTTGGCCAGCAGGCGTCTGCAGTGCCACGACGAGTGCATTTCTATACCAACACATGTGCCATGTGGACTAAGTATCAAATAAGCACGCTAAACCGTCATCTGTCAGAGTCTAGAGGAAGCTTGATTGATAGTGTGCTACGCCGTTGACAACGAACCACCACGAACCACCACGAACCACAACCACGAGCTGTGCTGTGCTGTGCTGTGCTGTACTGTTCTGTACTGTACTGCACTACACGATACACAATCACATACAGGCCGCTTCGTTCTTTGGCTTCTCGGCGAATACGACGATCAGGTCGGGGAAGCTCGGAACCGGTACTGCGTTTGAATCAGCATTGTCTGACCCTCTCCCCATTCTCGGTCATGCTCTCGTCATTGGTGTACTCGGTATGTGTGCCGCCCTCTCTCATGTATGGCAGTACAGTACACGGGAGGCCGAGATGGCATAACCAAACCACTGCCCGGGTGCGCCGTATTTGGCAGCGGACAAGCGTGATTTCAAACGCATCCATCAGCCGTTGCTGAGGTAATGCCCGGAACCGGTAGGGCTCGATTCTCGTCCATTCCACTTTGGATGGCATTCCCCCCCTCGAGTGCGGCCACTGGCGCGGGAGGGCCATGTGGCGGTGAGGAGCATCGTGTTTGACAACCGTTTGTGGTAGAAGCGGGACGCTCCTCCCTCGTTGTCACTTACATACGGATACCTAGTGTACGGATACACTACGGATAGATAGCAGCTGCTACGTAAGGTTAGGTAAGAAAGCCACAAAGGTACATACTCGTCGTCTGCTTAGCTAAGTCGTCGTCGGCACCACATGTCCGTGCTTCTGATCTGTTACTGTCTCCCCGCTAGCCCAACCCAACCACCTGCCCACCCACCACCCACACACACACACACACACACACACTCACGCACACACACTTCCCACGCAAACCTGCCTGTCTGCCAGCCCAAACCGTTTCTCCCGTCCGATATGTCATGGCATCTTTCGTTTACCAATTCGATGCCCAATCCGTTGCCCTTCTGCATCGCATCAACACAGAAATGACGATGTGTTGCCCTCTGGAGCCCAACGAACAGGGTTGACGATGATGGCAATCACCATCATAAATGACCAACTCCGCCCGTGTTTGTCGCCTGGCCTGGCCCGGCCTCGCCCATTGATATCAGACCTACCGAGTACTGGCGACAGCCAAAGACACGTCGCCAGCGAAGTCATGGGGGCACCGTGGCCCGGGTCGGTATGCCATACAAGGCTAGCCAGAAACCAGCTATACCCGTCAACTATTATTTGGCCCTCCCGCCGGGAACGCGCGCAACCAGATTGATGGCCACAAGGCCCAAGCCCATAGCCGACGACGCATGGCCGTTATCCTCTTACGCCACTAAAGGTGGGGGCGGCGGCGGCAAAGGCCAAAGATGGCACTCGACTGGCTGGCTGGCTGCTTTATGGTCTAGCCGCAGTGCCCAGAAAAGACGCTTGACAGGACGACAGAAGGCAAACTGGTTCGGCCGTTGTGTGTGTCTGGCTCGCTCGTATCAACTCGGGACAACGTCATTTCAACTAACTGAGAGATGATCGTGTCTAGCTCGAGCATCGTCGTCAACCATAGCCCTACGACGAATTGCTCCATCTTCCAAGACGTCTTCACACCCTTTTGCTCGGCGTCGGCCATGTCTCAACCAGCCAGCTTTGCCTCGGAGACTCCTTTCACAGGCTTTTTTCTATCGGCCGTCGCTCGAGTACCCAGTGTATGCGTTCCTAGTGTACTCTTGCATCGCAACCCATCCATTACCGTCAAAGCATCGTTGCATCTACCCTGCATCTCCCGGCGACAGTGACAGCCGGCAACCACTCAGCTTAGTCGCACCACTTGGCTGCTACTCGTCACTGGTCAATGGAGGCCGCCGATTTTTCGACTCATGGTTCCCACTGTGGAGTCGGCTTGATGTCCGCGAGAGCATTGTTCGCTACCGTCACCAGCAAGCCTGCAAGGGCTCCGAATTCGCCCTCTCGCCTCCGCTCAGCCGTCGTGTCATCCAATATCAACAACAGAGAGCAACGCAGGCAGAGGTCGGCGGCCTTTCAGGGTCACAGTCGGCCACTGGCGGCCACGGCTGCAAAGTGCCTGCATGGCACCATCCCCGATCCTAGATAGGCCTATTGCATCCCCCATCACACAATATCACAAACCATCCGACTTTCAGCACTACTCGACCATCGGGGGCATGTGCCTTGTCGTGCCATCTTCCCTCTGCCGCGCCATCGCATCCCGCCATCTGTTGCTCGTGATTGGGGTCATCGTCACGACACGGGGTCGCGGGTCGGCGACCGCCAGGAAGATCGGAAGCAGGAACGAATCCTCAGCATCATAGCCCCGATACCGAGACAGAGGCGCACCCTTCTGGACGTACATCTCGGAGAATGGCAGATGGTAGGCCATCGGCATGTGTTAAAACCGGGATGCATCCCGTCGTCCCTCCCCACGTGAATTGTCTAGGTATTCCGCTTGCAGCACTTCTTCGGGGTGAAAGAGGTGGTACGCATCGGTCCTTGATTGGACCAGGAAACTGTGACTGAAAGACAAGACCGCCTCCCGCGTCAACAAATCAGATGAAGACATGGCAGGCTCCCCTCTTTCAGCCAGTCACGCAGGGGCTTAGCTGCAACTTAGTCGCAGCGAGTAGGAACCCGTCGACGGGAGATTTTGCTCAACCAGATGCCGCATTGAGAGCTAGAGTGTATTCGAAACATGTTATCCGAGATATCCTAGGTAGGCTTCGAGGCATGGCTTACGGGAAGTCAAGTAACTCGAACGCCACTGGATGTCATATCGTTCACGATAAACCCTGGAGGACTTCAGCTTACCCCTCAGAAGCATCACCCAACGCTCGACACTGCCATTCCCTACTGGCCCTTGGCAGCCGGTTGGTGGTGAATGGGTTTCACTTTTTGGCGGTCAGCGCCGCCTGAACCAATGGCTTGATGGGAACCGAATCGTCCCGTCTAGTCCTGTCTCGTGCGCGAGCGGGTCCAGGTCCGTCTTCTCCACCGCGGATGATCACCTGGCGGGTGCCGCAACTGTGTGGATATCCGACCAAGTTTAACAGATGCTGTCAAGGCGTTGCCTTGCGAGACCTCAAGGATGGTGTAGCATCCTACCGAAGCGGTCTCCAATTGTCTTTACCGACGCCTCTACTGTCTCTCAGCTATCGGCCGATCACAGTGATCTTTGTCTCTATTTTGGCATGCGTTACAGCGGCTCGATCGGATTGGTTGGGGGGGTCGTTGATCGACCGTAAGCTATGCAGCAGGACTCTCACAGTCAGACCCGTCACCTCGTTTCGACCTGAGAACAACAGCATGACGGCAGAGAGCGAGGTGAGACTGACAAGTGAGCGGCCAACGACTTCGCGTCCTCGACAGTTCCTACGTGTCTTGGATTATAGCTGGGTCGGAGCTTAAGCAGAGATCATCCCGTTGCCTTTGCCATTGCCGAAACTCTTCAGGGAAAGCCCCTCTTACGCTCCCGTGAAATCTTCAGGAGAAAACCGCTCAACTTCCGCCACTGCAGCGGGGAATGCCCAGCAAACGCTTCCACGTATACCTAACGTACTATGTATCCGTGACTCCGAGGTCAGGTCAAGGATCCATCCGATAGCCTATCAACGATAAGATTGGCGAAGAGACTGCCGGTCATTTGGAGGGAGGGATTTTCCCCTCACCTCTCCCCGTTTGTCACTGCAGAGCGGGTACCGCGCCAACAAGCTCCCGTTCACGGTTCGGATCTCCAATGGGAGCCGTCGTTTGTCGCCGCCGTCCTGGAACGGAGTGCCATCCCATCTTTTTTGACACCGAAATCCAGGCACTGGCGTTACACAGTCGACGGGTCCAACATTCATCCTCTGGTGGGGTCGTCGACGACCTGTTGCGGTCTCTGAAGCAAAGTCGGTGATGGTTCCAAGGAATCGGCTTCGAGAAGAGAGGGATTTTCGTCAGGAATTGTACGTGGGCTTTGATCGTCTCCTCACTAGTGCGCATCAATCTTGATGCTCGGGCTGTGCTAAAGGTCTACTTTTAGCTGGGACATGGCTGTCTCTGGTGGCGGTGAAGTGTTCCCGGCAACCAAGCAAGCTTAGGCAAGGCCGGGCAGCTCTCCGCTCGAGCTTCTATCCATGTGCTAAGCTTGCTCTTTAATCGATATTTTTTTATTTTTTTTACCCCTCCCCGTCGCCGCTTCCTCACGCCGAGCTGGAAGCTCTCTCTCTCTGCCGGGAGGAAAATCAGGGTTTCGAAAGCATCAACTCAACAACAACCTGGAATCTCGATGGCGAGCAATGCCGTGACCCGGCCATCCATCATCTCATCCGGCTGACTTGTCACGAGAGGAAACGGGTCTCAGGATGTGGATTGGAAACCCCCCACCTAGCAAATCGAACCCCGCGATTCTGATCCCTCCCATCACATTACACACCATCCCATCCGCGCACAGCCGCCGCATCGGAGTCTGGGCTCTCCCCCCCCCCCCCTCCTCTCTCTTTGGCCCCTTCCCCTCCCTTTTCCACTGTCTCGCCTGTCTCTGAAGTCCCCACCCACGCGCTCATTGGACGCTCAGCAAGCGCTCAGCTGCACGTCTTCGCTTTGGGGTGCTGCACCTCCGTTTGCCGCAGTCGAGCGCCAGGCTGAAGCGCTGCAGCTTTTGTCTTGGTGCGCCCATCTCCTGCCGCCTTGAATGCTGCTTCCTGGACGCACATAGGTATGCAGTCTCGTGCCAATAGCCGTGAATGAGAGCGAATGAGGGCGAGTTGCCAGACAGATCGTACCAAACATTCGAGAGAAGCCTACCCTCCATGGCGTAGATTACATAACAACCACAGCCAGCCAACCGGCTCTCCGCCGCGTGCTGTATGGCTGACGGAATGTAGGAGGCATACCCGAGTTTTGGTCGGTGTAGCGGCCGTTTTACTACTAACAAGCGTCCGCCGATCCCTCCTTGGTTTCTGGAAGCTTATCCTATCCAAACGTCTCAATGTTTCCTCAAACGGCTCTCTCGCAGCCATGATAGGAAAAAGGCATGCGTGCCTGGACAATCCAGCATGCGGGGTGCTCTCGGCGGCGGCGGCGGGCGTCCATTGGCCGTCGTGCGGCGTGGAACATGTGGCGTTAGGCATCCGGAACGCGGGTAGATGTAGATGGCCACACGGGCGGCCAGGCGGGTGAGGAGCCCAGTCCTCCCGGGGGACACATCATTTCTCCATGTTCTCTTAGATCTCCTGGATTATTCCAGAGGCGAGGTTTGGACATTTTTATTTCATACATGGCTGGGTGTCTGTAAGGTTCTACGTGTGAAAATGGGGGGTGCAGCTGAGTCGAGCAGTCACCGCGGTTAAGGCTCCCCACTCCCGGCCTGAAATGGCAAACAATAGAAATGATATCGTATAAGCACGCGACGTAACTATGGAGCTGGGGGAATAGAGGAAGGGGGGGAAGCGGCCGCCGAGTACAGGATCGAGAATGCAGGTCGGAGGCGCGGAAGGCCCAGGCACCTCTCCCTCCCCTCCCCCCCTTTTTTCCATTCCCCTCTCGCGCTCCCCTATCCCGCCTTCTCCCATGCAGTTATTCTCGAATCAGACATCCCGTTGTTCTTGCGGTAGATTCGGTCCAATAGGGCCGGCCGAACGGCGGGCGAATGAGCGGATGTGTTGCAGGCGATTGGATAGACGCGCGGAGGGAGATAGGATACGGGCGGTTGCGGATTGGTCGAGAAATAAATAAACCCGGGTGCGCCGCCGCCGCACGACGCACTACCCAGGGCCTGGCGACTGACTGTATTGGATGATGGGCACGGGGATGATGATGAGGAGGAGGAGGAGGAGGATGGCGACTGGGTAAGCCGGGGGTGGGGACGTCCTACCCCGTCCGAAACCTCGTTCGTGTTCCCCCGATGCTGACGGCCCCCCCGACGCCTGTGTCGTACGGCGGTCCTGTGTGGTGCGTGCGTGCTCCGTGCTGCGGTTCCGGCCTATCGTGGCCGGCAAGGCTGGGGGGGGCTGCTTTGGTTGCGTCTTACATCAGCGCAGCGTAGAAGGGAGTTTTGTCTTACCCCTTCTATGCGGATGCTGTTTTTGTTTTTAAACCCCTTCCGAGACTTTTCTCTCGTTCTCGTAGTTCTAGAGAGGGACCTTTGGTTTCCGGGGGTTAGATAGATAGAGCTGAAGGCGGTACGGATGTTGTCTCTCACATCAGCCGTGGGGCGTCCCTCTGATATCCGCGACACGAGCCTTTTTGGGGGGGAGGGTTTCCTCGCAAGATGGGAGGTGTTCGAAGACGACTCTGTTATACCAGTCGTTAAGGGGTCCCCGATGGAGAGGACATCGTATAGCCCCTCCCCCTCCGTTGTATCTCTACACGCTCGAATGAGAGGCGTGAGGGGTGCGGCAAGGCCAGCCTCGTCGACTGACTTCGGTGTGCGGGTGAGACATGCCCCCCCCCCCCCCCCCCCCCCCCCCCTTTCCCCCCTCACAAGCCTTCATGCCGCGGTGCCTGATTCCGAGCTGGAATGCCTCAAAGTGCAAGAACAGGCACCCGAGGCGGCCCCGCGCGTGCGTCAAAGTGCAAGAAAGACGGCAGACAGGGTGCGCCTACCAGTCGAAACTTGGTCTCAGATGGGGGGAGGGGGTTCTGCTTGCTTGGGGGAAGTTAGCATCCGGACGGAGCATAGATAGATGTAAAAGCGGTGCGGTCAAAAGTGTAAAACCAAGAAGGGGGTAACGGGAGGTCATCGGCCTATGGCGTGAAAAATAAGAAAGAACAAAAGAGCAAAACCTGACGATGTGCCAGAGGTCGTGTTTCGTTGCACGTCGAGTGCTGGTTTTTTTGTCTTTTTTTTTAGATGTGCGAGGAACGGGACGATGCTGTCGTCTAGTGCTGACTGGCGGAGGAGAAGAGGGCCCTTGAGGTGTCACGACGTTCAGGGATGTGTGGGAGTAGGAGGCATTGGCGAGAGAGGGTGGGGTTGATACGGGGAGGATGGAGGACGGGGAGGGGGGTTGGTCATGTCTAGAGTTCTGCTAGGTTTGGGGAGCCAGGGATAAGAATGGGTTGTATGTTAGCCCGGATGGGATTGTGTCTTGTATGCGAGCTTATGAGAGATATCTGTGGCTGCGTGCAGAGGATAATATCTTAATGGATGTCCTTTTGGGGACGAGGGGGGAGGGCGTCCTGACGCAGGAGGAGTCTTCAGCTACACAACGGGGAACGGCGCTTGGATGTGATGAGCGAGACCGAGTGTACATTCACCCACGAGAAACTCGTCGAGCCGCTGAGAAGTTATCACGGTAATGTGATGGCCTTGGGTTCATGGGCACGGGTAGTCGGCCTTACGATGTCGTCTGCTACGTGTATGAGATATATATATATATATATATAAGTATGCATGTGTCTCGATAGCTAGGAAGAGGGGCGCGGTTGGACGTTTAGGATATAAATACGTAGATCCGCCAAGTTCCTTCTCCTTCCAGACCGTTAAGAGCCAGAAACACTCCCCCCCCGTCTCGCGACCGGCCCCTTATCGGTGGCGAGTTTGAGTGTAGCAGTGATAGCCCCGCATATATCCGTCCTCTAAATCAACGTCGTTGATAATTTGGGGGGGGGGGTCCGGGGCCATACACTTATGGGATCGAAGCCTTGTTTTCTTGCATGAAACTTGGGCCAACGCTTGAAGCATGCAAAATAGATGGACTGGCATTTCACGAAAGGGTTTACTGCCTAGGGGATGGGTAGGGGGATCTGCTCGGCGTTGGGCTGACCCTCATGTCGTCGTGATTAGCCTTGCGCATTCGACCCCTGCGAGAATCCTTCATCGATATTCAATATGGGCACATGGTAGAATAACCCACGCCCAATCCACACAGGGCCTGCACAACCCCCCGAGGCTACCGCCCCCTGGACCATCCCCTTGCCTTCTCGGTTGAGAAGGCCTGCCAACTACGGAGTCATTGCGGTAGTACCTTCCTTGAACCGACCCACTGGGCCATGAGGCGGCCAGGATGTCAAAGAATCTCGCCAGTCCCGCCTCGGACCCACGACAAGTTACCGTCGAGAGGAGCGTCGTTCGACAATACAAGCGACGTCGATATCGGCGCTTGCGCATGTTGCCTGCTTTTAAACCGCCTCAGGGCTTTGAGCCACGCTGCCTCACCCGTCTTCCGTGTACACGAGTCGAGGCATGCCGTCGCGCGTCCACTCCCACACCGGCAGGTCCAGATCCACGACGATGGGCTTGTTGACCGTCTTGCCGCCGACGTGGGGGTAGCTCTTGGCCATGATGGCGCAGTTGACTACGCACGTCTCCCGCCGGCCCAGCCGTCCGGCCAGCACCGCGGTGTCGCTCCGTGGCGAGGTCGGGTCTCCCCCGAGTCCCCGCGTGCCGAGCCCAGGTTGCGCCGTACTTTCGGAGGTCTTGCCCGGAGCAGACAGCCCGGGAACGGCAACCTCTCCCACGCCGGGCGAACGGCTATTCGCCGTATGCGAGCCGTCGTTGCGCAATGGGTTACCGCCCTTGGCCGTCAGGTTCACGAGGGACTGCTTGTTCCCGTGTCCCGGATCGTCCCAGCCCTCGACGCCTTCCTCCTTGAAGGCGGTGTTGCCGCACTCGAGGTCCCAACGAACCCGTGCCACCCCGCGGCCTTCATGGACGTGTCCGCAGACGGCGAGCCGTGGCCTGACCCGCCACAGCGCGCGTCTCAGCGCCTCGCACCCCGCAGCCCGCCGAACGCGAGACTCGTCACAGTGGGTGTGTGGCGGCGTGTGCGTCACCACGACGTCTGCGTCGAGCGGGATGTCATCCCATAACGTGGGCAGGTCGGCAGTGGCGCCGACGCCGCCGTGCTGAGGCGCGTCGTACCCGAATGCCCACAGGCCGTTGCGCGGCGAGTACGGCGATGCGAAGACGGAGAAGCAAGTATGCGGACCCGCAGGTGAGGCGAGGCGGACCGTTGCTGATTCGTGTTTGAGATACGTGATGGTGGGAGAGCCGGTCAAGAGTGCCGCACAGGCCCGGGGAGACTGTGGCTTTTGGTTGTGGAAGTGGTTCCCCTGCTGGGCGTAGAAGACCGGGTCCAGAGTCAAGTCATGGTTGCCTGGCCGAGGCGGCATGTGTCAACTCGGGTAGATGAAGGATGAAACGAGCGAGCTCGCAGAAGGACGGATGTTACCTGCGATGACAATTTTGGTTTCAAAATCGGCCTTCTCAAGCCATTGGACGGCCCGCGATAACTAGCATCAGAGTCAGTTCAGACATGCCTTGAGACATTTCGCCAGCGTCAATCAGACGCCTCTTGGGCGCCTCTTGGGCGTGCCGTGCCTGGCCCGTGTTTGTTTGTTCAGGGCCGCAAACATTCCGGGGGACAGGCTTCTCATCTCTGGCTGAACGCCTCCCATACAGCCCCCGAACGACGGGTCGGGTGTTGGACAGGGAAGGACCCGACACCGGGCCGTGGGACAGAGCATGCATAGAACAGCATAGCACATGACAGACAACCCAGCCCGCGCACGCACCTCGGAGTAGCTGCCCTGGTTCGTCAGGTCCCCGGCGTGGATCAGCACATCGCCTTTCGGCAGTTTGACGGCGATGTTGTGGGTGTCGGAGACGCACACGAAGCGGGTCCTCCGCAAGACCGTGTGACGTCGATGGGGCGGCGGCGGCGGCGGCGGCCTGGAGATGGCAGCGTAATCCATGATCCCGACGTTAGTCACAAATCGGGAAGTGTGCGGACGCGCAGACGTGCGGGCTGCGAGTGGGGTGGCGTGACGGGGAGATGGTGAGCAAGATCAGTATGGCAGTTCAGAGACCGTGCGTCGTCGTCGAGGTCGTCGACGACGTCGTGACGAAGTATTGTCAGCGGAGCCTAAACGGGGTTTCGGCTCAGCAGATAGATGGAGTAGGGATTTGGGAGATTGTGAGGGGGGCGGGTAGCACGATACGGCTTGTGCGGACGGACGGCACAGGGTCTAGCAATGTAGCGGATCCAAGGCCTGAAAAGCATGCGGAAAGCGTGAAGCGTGTTGATGTTTGGGGGCTGAGGGTGTCGACAAGCTCATTCAAGAGTGAGTGGCTGTGGCGTCTAGGGATGATGATGTTGAATCGTAGGTAGGTTTGTGGGGGTGCTTCACTTGAAACGGCTTGTGATTATCGCACTTGATGCCTTGGGGGGGGGGCCGTGCGTTGTTCGTCATTTTCTGTCAGTCGTCGTCTGTGAGGCTGTCTCTGTCAGGTTGTCTCTCGGAGTGTGGCGTGCCAATCCGCCCGTCCATCTGTATGTAGGTTTATGTCTTGTAGGAATCCCCAAAACCACCGATGCCGATGTCGATGTCGGTGTCGCTGCGATGGGATCATGTGATTCATGTCAGCCAGCTCCGATGTTGAGTTAGTCAGGTCTGAGGTCAGCAAGGTACCTACCTACCTATTCTACGGATACATCATACATGGTAGGTTCCTCCTCCCGGGGATGGCGGAAGCTCCTTCCTTGAGTTCCAGATTGTTCGGAAATTAGGAGGAAGCGACGATCTGGAAAGACGTCTCCACCAAAAGGGGGAAGGTAAGGTAGGGGGTGTGGGGGGAGCTGGTCCTTCCAGAAGGCATATTGTGCCATGTTGTAAGAGATGAATGGAACCGGCACATATAATGAAGGATGCGTCCCCTCCTTTCCTCCCTCCTCCCTCGGTATGTCCGCCTCTTACAGTACATACCGGCCATGGCGAAGTTCCAGGAGATCAGTTAGGTCAAGGTCAAGGAGAATTGGATTATTCGGATGTGGGGCCGAAAACAATACCTGGTACAGTGCCTTTACCCCCAACAGCCCGCGCTCGTAAGCCGCCGCCATTGGTCGGGATGGCGGTGAAAGGGGTGCAATCCTCGTCTCGCGGCCGGCCTGGATCTTGGTTCCTGGACGCGGCGAACCGCGGACCGAGGCGAGGAGCACGAAATCATCTACCTAGGGGTACGACGTGTAAATAGTTGGAAGGGGTGAAGGGGACCGAGACGAGACGAGACGTGGCAGACCCATTCGTCTAGGTCGGACGCGGAGACAAAACGACGTGTCTGTCTCTGTCTTTTTTGTTTTCATCTAGGTACGCTAGCTAGGCGGGCGGAGAGAAGAAAAAGGAAGAACAAACTGTCGTTTCCATGCTGCGGGAGACATGGGCAAGCGACCGATGTGAAAAGAAACACAGGGTGTAAGCCATAATCCCCGAGCCAAAATCATTGGGCTCTTAAACGTCCTTTGGATGGGCATGTTGAATGTTCCGAGGGGGGCCGCGTTCAGTGGCCCGGTCCCGGCATCGGACGGAGCGAAATATTCTTCCATGTTTTGAGGACCGAGGAATGGATGCTTACTTGGATGAGATTCGACGATGGACCAAGAAAAGACCACTTCTATTCCCAAGAAAAAAGTAAAAAGAAATAAACAAATAGAAGCATCATAACCAAAGGCGCAGATCTTTGAGATTCCTAGCTGTCGGTTCCTGGGTTTCATTGATTGAACATGGGAGGGCCCAGAAGAATCGTAAACGATGAGTGCCCGGGGGGTGGGCAGGGCAGAAGGAACAGCCAGGCCTAGAAGGCGCGACGTTAGTCAGCACAGTGCGTTGTTCTGTGCCTTTTTCTTCAAGTCTTTCTTTTTTCTTTCTTACGCTTACATAATCCATGCATACGGCACAGCGCAGCAGCACAGAGCACACACAACACGGCGGCACAGCAACTCAGTCAATTTCTTTGTGCCTAATGATGCTTCTCATTTCATCCACGATGCGCGGTGCCGAATTGCTCGATCCTTACTTTGTACAAAAGTCCAATCTTATACTGTTGTCTTCTTCTTCTCCCTGGTTGGACAACAGCTCCCTCCTATCGGCATATGAAAAATAGAAAACCGGAACCCCCCCCTCCCCCAAGACGAGTCTGATTGACATGGAGCGTCCGATCCGGCCAACAGGATCTTGGTTGAACAAGCTAGGCAAGGGGGGTATAGTACCTTGGGTCGGTGACGTTGAATATGGGTCTCCCGGGTGAAGCTGTCTGGGCCTGGATGCTGGATGGGATGAAATATCTGGGGATATATCAGTTTATGCTAAGCCCGTCTGCTGCCAATGGCATTTGGCATTTCGTCCATGATTGTGTACCTGCGCCACCTTGAAAGGGGACCTCAGTACATGTCCATGCATAATGTAGTGTATTGCGTACCATAGTATCCGGACCATTGGACGAACAGGTATGGATAACACCCAAAGTGACGTGCACATACTATACACGCCTATAGTACCGGTAGGTATCCGAAGTTTACACTACCGGTATATCTTCATCGTCTACGCCGTCCGTCCCTCGGCGGTGGGCCCCGGCCGGTGCGACCCATGGTTCTCCAACGCTCTGGGCCACTCACTGGCCAATCCCCACCCGCAATTACGAGCGAACCTCGCCCCGACGGGGATTTCCTTTTTCCGACAGAGTGATGCACGCACATCCTCGTGCGGCTCGGTGCCTCGAATTGTGGGCAAGATGGGGGCGGTGACGACGGGAATAGCCTCAGAGGGAGAGATCGGATGCCGGCGTGCTGCTCACCTGTGGTACACTAACGGTAGGTAGATGGGCGGAGGGGCAGTGGTCCGAGCGTAGTTGATGCACTGTACAGACCATAGTCCATGGCACCGTACGGATACATACCGCTATGTACATCGTAGATGGATAGGGACGGGACAGGAGTAGACGGCATTTCGTCCGTCTCTTACACTAACTAGTACACTGCAGAAGAGGGTGACTTGGACCTCCTCGTCTGTCTCTTCGCCCTGCATGCGCCATCCCCGCCATGCACGCCACGCCCGCCAGGCTTTCTTATTCTTGTGTGACGGCCCGTTCTGTCTCTCGTCGTACTCCTCCTCCCCCACGATGCAGCCGGCGTTGGACGACGAAACCAGACCGAGGTAGAGGAGGAATGGGCCCGTTCGTTGCACGGGGACTCTGCAGCCAGGCGGCCATTCGTCTGTGGGAGGAGAGGGAAGGAAGAGACACATCTGACAGCAGTCAGTGACCTGTTTACCTATTGTTGGGCAGGGTATGCATGTCTTGTGCTGTGCGGCTGTGATGGTTACGGTGCAGAGCAAGGCTCTGGTTGGTGTTGGACCGCGCAGTAGTGTTTCTCCAATCAGAGAGTCACGAACCCGTCCGACGCAATCGTCCAGCTGCCTGCAAGCACCAATCGGCTATTGCGTTTTACTGCGGCTGTCGCCCCCGCCGGTGCCCCCCCCCCCCCCCCCCTTCATGCGTCCAAGGTATTTTTATTTTATTTTTATCCTGTAGTGTATACGCTCCAATCGAGCATGAAATGAGTAAAGGATATGCTTTCCTTCTCGTGCGCTTGCTCTCTCCGGCTTCCCGCGCGTGGGTGTGCAAGAGCGAAGAAAACGTCCGAGCAATATTCGCCGTGGCGCCGCCTCAGCGTAGCATGTCTAGTGGGAAAGGGAAAAAAAAAAAGGTGGAAGAAAAAACTAAAGGGGGGAGGGCATTAGGAAAAAAAAAAGAAAAAAAAAGATAGCAGGCGTCCCATGCGTACCGCCCATGCGCCGTTGGGACAAAGATTGTCAACAAATGCTACTCTGCTCCCGGCAGCATATCTTCTCAATCTTACTGCCATCTATCTGCCTCGCTCTGCTTAACAAATGAGGGGCGGTGGTGGCCCAGATGCTCTTGCTCCTTTTCTACTTACTGTTCACCGTGTTCCTCCCTATCACTGGTCGTGGTTTCTCAACAGAGAGAATCCTGTACCCTGCACCTGGCACGTGTGGATCTTCTACCCTTGACCTGGTCTGGGTCGGTCCAATCAATGATCTCAAACCGGATATTCACCGGCTAGACTATATTCGTATTAGCGCCTTTTCTCCGTGGAAGTGAGTACGTACTCCTTCTGTAATGGTAGAAACACTTACTTCTGAAAGGAGCAAGCACCACCAGCACCAGCATCAGAGCAAAGGCAGCAGCGGCCCACCCTCTCCTGCCCCCCCATCTCCTCTCGTAATCGCACTGTGCTTTGTACACCACCTTAGTACGGAGTACCTACGGCTATGCAGCTCTCCTTCCAGTTGCGACTCCACTTGTCCACACTCATCTCTCTCTCTCTCTCTCTCTCTTTCTCTTTTACTCTCGCCAATTCATTGAGGTCCCCATCTTTGTCCTTTTTGTCTTGGTTTGTCTCGCTCTCTCACTATCTACACTACCTCTCTCCCTCTTCCCCTCTTCCTCTCTCTTTTTCTCTGGTCGTGCTGCTCTGCGTTTCAGCTAGACACTGGCACTGTGGAAATCCTCGCCTGATAAGCGTCCACAAGCAAAGACAAACAGACGCAGTACGCAGAGGAAGAGAGACGGCAGCTTTGTCAACACACACGCATCACTGCCACCACCACCACCAACACAACCACCACCATCACCGTCGCCGCATATGGCCTCCCGCTGAAGCTTCTTACTATTCCAATTTCGTTTTCATAATCTTTCGCTTTCCCTTACTGCGAAACCACGTTCCTTGACGCCATTCCTCCGACCCCGTCCTACGGTCGGTTTCTTGTCACAAAGCCATCTCCATTTCCTTTGTTTCGACCTTCAGCCCGACCCGGTCCCTAATTGTCCAGACCTTCCCACCGTCGCCTTTTGTCGACGCCTCCTAATACGCCGCCTCTACCGGTCGACTAACCACCGTGCCATCCCAACCGCGCTAGCTGGGTAGCTGACAACCCAATTGCAATTTCCCGCTCTCGCCTGCCAGTTCCGTCTTCGTTTCCTCGCTACCATCCACGCGCCGTCATTCATCACATTACATCCTCTTCGAATTATTCAACACCACATCCACTGCACCCGAACGCCTTTCCTCAGTCCACACACGATACCTCGGAGACTGCTGGTCACCCAGCTCTCCAGCCGTCGCGATGGCCGCTCTGTCTGCCGCGCCGGCGACCGCCAACACCATCACGCCTCCTAGCAGCAGTCACGGCAATGGCAACCAGAGTGCGTGGAATACTTACGCGAGGGGTGATGCGGAGGTGAGTTTGCTTCCTGCCGCTGCTGATTATCGCCATTGGCCCATGCTTGCGCTTGTATGCCATGCATGTGAGAGCACATGCTGACTGACGCCTTCTCCTGCAGAACCTGCAGAAAAAGTCTCTCGACACGACCGATCAGACGAACCGAACACCCCTGGCACAGAACGGCAACTCGGCCAACATTCTCGAATACGGCTTCGAGCCCCTGCCACCCCCAAGGAAAAAGGCATCCAATGACAACATTTCCCTGACCAAGAGCAACAGGTCCTGGGACAGGACAAACCGTCGTGACGACACATCCAAGTCTGGACTAACCCCCGCCGACGACGTGTTTGGGACCAAGAGCGGAGTGGCCGAGAAGCGATCCACCAACGAACTGGCGGGTCCCACCGACGACGACAAATGGATTCACCGGGATAAGCTTGCCAAGATTGAGAGTCAGGAGCTCCAGGCGGCCGGTATCATCTTGCCCAAGATGCGTTCGAGCAGCAAACCCCCCCGCAGGGGTCGAAGCGAGGAGAAGCTCAATGGGAGCTCCAGGAGGACCACGTCCGCCGCCCCGGACGATGAAATTCCACTCCCGAGATCGAGGAAGAGCTCCGTATCGCCTGAGTCCAGAGTGCCCGACGACAAGATGCCCGAGGAGGTGCCTAGCTGGGATCTGCGGCGGCCTGAAGAAATCGAAAGCGACGAGCCCTATTGGGTATCTGCCGCCGACAAGAAAAGCGGCTCCAAAATTCCCGTCGCCAAGGCGAGCCCGGCCCCCATCCCCGAGTTCTACCTGGAGAGGAACGCGCCTTCGGGACGGAGACGCAGCGGTGGTAGCGAACTCGAGACGATAGCCTACCCCAAACCGCGCCCGAGAAGCGGCAGCGCCAACACGCTCGGCGCCAGCTCTACCCTGCAGCCGGCGAAGCGCAGCGTGACTGATGTGTCTCCCCGGAAAGGCAGCGGCGGAACCTCGGCCACTGGCAGGAAGCCGTCAGCACAGGTCAAGGCTGGTGGGAAGAACAAGACACGCGGTGGCAAGGACTCGACGGGCAGTGCGTCCGGAAACCGATCGAGGCCTGGCGAGATCTCGCCCGGTAACAAGAGACCGGAGGGTGATCCACCATGGATGATTGGATCCTATCGCCCTGATCCACGTCTTCCTCCCGAAGAACAGCTGCTCCCTACCGTCGCCAAGCGTCTGCAACAGGAACAATGGGAAAGGGAGGGCAAGTATGGCAGCGTCTACGACAGGGAGTTCCGTCCCCTCACCGCCGACGGCCTGCTCAAACCGCCCGAAGCCGGATCAAGCACCGCGCCTGCCGATGAAGAGACGCAGGAGCAAGATGAGTGGCCCCTCAAGGGAGAAGCGCCCAAGAGCCCCACGTCGCCAAGCATCAAGCAGAGCAACTCATACTCGACCATGCCCAAGATCTCGGACAAGCCAACGACCAGTCCCTTACCGAGCCCTCGCGGTCCTACGAGCCCGATGATGTCGCCCCAGATGCCCGCCGAAACCCGGACCGTCACTCGTGTACCCGATCAGTCTTCTGCTGCTGACATGCCCATGGGCGGCGAAAAGAAGAAGAAGAGTGAAGGCTGCGGCTGCTGCATTGTCATGTGAGAGGGGCCTTTGCCCTTGGGGACTGACTGCACTCTCATGGTCCATCAGTGCCATATATTCTTGTCTACATTACTCAACATAACCCCCACCCTTTCAACCGTGAGGCGAGGCCTCCGACGACGTTACGAGTCTCTTAATTCCATTCAGAGCACAGGCCACTCTATCAGATGTATTTATCGGCCCATTTTTACCCGACTACTGCACTGTCTCCGAAGACGATTACATCGAGAGCGCACCACGGATCAAGTTTCCCTTTGTACCTTCCCGAATCACCCCTCACGACGCCTTTTCCTGGTCAGCGGATTCCCATCTGGCGTGTGTCAGTTTACGAGGGGAAGACTATGGCAACGCGCCGGGCAATGAGGGATCTTGCAAGTTGTTTTACCAAAGAAGCGGAGAGCGTTATTCGAATATCCCAACTGACGGGTTGCCCGTACGGCAGAGCCGTGATTCGCAAACCCGATACAAGGCAGGAGCAGGCCTATCAGACCCCTTGTCTTGTTTCGATTATGAAAATGTATAATCGTAGCGATACTTAAAAAAACTGTCTTGAACACATACACAAACTCGCCTGTTTCCTTTTTTTCTCTTTTCTGTTCTTTTGCCAATGATTTCCTGCAAGCAAGAGGAGGAAGGTTCTATACCGCCTGGCGTTTTCTTCTGGGACTTATATCCATGCCTGGCGTTGGTTTGCCCTTTATTTTCTCCCTTCTTTATTTTCTTTTACCTCCCACGCAGTCTCTTGATTCAAAAACTTGCAGGTGTTTATGGGCGTTTCCTGCCTTGTTTCTTACATTCCGGGCTGAACCCAGGCGCAGGAAGTCTTTTCTGTGTTATGCTTTTTTGGCGAAGGACGTCTTGGAGGTGAATAGAAGGTGCTCAAGATGAAGAGGGAGGATGAACTGCACGAGTGCCATAAGGAGGAAGGGAGCAGGCAGGCGGCGAGGAGAGGAACGAAAACCGAGGAGAGAGAAGACAGGCCTCGGGGGGGAGGGGGGGGGGGGTAAAGCCACCGGCGCGGGTTATATATAATTGATACCCATCCGCATTCCGCGCGGCGGCCGCGCCTCTTTGTAAAGGGGGTTGAGGGCAAGGGAGGGGAGATGGCAGAGGTTTAGAATTAAAAGAACGTCAAAGTCCATTTTTTGCTGGCCCTAACCGCCGGTGAGGTTATTGAGTGGTTGTTGAAGAGCGACAAGCATTATCGTCGTTTCGGTGATACGATGCCTACCATGGATATTGTGGTGTTTCACCGCGAGTTATCGATCAGATGTGAGTGATGATTGAGCGCGCTTGTTCTATTCCTCGGGCACTTCTTCTGCCTCGTACAGCATATACTACTTACTACTGTCCAGCTTCCACCAAACTCGGATGGGTTGCGGACGGACCCAAAATCAACCAAGCATAATCTCCTTCAGCTTGAGGCCACGGAACGCCTCCTTGAAGACCTTGCCTACGCCGACCCTCTCCCACCGCTCGTCCTTCCTCTCGATGAGCAGCACGTAAAACAGGTCCCACTCGCTCTGGTCCCGCTCCTTGGGCACGTAGTACGTCCACTCGCGGCACTCGGCCGCGGTGAAGCTCTTGGCCTCGGACACGGCGATGAACTCCTGCCGCGCCGGCTTCCCGTCCGCCCACGCGGCGTCCAGCACGATCGAGCCGCACCAGTCGCCGCCCTCGTCCGCGATGTGGTGTCGCACCTGGCCAGCCCCGAGGGCGGTGCTGGCCGCCGCCGCCGCCGCTCCCCCTCTCTGTGGCTGCTGCTGCTGCTGCTGCTGCTCGGCGCCGCCACTATCGTGGATGTACAGCCACGCGTGCCACGTGCGGAACTGCAGGATCGGCAGCAGCGGGTGCTCGGCGGTCTCGGGCCGCGCGTCGAAGGGCGCCTTGACGACGCGGTAGGGGTAGTCGCGCAGGGTGATGCTGAAGTCGTCATCGTTGTCGCGGCCGCCGTCGAAGAACATGTCGAAGAATTCGGCGTTGTGCCTCGGGTACTCCACGACCACTGGCGGAGGCGGGGTGACGCTGACGGGTCGGTTCTGGGTCATGTGATGGTGGTGGTGGCGGCGCCCGTCCACCGCTTCCTCGTAGTAGTTTTCCTCGTAGTAGCCGGAGCGCCTGCGAGTCGGGCTCCTGGTTCGCAGGTATTCGCGCCGAGGGGATGTGTGTCCCTCGTGCCGCCCCGGAGCCCGACTGGGGCGAGGTGGTGGTGGTGGCGGCGGTCGTCGTGAATGATAATACGGGTCTCTGGGTTCTTTCGATGCTTGGAATGGTCCGCCCCCGCTCATTCTGGAGGGTCTTCTCATATCGTGGCCTCGGGCTTTCGTATCCCGAGAGTTTTCTCGATAAGAGATGAGCCTATCGTTTTCATCGTCGTCGGAGTCATCGTGGCGCTCTACGTAGTTGTTGTCGCGACCCTCGACGCTCCTCTGAACAGACTCCGAGGGGCTAGCGTATGGGTCTGGCCGAGTGATAATGACTGCATCATCCGGATCGTACGGCGCAACGCTGCCGTCCTCGTCCTCGTTGTGATGCCTCCCGCGCTGCTCACACCTCGCGGCCCGTCTCTGCGTGTACCCCCTCCACTTCTTCTCCTTGCTCCGGTCTTCCCGAGACTTTCTAGAGTCCCACAGTGGCCGGAGGTCGCCGTGGCCATCTCGGACCCACCACTCGATCCACGTGCGGGTGTCGAGCCAGTCCGAGACGTTGTCCAGGATGCCGGACACCAGGTCTTCCTTGTACTGGACCTCGCCCACCCAGCCGGTCCACGACCAGCTCGGGAAATCCGGGATCGAGGCGTTTCCGGGCGTCTCCTCCGCGACTCTCCTCCTGCCGGACTTGATGGGCTCCCAGAGGAGGGCCAGGTCGAAGTGGGAGCTCGGCAGCCCGTGGATGAAGGGCGCGCGCATCCGCTCCTCCATGAGGTTCGCCATGCCGCTGAAGGCCGCCTGGATATCCTTGTCGTGCGTCAGCTTCCTCTCGGTGTACAGCTCCACGCACTTCATGTAGACCCAAATGGAGCGGTTGTCGAGCTGCCGGAACATCTGCAAGGGGGCGTCCACCAGGTCGAGCGACCAGCCGGCGCCCCTCTGGTCCCCAAAGATGTCCTCCGACATGCCCGTCGACCGGCACTGGAAGTAGACCCTCCCGTTGGTGAAGATCAGGCACCGCCGCGAGAGCAGCCTCTCCTGGAACGTCCACGCCCGCTCGTTCCACTCCGAGGCGCGGATGTACATCTCGGGCGGCCTCGTCACCATCAGCTCCAGCCGCGGGCCGACGAGGCCCTTGACCTGCTGCGTGTTGCGGGTCGCCGGCCGCATCGCGCAGAGGCCCCTCCCGGCGTCGCCGTCGGCGGCGCAGATCGTGAGCGCCGCGTTGCCGTAGATGAGGTCCATGTTGTACGCGTTGAGCTTCCACGACCGCGCGCTGTTCTGGACGATGCAGAGCCGGTCGACCCAGATGTACCTGAACCCGAGCCTGCGCGCCAGGTCGATGGCGTCCTGGATCGCCCTCGGCAGCTTCTGGAGCACCTCCTCGAGGCCCCCGTGGGTGCGGTGGAGCATGACGTTCTCCGTCCGGGTCGTGTAGGCCCCGGGGTCGGCGCCCCAGACGTAGCTCAGCGCGACGTACGGCTCGGGCTTGACCTGATCCAGGGCGGCCTCGCGGTACGGCGGCTGCCTACGTCCCCGGGGGCCGGGCAGAGACTGGCAGGGCAGCTGCGTCAGCTGCATGTTCTGCACGTCGATGACGCCGAAGTACGAGTGCGAGATCATCTCGATGAACCGCTCGGCGCGGCCGTCGTCTATCTGGCAGCAGGGCCCCTTGTGGTTCTTCCTGCAGAGGTCCAGCCACGACTGGATCAGGGCCTGGTTCTCGATGTTCTCCGAGATGGCGCGGCCGAGAAACAGGGAGTCCTTGACCCACACGCGGTCGGCGTCCGACGTGGTCCTCAAGAACGTGTCCGGGGCGACGTACACCAGGTACGCGTCCGATAGCCGCGGGTGGTTCCACCGGATGTGCATGCGCCGCGTGACGCCCCTCACGAGGTTCTTCGGGGACCGGCCGGGGCTCCCCGTCGAGGCCGCCTCGCGCCCGTCGATCTCCCAGCTGACGAAGCACGTCGCCCTCTGCAGCTGGGCCCCCGCGCCTTCGTCGGGGGCTTGGTTGGCCGGCGGGCTCTGCGTGCCCGCCTTGTGCACCGATCTCACGATGAGCGCGCAGAGGGCGCAGGTCGCCGAGCGGGCTTCCATCCCTTGAAGGCTGCCCAGCCGTCGGGCGGTGGTGGACGAGTGCAACATACGTCCCGATGACGGAACCCCGGAGGCCCGGGGTGGGCCGGGCTGCACCTTGAAGCTCTGAACTCCCAGTTTGAGACTCTGGCAGACCGGGCACAAGTCCTGCAAGCACCTCCCTCCATCAGTCTGCCAGCCCAACGAGAAGATCAGGGGGTCAGGGGGGGGGGCGCCTTCTACCGCGCCGCATAATCGCGGGCCCTCGCTCGCTCACCTTGATCTCGCGCCGTCTCTGTTCGCTGCTGCCCGAGTCCGACAGCGGGCGGGGTCTCACCGCGGGCCGGTCTGGTGTTTCCGCCACGTCGGACATGACGGACGTGATGGACAACGGGCGGGTTCGGTGGCTGATCTCGGCGACAGACATGATCGGATGTCAGCGGATGTCCGAGGGAAGAATGAAATGGCTGGGGTTGCTGACCACAGGGGTTGAAAGCTGCGGATGAGTCCAAAGTCCCTTTTTGTCAGCATGCATCTCGTTGTATGCTTCTGGTGTCAGCACTAACCTCGTTTGTACATCTCCATCGCCCTGTCTAATCTCGCCACCCACGAAGCATCATGATAGGACAGCTGGGCCAAGATGATCCAGCGTCAACTCCTTGAGGATGTTTTTTCACTGAGCAATTTCTCATCGTAAGTACTTGGAGGACAGGCAAGATACAATGAAGCGCCAGATGAAGCAACAGCGCCGCTGGGCGTCACATCGCCCTGAGTGCCGGTGAGCAGAGACGCACCCTCCTGCAGTCATTCAACGAGACGGAGAGACCGCATAACGGATGGACGGCCCCCGGATGACGACGTCTCTGAGGTGTCGACTACTGAGGACCGAGATATTCTCGCGCCTTGGCGGCCTCAGAAGGTCCGCAAGATCGCCCATAGATACCTTGGGCGCGGAAACCAGCACGTTGTCTTGCGCACATACTATAGTCAGGACGGCAACGGTAAGATGGTAGCCATTATTTGAGGGTGATGGGGACGGCGACGTGTCCGCCGGCTCAGACAACCCGCATCCGGCAGAACTTTTGCCGAGACTCGACAAGAATAACCTCTGATCGAGTGAGCCCTATCGTCGACCAGATTCAGAAGATTGTCACGTGTGGCACCGGTCCGCTCTTCTTCTTCGACAAAAAGGCGCTTGAGGAAAGGCCTTTGCCAAGTCCCCTACCTCCACGGCTACGGAACCCTCGTGCGCCGTTCCGCTATCGAGCCTGAAAACATAACGGGGATGAAGGTCCGCGAGGAACTCGGGCGCGACGTCGATTGTTGGTCGAATGGAGGAATCGGTCACATTCACAAAACCCCCAAGTGAACAGCAGGCCCAGGTGTGGTATCTGCCCAGCCATGTTTGGCGCTGCGAACGTGGTTAAAGCAGTCGTTACATGACCTCGCAATGTTGTTAGAAAGCCACCTTGAGCTGTTATCTTCTATTGACGATGAGTACAGTAGGACAAGGTAGTTCGTCATCTGCTATAACTGCGTAAGGGTAAGAAGCTCCGGCTTCGGTCTGGCTGTTCCATCTAATTTCAGAGCTCATGAACACTCGGCAACACATGTCCTGTCCATTTCTGTATTCTTGATCGACATGCTGCATTGCAATACTTCCGTTGGGAGGTAACGTTGACGTGCCTTCTGTGGCATGCAGAGATAGGGCCATGCAGCGTTGTGTCAATACTATCTTAGTCTAGGTAGGGCACGCCATACCATCGCGGCCTTTCACTTGCAAGCCATTGATGATAGAAATGCAGGCTGCATAGCTTATATGATTCGTGTTTGAGTTGCTCTTCCTACGCTTTTGAATCGGCTTGTGTGTCGGGACGACCAGAGAAATGCCATGCGCACCCGGCGAAGATGCTGGGGCAAACGTCCTGGTGAACCCCATGCGCCACGAAAGCCGTAGACTCGGGCGCTCGACTAGCCTGGCCGAAACTCTAGAACTGCGCGATCACCTGAAAACCTTCCTAATGGTGCCCCCGTTGAGACATCAGACGCTTTCTCTAGGCTCTTGTTTGTTTTCAGTGTCTGAGTGAGACTTTGACATGCCATGATTGTCAGGGTCCGTCCCTGCCTAGTCTAGGCTCCGGAGCTGAAGCGGGGGGCATTCCAGCATTTCCATCCTCACTGTCGGTCACTTCACGTTGTCAGCAGCGTTTTCTAACCAATCAGAGTACAATTGTTTGGGACTTTTCTAATGTCTTAGATCAGGGTTTGGTGGCTGGCTGAAGCGGGGGCACTTAAACGTTTCCATTCAGTCACCTCACGTTGTCGATAACTTGGTCAACCCAATCAGAGTCCGGATGTTTGAATTTGCTTTCAGCTTATTAGGCACGGAATGGGCTGCTCCGGAGATGTACCCTGTTCCGTCGCCATGTGGGCTGAGGGGTTCTGGGAGACGGAGTTGATTATCCATGATGGAAACCTCTTCATGTCGGAGATGTACTATGGTTATTGGGGGGCGGCCGATAGATGAGAAGCCAGATGCCAACATAGTATTAGAGAGTTGACGATGTGAAGACATGAGAACTGTTTACACCCTATATTTATGCTACATACAGGCGGGGTACATAAACGCGTTGAACGACAACTAAGCATGGTTGTGGTTGTGGAGAGAGACGGAAGCGGGCCGACGCGTACCCGTTGGGGTGCCAACTTCATTTGCCCCCAGAAGCTGGATTCCATGCGAGACAAGTATGTATTTCCTTTCCATGTGTACTTATTAATCGTCTTGGCCGCTTTCGGCGCTTATTGGAGTGTGAAATATGAATTGCTCCTCAATAGCTGCTAGTGTGGGAGAGTTATGCAGTACCTGCGTGAGTCAATACGTGCCAAGTACGGAGGTCTGGACTCGTATAGACAGCTGAGAGAAGCATACATACCACACTGCTGCCGAGTTACCTCTTTTACTAAAACTTCAAGTTCGACGGGGTCTGTTTAGTTAATCTAGTCCCACCCCTATCGCACCATGGCGGTCTCCATGTCTTATAGGATTTCAGCTTTTTAATTAGCACCCTCACCTTGCGTTGAATTTTGCGGTTGCGGCAAACTGTCTTATGCCAGCTCTAGAAGACGACACTGCTGCCAAACCAAAGGGGTTTTTGATGGCACCGGGGGAAAAGTATTTAAAGAGCTACGTTTAGCTCCATCCCGTCACCTTGATGCATATCCTTAACCACTTCAACTTTGACTCTCAATTCTAGACATTACTTCCTACAAAAAGTCACCAAAATGGGCAATCCCGTTGACCAAAGCACTTCTACAGAAACCCCGATGTCTTTTGGGTTTTCTCAGACTGTTCTCCAGTCAGATGTCCAACAGGAAACTGCTGGGTCCGGCGGCCTGGATGCGCAAGTACCGATGGGAGCTCAACCAGAGGCGCCGCTGGGTATTCTGAAGAAGCTCGAACACCACTCGTTCTCCGGGTTTGGCTTCAACACCATCTTCCGGCCACACAGCAACAAGACCCCGACTGGCTCCAACAAGTCTGGGGAGCAGAGCGACAACATTTTGCAACTCAATCTCACTAGAGAAGTCATGAAATTCGACTTCAGGCTCGGAGATGTCCCCAACCGCGGCTTGTTTGGGCAGCCCGACATCAACCTCAACGGATTACCCTACACCCAGAAGATCTTCGACGTGATGGAACCTGAAATCGAAACGCCGCTCATCCACTTCGAGAACGGCATGTGGCTGCACGTTCCTGAGACCACCGCGCCCGCCCTGCCCGCTTCTCTTGCCCGAATGGCTTCCATTCCTCACGGCACAACCATCAACGCACAGTCTTTCTCGGCGCCTGTTACCGTTGAGGGCGCCCCCGACATCAAGCCTATCTCAATCACGCCGTTTGTGATTGAAACAGGAAAATTGGTCTCATTCACCAGCCAAAAAGCAGACGAGAAGAACGTCTTCCGTCTTCCTCAAGACCTTGCCCCCTTCACCAAGGCTGAAACCGTTACCCAAGAGATGATCACCAACCCCAACGTCGTCTTGATAAACGCCAACAAGGGCAAGGAGATTATAAAGCACACCACTTACACTATCTCGACGTCCCCACCTCAGTCGAAGCTTGGAGGGGGCACCAGCAATATCGGTTTCCTGCAAGGCAATGGCTCCCAAGGCGACGGCACCCCGGCCACGGATAACACACCCAGGGCCAACGCGAACGCTGTGAAAGTCACGGCCACCTACTGGATCTCGACGGTACGCACGAAGCTCCAACTCAAGCGGTTCACGCCCAGCATGGAAGAGCCGACGAGGACGTTCTCCCCGATCGCCTTCCGCCCGAATGACGCAGTCCCTGTCTTCACTGTTGACTTCAAGATTCCGTCGGCCAAGGAGGTCACGGTCGAGTACACTCAAATTCAGTATTCCCAGATGGTATTCCTTGACTTTGCTACTCTCCGCTGGCCTCACGCTACTGTCGGCACACTCGCCCCCACCGATCTGAAGCTGAAGCACTCTATCCTGCGCCAGTAGGTCTAAGCATGTGGCTGCGAGTCAAACCCGCCAGAGCGAATTTGCATCATGAAATTACGAAAAGGCGAGCCATAATGCCGTAATAGCTTAAGGTCTCCATTCCGTGAAAGATAGCTTGTTTGCTGGCGAGTTACGATTAGTGGTGTGTTCTCTACGATTCTTTCACACGGATCAGAGGCTAGGCAGACTTTTTAGATTATCTTAATGAAAAAGAAGTAAAAGTGATTAAAATATTCTTTATCGGATTACTGAAGCAAGGATGCAAGCTTTCTCAATTAGAAGAGTTGTCATTTCAGAGTCGGTACCTGATGGATATCATGCAGGACGCTCGGCGCGGTTGTTGAGTCTCGGACATGCCGTACAAGGGTGTATTCTATTCACAAAACCCGTGTTATTACCAGATATTGTTTTATGAAGTCGGCATAACCGGTCCTACTCTGACTTCCCACTTTTGACCTTCGAATCCTACTGTGTTACTGATCATCAAGATACGTAGCGTCGCCTCCGAGACTGTATGAAGCTCATCAAGCAGGCCCATAACCGTCTTCTTCATCCTCTTCCATAACCTTCGTTCGGAAATCCACCAATGCGTCGTAGCACTCCTGTCGCCGGAACCTAGCCAGGTCTGGCCACCCATGCTCCCGGTAGATGTTGCGAGCGTCCTATAGTTATCAAAAATACCGGTTAGTCCGACATACCATCAGAGCACATACAAGACACCAAAACTAAAACGAAAGTCACATACCTCGATTCCGGGGTCTGCCAATTCATATTCCTCTTCCTCCCCCATCCGGATCGCACCCCAGATTTCGGGATAATACTCTGCAACCTCTGTATCAGGGCGAGGCAAAGGCACCATGTCAAGGGAATACAGGCTATTAAGAAGCGCGTCAAAGAACGGTCCAGCAGGTCGCGGAGGCTCCACAGCCAGGGCTCATCGTCCGGGGCATCCTGTACCTGCTTATTGTCAGCGTCGTAGATGATGACGGTGCCGGTGTTGGTATCGACGATCCATCACTCGCCGCTATCACTGCCCTCGCTGCCACCGCCCGCTATGGGAACCAGACCTTCAGGCATCTTCTCAGGGAAAGGGAAGAGACAGTGGGCGCAGAGGCGCTCAGGTGTGGCCTTGTCTTCGGTGAGGTCGTCGTTCAACTCGGGGTTGTCCTCAAGATAGCGCTGCGGCTCGCCGCGACCTATGACAGGCCAGCGGTTATCATCATGCGTCTCGTCGACATCAAGATACGGGAGATGCCGTAATAGGTCGATTATGCGGTCGTTGAAGCCCAGGAGGCGTGTCTTGTCGGCTGGAAGGAAGCTATCATCACCCCACCACCCGCCTGGCGGGTATTGGATGAGCGATGCCGGAAAGAAGGCCATCTGGGCCAGTGTCTCATAGTACTTGGTCAGACCAGCAACAATAACGTCCCGGTCATAGCCATCGGGATAATTCACAGGATCCCTTCTCCCCGGTGGTGGCGGTGGTGGTGGTCGGGATATGTGACGGGTTGCCTCTGCCTTTCGTTTTCTCGACTCGCGTTCATGTCTATCTTTCAACAATGCTTCCAAGTCTTTCCGGCATTTCTCGCGGTCAAAGGCTGGTCCGGGTCCGGAGCCGTGCTGCCATCCTGCCAGCATGTAAGTCTGATACATGGAAGAGGCAAGATCTCGGCGATCGGGAGTGGAGAAGTCAGGCTCGATGCCATCGACCAGGCCGGGTATAGGGTAGTAGTCCTTGCCGAGCATCGCGGCAACCTCGTTGAAGAAATCAACAGGGGTATAGGACGGTGCCTTTTTCCACTCAGTCTCGAACTCGTCTGCCAATGTCTCACCGCGTGGTGGCCCCGTGTACTTGGTGATACGGCCAGTTCGACAGTCGACAAGCCACCACTGGGGGCCATAATGCGTGTACGCGCCGGCAGGGTATGTCAAGCTGACCGTATCTGAAGGTAGGCGGGCGAGCTCGAACAAGCCCCCCAGATTCCCGACTACCAGCGAGCCACATTCCTTCAGGTAACGCATGGGCTTGGTTCTCGGGAAGATGGGCCACTGCCCCGTATAGGGGCCTGTGCCGACAGGCCGCACGTAGGGAATGTGGCGTAGAAGGTCCACAGCGGTATTGGACCGGCCTAATGCGGTTCGTAGGCCATCCACGTCCAGCTCAGTATCGCTCCATCCCTCGGGCGGGGGATGCTGGATGTCGTCAGGTGACAGGTAAGGCGTTGTGGCCAACTTGGTGAAGAAATGCGCGAGGCCTTGGGCCACCCCACGATGGAAAGATGAATTCTCCATGAGGCGAGTTGAGATGTTCTTGCTATTCCCAAGGTTTCAGGGACCTAAAATAACTTGGCAAATCGGACCCTAAAACCTACCCAAAGTCGATGCGGCGGGCGGCGGGGTACAGCAGTCTATGGCAGACAAACAACTATATGGAGGCTGTCGACAATGAGTACAGGTAAAATGATCTTAATAGCAAGGTGATTACAAAGTGAAGACGAGGGGTCATGGTAGGGGTCATCGGGGCTTTATATGGAAGAAGCTAACATGTCTTGGCATGCATGCATGATGCACCACCCCTGGCACGGGCGTTGTGTTAGTATCCCAGACCTTCCGTTGCAACGGTGGATGACGAATAGTCGGGTATATTGGGTTAACTCGCCACGAAGAAGAGAAAAAGCTGTTGCGGAGGCATGCAAGCCGCGAAGCCGTATAAGTGGTGGAGGTTTAGGGAAGGCCACGTAACTTCGGATCCTCCGGTTATCCGGCTTTCGGCGATGGCATTGCAACACGTTGATCAAGTCCGGGGCTCAGCAGGAGAATAAGATGGACCACAACGCCAATCTTCCTGATTTCTTGTGTAGAAAGCAACATAAAGCAACTACCTCTGAAAACAATATTTCCGGTCATCAACTGAATTCGTACATGGTCCAACTTGCTAGATCACCACACATCATTTTGTTTACGGCGGCGGGGCCGGGCGCAGGCGTGATAAGCGCCACCGCTTCGGCCGCCACCTCCGTCGCCGACGCGCTAGCGACGGCGATCCACTCCGTCACGCGCGGATTCTTGGTGCCGAATGCGGTTTCCAACTATTACCATACAGGCGCCCCCCGCGACTACCACGGCGACGGCGCCGAAACCTTCGCAGGCGCAGGCGGGAATTCCGACAAGCTGCGATACGTTCGCCCAGGCCCTATCCGGCGCCTCGTGCTGGCAGCTCGCTACTGATGCCGGCATTACCTTGGAGCAGTTCTTTAGCTGGAACCCTGTTGTTGGGTCCGAGGGTGAGAGCTGTGGGACGCAGATCTGGCCTGGAGACTATTACTGTGTTGGAGTTGGTGGGTCAAGTGATCTACATGACAGCTTTCATACTTGATTCCATACAGCGAGAGAAGAGGTTTTTCTTTCGCTTTTTAACACAGGGGTTATGCTCATGTTCCGGCTTATCCTGACCTTTTTTATAAGTAGATTTTTCGAGTGAGGTTGGTGCCATAATTTCTATCCCTATACATATCTTATAAATTCGTGCATTACTGTTGCCTTTATGCAAAGGTGTTGTAATACAGGCAAAGAAGAGCCATAGGGATGACGTCAGTACAGGGATGACAGGGACGTCAGCTTTTACGGCATCAAATGACAACTCCAAGAACTTGGAAGCGAATCACGTCCCTGTCATGCCGTTATAGTCAGTGCTTGCTGCTCCTCTGTTAGTGACGCAGGCGCCTGGATCATGAATGAAGACTACAAACACTTCACACTACAGACGCTTCCGGAACAAGACCCGTCTACAACCTGTTACGTGGGAATATTAGGTAGCGAGGCTCGGGCACTTAAGACGATAGTGGAGCCAAGCGAACAGCAAGTAGCTCTCGGAAAGTACTTTAATGGTCGTGTATATATGATTGAGGTGAGGACTAGGGCGTCCCCTTATAGGTGTCTTAGAACCAGGTTATTATGTGAAGGTTTCAAACAACGCCCACTAAAATCAAAAGAACCCCAACAAATGTAAACGTTTCCCAGCAAGAAGTATATTGATAGAAAACGCCGTCCCTCCATACTTTGAAGGTGCAGATGTCGCACCATACAAATGGCGTATCATGAGATGCCGAGTCTGCCTCAATAGTCGCTTCATGATGACCTGATGATAGGCCTTTCCCCCTTTGACAAGCAACTAGAAGCCGGTCAGTTCCGGAGTGGTCACGTTGTCTAGCCCACCAGAGCGGTGTCTTGCCGAAAGAGTCCCGACTATCAGTCATGATAGATTATCTCGACAACAAGAACTTGGCAATGCTTGTATGGCCTTCTCTAGAGGCCACTGAAAGAGGGGTTATGTTGTAATAGTCCACTACAGTAGCATCAGCCCCTTTGTCGAGAAGCAGCTTGACAACTTCGAGGTGGCCGTTGCTTGATGCCCAAACGAGCGGCGTCCATCCATTGTGATCCAGAACAGTGACGTCGGCTCCCTTGTCGAGAAGCAGCTTGACGACTTCGAGGTGGCCGTTGCTTGATGCCCAAATGAGCGGCGTCCATCCATTGTGATCCGGAACAGTGACATCAGCCCCCTTGTCGAGAAGCAGCTTGACCACCTCAATATAACCATTCTGTGATGCTATATGTATTGACGTCTGCCCATCTTTGTTTGCGACACTAGCATCAGCCCCATTATTAAGAAGCAGCTTGACCACCTCGATATGTCCATTCTGTGATGCCATGTATATTGGCGTCTGCCCGTCTTTGTTGGCGACACTGGCATTGGCGCCGTTCTCGATAAGGATGTGGACGATATCTGTGTGGCCTCCCTGTGAAGCTGCTTGAAGAGCGTTCCCATACCGGCTGCCGTCCTGGGCGTTAACGTCTGCTCCCTTGTTGATGAGGATGTGGACGATGTCTGCATGGCCTCCCTGTGAAGCGGCTTGCAGAGCGTTCCCATACCAGCTGCCGCCCTGGGCGTTAACGTCTGCTCCCTTGTCAATGAGGATGTGGACGATGTCTGTGTGGCCTCCTTGTGAAGCGGCTTGCAGAGCGTTGCCGTACCTCCCGCCCTGAGCGTTGATGTCTGCTCCCTTGTCAATGAGGATGTGTACAATGTCTGTGCGGCCTTCTGCTGAAGCGGCTCGAAGAGCGTCCCTATACCAGCTGCCGCCCTGGGCGTTCACCTCCGCTCCCTTGTTGATGAGGATGTGGACGATGTCTGTGTGGCCTCTCTGCGAAGCGGCTTGTAGAGCGTTGCCATACCTGCCGCCCTGGGCGTTGACGTCTGCTCCCTTGTTGATAAGGATGTGGACAATGTCTGTGTGGCCTTCTGCTGAAGCGGCTTGCAGAGCGTTGCCGTACCTCCCGCCCTGAGCGTTGACGTCCGCCCCATTCTTTAATACTTCTTCAACTGCGCACACAATTCCTCCATATGATACATAGTACAGTAAGGGAGTCTTTTCTCTCAGAAAACTTTTTGGCTCTTTTTCCGATGGTCTGTCTGGGCTGTAAAGTCGGTAGCAAGTTTTAGGGGAGTCTTTGTGTAGGCAAAACTCTTTGATGAGATGGTGTATTTTGCTGCCCTCAGTTTGGATGGCATGATTCATCCAGTAACGGGCAGCGTACTGCGCGAACGGATATGATTGCCTAATGTTGGAGAGAGATAGGCTGTGATTTAACTCTAGCAGGTATACCAGGCATATTTCTACGATAGAGGCTCTGGCTAGTGGCTCTCTAAAGCTTTCCGAGACATTTGTCTCTAGACGGTCGGATATCAGGTACTCCTTGACAGAGAAATGCGCGAGCTGCATCTCTTTGACTTTCTTTCCTCCGTCTTTACCGCCTCGAGAGACAATGGCTACTAAACTTGGACAGTAGAGGGATATTTCGCTTGGTTCTGGCATTCTGTTCTTTGCATCAAACCTTGGCTTGCTCTCAGTGGCTACGGCAATTAAATCGACGGCTTCTTCGATTCGGAGTGGTCGTTCGGAAAAAGCAAGAAACTGTAGGATCCGCTTCGCATTCTGCTCGTGTTCGGGCGGTATCTTACTTAGGACTCGGGCGTATGTCTCATCTAGCGTTCTTGGTAACGATTGCAGCGTTTTGCGAAGACTAAGAGGATCGGGGCATTTTTCGAGCGCCTCGAGTTGACATGAGACCCAGCGAAACCTGTTCAATTTAGCAATAGAAATCAAGACAGCTATCATATACTTACATTCCGTCAGCTTTCTCCATCAGATGGCTTTCGATCTCATTGAGTATATCTTTTCGTGTTCGCCACCTGCTAAATCCTTCGTGCTGTCTAACTGTTTCACGAACATATACACGTATGTCTTTCGTGACAAGGTCGCTCTGGAGAAGGATCTGATCGTTTACAAATTTCTCCAATTCGGTTTTGATATCGTGATCAGGGCGACTCGTGAGAAGAAGGTGAACGTTGGCTTGTGATGAGTTGAGAATGCTTTGGACCCAACACAGCAAACCTTCGTTCTTTGGGGCAGTTCTCGTCTGGCATTCGTCAAGTGCATCCAGTACGATCCATACTTCGCCAATCTTCTGAACCATTGACTCGAAGGTCGATATGAGCACGTCAATACTGGGCTGCCGTGAGTGGCCCTTGTAAGTAGAACAAAGTGTATCCAGCGGCGTCTGGACATCCTCACTTTGGCTGTACAACTGAGCGATAAGCGACCGAATCGCTTTCTCGAGCGACTGCTTGCTGGTGTCAGTGAAGTCGAAGTAAAAGTAGAGGAGACTTTGAGAGCAAGATTGGGTGCGAAGGTCCTTGATAACGATCGAACTCAAGATTGTCTTTCCACAGCCTGGATTGCCATAAAGCCATAAAGAGGAGTTTGGCGTTGTTTTCCATTTCAAGTATTCTTCACTGTCTAGCAACCACTGGCCTGTGCCTTCATGGCGTTGTTGCAAGGCCTTGTTGTCGTTTGTTGATGGGTCCGGCGGCGAGAGCCATCTCATAACTTCCCGAGAATGGAGGCTTTGATGCATGTCGTTTGTTATTGAACGGATTTGAGAAACATCTTCATGAACTGCGACGTAATGTAAGTAATCTAGCTTGAACTATCGGCATACAATACTAACGCTGTTCTATGACTTCATCAATTCTCGAGGCTCTCTCTACATCATCGCTGTCGATGACTTCTAGCAACTCCTTTGCAAATGCGGCGGCTGTTGCTGCGGAATAGTTCTGCCACCGATCGTTCTTATGGGTGTCTGCATAGTCACAGATTCCTCGGATTACGAGGCATGGAAAATTATCCATCAGACCAGCTGCCTCCATCTCAAAGCAGATGCTGTTGCACCCGAGTCGCCGTGTAATGTCGTCCCGGGAAATGCCATCCTTTACAACTGAGTTGCCAGAAGCAATAACGCCATAGTGAACTACGGGATCTATAGAACGGCGTGCTCGTCGTCGTATTTCCTTCTTAGGATCGCAATGCTCACAAGCTCTCGTCTGAGTTGCTTCAAGGTATCCCTCTTGCGATGCTGTGTTCGGCCTGACAATGTCCGTACTCGCAAGCGTTCTCACGGGGGTATAGACAAGCTAGAAGAACGACCAAATCCAGGCGAGCGCCAACTGTAAATAGAGCTTGCTAACATCATGCGGGACTGTTTTTGCCGAAGAGACTGTGCTTTGCGGGTCCGGGCGTTCAACGTGTACCGAGGAAGCTTCGAACAGCCGGTCGTTTTGTGCCCCTTGGTGAACGAACGCAGCGTCATCTGACTCTTCTGCTAGTCGCGGATGGCGCTGGAGCATATCGTCCAGGATGTCGCGTACTCGAGGTCCCTTGAGTCTATGTTCGGCTTTCAGTGCTGCCAATCCTTTGAGAAGGACCTCGGGCGGAGGGGCGAGAGAACCGACCCGTTTGAACTGGCCGTCGTCTTCCAGCTTCCCTATATCGTACTGCACGACTCCCGGGCTGGTGCCAGTTGGCTGACTGACGGCAATATCACCGAGGCGGATGTCAACGTTGTCTGCTAGCCTGGGAATACCGGCGCCAATACCGACCATGAGGCCGAACCGAAGGTGCGGAAGAGAGCTGATCATGCTCCACGCGGTCGTCGCTGCGGACACGGTGCCGTACTTTCCAGCGGCCAGCGATGCGATGACAACATTGTGATCTCCGATGCGACCCCAAACGTAGCTGTTTGTGTCTTTTGGGTGCTTTCTGAAGTTTTCCGGCTTCTGGTGCCTTTCTTCAAGTGCAGCCTGTGCTGCAGTGAGCTCCTTGTCAAGTGCGGTGATCCACCCGACGGTGTACATCTGAGGGTGTTGAAGTCGCTTTAAAGCTGTCATAGCGCTTACGTAGTGCACAAAGGGAAGTCAAAGCAGCGGGAGGCTTGTTCGATAGCGACGACAATGGTGAGAGAGGCCAGGCGACTTTTTAGCCTGCTATTGTGATTTTGGAGTGTGAGGCTTTTTTAGCTGTCTGTTGCGTGTGATAGTGTAGCCGAGGCAGAGTAAGCGATTTTAGTGGCTGAGGATGAAGGGGCGCCAAGATGTCTGGCGCTGCAGACACCTCCTAATCAGGTTCCTCGACCGGCGACTCCCATAACCACTAAAGCATTGTCAGATACCATGCCTTATCAAGGCGCTATCCCATTCATTGAGTGCAAATGGACCTCAAATAACACAGAGGTGGGTGTCTGCAAATAATTACGGATAGCTATTGGACAGTTAGCCGGTGTTGCTGTAGTTTTATTGGTCTGAGATTGTGTAAGGTAGATTAACCCCGTCCACACAGCTTTATCCGCTCCTGCATCGTAGAAGATGAGACGCCAGAAGCCCATGTTGCCCAGATCCTTGATACTCTTTTTTTGTAGCACTGTCTATTCAGCCTACATGACAAGATGCTTCCAGAGTTCTATTATGGCCGTGCTAGTCTTGACATTACGAAACTATTCAACAAGCGATACAATGAAGCCACAATACGCTCGTATTATGACGACATGCTGACCACCATACATTTAGGAATCTTGCAAGATGTGATGTTTACTTTAAGAATACAGACGGGTGAAAAGGCCGAGAAGAGGGGTATGTATTGTGATCGAAAATGAGGGAGGAGCGAGTCAGGTAGATGGGATGGTATCAAGAAGAAAAAGAGAATAGCATACTAACAGTAGTAGAGTCCAAAAACATACAACACCAGGTGTTCGCTGGTCGTCACCGACCCAACTACTAATCCGGCCCTCACTGGCTTATCTATGGGAGAGCGGACGGGATCCCGAGTTTTCCAGTGGGTATGGTCGTATGTGGTAATATCTGTTCAAATTGATACCTACATAGTATTCTTTGGAAACAGACGAAACACAGGAACTGATGAGACACAATCATATGCGATTAGAATGACCACCGTCACCTATCAGCTACAGGTGGCTTGTCCATAATGAGACTGGCATACGCAGTTGTCTCCTAGTCTCACGAAGATGCATTCCTGATTCGCCCTGATATCTGATTCATGCGTGAAGTGGTTGATATGCAACCAGTGAGCGAGCTCATTTATTCCAATGTTTCGAGGACCAAATTGGACAAACAGTCAGCCATATCCTCAAGCAAGCTGTATAGTGGACTTCCGAGGAAATGCGTTGGAACGATTCCAGATTTGTCCACCTCCATGTCCTTAGTGTATACTAAAAGCTCTATTCATTACTGCACCATTAATGGCTCACAATACCTGGTTCACAACCTTAACTAACAACCTATATCAGTTACTACTTTGTTTTGTCCTTGAAAAAGCCGAACTCAAGCTCAACGCTTTGACTTAGGACTTGAAAATTGTCACCATGTCCTACAGCGCCGGAGCGGTCAACCACAAGCTCGGAGCCCTTGAGTTGCAGAAGGAGCGTTGCGTCTGTACCTCAACGACAAAGACAAACCTCTGGTTCTTAGCGCGACCACGATTGATGGAAATGAGAGACAAGAGTTAGCTTTGGACGAGATTGGTGGGATGTTTGCAGGGCTTACATATCTCAACGAGCTTGTGGATGTTACACCTGAGCTTAACCACCATCGATCCCTGACACTGCAATACTTGGATAGGGGGCCCCCAACTTCAAATCTTGTGGGCGCTCTCTTCGAAAAGACAACGTATACCCAAGTGTGGAAGAATTCGAAGCATTCTGCATCCCCGAAAGCGACGATGATGTGCGAACTCGGAAACGTCTCCACCAAGGGGATTCAACAGTTGAGATCAAACGGGCGTGGTTAGGCCCTCAAAGTCTACGGAAGGGCTTGGAACACCAACACCAGCGACTCAAGAGTATAGCCTCCAATGCATCATCAACCAACATCCGGAAATTTTCGGGAGTCTATGACAGCCCCAAAAGAATAGGAGAAATGGGTATCTTGGTATATAGAGATGTCCTCGACTCTGTTGTCCCCGATACTCTTGCCGAGGTTGTGGCTTTCGCATCCGTTTTGTATGTCATCTCGGACCTCCTGTTCCGACGCTCGGATCGCCAAAAGCGACATCCTCTCCAGTCTACAGCGCTGGGGGGATTGCATTACGAATATCGATGATCGGAAGGCTTTCGGCTTGTTTGCATTAGAGATGTGGCCCCTGAAGCATCTCCGAGCTGTATATGACGTGAAGAGCGGCGGCAGGAAAGACGACGACAAAGATTCTCACCACTCAAGGTGTAACCATCCGACTGCCGAGAAAGATGTCTCCTTACAGCCACCGGGTATTCATTCCACACAACGAGATATCGGAGAAAGTAGCTCGTGCATGAATATTCAAGAAGCGGCTCTATTCAACTCTTTTAAACTAAAGATGCTATCAGCAACGCAACCAGCGTCGATGCACGACCAGCAACCTTCAACCGAGTCTGCCCAGCTAGATTTTGAAGTTATATGCACTCTAGAGCAATCTCATGAAGAGTTTGGCTTTAGCCAATTTCTTTCTTTGTTCGGGAACCAGAGTGTCACTCCAGGAGGACCATCAAAGCACAACCACTTTCTTCCTCCAGCTCCTGGTGTTGACCCAAGAGAAATGGAGTACTACAGGTATCATCCTAATCCTCTCCGAGACCATATTCCTTCCGAAACCTTCTCACGTATGGACGATCCTCATATTTTACCCCCGCCGTCGCCAGCGCCTAACAAGGAACGCGGTTGTGTTGGCTTGGAAGTTGTCAAACGGAACATCATCAACTTCAAATGTTCCAACAGAGACAGCGACACGGCCATCTTCAAACTGAGAGATAATCCAATGTTCTTGGCAGTGCTAGCATTCTCACAGGATACCGGCGACTTCTTCCATCGACTATCCGGGTGTGGTAAAACAGTCTAGTGTACCAAGCGAGGCTCAGCATGCGCCGGTGAGAGGTCGAAGGCTGAAAGAAAACTTCGTGAAGAGGTGTTTGCTCCGATGAAGAAGTCCGAGTCAGAAAACGTGGCGTTTCTGGCGTTGTTGTCGGTAGCCGAGAAATTTGTCCTCTAGGGAAGCCTGGGGACTCTCGAAGATGTCCGAGGCTATTTGGTCGGCATCTCTCGTGTAAGTGTTTCCCTTTTTGTCCAAAATTTCATCGTGTATCACTATTCAATAACGCCCATCGACAGGAGGTCATTGAGCTGGGCCAGGAGTACGAGAAGTTTGTTAGCTGGATCTACAATTCCTCCAGCCGCCAGCCCACATGCGCAGAGTCACCCACGAAACTGGGTACGGAATCAAAACGACAGTGTTTTCCATCGATGAAACAAAATGAGTACGTGTAGTTCATGAGTTTCCGCTTCCACTCGTCACGGGACATACTGTTTACCGAACAGAAGCAAGCAGTATGTTCAATACGACTTTGCGAACTGCACAAAGACTTTCAAGACGGCATCAAGGTTGGGGAAACACAAACGGAAGGAGCACGAGAAAGACGTCCCGACGATAGCATGTCCATACACCGGCTGCGACTACAATGACATTCGACAGGATCTTGTGAGACTTCACTACGGGAGGTCGCATGGTCAAGACTTACCTGACGTTTTGAGAGCTAGAAGCCGTGGTCAGAAACGTCGCAGGGTCTCGTGACAGTGCGGATTCAAGTACGAGATCTGGTGTTTCGGGAAACAGATGATTTTCTTTTCTTCCGAGGTCTATGATTGGCACAAACACAAATGAAGAAACTTTCCCATCTCGAAAGGACAACCTTCTTTAATAAGACCCTGAACGACATCATCCAAACTCAAATCAATCCAAACGGGACCAACTTTCTCTTGTCAGCGATTTTAGCTACAAAGACCTCCATAGAAACTGAAACCATGGCTTCCAAAAGTCCTACAGCGGTCTTCATCTCCCCGGTGACCGCCTGAGCTGGATGCCATGAAGCTAAATCTCCACTCTTCTGGCGATCCTGCCAGCATACCATCGTCTCGCATGATACCCAGGTTGACCAATACGGCCTTGGGCTCCTGCGTCCGACGGTGATGCGCCAAAGTGTTCTGTTATGTGCTGCCCCGGCGTACTATCCCTTTGGGTGCGAATTGACCTCACTACCCCCCCCGTGCGGGATAGGGCGAATCGGACCACAGCAATCAAGTCTGAAATCTAATAGTTTATAGTACTTCGACTTGGCCTGAGTAGCTAGGGCTATGGTTGAGAGAACGTTGGTCTAAAAAGTAGCTGTTAGTAGCTGTAATATAATTTGGGTGGCCTACACTAACAGTGCATGCTAAGAAATGTATGCAGGGGGAAGGGGGAGGTCTCTGTTGGTCCCCGGCCTAGGGAAGAAGGGTGGAGACATCTCAGATAGCTCTCTCTCTTCGATACATACGGGTTACTTCAAGTCAATCATCAAGCTGCGAGAACAGAGTCAAAAAGTGATACAGACAAACATTCGACCCATGAAAGATCGGCAGCCAGCATGCCGTTCTGAGCCAGTAAGCAACGCCACATGCCAACGCAAGCGGCACGATGTCAGCAGGTCCAAGAATCTGCCTGGCCATGTTGACGCAGCCACGTCCTCCCGCCGAGTGTATCACTGCACCTCATTGGCCTAGATCATGTCAATCAACCCTCTGCTGCCTGAGAAGGATTCTGTCCCTCATGCAAATCCACGCTTCCTCCCTAGCGTGTCGAACCGATCTCGGAGTCGTCTGTGTTAGTGCTTGACCAGCCATTCCGCGAGATGTTAAACAGTCAGAACCTTACAGGACAGTTGGCCACAGGCTAGATTAATACTACGTACTGCAGCTCAATACCGCAATCCTCCTAATTTAGGATCCGTCCCAGGCGATCGGCACCATCTAGACGACATTCTGGTCTATTACGTGCACCGAAACATGAGGCTGATCCGTGGCTTTTACGCCCGGCTCTGTAGATCATGGGCGAACTACGACGCGTTCCAAACTACAGGCAGCAGTATCGTTTCCCTATCTCACCATAATATAATGTTATGAATCCAGCTTCAAGTCTGGCTTCAATAACCTAGCATCGATATCGCTATAAAGCATCACGAAATAGAACAGCAAATCTTACACAACCACAAAAAGAAAATACAACCAGCATCGCATATTATCATACCACACGCGGCCCAAAATGGCTTCCGAAGGCAACAACGTCGTCCTCCGCAAAGTCACAATCATCACCTTCCCTCCAGCCTTCATCCTTCTCCTCATCCATGGCATCGTCTCGAACTGCCCCTTCCCGGCCCTCGGCATCCTGCCCCTCTTCGCCTCCGCTGTCCTCGGCCTCTTCATCATCCGCCGCGACCTCGTCGCGGCGCTCGGCTCCCCGATCCAGGCCCTTTCTCCCTCCAACGTCTTCTTCGCCGACCTCTCCCTCTCCATATTCCACTTCGTATTCCTGTTTATCAGCTGGGCCACCATCATAGACCCGTGGCACAGGAGCCAGATCGTGCTGGGCACGTACGGCACGGTGCCTTTGATGATTGACACGTAAGTCTTCTCGATTCTTTTGCGATTATAACTGAACAAGCTGACACATTCTTTTCACGACAGTGCCATCCACTTGTACCTTCTCCTCCCTGCGGTCGGCCACCTGCTCTCCAAAAGAAGCTGCGACTGTCCTCACTGCCAGAGCGTGACGAAGTCGAGCTACTTTGCGTCTGAGTACACCCCTCTCAGTGAGGGTGACAGCGAGGCGGAGATCGTGGAGGCAGATCTAGAGGCGGGACACTGAAACGACTCTCGGCACGAGGGCATCCGCATCGAAAATGGCTCTGAAGTAATTAAACGTCAAGATATTCTTCAAAAATGCAGAGAATTCGAGGGCGGCACGCTCTACATTTATCTCATCTTAGTGATAGTTGTGCGTCTTAGAATCCGGGACTATGTTTGATAGATGAACCAACGAAACAGATAGCTTCTAACAAGGGATAGTTCCCACTGCCATCAATCTCGAGTGCAGACAAACGAGCATCTGCATTCTTACAAATATGGAGGATCTACTCGCATATACGATGGTTTTCACGGGATTTCCCACCGCGGAAACCCTGATTTAAATATCAACCGCGTGGCAACCAAGCCGTCGAGATTCAGGATCACGAACCCACGCCGAGACACGCCGTTCGTCGGCAGCTTGGCGTAGGACAGGGCGACTAAGATCGACAGTGCGTTTTGAGGCGCAGAGTCGAGCGTGATTGTCCACCTCATTGGCTGGTCTGCGTTTGAGTCTGAGCTTGACCGTGTTGGAGGAGCTAGGACGGTCTCCGTATGTAATATACTTGTCGAAGTCTCATCGAAGACTCTATCGAGAATACTAAATTCGCACGCAGCTATAGAATAGCTGAAAGATCTTGATGTTGATTCCTAGCAAGATGGAGCCTGCGGCCAGGATCAGGCCAGTGTCTTTGGAAGGGTAATCAAAGAATAGCCGCCTAGGTGCCATGCGGTCTGTGTGGAGTTAATTAGACATGATCAATCTCGTAACATCAAGACTGTATGTGCATGTCTCTTACAGCTTGTGAAGTTACGATTGTGTGACGTGTGTTCTAACTTGTATGTTAACTAAAGAAACAGTAGTATGTACTATACTGTGACAGCGACTAGGCTTTAGTTCGAGATTGTCCTATTTCAGCCTCTTCAAGGTTCTTCAATCAAGATACCGGCGTTTCAGAAATAACCTCAGGCATTTAACTTCCGGGCGCTAACCGACTTGCACTTACCATTCCAGAAACCCGGGGACGTCGGCTTCAGGAAGGCCATCGTGCTGGTGATAGTTTCGCTTGATGAAGCCTTTGAGCAGGGACGATTCATTGGTTCGGAAGAACCAATGAATTGATTCATAGACACAAGCTATATATGTAGTCAAGTGGACATAAGCAAACGGCATAAAACCGAGTCGACATTTATCACGGCTGTTTGTAGATCTTGGCTTATGCGGCATGGGTCCAAGCCATGAACACAGTCCACATCCGGGCGCCCTGCCAATAACCCACACCGGAGCGTCCCGTCTACGGGACCCCCGAAGCGCCCACCGAAGTTCGGTGCGGGGGCGCTCGGCATCATAGTGGGGTCTGGGTGGGCGCCTCAGGGTGCGGTGCACTTATGGCGTCCCGGCCGGGACAAGTGATGGTATCTTGCCCATGGCTGACTTGGTATAATCCAAGCAAGTCAAACCAAAAAGTTAAGTTTGGGTGATTTCTAATCTATGGATTAGATGGGTATAACTATTCAGCATAGACGACATAGTGTGTTACTAACCCTCTGCCAGAAGGTAATTGAGTGTGGGTGCTCTGTCAACGCACCAGGACCGGGAGAGTCTGGTAAAGCGCTGCTCGAATCAAACCCACCGACTTTGCCAGCGGCGAAAAACCTGCTAGAAGGTGATTTCACGTCGAAAGCTAGAAATCGGCTGGTTATATTGGTAGATTTTTTGGACAGAGGGACCAAGCTATCAAAACTAATTAGTCCTCATGCTTTTGTGCTGATCGACGCTGCACGCTTGTGGGGCTCCCCTAAATCGGCAACGGACCACCCGCTGGAACACAATGATTGCATCGACAACAATGGAGAAGGGGATTCCGAGCCTTTAGATGAGAAAAGCAAGGAGGGCGAAGACCAGGTGGTTCTTCCAGATATCTGTTCGGCTGTGGTACTTTCTCCAATCGAAGGAACCTGACCAGGCTCATGCACGCGCAGCATGAGGTCAAAGGCGGGACTTGGATCAGCAGCTCAATTACCCAAAGTGTGCTCTATTGGCTATTGTATTCGAGCAGATGCTAGAAGCAGTGTCTACGGAATGTTTCTAATGTCCTCTAGTGTAAGATTTCTTTCTATTTGCAAAATGTCCTCCACTGGCGCCAGCCAACCCACACGCGTACCAACAAATTGCTCAAGCTGCGGTTTCAGCTTAGTCTCAGCAAGCCGGAAGCCATCGACTGTACCAATACGCAGGACACTCATGTTTGGAAAGCCTGAGCTAACGCGGTAGAGGAGCGTGCCGCACGTTTTACAAAAGTAGTTCGTCATATCGTTACCTGAGGCAATTGTTTTCGACTGGGTGAAGGACTTAAGGTTCTCCTTGCCTCGGACATGGCGCAGGTGGCTGTCAGCTACAACAAGCCTGATTCGTCTGGATATCCCCCATCAAAATCTCACGGAGGCACTCAGAGCCGGGTGTGGGTTTTCGAGATGTCTTGTACGCAACCTCGGTAAACAAGTTTAAGAAGGGATGAACACGAATGGAATACAGCTATAGGCAAAATTGGGTTACGGCGAGATCAACTTTTGTTGTCTAATCGAAGTGCAAAGTACCTCGGTTCAGCAAAGAAGGCGCCGATTTAGATGACAGCCACCGTTATGTCTACGCTACCGAGGCTGTAAGATGCCGCAAAACCATCTGCTGTCTTGTAGAAGATCATGGTGCGGTACCCTGATTATGCCCGTTGAGTCAAACTGTGCATTGCGAGTAACATAAGACAAAAGAAAGTGTCATCGAGCATTTTCCCGGGTGTCCAACGACAGATAGCAGCTGTCCCTCTATCGTCACCAACCGTGTCTTTCATACTGGAGTATATTTTGGACTGCTCTGGCAATCCGACTTCGGGTCATAAATTTGCTCTGTAAATGAGCCTCCATATCCACCGACGCCGCTTATTGAGATCCGACCCCGCGGGCGAGATTTCCAACTCAAACTTGTCAATAAAACTCTTTTGAGTGTGTAGCATATGTAGCTGTGAGTTACCACTGGGGGGGGGGGGCTGGCTTGGACGGAAGCACGCTTAAAATGGAGAATCCTACGCAGTATGAGAACCAAATCTCTTGGGGTCGTCTCCCAAAAATACTGCAGGACGCCATGATAACAACTTACAAACTTGGCATCCAACGTCTCTGAGTGGATTCACTTTGCATCATTAGAAAAAATGAAACAGATAAGATCATGGAGACTGCCCAGATGGCCCGGGTGTACACAGTACAGCCAAGCGAACCTAGCCACTGACGGTTTTCTACACAAAATATTTCCTCCTTTAGGATCTGGCACTCTCCGTTTTCAGAATCAAGACAAACAAACCGGATCGGTCATCATGTATTTCATGTCTTCATTTTAAAGATGACGATAATATCAGACTGGATATATGGGGTGGGTGTTACAGGAGAAGGTCCTTTTTTCTACTTGCTCACTTTGATACCTGGCGGACATAGTGGACCTTCCGGAAATAAAGACCTGCGTAACAATATCCCGAAGCGCCCACCGAAGTTCAGGGTCTGGGTGGGCGCTTCAGGGTGCGGTGCACTCCTGTGGTCAACCGATTGGCCATGGAACGGATCAACCTATGTTCTATCGCTTAGTCATCCGACTGGCCATTCTATCGACCAACCATCAGATGCCACGAAACAAAGAAAATGCATTGCTCATGAAAATAAAAGGAATATACGAAATTTCTTTAGCCAGGAATGGTCCAGGAACTACCTAGGCTTTGGCAAGAGCAATGCGCAAATGAATACTTAGTACAATGTGTTGATCTGTTGCCGCGAAACTGTCCCGGACATCCTCCGCATATGCCTCAATTAGTCCTTACTGTGGTCAAACCCTTGTCCACGCCTTTCCTCAGCTTGATCAATTGTCGTTGCCCTTGTGATGTACACATTTTCCCCGTTACGTCTTCAGTGCTGTGCTATTGTTTGGCTATTTGGTTGTCGCGACGCCTTTTCAACCACAGGATCTCGGGCGCTTGCGGCCGCGCTCCCTCCATTTCGCGTGGCATGATGGATTTGTTGACAGTGAGGTCCAGGTCGAGGCACGCTTGGGCGAAGTCCACGGACTCCATTTCCTTGGCCATGAGGTTAGGCTTGTTGTAGAGGGTAACCCAGCTTGTGATGTCGCAGCCAGGTCTCTTGAACCATCTGTTGTAGACAGCTACTTGTCGGGTCACGTACTCGACCTTGTCAGCGTCGATAGTGATGCCCATGTCGCCGGCTTTGCCGGTCGCAGCGTAGGTTTCTTTGGCCACCAGGTAGGCCTTGTCAATGGCGGGGATCATCGCGTTCATAGTGCCCTTCGTATGCGTGATGACCGCGTCGTTAATCACAGGCACCTCTAACATGCTCAGAATGGTGTCGGCGTTGAACATCTGCAGGCCTCCTTCCTGGAAGTGCTGCTTGTACATGTAGTAGACTGCGAGGCCAATTGCCTGCGGCAACACGTAGGTCTTCTTGTTGGCTCTAAAGTATGACCATCCCTTGGGCGCGGACTCAACATCATCAAGGCTGGCGGTTTGGTCAATGCTGTTAGCTTTCAGATAGCTAGCCAGTGCGTTGGCCACGGCTTTCCAGAACTGGGAACTCTCGGTGGCTCGCTGCATTGCTTTGTTGTTGACGGTCGCGCTGGGCGACGGCTTAGCCATCACCTTGTGGTGGCTGGTGGCTGACGGCTGCGCAGGCGTGGGCTTGGCGACCGTTTGTTCATTACGCTGTGCTTCGAAAGGATAGGCGTTGCTGGCGCTGGGAAGGTCGGGTGAATGCTCGAGGATGAAGTTGGCTTGGCCGTCGGGTGTCGGGAACAAGTTCCAAGTCGTGACCTAGGAAATAGGCTTGGTCTTGAACTTCTGAAGCAGGCTGGACTTGTATTCTTCAGGATGTAAGTAGGCAGGCGGTGCCTCTTGCTGGGGCTTTGGCTCAGCTTGATCCTGGATGAACTGCTCGGCGAAAGTGTAAATGTTGGCCTTCCAGTTGGTCATACCCTTGGCGGAGTCCTGGTGGGTGATCCTGCCTACGATGGCTGCTTCGTACATGTCGAACATACCTGCGATGGCGATGGCCATATCGACGGGCTGCTTGTTCTGTGGCTGGGCCACGGTTTGGCCAGCGGATTGACCATTGTTGGCTGTGTCGGTGCGGCTTGGAGTATCGGTTGGCTGAAGCTGTTGGCGAAGGCGTTGGTCCATCTGCTTGGTTATGGCTCGTTCGTCAGTATCGACCTCGGCAAATGTCTGTGTGAGAATCCTTGCTTCCTCCTGCAATTTGGCCAGAGCTTGGTCAACTTCCTCGACATTGTTATAAGGGTTTCTGGCGTTGATGACGTGACATCCCTGGTTGTTGAGGATTGGGGCGTAGTCCTTGTTCTTCTTGGTGGACCTGGCTGGGTCAGGCTTGACCATGGACGAGCCCTTGCGCTTGAGGTTCGTCATGACGGGCTGATGAGGTTGACGAGACTTTTAGTCAAAACGAAGGTTTCTGATGCTTGAATGGCTTGCTTGAAGCAGTCGGGGAATGGTCTCGGATTGACTAGATACTGCCTAATGAGTGACCTGAGGGAAGTCTAAAGGTTTGACAGATTGACGGTGAGTACCTTGGTCAACGAAGGCGATGGTGAATGCGATGTTCAATGGGATGATGAATGAGACGAGGGCAAGTTTTGGGCAAAGGGATGATGATGATGGCGATGTTGACGGTGCTGGTGACGAGGATGGCCAGCGAGTTGTAAACAAAAGAAAAACTTCTTGCGTGCGAGTTGGGAAAGGATATGGGTGAGCAAAGTTGAGTTGCGTCTGGTTGGCAGCCAGCTATCCCGCCAAAATCGGCGATGTTGCGTTCGAGAGCAGTCACCCGGGAGGAGCAGACTACACCTCGTCAAAAGGTTTAACTTGAAGTGGCAGTACCGGAGATTCCGGTCAGTCAGCGTAACAAATACGTTGATTTCACAAAACGGAAGGAATGACGTGGGCTCCTACCACAAAGGTCGAAAAACAACGTGGGCCACACGATTTGAACGTTTTCTCCATACCTACGCCGGGCAAACTCCTCACATCTTTCAACTCCCACCTTCCGACCTGGTTCCTCCAACTCGCTCATTTTCTTCCCTATCCTATCCTACATTACCTATCTACTTACTGCAGCTATCACGTATCGCGTTTCGTTTCGTTTTGCGTATTTCGTTTTTCGTTTTTATTTTCAGCAATTTCCTACACCATCTGTTGTCGCCGTGGTCGTCACATTATACCCCGACTCTGCCATGCAGCTATCTATTGCGATTTGAGCGATTCACCATGGCTCTTCGACGGCTCGAAGATCCCGCGGACGCGGAGCTGAACTTCAACAAGTATGGATTCATCGACGAGACTGAACAGCAAGAGCGCCTGCATGAATGCATCACTTACTGCGTCGATCGTGTCAACCGTACGCAAGCCCCGGACGACGTCAAGCATTAGCTGATTGATGACTGCGGACGTATCCTTGGTCGCTTCATCAAGGCTTCCCCTGCAGATTCCACAATTTGCAACAGAGTGAAGCGATTTGGAGCTGCTACCGACTGGATTTGGTGTTTTGTGTGGCTCTCCCAGGAGCATCACTCCGCCGCAGCCAACAATTCAGTCATCAACTTCCTCGGCGTGAGTCGCCGGAACCTGCCGATTCGGGGCATAGAAGAATTTGTACAAGACGAACTGGATCATCTTCACCTACGACCATACAACATGGATGAAGTGTTTGACATTGAACCTATTGGCTATTCCACGATATTCCCGCACCGGTATCGAGAGCGCCGACCCCGACAACTTCTGCAAGACACCGATCTGGCCAATCTGCGAGCTCTGCTTGTTGCTAATCCAGATAGGGCGACAGCCATCATGCGTTACTTTTGTGATGACTGTGTTACCTTCAGGCGACATCTCGCGCAGGCCAGGCCACAACGCAACCGCTGCGGCATTTACCGATGCCTGATGGAGGACGTGAAAGGTGACAATTGGTATCAGGTTCACCTTTACTGGGTCGAATCGCATGGCATGACATTGGACTAGCTCCTGTAACAACTGCTGGACGAACACAAGCTCCATTACAGTGGTTGGCGGGCATGCCAGATCCGCTCAATTTGTCCAGCTTGCGGAACTAGTCACTACACCCCTGAGGATGCGTATGCTCATTGGCGCATAATGCACGAAATGCAACCGGTTGTCAACCGCATCAGACCAGCAGACATTGTCCCAATGTTTCCACTTCAGCCAATTCGAGCCCTGTGGACTGTCGAGGTGGAGGTTCCGGTGCAGGTTATACAGGAACGTGTGATTCAGCAACTGCAAATTGAGATTCGCGAGGTTCAGGTCGAGGTGCCAGTCGAGCGTATCGTCGAGGTGCCAGTCGAGCGAATTGTGGAAGCCAACACCCCACCAGTTATCGTCAAATTATACGAATCGCCTATCCAGATGGCTTGCTCAGAGACTCACCATTTCGAAGTCAGAACAACCACGATACCCGGGTAATTTGCGACGAGTTGGCGCAAATGACAGAAAACCAGAGACAACGAATTGCGACAGAACATATCGCTCGTCTTGCGATCCTGGCAGCAAACCCAGAGGGATTGATCGATGTCCCTAAGATCACGGCGCTCGCCCAGGCGCATCAGCAGCGCCGTTACGATCCAACCGAATTGGAAGTCCTGACACGCCAAATATTTCTTTTTAAAGATAACTTTCATGCAGCCACGCAAAGAGGGCGTAACGCTTGTCAGTGCGAGGATACACACCGTCAAGGCACAAACCTTCTACACGCTCTACAGCCACCCCTCAGCAAAAGATCCTCTTGGATTATCATCGTAATTACTACTCTACGCGCCAAGAATATACAGAAAGACGTTTGTTCAAATGTGCGGAACCCCCGAGTTTGGCGTAGGCGAAGTCGTCGAGAGGGCCGGAGGTGCCGTCGCGTCGGCCTCCTCACCTCTTCGTACAATAGCCTCATCGACAAGCACCTTTACGACCTGCCGGCTAGCAGGATGATGGCAACCTATATGCACCCGTGTGCGCCTTTGACAAGTCCATTCTAAGATCCGTCTGCTCGACACTTACAAGCACCGCATTAGCAACAACAACAACAAGAAGACAAAGAAGAAGAAGGCTTTCTAGTCTAATGCCGCCATAGCCATCTACACCCTTGCTCAAGACGGAGAGGAGAAGATGGGCCTTGCTTCATGACGCCATCCCGCAAGGCTCCCTGTGTGGCAGTCACCAGCCCACCCAACAAAGCAGCAGTGACAGCAACGTCTGCCTCGCATGGGCAGCAGCAGCAAACACAAGGCCAAGAAATGCTCCTTAGCCTATCCTGAGCGTATTCCTTCTACCTGGACGAATCGCGATACCCTTCTTGCCCAGGCCAAGCAGCACGCCTATGCTACTGTTTGAAGCGAGGATATTGTTTCCAAAGGACCCCATGCCCAGTACGACTAGCCCGGCACTCTCCTCGTCACATCACCAACTTCCTGACTAACTTCATTACCTTCTTCATCGTCACTTTCACTTTCACTTTCATCACCTTGACCACCCTGCATGAGCAACCGCCTTAGCTGCGCCTGCAAGGTCATCATCACTTGCTCATACATACGGCTTAATAGCCTGCGTGGTCAACTTTTTCTGATTTCTTTTCACGCCCAGATGGGCATCTGAGACGCGGTTGCGAGGATGCCCAATGACATACCCGAATGAGCGCCTTTTGGGCGCCTGCGAAGGCTTTCACGACGTTCAAGAGTTGCCTGATGCTATGAAATGGCGGATGGATTGAGTTGATGGATTTCACAGGGATGCTATTGACACCAAGGGATTCGCGGGCCGGGGAATTTATGTGTTGGCAACAGACCTGGCTATTCGTGCCAACTGGCAATAATTCAGCCGTTTTCAAACAAGCCATTGTTCCGTCTTTGATGGTGGAGAAGGGATACCCAAATGGACCCCGATTCCGTGTTCTCTTCGAAGCTGCTCGTTCTGCCGCTGCTGGAGTTTCCCGCGTCCTGCGACACTTTCGGAACGCGGCTGCTACTGCAGTGTGGATCGATCAATTTCAACAACCAGCAGACTTCTTGCCTGACCACAAAGTGGCCATTGGTCGCGAGCTTCCGCAAGTAAGCGTATGCGTGCGGATCAACGCTAGTGCCCTGTTGCCCAAGGGGTCACAGGTGAGATTTATATCTCAGGCGAGCAAGTGACTCGCGCGGGTACTAGGAAGTCAGCGGGCAAAACAACAAGGAACGACACATGCTCAACTCGTTCACATCGTCTCCGGCCCAGAAGCTCATGTATCGTACCGACGACCTTGGGTACACCTGAACTACGTCGGCCGCATCGATAACCAAGCCAAGGTGCACGGATTCAGAGTCGAGCTCGAAGAGGCCGAGTACGCTATCTCTACAGCGGCCGATATGGACCCCAGGGTGCAAAACGCCGTCGCCATTATCGTGGACAATAACCCCCAGGGGTAATTTGAAGACGGAAAGCGTCTAGTGGGCTTCATGATGTCTCAGGACGTTGCTCTCGCGGCCTTGCGTTCGAAGATTGCCGCCGTGTTGCCCAGCCACATGCGGTCATTGCAATGGATGGCCCTGACGGGGCTTCCTACAGCATCTAACTACAAGGCCGACCGGAGAAGGCTTTCAGGACCTGGCAATTTCCCAGGGGTCTGGAACCTCATGCGGTGCTAGTGGCGTCGTGATTCAGAATGGCGAGACAGGACTGACGACGGCGGAGAGAACGATCAATAAAGTCTGGAAAGAACTGGTCCACTTGAATTCTGAGACTCCAATGCAGAAGGATCAGGACTTCCTGACGATTGGAGGAAACTCGATTCTAGCCATCAAAGCCGCACGGGAGCTGTTTCACTTCCACACAGCAACCGGGACGAGGTCGGCTATCAGTACTGTCATTCGGTTCACTTTCACCGGCGTCATCGATACGGAAGCCCTCGCGGAGTCCTTCAAAGTCGTTCAGCGCGAGAACTCCATCATGCGAGCTCGGTATGCCGTGGATTCACAGGGCCATCCTTGCCGTTCTACAACTGAAGATATTTCCAGCGCACAATGCGTCGATAGCGATGTGCGGAATGACGTAAAGATGCAGGCTCTGTCCGACACACCCTTTTATCTGACCAGAGACCAGTTGGTGAGGATGGGGATCTGTTATCGAGGCAACGATAGTGGCGGCAGAGACGGTGCAGCGAAGGCTGTGGAGATCGTCCTCATCACACATCATATCATACCTAACAGAGCCTCGCTTATGTTGCTCCTGCAGGCTTCAGCGAATAAATGCAACCAACCCCGCTTCCCAAGAGATTAATACCTGTTTGAAGCGGGGTAGGACAAAGGGCGGCTATCATATATATGCTGCGTTTGTTTCGGGATTTCTACTTTTCATTTGCTTCAGCTTCTTTGAGAAACCAGCCCGCCGTCGTTATCGAGATCCTCCCCAAGACCCAAAGGCCTTTCAAGAGGCGCTCCACCACCATGACTGTGCTCGAATTAACGCAACTGGACACTGTTACTATCCTGAAGTGTTCTGCAGCTCTTTTCGTGTCTTGGTACATCATCTCCTCCATCATCTCATGGTACAAGCTGAGACATGTCCCGGGTCCTTTCCTGGCCAAGTTCTCCCACTTCTGGTCCATCTACCACAATGTCATCGGTGACATTGGCCCTATTCACCTCACCCTGGAGAAATACGACTCACCTCTGGTCCGCACCGGGCCTCACTACATTGTAACCTTGGACCCGGACGTCTGGAAGCAGGTCAATGGCGCCCGCAGCACCTACCAGCGCGACCCGTGGTGGTCGGCCAACCGCATGGACTACAGCAGGCCCAGCCTGGCAGACACACTGGACACGGTATCTCACGATAAGGTCAAGGCCAAGTTGGCGAGCGGCTACAGCGGACGAGACGTCGACCTGGAAAAGATTATCGACATCCAGATCGCTAAGTTCGCCGACGTGCTCAGGAGGAAGCATATCACCAGAGAGAAGACCGACTTTGCTGACCTCAGTCGCTTCTTCACGCTTGACGTTATCACTAGACTCGCCTACGGAAAGGAGTTTGGCTGGGTGGAAGCCAGCGAAGACCTCTACGGGTACGGCGCGGGGATCAACACCTTTACTGTACTAGGTTCCATAATGTCCGATGTTACGTGGCTTCATCCCCTTGCGCGTTGGAATTTCATCAGCAGAAGATTCAAGCCGAGACCAACGGACAAGGAGGGTGTGGGCAGAGTCGTCGGGTATGTTGCAGACAGTCTGGCCTTCCCGTTATCTTCACCTAGCTAACGACGAACACGATCAGAATCGGCCGGGAAGAAATTCGAAGACGCTTTGAAGTGGACGAGAAGGATGCTAGAGACATGGTAGGGTCTTTCATGCGTCACGGGCTTAGCGTTTCCGAGATCGAGGCCGAGGCCCTGATCCAAATCTTCGCTGGTTCTGATACGACTGCCACCGTCATCCGCTCTGTTATGTTGCATTTGATTGCAACACCAAGAGTTTGGTAAGTGCTGCTAGGAAGAAAACTTTGCATTGAACAGCCATGTGGACTAATCAACTTGACCTTTTAGTATGTTCAAAACCCGTCCGCAATCCTGGTCCAACAAAGCAGCGTCAATCGCAATGACGAAGTCGAAATCATAACGTACAGTGTGCGGACTCGCTAACTCCCATTTCTTAGACATGCGCGTCAAGACCGACATCAAAAACGCTCTTGCCAAGGGGAGTGTTTCAGTGCCCATCGCCCTCGCGCAAGCACAATCCATGCCGTACCTCCAGGTGCGTACAACGATTTATCCCGTAGCCCTCTTTCACCCACCAGGTATCATTGTTAGAGGATTCAATCCTCGGCAACTTGCAAGTAAACTAACACGTGTGCTCTGCCGTAGGCTGTAATGTGGGAAGGTTTTCGCATGCGGCCGGCCGTGACGTACGGCCACTACAAAGTGGTGCCTCCAGGCGGCGAGACGATCGCCGGTGTATGGGTTCCAGGCGGCACGGCTATCGGACACTGCCACTACGGCATGATGCGCAACAAGAAGATCTTTGGCGAGGACGTCGACATCTTCCGGCCCGAGCGGTTTCTGGACTCGCCGAACAAAGAAGAGATGCAGAAGACGGTGGAGCTGGTGTTTGGCACCGGCCGCTGGATGTGTGCCGGCAAACAGGTGGCGCTCATGGAGCTGAACAAGATCTTCTGGGAGGTGAGTTTGACCAGTGTCTATCGCTTTTGACCTCCGTTCTACATGATACCCGCCGAAAGAGAGTAGGGGTTTGAGATCCCTGACCACGGGCTAATCCATGTTGAATGAGCAGCTCTTGCGCCAGTTTGATTTCCAGCTCGCAGAGCCGCACAATGCCGGATGGAAGGAGAGGACGAACCTTATATTCACGCATAGTGACATGTGGATCAAAATCACCGAGGCCACGGAAGTGTAGATTGGATCATGTGGGTTTCTGTCGTGCATTACTGACTGAGAGTCAGACTTGCGTGAGGGAATTCGAGAAATGTAGACGTTGTGTGTTTTGCCGGGAATGTATTAAACGAATGCAACATGAAAAATACGTCCCCTGAGAATTGGTATCCTATCGTGACAGTCAAACTACAATACACAAAACCTCAACACTCAAGTCACGGATGTTGACATATTCCCCTCCACGGCCGTTATCCCGTCCCAGCATACTCTGTACTTGAAACATGATCGTTTGTCGGATAAGCTCCGATCCAATCATCTCATCAAAATGACACTTGCTTGCCTCCATAGTAGATAAAAGTACTCAAGTAGGTATGAACAGTAGCGAGTTGTGATAATATTACACACGCATAAATGCTCATAGCGCAAGACCACTTATAAAGAAATTATACTTTCTCTAAATATCCTGCAAAGTCTCCTGCTTAGCCCAGCCACTGATAAAATCCTCCACTACGTCAGCAATCGAATGGTTATCCTACTGTTACATCTCGTTGAATAGTCAGGCCACTCTGGACATTGTGGGGGGGGGGCGTGAGTTGTGTGGAACCGGAACTCGGGCCGTGCCGAAGTGCGTTAACCCTGTTCAGACGGTCCCCTATTCCCATTAGTCCAGGTCGCCGGCCCGAGGCAGCGGGATCCTGTGCTGGAGGCGTTGCTTCAACACTTTAACGCGCGCACACCGTCAATATGACGGCCGACACCACCCGCGTCATGTTCATGGCAATAATGAATCTCGGGTCTTTGACCATGTGAAGAATCTGTTTACCCCAGCAGCTATAAACGACACTCTCAATGAAGCCTTGAGATAGGACAAGGTGGTTTTCTTCCTGCAACTACTGGGAATAGATACTACCGGGCATTTCCATCGCCCTTATTCAAAGGAGTACCTCAGCAACATCAAGCTAGTGACCAGGGCGTCAAAGAGATTGATGAATGCGTTCTAGGCAGACGATAGGACAGCATTCGTCTTTACGGCTGACCATGGTATGAGCGACTGGGGAGCCATGGAGACGACCACCCTGACAATACGAGGACCCCCTTAATTGCCCAGAGATCTGGCGCCGCAAAGCCTGTGATCCATCCAGCAGGTTCCGTCGCCCCCGGCCACCATGAGTACTCGTCCAACTGGAATTTCGACAAAGTCAGGGGGCACGACGTGGCACAGGCGGACGTGGCAGCCTTGATGGTCTACTTGATAGGAGTGGAATTACTGTTCAATTTCGTTGGGACCTACCTCTCTCCTACCTCGCCGCATATTCTTAGCCTTTGCGCCGACGTTTGTGATCCTCACTATCTCGTATGAGTCTCTTTTCTGCGTCGTGTATGCCACGACACTACTGTCGCGGAAACAAAGGGAGAAGACTCGCATCCAGGCACTCACGAGCGGTCCCACCCACTCTCCAACGAAGGAGGCCCAAAAATCCAGCTCTCCTCCAAGCGCAGCCAGCAACGGGCCGCGATTTCGCCCTCTGGGGCTGTGCAACGCCCGAGTGGCGCTGTTCTTCTTTGTCCTCTTCCGGTCAGCCTTCTTAAGCACGGAAAACATCGCGTCCATTTCGACCTTCAGTTTGGAAAGCGTCTGTAGGCTCCTCCCGGTGTTTGACCCCTTCGCGCGGGGGGGGGGGGGGGGGGGGTGCTCATCTTCAAGATCATGACCCCTTTCATCTTCGTGTCCCCGAGGCTCGGCATCCTCAATAGACTCCTGGGCGTGGCACCGTCGACGCTTTTCATGTTTACCGTGGGGATGAGCGACGTCCTCACGCTTCACTTCTTCTGGGTCGTGAGGGACGAAGGCTCGTGGCTCGATATCGGGTCTAATACGATTTGCCACTTTGTCGTGGCCAGCTTGGTGTGTGTGTTTGTTGTCTTGATGGAAGGCGTGAGTAGCGTGATCATCTCCGGCGTCGAGGTCGGATCGGAACCATCCGAGAAACCGCTTGCCCAGGACTTGTTCTAAGTTTAAGAAGTTTATGCATTTTCGGAATACGAGGGCACTGATCAATGGAGATGAGACTATCAAAGCATCTAGATAGCAGCCGCCCGTAAGGCTACGCGGATACAGACTATTAAAGCTGTTGGTATCACAGGGATCGCGATCAAGGTAGCCGCAATAGTATTAATTGACTATTGGTAGCTGGGTGAAGATGATGATAAAGGAAAAGAGAAGAGGTTGCTGCTGTGGGTATTTGTGGTGGTGTAAGTGAGCTGCTGGGGTGAGTCACGTGATAGTAAATCACGTGACTATAGATTAGCTCTACTATTGAACAGTTGAATATCCTGACACTAGTAACTTTCTAAAGTAAAGGAAAATCGCTACAAATAGCCTAGATACTGCCTAGTAGCTAAAAAGCTTAAAAACGTAATAAAAATTAAAAGCCTAAAAGTATTTAATACTTTTTGTCTATATAATCTGTTATATAGCTTAAAAAACTTATCCCTTTATACTAATCTAAACTATCCTATTTCTAACTAGTTATTTTAGCGCCTTATTAGGTAATAATTTAGTAAATTTATTAATAGGATTATTATTACCTTATATTTATTATACCTTATAGACTTTATATTACTTATATAACTACTAGAGGGCTATAATATTAATTATAAGCCTTTTTTTTTTTTATAGTCTTAAGCTTAATAAGGTACTTATAGAGTAAGTATAAGTTAGTATAAAGGATTATTAGTATATATAGTAGCTTAAGGTAGTTAGTAATTATTATAATAGTTATACTAAGTGTATAAGTAACGTTAGCACTAGTAACTATACTATAGATCTTAAAGGCTAGTATACTTTAGGTAACTTACTTATACTTTATTAAGCTAAAGTAAATAATATTACTAGTTATAGTAAATCTATTACTTATAGTAGTACTTATAGGTGCCTTATTAGTAAGAATAATAATAAATCCTAGCTATAAAGTAAAGTCCTTATTATTTATAAATAATTTATTTATAAAAATAAAAAGCTTTATAGATTTAAGGTTAAGTAAATAAAATAATAGACTATAGTTAAGGTTATTTATTTACTATATAATATAATAGTTAAGTGCCTTAATTTTATTTACGTTAGGTAATTAGTGTTATACTATAATAAAGTAGTTAAAGTACGCTTTAGGCTAGTAGACTAATATAATATACACACTATAGGCCTATTACTTAACGTACTACTTAAGTGCTTATAGAGATTCTTTATTAATAAGTTAAAGTCTCTTACCTTAGCCTTTTTATTAAAGAAAAAGCTTCCCCTTAGTAGTTAGAGATACTATACTACTATTAAAGGTAAGTAGGTTATTAATAGTAAGGATTTACTTCTTCTTAGTAGTAAATATAGCCTTAGTAAGCTTATTAGCCTTATAGGTAGAGAAGGATTTATTTAAAAAGGTAATAGTATTATTAGTCTATATACTAATAATCCTAAAGTCTAGGCTTTTTATATTAGTAATTAGTAGGTATAGATTAAAGGTTAAAGTCTTTATTTAGAGCTTTTCTTTATAGTAATAACTATATATTACCTACTAGTAAGTGCCTGCCTTTATAATACTATATAACAGCTTTACTACTTATATAATAGTGCTTTTTAGATAAAGGTCCTATATTTATAATAAAAGGCATATAAGAATTATATAATTTAATAAGGTAGTTAACTATATATATACCTAGGTAATATTATATAACTAAAGTAAGAAATTATTATTATTATAAATAAAGAATAAGGTAAAGGTAAGAATAAGGTATTAGCTAGCTTACTAGATTATAAGTAACTAGGTAAGAATTACTTCTTTACTATTATTAGTGTATCCTTAGATAACTAGGTAGGATTTCTTATATAGTTTTTTATTTTAGCCTTTTACCTTATTAATAATTTATAATTTAAATATTTATACTTTAGTATACTTATTCTTATTATATTAAATAAAGTAAAATACCTTATAGGTAATAAGCCTTTTAATTTTAGTAGTAGTTACTTACTTAAAGGGCTTCTTTAGGGTAGTAATAATACTTTTTTTTTATAGTTTAATTAATAATAGTTAGTTAGCTTTTTTCTTTATTAAGACGTACGCTATACTTATAGTAGTAAAGAAGGCAGTAGGCCTAGTAGTAAAGCTAGTTTTATTAAAGAAATTAATATACCTCTATAGGTAGCTAGCTTTTTACTTTAGCTATAGGTATATAGTAATAGTAATACTATTATATATTTCTTTAGTAGGCATAAAGATATTAGTAGGTAATAAGGCTGCTATACTATTATTATTATTCTTCTTATTATTTTACCTACTTACCTTAAAGAGTAGCTATTATTACTTATTATAAGTATCTTTAAGGTATAGTTTAATAATAGTTAAATAAAAAGTTTATAGGCCTTAAGGGAGGTTAATAGTGTAAGTAGTCCTATTACTAGTAATAAGGCAAAAGGGGCCTTACTAGCCCTTTTTCTTATACTAGATATAGACTATAGATTAAAGCAGAAAGGCTACTATTATAGTAGTATTTAGGCTATTATATATAGTTACTACCTTATTAACTTACTTTTTTATATAGATTTAGTAAATAGCCTTTATTACTTTTCTTACTGCTTTAGCCTTTTTAAGTAAAGTTAGTAAAAGTAGTAATAAGTTAGAGATTTATAGGTAGGTGCTAAAGACTAGTAGTATAGGTATTAGGCTATTTAGGCTAGCTATATTATTAATTACTTTAATAGCTAGCTAAAAGGTAACCTTAGGTATATAGCCCTTACTATAAAGGATATTATATATACGTTAGAGGGGTATATAGTATCTTTTAACCTTACTAATACTATTATAGGCTTTAATTAGTATTTCTTTAATATTAATATAAAGTAACCTTACTAACTACTTAAATTTACTAGTATAAAAGTTTAGGCTAGTATTAGTAATAATCTAGTTAGGTAGGCTAAAGTAGATATTAATTTAGTATATCTAAAGTGCCTTTTATATATACTTTATAGTAATGTTTTTAAGTAAACAGGCTACTTAAAAAGATATTATAGTATTAACTATATATAAGGCTAGGTAGTTACTATTAAGGTAGATAATATTAATAATAATCTTATAGTTAAAGTTATATTTATTATTATATAAAGTAAATTTAAAGTAACTAGGCGCCTTTATATTTATCTAGTAGTAATAGTAGACCTTAGTTAATTTCTTTAAGGCTATAATCTTAACTTTATTACTAGATTATTAGAGGACGTAATAAAGCCTTTTAACTAATAGGTAGCTAAAGTAATAATAAATTTACTATAACTTAATATCTATAAGATAGTAGTAAGTAATACTTTACTTATATTAATTAAGTAGTATCTATATATAGCCTTATTTACAAATAGTAAGTATAATAGTATTACCTTAAATTAGCTTATTAGTAAGGTTATTAAATTTAATACTATACTAATTTATATTTATAAGGTAAAATAGAAATAAGGTGTTTAATAGTATTATATAGAAGGTTAGCGTACTAAAGGGGGTTAGTATATTAATTACCCCTTATAATTTAAAGTAGTTACTACTACTAAAGTAGATTTTTACTTTACCTGCCTGTAACTTATCTATAGCTAGATTTCCTTTTATTTAGTAGTAAAGGGTAAGATACTGCTTATATCTAGCTGTTAAATGTTTAGCTACACTAGAGTTAGGTATAATACTATAAAATAAGATAAATAAATATTACTTATTAAGGGTAAAGACGTCTACGTTAGGTAGCTTATTATTATATAGATTCTTATATAGGGAGTTATCTTTTATAAGAAAATAGGTTATAGATTAGTTATATAGTAATAAAAAAAAAGTAAGCCTATTAACAGTAGATAAGTTAAAGAATATTATTAATATATAAAACGTAGTGCTTAATTCTTTATCTTTATTACTTTTTATATAGTTACCTTCTTTATCTAAAGTAAATAGCTTATATCTCTTAAAGTTAGTTATAAAGTAGTTAAAGGCTTTAGGTAAAGAGTCTATTAGATACTACTTTTTATACTTATAGTAGGCTTATTACCTTTTGTCTTTTAAGTGCCTTATTAACTAATAGTTAGGCTTACTATATATATAGTACTTCTTTATAAATAATAATAAGGGTAAAGGAGGTACTTATTACTATAGATTACTATTAAAAGGGCGCTATAGTGTAAAGTTACTATAGCTATAGTTACGTTAGCTAAATTACTAGTAACTTTACTAGCTGTTATAGGTATAGTTAGTCTAGTATTAATTATCTACTTCTTTAGTTAGGTATTAATATATAGGTTATTTAAATTATATTATATTACTAATTACTAATTAGAGCTAGCTATATACACTAGTAAATATTAAAAATAGATTAAAAAAGGTAAAAGAGTATTTTTTTATTTTATAGTAAGAGTTAAGTAATTAGTTATAGAGGGCTACGTTAGATAAGGTACTAATCCTTATAACTATTTTTATAAAGGTAGTTACTCTCTTAATAAGTAACTCTAGGTATTTAGCCTTACTTTTGTCTAGATTATCTAAGATAGTCCTTATTAAATTAGTCTTTTATAGCTTAGTAAGGTAGGCCTAAAAGGTCTCTTTATTCTTAAAATTACCTCTTATTTATATTACTATAGTTATAAAGTTAGTCTAGTTATAGAGATAGTTAGTATAGTACTTTATAGCCTTACCTTTAAGTATAATAAAGAAGGTGCTTATAAAGTGCTCTTACTAGATCCTAGCCTTTATATAGTAGTTATAAAAGATTATAAGCTTTAATTTAAGTAACTTATATACCTCTTTACTATACTTTATCTTATTAAGGTATAATTTAATAAGGTTAGTAAGCTAGTAAGTTATAAGTAAGGTAGTAATAACTAGTGTAACTAATAGGTAAAGGTAAGCGTTACTTACCTACTTAAATAGTAAAGAAATAAAATTTAAGTTATTATATAATAAGGCTAGATTAATAGGCCTTTATTAACCTTTTTAGACTTAAGTAACTTATACTAAGGGGGTAATAATATAAGAGGGGCCTAGTTAATCTTATGTTAATATTATTTCTAGTAGTAGGTCTATAATATCTTATATAAAGTTAGGTTTATTAATCTTTAAGTAAAAATCCTTACTCCTTTTCTTTTTTTTTTTAATATCCTTAAGTGTCTACGCCTTTAAATTATTAGCCTTAAGGGTATAGTAGATTTATTTAGTAATAGTTAGTAACTTTACTATTAATACCTATATACCCTTACGTATTAGGTAGTCTTTAAATTTAATAATAGTTTTATAAGTAGTACTTTTAAAGGTATTAAGTAACTATTTTTTAAAGTCTTTAGTAGTATATCTCTATAGCTATTAACTATATAGCTATATAAAGCTATATTATATTATTTAAAGTATAATAATAGTACTTAAGGTGTTATATTACTTAACTTAGGTAAGGCTATTAGGAATATTAGCTAAATTAGTTATACCTTATAGTTATATAATAATAAAAGGCTAGCTATACTCTAAGATAAGATATAGATCCTTAATATCCTATAGATAGATATACTCCTTTACCCTAGCTAGTGCCTATAGTTTACTTTACTTTTTACTTAGTTTTTTCTTTACTATTATTACCCTCTATTAGCCTTACTAACCTCTTAATTATAGGCACTTACTTTTTACTTATAAGGTTAAAAGTAAATCTATATATTAAAGGAATTACTACTATTAGTATAAATAATAATAAGATAAGTAAATAAATAATATAATATAAAGAGGTATAAGTAAAAAATAAGGTAAATAAAGAGATAAAATAATAGATAAATAAATAGTAGTAAATAGCTTTAGGGAGGCCTTACGCTTTAGTAATATAAAAAGATAACTCTAGGGAGGCCTTATAGTAGATCTTACTTAAAGAATAAAAGAAGACGTATACTACCTCTAAAAGGAGACGTATATAGACCTTACCTTTTAGTAAGTAAGATACTATAGTTAAAGATTTTTAAAGGAAAAAAGGTAAAAAGTTAAGGTTATATACCTTACTTAAGGGTAAATAATAAGTAGTCTTTTTAGATTAATTAGGATAGTAAAGTTAAGTAAAAGTTATATTAGTTACTAATAACTATACCTTACTTAAAGAAAGAAAGAAAGTAAGGAGGATAGTGTAGTTATTAATAGGTATTTAAAGGATAAGAAAAAGTAAGTAAATTAAGGTAATATAAGTAACCTCTACCTTTTTTACTTTACTTTAAGAACAAAAGGAGGCGTACTTACTAAAGGTAATAATTAGCTACTAACTATCTAGTTAAGAAAAGGAGTTATAATTACTATAGGCTATACCTAGCTAATAATATAATATTAGAAGTATATAAAGGTAAGGTTAGTAAAAGCTATTTATTTATAAATACTATATTAAAAGTAGATTACTTAGGTAGTTCTTACTTAACTACTTTATAGCTAGTTCTACTAGTAAGATCTTATTTAGATAAGAACTTATAGAAGTCTATTTACTTATAATCTTATATAGGCTGTTACTACTATAGTAAGATAAAAACTTAGTAAAATAAAAATCTTAATAATTAAAGGAAAAAAAGGTTAAAGGATAAAAAAAAAAAAAAACTTAAAGAAACTTAGGTATAAAAAGAAGATAATTATACTAAATACTATAAAGGTTATTAGTAAGTAAGTAGTATATAAAAAAAAGGACTTCTCTAAAAGTAATAAAGTTAATAGTAGTAATAGTAGTTATTATATAGTAGACGTAGGGCTTAAAGGGTTATTTACTAGGTATTATAAGATCTTAGGTACTAACGATCTTTAGGCTAGGTAGCACTTTAATACTTTAATCTAAGCTGCTATAGTAAGTAAAGTATTATAGCCTCTTCTAATAATCCTTACTAATTTATAGTAGTAGTAACTATAAAGTTAACTACTAATTAGTGTTAGTATTATAAGGATTATAATTAAGGTAGCTATAATAGTATTAATTAACTATTAGTAGCTAGGTAAAGATAATAATAAAGGAAAAGAGAAGAGGTTGCTGCTGTGGGTATTTGTGGTGGTGTAAGTGAGCCGCCGGGGTGAGTCACGTGATGGTAAATCACGTGACTATGGATCGGCTCCACCATTGAACAGTTGAATATCCCGACAAAAGCTCTACTACAGAAATTATGTATTGCGTCACATGATTTGTTACGCTCACGAGGTCTCCCGTAACCTAGTACTGAGCAGGATCTTTGGGCTCTTCGCCCGCCTAATCTCAGAGTCTACAGGAACCCACTCGTCTCGAACAAGTCACCCGGCGGAACTATGTGTCTACCAGCCTTGGCCACGTACTTCGAGATAGAAACAGTGAAGACAGCACCGCTTATTCTAGGCCCCTGGCGCCTCATGGAATCGAGCTTCCCCAGCATAACCTGGAGCCGTTCCAGGTCATTCCCTTCACCCACTACGGCCCCGGGCCTGGCATGGTACGGTAGAACATAGATCAGTGTGATTAACCGCCGCGTCTGTTTTTCTTGAAGAGAAGTAGTTGTCCCTTTCCAAATATACATACAAGAAGACTTCCGGGCAGAAATCCCCTTTCCTATGCGGGTCTATCTTTTGGTGACCCACGTCTATGACGTTCACCACTGGTATCAGCCAGCTTCATGACATCCGGCAAAATAACGCCGACCGTAAAATCCCTTGTCGTTAACTAAACATCACAACTCAAACTACCATCGCCCAAGTCATTGCAGACGCCTTGCTTAGCCACGCCCTGTAAGTAAAAAAAAGAAGACACATTGTTAGTCATATTTTCACCTATTTAAGGAAAATAAAAAGGGTGTCGTTTCAATAGATAAAGCAATTTGCCGACTTACATTGCAAGTCCGTGTGCACGGATCCAAACGGGTATTGCAGGCAGTTGTCGTGAAAGTACAGCAGGCTGTAGTCGGGTCGCACTTCTCAGGAAGGGCGATGGCTAGGGCGGTGGCCGCAAGAGTGACAAGTGCGAGTTTGTAATGCATTTTGGGGGGAGAGGATATAGTATGCGGAGTTTCTAACGTTATACTGGTTGAGGAAAGTAGTCCTCATCGTTACAAGTGGGAAGTCTTTCTTCTTTTTATAAAGCTACAAGTTAAGCCATTTCTCTTTCTATTGTAACATCTTAAAGCCTAGCCCTAGATAGCTCACATGGGGCAACGACCAGTAAAACAAGCCACCGGTTTTCTTTGCCATATTGGGTCTATACTATGTATAGCGCACTAGGCTAGCCATAATATATATAACAAGGATGCCTATAATTACATAGTAATTACACTGAAGCATTGGTTTCGCTAAATGCTAAAAGTTTCCTAATGTGGTCCTAAAAGTGAAGTTGTGTAACTGTATAAGTGGCAACCCGCGTTCAACGCCACGTGGTATGGCGCATGATAATCCACTTGACAGGTGCTGTATGAAGCTATCGTGACAACAGGACTATTATGTCGTGGAGAGATTCTTTTGAAGCCTAGTTATGTTTCTAATGCGTATGTCTTGAACTGCCCTGTTACTTGGCCAATTTCTACCCTCGTTGTCGTAGTCATCTTCATCGATATCAACAGCCTTCAGGGTTAATTAAGCCTAGTCTAGGCTGCCACGACACGTAAGGCGTTAGTTGCCGGATCACTGGCGTCGTTTTTCCGACATGCGTCCCTTATAGGAAGCCGTGTTTTATAAGATAGCAATGGATGACAGGAAGCAAAACGCATATATATAAGAATAAAGAACGCAATCACGGCTGAAGGGTATTGGAAACATTTACGGGGCAGACTATTGAAGGTTATTTGTACCCTTGTACATGACTCGTGTATGAGACAATCAGCGTGTCAGCCAACGTGGACCTGTAGCAATCCTACAGCACTCGGGCTCCGGGTCGATTGTCAACTCCGCTAATTTGGGTATGTAACTATAGGTAAATCGCATCGAGCCCTAGCCTTTATGCCTCCCCCGTTCGCATGCTTATCTTTTGACCCATCTCTCTGCAACAAAGATGCATTGTCGGCGAGGCCGCGATGATGTCAAGCCCCTGCACGTCAGAGACGGATAACTATGGCGGAAACAAAAGAAAAACAAACACCGTATTGTAAGTAGGCTGGCGGTCCTGATAAGTCGAGCGCGGCGTCACGACTTTGTCATCGTTCATAGGAGGCGCAACCATTTTGTAGCCTAGTAGCGCAGAGGCTGGTGCGGAAGGCTTGCCAATGACTTCATTTGCATCGGCCAGCCAATAGAGCGGGTCGTTTGGCACGGCTGTGATGGCTACTAGCCCAGCGTTTTCCGGCTGCATACCTAATAAATAGAGTTGAATGCTGACCAATGAGCAGCTTTGAATTTGGTCACTATTCCTAGCAGTCTTATAGACCAGCGTATGTGATATATATGTACTCTACTACGTATGTCTAACGAATCAGGACATTGTCACAAGTGAAGGTTTCAGACCCCGGTTCCCTGGACTCGGGAACATTGCCTTGATTGAGTGAGTTAATAAGCGAGCGGTCAGGACAGCTGCCATTCGAGTCGTGTTTTGGTGGTATTAGTGGCAGGTTGAGATGATCCCCATGCCCAGTATCCGTCACCGTGTCATCGGACTATTAACATTGCTTGGCGATTAATGGACATCCTCCAGTCAAGGAGAGTCACAGGCCAGGCAGGTATAATCAAACGACTAAATTTATACAAGCACAGTTTCAGCTTATTTGTTAGGGGCCATAGTAACTCGGAATTAACCCGTTCGATATTATTGTACAATGGTACCAGGCCGAAGTTAAATACCCCGGTTAGGTAATTGACGTCCACCCCCCTACTGCAGAACTTCACTTTTGGTGAATATTCCCCCTCTATCATGATGTCGGTTATGGGGGGTAACATCATAGTGGTATTTTACTTACCCCTGCCACCCTGTATATTGAAGAATCAGATGAGTAGATACAGACCCCTTTTTCATTATAAAAAGGGCCCAAGAACGTCTCAACAGTCAAGGTTTGCATTCTTCATCACTTCCACATCTTAACAATAACAAGCAGGACTTGCTACCAATTATCAATTTTCCTTACACATCTTTCTGCATTTCAAAGTCCAACAAAGGATATATCTTTCAACCCAAACCTTTTTCAAAATGCAGTTCTTCGTCATTATCAGCGCCTTGATGGCGGTTGCTGTTACCGCTGCTCCTACTCCCGATCCCGATTGCGTAAGTCAATCCATAGTTTGAATTACAACCAGCTGCCAAAGCACAAAAAGCTCATGTAACGCTTAGAACGCATACACTTGCCAGCATGCTCCCCCTCCAGGCGCCGAACCGGACGTTGGCCCTGGGGATCTCGTCAAGAGTCTCATTCCTTAGATTGTTGGATGGAAGTCCAGCTCGGAAAAGACGTGATGTGGGGGGAAGGCTGTTCTCTTTCGCATCAAAGCGGTCTTTTGGCGGGTTTTGCAAGACAGGAAATGCACGATGAAGGCGTATTGATACAAGTGGGCGGGTCGAGTTATGGGACAGCTGGAGGCTGCGAGCGGTGACAGCTGGTAGCCCTTTGCCAACCCTGCTGCCACGGACTTCCAGACAATTACTCCTTTCGTCTGCCGAATATATCACGTTTTTATTGTCAATATTTCGACCTGCTGTGTGTACGGAACTCATCCAAATATTGTACACTATCCGTACCAGTAGACCCGCTGCCCAGGTGCTCATCCGCTTGAAGATCACTGCCATCGAAGCGTCAAAAGAATTGCCCGTATTTACCGGCTCAAGCAGCCTTTCTTGCAACTGCCACTTGTGCAGCCTGCTGAATGGTTTTACCAAGAGTCTCGGGCATGCTGAGGAAAGGTGAGTGGCTAGCTGTGAGCGTAGCAGTGAAGGAGCTGGCTGGGAACTGGGACGACATGTCGATTTGTTTGTCCAGAGTCAGAAGCTGGTCTTCCTCTGCGAAGATGTAGCCCATCTCAAAGCCCTCATTCCAGGGCTCAAACCGGGACTTATCTAGGAATGTCTTGCTAGGCTGGGGGCATAGGGCGGCGGCTGCCTTGGTAGCGAGGGAAGGCTCAACGCCAGCGTAGAATAGTGAGATCGGGTCTCGGGGTAAGATAAAACCGCCCTGTAATGTGAAGGTGATAAGAGTCAGCCACGTCGAGGTCCTGGATGCGGTTTCGTCTGTCTCCTACTTTGATATCCAGCCACGGCTGCGGTCCGTCGCTATCAGAATCAGATAGGCTCTCATCGGCCGGCATGGCGAACGAGGTCATGTAGATAAGCATAAGAACGCCACCAGTCTTCTTTTTGGCAACACGGCTTTTGTGATTGAGACCTTCAACGGCGTTCGCAACGGGGATGCCGCCATAAGAGTGTGCCACCACGACGACCTCCCGCCCTGCATCGATGAGTCGCTGCAGCTCAGCGCGAACTGCGTCCGCGTCTTGATCAAGCCCAGCGTTTACGTCCGTACTACCGACGCTGGGCAACGCAACAGCCGCGGTGGGGTAGCCCCGGCCGGCTAGGTCTTCACGCACAAGGTCAAATATCCATGGCTTGTGCCAGGCGCCGGGGATGAAGACGATGGTGGGGAGCTCAGAAGACATGACGTTTGCGGTCGATTGGGTCATGGAGATAACTGCGGTCGGAATCGAGACGTACGCCGAGAAGATGGCGGCAGAAGTGAAAGTCGGGGGCGAGGGAAAGTTCTCGTCCTAAGACTGTGGGATGTCATTTACCCGCTTTGACCTTTTGTATGGGTCTGCAGCCAAATGCCGCACTCAGAGTTCAGAGTCCAGGCGATTAGTCAAGTAAGGCCTTTTCTTTCTTTCCTTTGTTGCTAAGCAATCGGGCAGCTATGTTTCTTCAACGCATCAACTCATGTTATTCTTCATCAAAATTTTCTAGCACCCTTATCACCAGGGCATTGCCACAATTGTGATATCACATATGAGCAAGCCCATGGTATGTTTCCTGTGCCTCATGCCTGAAAAGTGGGGATTTCCGAGCCCCAAAACTGTAAGAAGTTGTTGTATGAAAGGAAATCTGCTCTTCGTCGGCGTTTTCCTATATTATGTCGAACAATCGCCCGATAACGAGTATCCATCACGGGGCCAACGCATAATCAATTATGAGAATGCGAGTGCTTTTTTTTCTATCCACGCTACCTCGCCAGAAGTCATATGGGATGCCAGCAAGATTATCACCAAGAAGCCGACACAGCCGTTGTGTGATGGGTATATTTCTTGATCACGATGAGTCGTCAGGAACTACACTCCATCATCGTTCCCTCCTTATTAGTGGGAAACGGCAGACACCTTTCCCAAGCAATAAAACTCAAGCAGACGGACAAATAAATGTCTATAATTGAAGAGATTTGTAATAGGGGTGGTTCGAGTATCTGACCGCATTCATTTCATGCTATAGAATATTTTTCATAAGGCCCAACTGATATTGTATACAGGTGGTAATTAATACGTCTTGTGAAAACCGTGTAGCCTCCCAAAGGTCTTTTCTGTATTCTAAGTGAGCCTTCTAATCTGGTAGTTAATGCAGGCTAGAATGTTACCACTCTCATTGTAGATAGTCGTAGCTATACTGACTATTAATACAAATAAGCTTTATTTAGTCTTATCAAGGCATGGATTTCTCAGACTCACCAAGTGAGGCCTTTAGGTCTAATCTTTGTCAAAATAGTAGTGCAAGCGGATATTAAAATCCCTGTCGTGCATTCTCACGCCACCTTCGCCGACCTTCATTTCTGTCTCACACCCAACTCGGACTATACAATGAGCAAGGAATGATGCATCTACGGGCGCCGATGGTTTAGTGGTAAAATTCTCCGTTGCCACCATGCAGCGTCGGGGAGCCGGGGGTTCGATTCCCCCTCGGCGCAATGTACTGGTCTGCCCGAGGGGTAAGGGCCTTCTTCAAATGTATGAAGAGCCCCATTTGCTTTTTGTATTGTATTAATCGGCTTTTGCTTAACCTCCACTGCATATAGACAAGTCCCTGTAACACAACGCTCTATAATTCTATATGCAGTAAAAAGTACAAGTACCTATAGCTAGGTGTAATATGATCTACACTAATAAGAGTATTAATGTTATAGGCTAAAAGAGGGACAAGGCCAAGGGCCTATAGATCTAGATATATTTCTGTGCCTATCCCCGTCTAATAGAGTAGCAGCCTGTTTGTGTTATTAAACAAAGAGAAATAAGGAATATACTCTTCACTCAGTTACACTATCTATTGCATATATTAAATCACTTGTACTCACTTTCTTCTTTCTCTTTACTGCTCTGCTGTTACGTTACACGTGTTTGCTGCGTAGCTTTGCGACGCCACTGTGCACCTTCACACGCCAGCACTGTCAGCCCATATACCCTGTTGGGTCCGAAGCGGCTGCCAGGAGGGCTGTGTCCTTTAATGCAAAGGAGATCGGTCTAATTTATTATTTCAAAACAACTAATACACTATGACACTGATGTAAAAAGCTTTAGCACTTTTGGCATAGACATAAAACTTACAACACTGCTTACACCTCGTTGAGCACTACTAAGTCTAGTCGGTAATTTAGACTTTGGGACTTGCTGTGACAAGTCTAAAAATAAGGATTGGGTCGCCTGGGGCTGCTAATGGGTCGATAGGTTTTCGTGGTAGTTCTAGGTCTTGAAGGCTAGTCATGTCAAGATCAGAGGGAGACAGATGGCGGTGGCATGTTTTGCAACCCGAAGACCCCGACAAACAACCCCCAAGATCGGTGCCTCGGCACGGAATAATAGGGGTGTATTTGGTGGGGTTGTTTAGGCCTAACTCACCGCCTCGTTCAAAGAACAAACATATCTTCCAAGCTAACAAGTCAAAGACAGCCCTGGGCAGGCGGGCATTGGCCGGCCAAACCTTTGAAGCTTCTCTTCTATCGCCGCGGCGTACACCGCTAGCTTGCAAAAGCTGGGTATTTTGCTCACGATTGTAGCATGTACCAGGTATGTATTGTGGGGAAACTATCATGATCTTATGGCACATTACCGTTGTCGATCAACAACCCATGCAAAGGCTGCTTTGGCGATCCAGTTACCCCAACCCACGAGTCAAGCTGTAAACCATTCGAGCGAGAGGCACCCATTCGGCACAGAGTTTGGTTAGGTCTCGGTAAATCGGCCCGGCCCAGTCAGGTCTCAGACTCAGAGCCTAAATTGGCTGCGGGGACAACTTCTTTCAACATCTGTTCAAACGTTCTTGTACCATGCCCTCTAGCAACTGATAGGCGGTGTCCTAACTTTCTTCGCCGTGACCCCCGGAGCAGTGAGTGTGGATCTCGTATAGGGGTTGTGGTTCTCCCTTGGGCTGAGGTGGTACGACACCCGAATCCTGATGAATGTGAAAGTATGCAACTTTGTTATGCGCTGCCCTAATTTTATGATGAATTCATTGCTATGATAGTCCATATAACAATGGCGGACTAGCACTGTTGGACTCAGGGTTGGATTCTGAATATTGTTTCTCGACAGAAGGTGTTTGTAGCGAAAACAAGCATGGACGACGCGTAACCCCTTCTTGAGCCAAGGGCTCGTCGAATAAGCAGATGATGTATCATTAGAAACTTTGACTGGCGATGAGTTGATGTTCAAACATGGGAAAAGGGAATGCACAATACCTATGTATAATGTGGGCATTAGCCCGGCTCATCAACGCCGCGAGAAAGCTTGGCCTACGTAAAGTCCACCTTCTTGGGCTGAAAAAAAGCCTTCGGGGGATGCTTGATTATTTCCGAGCCCGTCATGGATCCACTTAGTTAAATTGCCCAAAATAGATAAACTGAACGCCACTGATCGTCCCTTCGCGCCACTTGAAAGGGAACTGCGTGGAGCTGCTCAAAAAGAATCATTCATCTTGATGCTCGTCTGATTCGGCGATCATCGGTTGCCGGACCTCGACCCGTTCAAAGGAGAGAATTCCGGATTTACAGTGGAAATGCTAGAGTTGGTTCGGGCGAGATTGCGGGAATAAGGCTCGAAGGGTTGATCACCCCCTTTTCGGAGGGTGTTCTCAGCCCCTTGTTAGGAGGGAATTAGGCCAATGCGATGGCATCCTCTGAGGACTCCGCAAAATGGCCAACTTTCGGGAGTGCGGATGCTGTTTACTCTTCGTGCTACCATCACGGGGTTTCCAACACTTGCCTCGTCGAAGGCTTGAGTTCTAGCAGCAACTCGCGACCTGTGATGAACATGCTCAAGAATCGCGTCTCCACTCGTAGTGGGTTAGGTACATGTTTCCTTTGTTTGTATGCCCACGTCTATGACGTCCAACTCGTTACTAGGTGAACTACGGAGTAAGGAGCTCGGCAAGCAGGTAGAACACGAGCCTGGCTAGCTTGGGGGGTCCACCGATCGCCGGTGACGATAATCATTGCCACCGATGAACAGACAGCGTTGCTATTCTTCGTATTGACCAGGGCCAGTTATTGCCTAAACAAAGTATATATAAACTGCTGTCAGTGTCGTCGTCCCTAGCAATCAGGTCCTACCACCAGCTCACTATTACACTTTATCTTCTAATACACCACTTACTTTCCAATACACATAACCTCAACAAACCGTCAATATGAAGTTCTCCGTCATCCTCTCCTCTGCCGCCGTCGCCGCCGCCGCCGCTGTTATTGACAAGAGCATCGTCAAGTTCAGCGTCTCTGACTTCGGCGCCGGTTGCCTCGGCCACAGCACACAGTGCACGTAAGTTGAACCCCCCGGCACATCATGGAAATCGCAACGCAGGTTTACTAAAGCGCTTTCCCCAGCATCGGCTTCAACGTCTCCCGGCCCGAAGAGACCATCGGCGTTCAGTGCGCGGCCCGTGTCTCTGCCATCCCCGGCGCCGGCGGCCCCAACATTATCCCCGATATCAAGGGCGCCTCATGCACAAACTCCACCCGCACCTTCGACTTCGTCCGCAACGACGGTGCCGCTACCCTCACCGTCTACCAGCAGGTCAGCCGCCTCAGCTTCCGCACCGGCTCCCACGTCCTCCCCAGCTCGGACTTCGTCATCACCAACGAGCCCAACGCCTGGGTCGAGAGCTACACCGGCCCCAGCGCTTTTTTCCTCGAGTAAATCTCTGCTGCTCTTGGTGCGAAACGAGAACATTATTTCAATTTAATTGTACATGATTGAACGTTCCCTTGAAATCGAGGGAAGAATAAAGATATTTATAATCTAGATAATGCAATGAATTGTTGCTTACCCACAAACCACTTGAGCCTTGGCAACTTTTTGTCTGAGAATGTTAAACTTCTGGACCTTGTGCATTTCATCGGAAAGGCATAAGTTAACATTCACTAGAAACTATGCACTCCCTTTGATTTGGTAGACATTAGCTACGCGCGTAGCTGAGCCTCCACACAAGAGGGAAGAGCGGAGTAATAGGATTCACTTGGGAAGGTTTTGAAGACTTTTAGCTAGTTTTCCTCCTTTGATAACATGGTTTTGTTAGTAAAATAGGTTGGGTACTGTATTGTACACTCTCTGTAGCCCCCTTTCTTTGTTTCTTTGCACCCTCTGTGAAGAGGGGGCTTTAGCGTTACGCGTAGCAGGCTTGATAAATAAAATTCCTGGGTAACTTAGGTGGTAGAAGATCGCTCTTATTCAGGTACGTGGCTCTTTAATTCCAATCATGGTCAAGATCAATACTTCATTGTCGGCTGGTAATCCAAGTAAGTAGGTGGCCAACATGGCTGGTAGTCTGATACCCGGCCCCCGGGTACCTTCATGTCACTGATTCGCAGCCCGCCCTCGATATACCATGCATTCCAGCATTTGGACATTCTCAAATAATGATTATTTGGGCGTTATCCAAGTTTCTGATCACGTCCATTGGCTAGAACCACAGGCTGGAAACAATCCGACCTACACTCCATTAGCCTACACTCCATCAAGACCCAACAGCAATTTTCCCTTATGCAACGAACCACAATGATGATAGACCCAAGCCTCGCCGAAAGCTAGTCTCTTTGCGCGATCGCAACTATTATTATCGCGTTCAGGGTATTCTGCCGCACGAAGATGGTCAGGGTTTCTAGATAGCGGCCAGATGACTATTTGATTTTCTTTGCCTGGGTAAACACTTCTTGATCCGAACCCCGCCACTGGCCAAATCATCGAGGGAAGCTAACATTGACTCTGAGGCTGTCTACACGACTGTATCTACTATGGCGACGCTCTTTGTGCTGGTTGCACATGGCCAACACACCTCACTATTAACACATGAACAACGGGAAGCAATGCCACAATCCGATTTGTAGGTAAATTTGATCGGAAAGTACATTCCAAGTCGACTGTTCCGAAACAATAGCCTGGATGGCCAAGTGCAATTCGGCAATATGGATCAAGAAGCTTTTCAGCCGGCATGTGTTGCTAGTTGACAATGTTTGGACGTTAGAATCTAATAGTATGTGCTTTAAACTTTCTCCAGCCAGTTTTCTCATTTTATTCGATGTATAGCTGTTAATAAGGCAGCTTCCAAGTCTTATTATATAAAAGATCGGCCAAGGGCCAATAGGTGGAAAAGATCTTATTTTCCCCCATGGGGCTAGTTGAATTGACAGCAGTCATCATAGTATTGGTTATTTTCCTGACTTGCCGTCCTTCTAACCTTATGTGGCAAATAAGACCAGACCTCCGAGGTATATTGCTAACTGCCTTTCAGTCTGATATCTGAATAACTAGGGGTATAACAATGGTTCTAGAAAGCTGAGTACCGCAGAATAAGGTCTATTTCTACGGCATTCTAGTCATAAATGTTACTACAGAACTTCTTGTTATTATTATCCCTATATCTGTAAGTAAGCGAAATCGAACACATGGCGTTGTTGCTAAGTTACTTCAAAGGTCATCAGCCCCGTTCAGGCCTTAGTCTGGCGCAGAATCGGTATTATTCTTTTTCCTTAACTTAGGCGTCTTCTCAATGGCGGCTTATATCATTCGTATTGTTCTTATCCTCCATATGTTAGAAAAAGAAGCTGTTTATACTGTGAAGCTAACCTATTTCCATAGCTTATCAGTCGGTTTGGACCCGGAGCCATGTGGTCCATCCGTGAAGACTTTGTGGCTATTTTTGTCGGGCAAGCTTCAATGACTATTCCAATGTTTAGGAGGCGGTTCTGGGAAAACTCCATCAGCAGAACACCCAAAGCGAGCCGGGGGCCTGATGGTCATGAATTAACCGAAGGAGTGGCAAAAGAAATCCAAGAAAGCAAAGGATTCATGGAGCTTGACCATGATAGGCTTCACCCACCGCACAAACGCAACCCTTGGTACTCAAACCGGCAGCGTGGGTGCAACCGTGAAGGCAACGGTGCCCACAGGCAGCTTTGAAAGAGTTGTTGTAACAGATACATTCAGCATATGAGGGCAACCAATCACAGATGGATAGTGACTCGCCGTTTGGTTGTATTGGTAGCAAAGACCGCGACAATCTAGAAACTATGTCTCACCCAACTGTTTTTGGTATTCGCTGTTGGTGAAACGGGTGTTAGACTATAAGAGCCTTCACCGCTCCCCTCTGATGTCCTGCGATGGCCTCATAGCCTCTGGCTCTGATGGGGGCTGCCTTACCCTGGTCTCACCCTTGCCCCCCTCAGGTGTTTGTACAAAGTGAGCAAAAGCAGCGAGACTTACCCAGTTCACCCTATTGGTTAGAGTGCGATGGCATGAATGCAGATTCCAGCGATCTCGATTCAGCATGCTGGTGTGGCCAAGGTACATAGATACGGCGTCTGGTAGACTCCCATTGCTCACATCCCGGCTCCGACCTTCCAGCGGGCCTCGACGAGAAGCGCCGGATGAGTGGGGAAATCAATCGTGAACATCCACGAACCTTCTGAAATCCTGTTAAACCTTCGCTCGCTTCCTTCAGCTAAGTGGGCTGACTTTCGCTACTGCTCCAACCAGAGACTATGGTTCGTGTGGTCTATGTCACAAGTAATATGATTGCAATGAAAAAAGGTTGTGTCACGATGGGCTAGCATCTCGACTCAAGCATTCTTCTTCCACTCTGCATCGTTTTGCTGGAATATTCTTCATCCGGAGCAAACTCTCCGGGGGCCTATGGGCGCCGAGGCCCCGCCGCCCCGGAGCGGGGCGCCGCGGGGCCATTGCGGCATCGAGAGAACCACAAATCCGGACCCTCACTTTGCCGAAACGACAGATGGAATAGGTACCGAGGTTGGGCATATTGGCTAAAACTAGTGCTTACGCGCTGTTTCTTCGCACCCCCATAATCCTTATGCCAGCAGGGTCCAGCAGGGTCCATCTGGAACCCCTCGCTAGCCATGCCACGTCGTGGGACATGTGACTACTTTTCGCCCTGCACGCGAGGCCTGGCACTACGGCCCATACGCTATTCTATCTCAGACTAGGTGAGCCGAACCCTAATGGGTAGTGAAGCCTTACTATCACACTCAGGCGACAAAGAACAGGGTAGTTTTCCTTCACTGGCATCGCTGCGTCAATAAGTTATTTGGCATCTAATACAGCAAAAATGCTATTTTCGAGACATTTACAAGCACAACATGCAAGAACACTAGGTTTCCCGCCTGTTTATTACCCTCTGATGGAGGCTCCTGAATCGATGGTATTCGTAATGCTCTAGTGATGATATGGCAGTCAGGCCTGTTGTTTTATCACCCGAGTGCATGCGTACCATCCTTCACAGCCTTACTAACCATATCAATCTTACCAATCTTAGCAACCATGACGGCCTCATATTTCATGGGAATGCACAAACGGAAAGCCCAGCGCTGCGCTTGCACCAATAACGACGCGGTTTTCATGTGTTGGGACGGCCACCACGGTACAATCCAGCCCATCGCGACCTGATGATTGCCCGTTTTTCCCAACGTACACACCCACCGTATTCATCGGGCTTCGAGAACATACAGCCAAAATCCAGATCTGCAGGGTTTAGTCCAAGGTCGAGGATCGAAGACAGCCCCTTGAATCTGTACCGACGGGAAGGTGTGAGAGTGGGATGTCATCATCGTACATTGGCGCCGCATGCCATCTGGGCGGCGCCGCGTCTAGGCCCGAAGATCCCACCAGCGTGCGCACCCCTCCCCGGTCAACGGCTTAAAAGTTCAGGTAAAACTAGCGTCCCTCCCGTTTGGAACTGAAGGTCCGTAGCGCTGGCGGGAGTATGTATTATGGGTGGGAACGACGTCTCGTTGCAAATTATCGTGAGATGGAACCTCAATGCGGATGACGGGCTTGGGTGGAGGGGGGTTGTACGGAAGGAAAAGTCGGTGTTGCTCTAACGAGGAGGCATAGCGCGCTCAGCACGTAGTACGAGCTGGTAAAGGAGATTGCATCAAGTTACCGCCACACCACAGGCAACCCCAGGCGAAAAAGGGGACGTTTTGTGGCATGGTTAGAGAGGATCATCCTGCCACCTCGGCAGCTCGTCTTCTCGGGGACGGCCAAAACTCCGCCTTAGCGTTCGATCGGCCGTGCCTCCGTTGACCACTGTCATCGTCATCTGAGGCTCAAAGTGCCGTCTCGGACCTGGAAGGGCTAGCCGGGGCGAGGAGATTGGACGTCATGGCACTGGCCCAACCTAGCCTTGAGCTTGATGGACGAGGTATCAACTCTTGGCAATCAGCGCACGCGACGTCGTCAACACTTGTTCGTTCGTCCGAAGCGCCGCAGACATATTGGTAGCCAAGATGGAAGATGGCATACGTCAAAAGAGGTAGCGGTTCGCCAGTCCCATCCAGACAACATCTGCATGAAAAAACAATAAAAAAAAGCCCCAAGAAAGAGATTGCCGGACATGGCCGGTTGGACTGCCAACGACGACGCCGACAAGACAGCCCGGAGCTGCAGGGTTCCACCCCCGGGAGAACAGCTCGCTTGCGAGGGAACTGGAAGAAGAATGAAAAAGACACCGAGCCGCATCGGCGCCTGTCGGCCAAGAAGCAAGAAATGCGGAGAATCTTGGGGGATTGAGTGTTGAATACCAAAAAGCTGGGAAAGCTGGCAGCCCAGCACGCCCCACAGCGGCAGTCCATGTGCTGATGAGGTCGACAATGGTCTAGAACCCGCGACGTGGTATTCAGAGG